CTTTTCCTCCATCAGATTCAGCCAAAGAAGAGGAAAGAAAAGAAGAAAAAACAGCAAACCAAGAGTGGAAGCTCCTATTGCACAGCCGCGGGAAAGGAAGATGTTGAGCCCCCAAATCCCCTGAATTCATGAAAATAGACAGAAGCAATCTTTGCCAAGAAGGGGAGGTCAGAGAAGGGGAGGAGAAAGGAAGAAAAGCTTAGCCAAAGTAAGTAGAAGCCATTAGGGTTTCTTGAAAAATGGTGATTTCCGGCAGCTATAAATTGAGCCTTCCCCTACCCAACAAAAACAACTCACAACCTGCAGAGAGCAAGCTTTTCTCTCTATCTTGCAAAACTCAGACTCGTGCACTGTTCATCTTCTTCTCCAATTTGTTTTTCTGGCAGCTGCCAGAAGAACTCTGCCTTTCTTTTTCCTCTTTCCCTAGTCGAATTCCTCACAAAACACCTCATAAACCAAGCCTAATTTCTCTCTTAGTGCTAAACCCATGTTGATTTTGCTCCCATGCCACATGCCACTCATGCTGAGCTGAAAAGACTATCTGTAAGCATGCCAAAACTATCTGCAAGTTACCATTATTCTCGTTGGTGAAGATAACCAAAATACTTCCTAAGGCTCTACTGCCTTTTCGAGGTATTTTGGGGCTTAATTTTCGAACTCAGGCTCAAGGGGCAATTTCTTCCATTTTGCCCTTTACGGCAGTCAGGCCCGTAATAGCTGCCGGAAGAAAAAAGCCCCTACAGAGGTAAAAAGTTAATTGGCTGATTTTTGCTATATTTCCATGGTTAAGAGAGCTGGTGTTGGTTTCCTTTCTTATTTCTGTTTGAAACTTAAAAAAAAACACTGAAAGGGTTGGGCTAGATGGGAGTGTGATGGTTTTGGCAGGTCTGCCATTGGTGGTAAAAACAGATTTTTTTATTATTATTTTAATTAGCAAGTGCAAAAACAGGAACTGAAAAAATATGGTGTTTGTTTGGGACATGTAATTTATAAAAAGAGAACAAAAGAAGGTCCTTTAAACTAAACAAAAAGAATGAATTCCAGCAAGTAATGTTGGGTATGTGAGAAAGACCTTTTATATGTTGCTTTTCTTTTATCTCACTCTGCCTCTCTCCATGCATTTCTTTTTTAAAATGTTGATATATTAAAATGGAATATAGAAATGTACAAGTCATGGATTGACCTAGTGATAAATTTGATGCAGGTTGTTTATGTTGCGGGTCATCTGCTGCAGGTGATTTGCTACTATCATGGCTTATAATTATAAGCACATGATAATTTAATATAAATCATTGATACGTCTTAAATTCAACTGCACTAGCATATGTTAAATTCAAAGCTGAAATTGCTCTTCTCAGAGTAGTCAAGTCATGTTCGTCTTACCCACAAGAATCTCATGCAAAAGTAAATAGAACGACATCTAATTTCATGTTTTCTTTCTTGACCTAGCTATATCTTTTAACAAGTAGACCTTTTCTTTTTCTCTTTACCATGTGCGAGGCATAGAGATGGAAGGATTGCGAAATACGGTTGAAAATGACTAAACCAAGGGAGGATTCTCATACAATAAGTTTTGGCTAAAATACAGAAGAAAACTTAGTTGGCTAAAATATGGTTTGAAGGGCCCCAGTAATTCCTCAAATGTTCAACGTCATCGTCCCATGGCGCTTAGTTGGCTGTTGCTTCTCATTCATTTTGTAATGGGGCATTGGCTTACAAGGGGGGTGGGGGTTTCTCTCTCTCTCTCTCACACACACACACTACGAAGGTGTCATGGAGATTCAAACCTGAGACCAATGATCTGCAAGTCAAGGTCATTATTCATTGGGTTTGATCTTGTTGGCAAACTGGTATGGTTTATATGATTTAATGTATGCTGATATTTCTAGAAAGACTATAGAATCTGCAAGTAGAGAGAGAGAGAGAGAGAGAGAGAGTGGTAAAAGGGGAAGTAGAGTAATGATTTTTGTATATTTATTTTTATAGTATAATGGGATTGAGCGAACAAAACCATAAAATAAAAATAGCAAAAGCCCTTCCAATATCTCTCATAGAGTCGTTGCCCACTTCACGAGTTCACTCTCTCTCTTTCTCTTCCTCACATCACATCATCACACGTTGCCCTACGTATAGTTGTTTTTTTTTATCCTATCAAAATCTATAAAATATGTTAATCATGCATACGTGCATATTTAACTAGGGTTTTGGTGAAACCTTCATCATCAGAAAAGAAAACAAAAAGAATTCCCATTGAAATAAAATAATCTGCAACATTCCATTGAAATCATTTCGGCTGCAAATGTTTCACTTTTTTTTTTAAAAAATTTTCCTTTCCTACCCTGTCTATGGATTCTAAATCACACTTTTGTTTTGACGAGATTATGCGGTTTTGTCCAAGTGATTTTCCATGTGTTGCAACCTTTTTTTGCGCCTTAATTCACTCTCACACATATTTGATTTGATATTATTATTATTATTATTATTAAATGGGGAGAATATAAATTGGACGTCGATTTCAATTTGAAGATAAATGTAACTTGTATGGTATCATATCATCCAAAAACATTAATATAAAATAAAATTTGTTTTTTTCCTTCTTCTTGTTCTTTTTGACATTACAAGTAAACATAATTGGGAAAAAACTACAAAATCAAAAACAAATGTTGTCCTTGCTTTGCTTGCGACCATATATAATTATCATCCCACCAAACATGTAAATGAGGAGGAGCCCATGGTACATGGTTGAAAACAGAAATGAGTGCATAAATAAATTGAATACATGTACCTGAACTGAATAGATGCAAAGAGAGCTAGGCAGATGTAGAGAGAGAAACTTGCCAAAACCAAAGGGCACTTGGTTTGTTTTTTGGTTTGGAATTGGTCACTACTGCCATGAGTGATGGATGGGAACAACCAATAAATCCAACATAAAGAAGGCTGCCATTTCACTAAATCAAAAGCAAGCAGGCATCACATGCGGTGTTTTTAATTTCTATGAATGCTACATGCCAAAGTGAAAGAAATATGAGGAATGCTAGCAACCTTCTCTCTAACCTTCTCTTTTGGACCTTCTCCCTTTTTTGCTTGACATATGTCATTCTTCTTACACTTAAAACAATGTCATTAATATATTATACAAGCTAATTTTTACTTTCCAAGTTTACCCTTGTTAAATGTATTCAATTTATCCCAAAAAATTTCACAACTTTCTCACCATCCTTTCTTTTTAACGTCAATTTTTTTTAATTTAAGAAAATGTCTGCTTAAAAAAAAAAGAAAAAAAAAGAAGAGGAAATGCCCCTTTTTTTAATGTCAAGTTTAGACATTTTTTTAATTTTTTTTTAAAAAAAGGACATTTCCTCTTCTTTTTTTTAAACAAACATTTTCTTTAAAAAATATAATTGACGTTAAATTTTTTTTAATAAGATGGTAAGAAAGTTGTGATTTTTTTTGGATAAATTGAATACATTTGATAAGGGTAAACTTGAAAAGCAAAAGTTTGCTTGTATAATATATTAATGACATTGTTTTAAGTACAAGGAGAATGACACATCAAGCAAAAAATGGAGAAGGTCCAAAAGAGAAGGTTAGAGAGAAGGTTGCTAGCATTCCCTAAGAAATATATGATTCACATGTGACACCCAATCACAATCATGCTACAGTAACAAGAAGCAAGGCACCTCAATAATTATATATTAAACCCCCACCGACCCCTACTTTCCCACTGCCTCTAGATCAAAACTCTCTCTCTCTCTCTCTAGCAAGCACAAAACTGAAACCAAGTCTCCTCCTCCCTACCCCTTAGCAAATTCCACACAACACCTCAAAACTCTTAACCATCATGCCTAATGATCAACTTGAGGTACATAATTTATACATTAATTTCTATACATGAATTCTTTTTCTTTCATTTTTGACATTTCTTGCTACTAAAAGGAATATTGATGTTGTATTTTGCAGATGAAGGCCATGAAAAATAAAAATAAAAATAAAAGGCGTGGTATTGTGGGTTAGCATAAAGTTGGAATGGGAGGAATCGGTAAAAAGAGGTATAAATTTTTTACATCTCTAGTTTGTTGCTTTGTGATATTACACTTTTGGAATGTGTTTTTATCCATTTTTACAACCAATCCAGAAACACGAGAGAGAGAGAGAGAGAGAGAGAGAGAGAGAGAGAGAGAGAGAGAGAGGAGAGAGAGAGAGGAGAGGAGAGAGAGAGAGAGAGAGAGAGAGAGAGAGAGAGGAGAATTTGAGAGTGTGAGAGCTATATCAGAGAAAGCAATTCTGTCAGTGTAAACAACACAAGATCAAAGGTGTAACTAACGCACTCCCAAACTTTTTAACTGGAGAATTTTTGCAGGGTGCGGACAAGATATTGCAGATAGATGACTCCTAGTAAGGGCTCCTCTGCTATTACCAAGTCATCCCCTAATGATCCAAAGCAACTAATGTCTTCTTCTCCATATAATAAGGGTAAGAAGAAGCATATTTCTAAAAATCCATTCCGTGAATATATGAATATGCCTGTAGCAATCATTGAAATGAATGATCTAGATAAACACCCAAATTTTCTGGCTGAAAAATATTTAAGGGATAATCTTCCTCCCTGGAATAAGCCTCGTATTTTCTATGAAACTCTTCTAATTGAAACAAAGTCTGTTAATATCGTTCATCGTCATAGAGGTGAAAATGCCAACACCATAGCATTCTCCAAAATCCAAAATCTAAATGTTATTTTTTTGGAAGAATGGGGCCCTAGCCTTGAAAGGGCCAAAAGATTTATCCATCCTAAAATTAGGCCATATTCCTATAATTACTGGGATTATAAAAAGGCATGGGAATATGTTTTATGCTTTCAAAATCAAAACTATTCTCATACTTGGTTTATCCAGTTTAAGTTTCGAGCTCTGAGAGAACTCCCTAATTGGTTTAAGAGCTTTTTTCTGATTTGGGGTCCTACTTTGGAATACCTTCCTCTTGAAATTAAGGAATCTTTTCAAATGAAATTTTGTAAATGGAATAAAAACCATCCTAATCATAGGACCTTATTCATGTGGTTCATGATAATGTATGAACTACCATGGATATTGAAATGGGAATATGTTATTTCAGAGGATTTTGATGAGGAATATACTTATATTCCAAATTTAGTTTGAAGTATCTTAATCAGATGGTGGGATAAATTCACTAGGGATCACCTAGCTCCCGCCAAGATCATCATAGCGCTTATCCCATCCCCCGACTCTGCTGCTGCTCAGCCTTTGACCACTTCTTCTAATCTAAGTGTTTCCCAAAGGTTGCAACTGCTGATAGACCAGCCAGGATCATCATCTTCTAAAGAAGACTTGAAAAAGATAGTCCTCGAGATTCTGGATCTGGATGACGAATCCATGGCATCATCATCTGTCACTCAGCCTAAAAATGAGGTGGACCCTTTTGCAAATGAAGACATGCTGGATAATTATCATCCGGTTCTTTATGGTGGGCCTCAGTGATATTCTGTCTGATAAGAAGACAATTTGTAAATTGTAATTTTATGCTTTCCTGTTATTTTAGCTTTACTTTTCCTCTAGTTAAAGCAAGATTCTTCTACTTTAACTTTGCTTTAACTTTTGTAAAAGTTTGCTTTTTCTTTTTGACTGCTTTCGAGAAAGTTCAACAAGAATCCTCAAAGTGAAGATGTCGCTCTACTGTAGGCTGCTTTGTGACTTCTTGTCTCTATTTGACACGTCAACAGCTCCGAGGCTTTAAAAGGAGGACCTCTCCTCAGTTGCACATCATCGAAAAACCATCGCCTCAAAATAAACTTGGTACTTTTGAGTGTTTGAGTGTTTGGGTGTTTTTATATTCCAAGTGCTGCTTCTGCGAAGCTTTTGTTAAGCACTACTGCCCTTATACTTTTATGTAAGTTTGCTAAATATTAATGCTATCGTTTATATCGTTTTTAATTTCGTTATATTCTTATCCCTGGTTTTGGCTTTGTATGTTTGAATTTCTGATGATTATTCTATTTATTCTCTACGTCTCTACACTACCTTCCACGCATAAGCTAAAGATAAAAATTGATTAAAAATTTTAAAAAAATTTGCTCTTAAGAGGCCGGGCCAGTACCTGGTATCAGAGCCAAAAGTCTCTAGAAGAGTTGATAGTTTGAAGGTTTTAACTAGGTTTTGCAAGTCTAATTTTCTGGTTTTCTGTCAAGTTTCCTTTACTCACTAGTCATCGAGCCTATATATATAAATATAACATATAGAAATAAATCTAAATACTCTCAAACTTAAAAACTCAGTAAATCTTTACCTATTTTCAAACTTTTCCAATCTGAAATGCTAAAGGGCATTTCAATGTGTTTATATGAAAGTTCTTATAGTTTAATAAAATTAAGTACAATGCCAATCCATGAATTTCTATTTTCTTTTACAGGTTTGTCCTAATAAACTAAAGCATCACAACTTTGTTTTTAAATGTTGATATATCCAAATGGAATATAGAAATGTACAAGTTATAGAGCATCCCAACCCAAAACTAATTTGCGATAGGTTGAGACCAACATCTTATATATTTTCATGCAAGGCTTACAACTCCTCAAGTGAAGTTCTATATATATGTGCTGACTGAACAATTGAAATATAGAGTCGCAGTACATATTATATAATATATACTTGACTAGGTACATATATATATATATATATATATATATATGACAGGTCTATGACGGCCCAAGGCCAGATTCATCAGAGCAGTCAGAGAGTATCAAATTAAAGGGACATTTTGGAAAAAGCAAAAGGAGAGAGAAAAATTTTAAAAGAAGCAAAAATAGACAAAAATGCCCTTATTTATTTTTAGATTTCCTAAGGAATCCAATACATTTGCATGTCTTTGATTTGAAAGTTGTGCGGTTTTTTTGTCTTTTTTGAAAAAGCTTTGGCTTTTTCCAAAAGTGAAAATTTTTTTATGTCTAAAACCTAAAAAACCTCAAATTAAAACTACTGCGGAAAATAATGCAGAAAATAATGCAATAAATTAATGACTCAATTGAAGCTTTTATAAATCAAACATAAAACTTATAGAAAAATCTTGACTTGAAGATTTTATTGATTGCAGGCTGTAGGTAGAAAGAGATACATAATTATACAAGTGTTTCTTTGAGCATGAAGATGACTCAGAGAAATCTTAGCAAAAACTGAGAACAGAAAAGTGACTGAGGAGAATCATCGGGAAATCACTGTGGCAGCATAAGATTCCATTATTAATGGGATAGGCATGCGTGAAAAGTGACTTGTCTCGAATTATTGACGGACTGTAGAAGCACGAGCAGAAGGCTGATTGAAGGCGACATGGGACTGTAGAAGCAGGAGATGAATAGTACTTTGTCGGATTACTGTTCTGCTTTTGTCTTCATCATGAAGATAACAAATATAAATCTTAATAACAAGTCTTTTTTTTCAGATAACAAATATAAATCTTAGATCACACATGAACATTGTTGTAGGCTGCAGAATGAGAGGTTTTGTGAATATTTTGATGAGGTAGGTTATTACAAGCAAGGACTTGTGGAGTTGTAATTACCAAAAAGAAAGTTGTAGGCTCAGAGACTTGTGCAGACAGAGAAGAGGAAGCTTCCCTTATCACCTAAATGAATGAATCCTTGTGATATTATTTGATTAACTATGTGTACAAATTTATCTAATGCCATGGACAAGCTGAAATTATGATTGTTACTATTTAATCCTTTAAAAAAATCTTAGAAATTGTTGATTTCCAGCAAATTCCAAATTTGCATCTGTGTTACTTGGAGGTACAAGTTAACCTTACCCTTAATTTCAAAAACTTAACCCTTCTATTGTGAGCATAAGAACAATGTTGTCCTTGCAATTTTCAGGAAAACCGCAAGCATTAATCTAGATGAGTTGCTTTTCTTTTGTCTTTCGGCTTTGGCCCAACAACACGCACTCGCACGAATAGATCATGTTAGACAAACAAGCAAATCCTGTTTGTGCCACCAAGTAAACAAACTCATTTGGCATTGGTTAAGTAGAAAGGCAAAACCTACTTATTGTTTTCAAATATAAAGGCAACCACATTACAGGTTGAAATTTACATTTGGCAAAACTAAACTTTCTTTTTGAGTCCAAACCAAAAGAATTCACCCAAACAAACAAAGAAAATGTAAACCACATGCGTAAGACACACACCCGAAAGACTTTTTCTTTTTTTTTTTTTTTTTGTTTGCTGAGACAATTTTCAGAGGAGCCCGAAAAGGGCAAAGTGAAAATTACCCATTACAAGTTGAAACCCCAAGAATACAAAGGCCCCAACCAAAACATAAAATTTATGAAAAAAAATTTGCATTTGTCAAAGCTCAACCATCCTCTTTTCTTAAGCTCAAGCACAGTTGTAACTTGTAAACCCAACTTGTAATTTGTAAAAGCCAAATGCGTGACGACATATTTCAAAAGGTGCACAAGGTTATGTCCCTTTTCAAGCAGTGCACCACCATGAAAGAGGTAAAGCAAACCCATGGCCATATCATCCGTAATGGGGTCGATCAAAACCCCTTTGTTCTTGGAAAGATCATATCTTTTTGCGCGGTTTCGGAGCGTGGAGACATGAACTATGCGGCCTCCGTTTTCAGCAGCATTGAAAACCCAGATGAGTTTCTATGGAATACTATGATTAGGGGGTTTGGGAAAACCAGGAAGCCTGAAAAGGCATTTGAGTTTTATAAGAGAATGCAAGAGAAAGGAGAGGTGGCTGACAATTTCACACTCTCCTTCTTGCTCAAGGCTTGTGGGCAATTGGGTTCATATATGTTGGGCGCACAGATGCATTGTGCCACTCTGAAACTTGGGCTGGAGTCTCATGTGTTTGTGAGGAACACTCTTATTCATATCTATGGTGTGTTGCGGGATGACCAAACTGCAACCAAACTGTTTGAAGAAATACCTAGTCCAGATTTAGTGGCTTGGAACACTATAATTGATAGTCATGTCAATTGTGGAAAGTGCAAGGAAGCACTTGACTTGTTCTTACGACTGCTACAGAGCGGCGTAGACCCTGATGAGGCCACCGTGGTTGTGACCCTCTCGGCATGTTCTACATTGGGGGCATTAGATTTTGGGAGGTGGGTTCATTCTTGTATTGATCAAGTGAATCTTGGCGATATTGTGACGGTGTCTAATTCGCTCATCGACATGTATGCAAAGTGTGGAGCTTTTGAAGAAGCATATGAGACATTCAGTAAGATGGAAGGGAAGAACATAGTGTCATGGAACACGATAATTCTGGGGCTTGCAACGCATGGCCATGAGGACGATGCTTTGGAATTGTTCTCGAAAATGTTGGAGGAAAAGCTTGAAATACCAGATGGTGTTACTTTCTTGGGAGTTTTGTGTGCTTGTAGTCATGGAGGGATGGTTGATGAAGGAAGAAGATATTTTGATGTTATGAGCGAAGAGTATCATATTCAACCAACAATGAAGCACTATGGATGCATGGTTGATATGTTGGGGCGAGCTGGGTATGTGGAGGAGGCCTACAATTTAATCAGGAGCATGCCAATGGAGTGTAATGCCATTGTATGGAGGACATTGTTGGCAGCATGTCAGGTGCACAGTGATGTTGAGCTTGGGGAAAAGGTGAGGAGCCATCTTTTGGAGCTGGAACCAGATCAAGGTCATAGCAGCGACTATGTTCTTCTGGCTAACATGTATGCAAGTGTGGGCCGATGGAACGAAGTTATGAGTGTGAGGAAATCAATGAAGGACAGGGGAGTTCAAAAACCAGAGCCTGGTAATAGCCTGGTTGGAGCATATTCTCATATTCTCATATGATATGAGGTTAGAGCTCAGAGATCATTTCAAATGGATAACTATATTGCTCAGTTCCGGCTCAAGTCTGGAAATTTTATTTATAGATTTCCATCTAAAGTTTGTGTACTTGATAGATATGGATACAGACCAGTACATTCATCTCGTTTTTTGCAGGAGGCTAAACTACACTAGTACAGTCTCATGTGGCTGATCTACACTAAGAGATTTTCTTCTCTTTCTTCTCACGCCACTCTTTGAGGTTGGCGTCTATCTTTTCTTTCACACTTGCATGAAACCCGGGATAAGGTTCATAGCCGAACGCTGTTTGAAGAACCTGCACGATGAAACAGAAACATGACTCACTCATCATCACATAGAGAAGCCATCTCCAATCTAGATGGGATTTAAGGACGTACCTCAAGCAGCACGAAGAAAGGCGCCATTAGAAATGCTTGAACGAGGTTGTCCAAAAGAGCTGGTGCTCGTTTCTAAAACGAAAAATTATCGTGAGATATATATATAAATTCCGCTCATTTTCACTAATGAAAATATTACAGGGAAATGTATACTATGTTAGGAACATGGGAACAGGGCATAAAGTTTCGAAGGCCCAAAATTAGTCACCTCAAACACCCCATGGCCTATGAACTGTCCAGTCCAACAGAACAACTGAGCAGCCAGCACAACCTGAATAAGTATTTCATCAAACAATTAGGATTTTAGTTTTCAACATATAACTCTTAGAATGCATTGTAAATTTCTGCGCATGGATAGACAGATGAACAGTTGTTCAACTGATGAATGGCAAAATGAATCAATAGCTCAACTTATAAATTGCAAAGACCCTGTAATTGGTGTTTCAACCTCAAAAGACCTGCAATACCAATTGGAAAATGCTATTGCCCAAATTTCTAGTTTAAAGTTTCAATCTTTGGGCAGAGTTCATCCAAGTACCGTGTGGTTCCTCAAATTTGAGAGGAAACTTAACCATCCAAGTGCCATTTTGATGCTTAGAATTACAATCAGGAAATACTGAATTTTAAAATTATCCCCAATTTATTATCTTTGTGGTTTCCCCCAAAATGAGATCATCAACAAAAAAGACATAAGCTAAAACAGAGGAGCGCTAACCTTCCATGCCAAAGAAAATCCAAGGCGACCAGCAAGCAAACTGGCTCCAACCCAACAGAGAACACAGAGCAAAGCAGCCAAAGACCCAGCTTTCTTATCCAAGCAGACATAAACAAGGCATAGATCACAGTGAAAACAAACCCAAAATTCAACAGAAAACCATGACTGAGCCCAGCTGGGAAAGTGTACAGAGAAGGTGTGAAGTACAAAAGAACCAGAGAGGTGAACAATATCGGCCACACAAACACAGTGTGTATCAAAATGTTAACTGGGTTGCTGTGGTATGCGCCGTAGAAGGCGAAGTGCCTTTCAAGATCAAACAACCCAGTCCTCCCCATAAAATTTCTTGGAAAGAAGACAGATTTTCCCAGAAAAAGAGATAAGGAAAATCAAACAAAGTGTGTATAAGAGGACAAAGAAGTAGACAGAAGTCGTTGGAAACAAGAGCCTAATAGCACATCGAAAGCTCTGAACTTTCCTTGATTGTGATTATTATGTTGGCTATTGGTTTCTTTTCTTTAAAGTTGAACATTAAAATTTAAAAATAAATAAATAAAAAGGATAAAGATGAAAAAAAATGGCCCATGCAGGTCTCGAACCTGCGACCTTCGCGTTATTAGCACGACGCTCTAACCAGCTGAGCTAATAGGCCAGTTGGTAAACTTTCTCTAAATATTATATTTACTGTATTAGATTTCAAATGTTTCATAGGGCGATAGAAGGGTGGACGCAAATGATTCTCTTATCCACTTTCCCTCCAATCCAATGAAAAACAAAACAAAAACTGCAGCCTAAACTCTCACACTTCAATTTACAACTGCATCTTTTTCAACTCACTGGAGACAATGGCAGAAGCTATCATGGGTTTCACCATTATCAGTCCACATATTCATAGCTCCTCTATGCAAACAACTAAATTGGACATGAATCACACGAGCTCATGTACCAGATTGGTAAAAATCCAACCTTCCCTTGTTAATGACTTTTTTTTTGCTGCTTTTCTTGTTATGTTTAAAATGGTACATGGAAATGCTTAGAGTGCCCTTCTTTTGCAGCTTAGGCAGTCTTCAAGCTCTGAACTTTTCAGTGGGTGCAGGCAGGTAATTAAGCAGTTTGTGAATTTATTTTCCTTTTTATTAGTTTTTAAATTAGCAAAAAACAGAACCATTAATATGTCAAACTATTTACTGCATTAACGTTATGTGTTATATTTTGGTCAATAGCTTGTAGTTGGGAAGAAGAGCAAAAGAGCCTCTTTATGCAAAACAAATGCCTTCCCAGATTGGCCTTTGATGGCAGTTCTAGTTGAACATATAGAAGGCCAAAGAGACCTTATAACCCACAAATCTATTGTGCATCTCAGTGATGAATCCATAAAGAATGTCTGTAAGTACACCTTTCCTAAGGTTTTTCTGATTAGTTTTTCTATGGACTCTGTGATGGATTAGGATGCATGAAAATTGTGACAGATTTTTTGTTTGACCCCTCCCTTTCCTATTTGTAGATACTTTTTACATCATGTTCACTTGTTGGGGATGCTTATTCTTTGGTTCCATGAAGGTATAAGTAGCTATATTTAGTCTCACTTCATTCTTTTCTTTGGACACTTGTAGTTTTTGTGAATTCGTATGATATCGGGCAGCATTGTAAGCTTTTTCGTTAGCGAAATCTCTTTCTACTGGAAATTTTAGATTAATAAATACATGAATGCAAACGAGACAGAACATTGTTTTTAGTTTATTACATTAGTTGTAATATTTTCATTAGCTTAGTTTAGAGAGCATTCTGAAATGTTGGAGAATGTTTCAGGATCCATACTATGATTCAGAAACGTACAGAAAAGATGGAGGTGATGGTACTGGACATTGGATTTATGAGAAGGTACTTAATTAAGTTCATTATTTTCCATGCTCTTCTGGATCCCACTTTATATGTAACTTCAAACAGTATCTCCACATGTATAGAAACCTCCTCCTATATCAATTGTAGTTGGCCCGCACCAGCAACTTAAAAATCTGATTGAGGTATAATTAATGGTTGGTGATGCAGCAAGCAGACATTGAAGAATCTGCAAGAGCAGAGTTGTGGAGGGAGGAGCTGATTGAGGAGATAGAGCAGAAGGTTGGAAGCTTGAGAGAGTTGGAAGAGGCTGGTAAGGAGGAGGAGCTTGTCAAGTGAAATGATTGTTTAATATTCTTTCACTGTTCTTCCACCCCTTCAAACATCAAGACGTTATTATAATGTGTATATATACTATATATTAATTCAAACCTTTGAATGTTTGAATTAATCTTTTGTTTTTTTATATTTGCAGTTAGTTCTGCAACAAACTAACAAAAGAAGAAAAAAAATAGAAACAAGTCGGTAAATTGAATGATTATTGAGGTTATGGAGAACAATGCTCCATGATTGCATTGTTGTGGCTCTTATTTCTTTGTTAGGTACACCAAAAGAGACACGAGGAAAACTGTTCCCAAACTCATGGACTTGTTCTGGAAGATACCTCTGCCTTGGTTTTGTGCCAAACCAGTGCTCCAAAATCCAAACGTATGGGCCATCTTTAAGGACCGGAAAAGTTGCTCCAAAATCTGTGTGCTAATATACAGATCCCATGGACATGTAACCAAGCTTTATCATTATCCATCATCTAGAAGCCCAGGTGCTCTCACTGTCATGCCATTTCATCCAGAGAAAAGGCGCACTTGCATGCATGACGCGCTCCCATAACATTAAATCATAAAATGAATGTGGGTTTTTGGTCCTATACATTTAGATATAAGCTTGCTTGGTGGCATTTCATAAACTATTCTAATTTATGGGAAGAAGAATTCGAATTCGGGTGCAAAAGGACGGACACACTATCTCTTAATCCACAACGACGTTCGGTGGCATTTCTGATTTAATCAAATGCACCACATATTAACATTTATCCATTTAGATTGTGGAAGATGAATTTGAGTCCATTATGTACTTTATTTTCGTTCTCTTTCAATCCAATTTAAAATCAATAGTCTCTTCATCCAACAACTGGCTTATTTCACCAAAACAAAGATTAAAAAAAAAACAACTGACTTACGTTCTAAGAGACTTCCATTGAGTGAAGTGCAGAGTTTTGGAACTACTTGAACTCGGTTTCTATTTTTGTTTTGTTTTGGATTAGGTTCCTTGTACCATGACTCATCACTCATGATTATTAATGGGAAAAATATCTCCTGCATTTGAAATTCTTATGTCCATAGTGTGTTTGCAGTGGACGTTGTTTATTAATTAAAATTTTCTTCTCTCTATAATATTTTAATAACCATGTGGTTGTTAGATGCTGCGATTTGTCATTTGTTAAAGCCTAATCAGGGCACTTAGCACAGAGCATCTCATGGTCATTTGTTTATCAAGCTCCCTTATAATAGTAAAATTCATCCCCCTTGCATGGTTTGGGTCTTGTAATGGACTGGAATTAGGACTTTTACCTGTTGTTTAACTATATATAAATCCTGTATTAAGAAAACTATACATAAATCCTATTTCTCTCAAAACTATTTATAAAAACGAAAATGGAATTTTATATTAAAAAAAAGACTTTTATTTACCAAAGTAGCATTTGGAAAAAAGAAAAAGTCAAATAAACAGAGCGATTTTACTCCTTCCGGGCAGTGTAAAAAGAGATAAGGGATTTGTCATCTTATCCAAAATTCGAAGAGGCAGACACAGTCAGCTACGCGTTTTATCCGCTTTTCATAATTTCATGGGGAATATTCCATTGAAAATACACAACAGAAACATTTACCGGTAATAATATAGCAAATTGTTTAAAACATGGCCAGCTCAAATTCCAAAACTCAACCCAAAATTACAAAAAAAGGAGAAAAAAAACCCTAAAATATAACACAAATCATCTTTAATTCTGGTAAGAGGATATACACGTCAACATTCAAGACAGAGCTAAAATTCAGTGTCATTTATCCAAATTATAAAGGGGAAAATAAAATGTGGATAAGAGTAAAATCCTAATCAGAAAGACCCCACCTGCCCTTTTTTCCTTTTCTAAATACCCACTTCTTTCTTCTTCTTCTTCCTCCTCTCCTCTCCTCTCCCTCTCCAAACTTTTCAAAGAACAAAGCACTTCTCTCTCTCTCTCTCTCTCTCTCTCTCAAGCCACAATTAGATAGGTTACTTGTCACAAAGATCACACCTTTTTGTTCAAAGCTTGCACTTTTTGTTGAAAAGCATAAATCTTGCTCAAGGTTTTATTGCAAGGGATCTCTTTTCAGCCATATTCCAACCATTTTGATTCAGAAAGTTGGAAAGGTTGACTTGTTTCCTGCTCTCGGAAAAGTTGTCTGATTTAACCTAGCTATGGCATTCTCATCACAGAGTGGTTTCTATATTTCTGGGTTGGATGAGATTACACTTGGCTCCAAATCCAAAGGGGATTATAGGTTTTGTCCCCCCTTCAATTCTTCACAATGTAAGGATTCAAATTCAAGAGCTTTTCCTGTGTTGAGTTGTGATTTCTTGGGCAAACCCATTATTGTCTCAGATCAAAAGGGTTTTGAGCATTGGAAGGTCAAAACGCCAAGCGATTTCTCTGTTCATGTATGTAAAGTTTTCTTTTTTACCTTTCTCTATTTTGGCTTTTGGCTTTTGGCATTTGTAGATTTTTGTGTTTCCATACTGCATTATTCTTTTGGCCTTCAACAAATAATTGTTAATATCTGGTTTCAGGCTCAAGCATCTATCTGTGTAAGCCGAGCTATGAAATGGTGGGAGAAGACCCTTCATCCCAACATGGTGGAGATCCATTCTGCTCAAGAACTTGTTGATTCCTTGAAGAACGCTGGGGATAGATTGGTTGTAGTTGACTTCTACTCACCTGGATGTGGAGGTTGCAGAGCTCTCCATCCCAAGGTATATTTTATTTTCAGTTTATGTTCTAGAGACCAATTTACCAATTCATATATTTCTGTTTAGAGAAAACCCACCTCGAAATTATAGCAATCTAATTTATTTTGTGAAATTTGTTAACCAACAATTATCCATTTTCACAGATCTGTCAGCTGGCTGAATTGAACCCAGATGCAATTTTTCTTAAAGTTAACTATGAGGAGCTCAAGACTATGTGTCATGCCCTCAACATTCATGTGCTACCGTTCTTTAGGTTCTACAAAGGTGCAGAAGGTCGTGTATGTAGCTTCAGCTGCACCAATGCCACTGTAAGTATTTCCCTAAATCAATCTTCTTTCTTAAGTTTCAATATCAACGCATTTAGCAGATGTGTTTGTGGATCAAAATACTAAGTTAAAATTCTTATTTGACAGATTAAGAAATTCAAAGATGCAATGGCAAAACATGGGACTGGCCGTTGTAATCTTGGGGGCCCAGCAAAAGGTTTAGATGAATCTGAGATGTTAAAGTTAGCTTCAATAGGTGAATTATCAACAACATCATCATCACCTTCCATCAAGGAAGAAAGAGTGGAGGATCTAGTCACAGAAATTATAGATATGGCTGGTGTTTGGAGCAATGCAAACCATAATATAGAGCTTCAAGAAGAAAGTTCCATGGTGAAAGTTTAAGGCAGCTCTCCATCTCTAGGACAGTTCCTACTTGGTGGTGGTGTTGTACATATCTTTTAATTTCTTGGGTTTTCCATAAGCAGGGGCTCTGGCTTTTTTTACATTGAGCCCTGCAAGTTTGGTTAATCTTATTATTAGATTGGATATTGTGATCTGATTAATGATTTTTAATCAGATCAAGCTTGTTATTTCTTCCAATTTGCTTATGGTAGAATATGGAGTTATGGATTTGGTACCAAGAACAATTTTGCATTTGTCCAAAGCCCTTCCATTCACCTACAAATACATGGGCAATGCCTTGTTTTTCCAAGATGTGTATTGGCAATAACCCATCAATCTTGAGTGGGTCCTGGGAATGATCTGTCTCCAAGTTCCAAACTTTAAGATTTAGTCAATAATTTACAGCTAAGTATTCAAAAATTAAATTAAATTATAATCATATGGGTCATCAAATTAGGCAGTTGGTCATTTGTGGCCACCCTTGAATGTTGACAATAGCTAAACTTCATTGCTTTTGAAAACTCAACTCAAAGGTTGGATTATGATAGGACTTGGCTTTTCTAGGGGAGATTCTGGTCTTGGCTTTTCAGAGTTTGTATTGTTTTCAACATCTTGTTCCACAATTTCCAATATAGTAATATATTTCCCAAAAGTTGAACAAACGTTTCACATGAAAAAATCATTTTTCCCTTTTTGAATTGTTTATTTGCAGTGTAAACTAAGTCATATACTTTGAGCCATAAAAAAATGGCATTCAGACAAAACTAAATAGGGAACCAAATAATGCTTTTTGCTTGTCAGGGTCACATACCGGTGGCACTGACGTGGATTACCAAGAATCCAACTCTGCGTGGGTCCCAGGGAAGTGGGTTGGGCGCCATCCCTATATGGCTATGCTGGCTACATACTAGGAAATATCTTGCAGAAACCAGGCTATCTATTCCAACACGGTTTCCAGTTTCCACTTCCATGTTACTGGATAAAGGGATGGTTTTAATTTCTAAGGTGGATAAAATTATCGGATAAGGTGTGGCATGTGTCAATTTAATTGTTGTATTTTAAATCTAGTACGCATCTAAAATTATTAATCCAGCCCATATCATCTAATTCTCATTTTAGAATTCAAATTTTTTTTAATTTTTCCGAACGGAGTAGATTCATTGATACGAAGACAGATACAAGATTACACAGGAAGAGTACTGCCCCTAAAAGAGGGTTCTTGCAAACAAGAAAGTAGAAATAAAAACAATCAGTGCAACTTTATATGTAATTTTAGAATTCAATTAGTAGGTACATTTGCAACCATCAACTTAAATCGAATCATTTACCTAATCATAAATTCTTGGTACTCTTTCTGGGGTTAGGAAACAATAACCCACTAGGCCTGTGTTCTTAAGGGCCTACAAACAGCCCTAGCCTTGGGCTCCAGGTAATCCAGTTCATGAAGAATGGGCTGCAAGAACGCCCACAAAGAACCTATTTACATTCTTCTTTTTTTGGTCGAAACCTATTCACATTCTTAAACACATGAGATTTATATTATTGCTTATAGATTAATGAAGTCAAGTCATTTCACATTCCTCTCAATCTTAATCATTTTCACTAAGCTTAGAAATTAGGGAATTTAAGTCATTTCAAACAGTCACTGAAATCAGCGGATTGTGAAAACTTTATATGATGCTTAGATTTGATACTTGAACACAAAAATTCGGTTGTTGTTTATACGACACTTGAAAAACAAAACCAAGAACCAAACAACAGAAATTAAATAGTGTGAAAGCCTTCATATACTATCCAGCGTGAACGATTATTTCATGAGGCGCTTTTGGAGCCCAATACTATGTTAAGCTTCCACAAAAACACCCTTCAAATCTCCGTTCTTTTGTTGCAATCATTAGGCTCTGTTTTTCTCAAAACCAATTCTTACACTAAAAAGATCATGACATTTGAACTTCCGAACCACAAATGTTTCAAACAAGCAAAAAGAAATCAGATTTCCAAACGGAAAACAGAGAGTTTGCCTCAGAGGTAGTGACAATAGCATATATCATCATAATTATCTCTGATAATACGTGCATTTTAACTGCATCATTGGCAAAAGTTTAAATTTAAAAGAAAATTCATTCAATTCAAGTAATGTTGTGCATCAGAGAGATTCCCATTGACAAATCACCATCCTCCCAAAGGAGTTCTGATGTCCCTGTCTGTTTATCGTCACTTGCACAAATAACTTAGACATACACAACATCAGATCAAATGGCATAATGATTAAACACAATCAAAACAAATTACCACCAACATTCCTACCAGCACAACTCAAATTTATGAAACCAACATAAGGAAACAATTACACAAGAACACAAATCCAGTGCAGTGCAAAAATGTTGAAAATGCATCAGAGAGATTCCCATTAGACTAAGTCATCACCCTCCGAAGAGTGCAGATGTCCCTGTCTGTTTTATCGTCACTTGCAATCCCAAACACAAACAATTCTCATTCTTATTATCAAAACCTTCGCTTGCATAAACAAGTTTGCATAGTAAAAATCCAAACTTTCCGGCATAACAACTAAAGATCAGAAATTTCAGCAAAACCAGGCAATAAATTTGCTTGACCAGGGTTTTGGGCTAAACCCAACTCCAAAGTTTTCTTCAGCCAAATAACAAAATCAACAATTCAGAAAAAATTCAGGGAACAAGAACAGAAACAGTGCAGTAATCATAAAGCCTCATGCCTCAGAGTAAATTTGTTTCATAGAAATTAATCTCAAAGTATATTTAACACCATCACAGGCATGGGTAGGCATACTTCTTAATACTAGCGTTAAACAATGAAAACAAACAGAGAGCAAAACAACACAAGATGAGAATGCTTCGCAATACTGAGAATTGGCTATGAATCTCAAACTCAAAATGGCAGGTGAGAAACGGCATACAAGGAGGGTGCAGAAGAGGAGAGGGTTCTAGACTTCTGAGTTAGGGTTTTGATCGATAGTGATCATATATATATAGTTTGGGTACAGCAAATTAGGGCACAACATAAAGGCCGCACTTTGATAAGGACCGTCGATCTGTAATGTAAAGGCACGGCAGAAATTGGTAATGGGTCAAATGGGCCAGAGGCCCAAAATCTAGGTGCAATAGAGGAAACCGAGTAAAATGGGCCAAGGCCTGGTAGCTCCTAACAATCCAAAGGGCCTTCAGAACGAATTATCAGAGATCCAGACTTGGGCCTTTGAAATAAGTTTCATTAATTTATTTTATGAATTGATAAGTACTGTTAAGGATGCACAATTTTTGTACCACTGAATATGAGTTGTACCTAGCTTTTTTTCTTTTGCCATCGTTAAGACGGGTAGAACGAGGACTTGAACCCATGACTACTTAGAATTGGAAGCACACTAGAAACCTAGGTCAATTCAACTAACACCTTATTGATAGTTGTATTATACCCAACTAAAATTGAGGAATGTATTCTCAACATGTCCTGTTAAAACCGTTTAGTTAATACATATGAATGAGTAAACGCTCTCAAATTTAATCGATTACAGATATGATCTCTAAAGTATGAATGATTTCGATTATAACATATGTATGATGAAAATTCGTAAATCACTCCTTTATGAACAAGGAGGTAGACCCTTATCCCTTCCCATATTTTCATGCTTTACATATCTGGCTAATGACATTGGTATCTATCTCCCCATAAAGCTGCTTTAGCAAGATAAGAGAGGCGCCGCCGAGAAGACTGAAGAGTTGTCTAGAAATTAAACTTCGATTATCTTCATCTCTAATGTCGTTAATAGCGGTTTGACAGACAAACTTAATCAACTTTCCAACTGCATGCCAACTATATTATTCAGACATCTTTGCGTATTATTCCATGAATTCGGGCGGCTTGTTTTCACTTTGGTATATGTTTGTTAACTTTACCGTGCTCAAACAAACAAGTTATTAGAAACTAAATATAGTAAGTAATCAATGATCATCAAAGTACATTGAATGTGGATTGCTCACGTCTTTTCCCTTACTTTTCCTTAATTAACACCGAAAGTTTTTAACAAAGAACAATCTATATATACCTTTTCTTTTTTCTAATAGTTTGCCTCCCTAAGTAAATAGAGTCAATGGAGGATTGACCATCTGTACGATTTATCAGCAACTACTATTATTATAAATTAAATTTTATAAAATTAGAAGGTTATGTAAACTTTTCCGCTTCGCCACATACAAGGGCAGAATTATGAATTTTTCAACGTGTGCCTATTCAAGTTGTGCCATGCGCTTATTGAGAGAATACAACTGCCAAAAGGTTGCAGAGAATTAAACAGACTTGAGAAAAATAATTTTTTTTTAATGTGTTGTAGTTTATGGTGGCTATATAGTTTTTTTTTGTTCTTCAAAAATCTTTCCTTAAACAACCATTAGACTTCATATTTCCTTAATGTTTTGTAGTTGCTAGTTTGCCATATATATAGGTTTGCTTTTTCTTCAAAACTCAACCTAGGCTACAGCCCACCATAGCCTTGTGGGTGGTTCCGCCAATGGCTAGATATAAATTCAAATAAGCTACATATATACAAAGAGCGTTTGTTGAGAGATCTCTCAAATAAGTTTATTTGAGGGACACTATTTTAAGGTCTACTCCGGATTGTATTTCATTAATGCAAACCGTCTATTTTATAGATATTCATTCAAAAATCACCTTTATAAAAAAAATAACTTAAATCCGATTTCATATTATGTATATATATTCTCTCCTTCTGTTTGCCGTTTATATTGACTTATTGCTAGCTATCACACATGCTCGGACCTTTTTTTTCTTCCAGCTCTGTAATGATACGGATCGCATGATTTCATATTTTGTCCAAAAACTTAGTAGCCGAATAATTTACACAAATTAATATAAATGTAAGTCTTTGAAAGCGGTTTGTTTATGCTTTTTATTACACATGCATGCATGGGTCAACATTAGGCAATTTACATGATATAGATGTAAAGTAGTGTTATGATTTTCATGATCAGGTTTTGGGTTCGATCAGTAGGGTTTTCAGGTGAAGAAAGAATCCGTGACAGATAAGGAAAGATCAGAATAGAGAGAAAAGACAATCTGATTGGTAAAGCTACAGCTCGAAATGACGATCGAGTATCCCATGAAAGAAGCCAAATGAGTGCAGAACGTACGTGTTCCATTCCATGATAAAAACCCTTCAAGTTGCTTTCCATGGAGAGCCGACGTAAGCTAAGCTAGCTATATGTGGCACCACCATTCCACTCCAATCTCTTTTTAGTCAACTCTCTTTATTATCTTTATTTGCATTTTTTTTTTCTGTTCTTGTTTGTTTTTTCCTTTTTTCTTTCTAGAAATTGAATTCTCCATTTCTTTCCAACAACCTCATTCTACAACTTATGAGACAGTATGACTTTGTGCATTGGAAAATTTCTATGTTGAATACATGCAACTTTGGAATATGAGTCGTTGAATCAATTAATATATGTTACTTAATATTAATTCTGCAGGTCTGATTTTACGGTATATATTATATATACCCTTTCATTCTGGGATTCTTCAAATAAAATTTGAGGGACACCCTTTAAGGTACCATATGAATTTTTTTTAAACAATCTAAACTGTCAATTTTTTAGGTCTTCATTTATAGATAATTATTGCAAGAAATTAAACAAATCGGAAACCATTTAGACATCTAATTGTGTTCAACAAAATCAATAAACACGATACTTCAAGAAAGTATTAAAATGTCAATAATTTAATTGAGTGGTTAAATGATATCGAATTCAAGTGATTTTTTTATAGAGATGATCTTTGAATGAATATTTACAAAATAAACGGTTTGGATTAGTGAAATACAATGCGGAGTATGCCTTACAAAGATATCCCTTAAAGAAGCTTATTTGAGGAATCTCTCAATACAAGTTATATATATATATATATATATTCTTGTTGATGTTGGTAATATAATGGATTCAGAAGATAAGATAGGGTACATACCATACGTTTACCACACCCATGAATCATGTTCTGGGAGATCGTGCATGGCAACCCTCCATGACTTCAAAGAAAAACACAAAAATTATATATATATTATATTAGTTAACCATAACTAATTATTACGTACATGTTACATTACAATATTTAATTATTTAATTTAGCAGCTTGAAGAAGAATAATAATGGAGAACAGGTATATATACTATATAGCTAGCAAAAGTAGGCGGATGCACTGCAGATATACTTATGATTGCTATTTTCAATTAACTATGAATATTTCACATGCATGCAACTCTGGGAGATTGGTTTAATAAATTTGCAGCTTTTGCAGAAACCAGTTGCAATAAATTTAATGAAATTATTTTATAATAAATGAGACATTGAGTTGTTGTGGAGTTTTCTCACCTGGCCCTACTCCTCCTCCCCCTTCCTCCTCCTCCTCCTCTCTCCTGTTGTAACAGACTGAGCCTGCTTATCATCATCAACATTTCATCACCCACGTTACCAAAAACAAGAAGTAAAGAAAAGGAAACGTTTTCCCATCAGCCATGTGCTCTCCAAGTGTCTGCAGCACTAGTGTCAAACCGATAACATTGAATGCATGAGTGAGAACGCTGTGTTTTGTGTTTAGAAGATGATGCGCCTTGCACAATAACCGGGTCAAAGTTTCTAATGTATTTGAAGACAAGGACCTGTAAAATATTGGTCAACACTCAACAGCCCTACCATGTTTGATTTGGCAATTTGTCGGTTTAAAGATATCATGTAATTTTCCAGATTGAATCTACCCAAAAATTCCATGCTAAATACCAACATTTCAATGCCACTGCTGAAGCCTTAGGCATTCCTAGGTAGGCTAGCTACTGATCGTGGTCAGTGTGTATGAGTAAATCCTCCTCCCCCTTCCGACCTTTGACAAAAAACAAAAACAAAAAGTAAAAAGAAGAGACTTTAGTGTACTTTATTGGTAGTTTCCACATGCATTCATTTGGACATATATTGAAAGATAATTTAGAAATTCTGGAAAACTTTATAGGTCGTAGATTTTCCAAAGTAACTATAGCCGCATTACCCTTTTTGACTGGACATTCACGGGACCAATCTGAATATGCATGTGCATTTTTTAATCTTGCAGAAGAGGCTGAAGCTGCTAAAAAAAACAGAGTAAAAGGCAGACTCTGGCAAAATGATTCTGAGCTGCAATTGTAGTAAATAACAGACACAATGAAGTGGTTCTAGTGGGCATGGAAGATGTACGTAGCTAACCAATTTTGAATGCAAATTGCAAAACCAGTTTGGGGGCTTGAACCTTAATAATACTTCAACTTCAATCGTTGAATCTGTATGAATTTTACGGAAGAAGTTACCAAACACACAGAGAATAGTTCCAAAACCACGTGGTTTCAAAGAAGTGTGCTTTGGTTCCTCAGACACATACACTAAACCTCTTACACATGGCGGTTTAAGGTCCCCACACCTCAAAAGTTTAGTGTCAGTTAGTTGCTGTGACGTCTGCCTAAGCAAACAAAGCTATGTTTCTCCTCCCCTCCTCCCACCATCTATTTATCCCCCCCCACTCTCCTCCACTTCTCCTCACAACTCCCAGCCCTCCTCTGCTCCTCTTTCCCTTCTTTCTCTTTCTTCATTTGCTCTCTTTCTCACACTTCCAAAAGGTCTGCCTCTGCTTCAAAACATGGCAGTTCTTGGGCTTGTCTTGGTTGGTTTTCTTCTTCTTTCTCTGAGCTCCTCCACTTATGGCTCTGATGGGGGCTGGGTTAATGCGCATGCCACTTTCTATGGAGGAGGTGATGCCTCTGGCACAATGGGTAAGCATAAAAGCTCCTGAAAACCAATTGGTTTAAGTAATTTTTCTGAGTACCGACCCATGAATTAATTTTTGATGACCAAATTGCAGGTGGGGCTTGTGGATATGGCAACCTGTATAGCCAAGGGTATGGAACCAACACAGCAGCTCTGAGCACAGCCCTGTTCAACAATGGGCTAAGCTGCGGGGCTTGCTTTGAGATTAGGTGTGCGAGTGATCCAAAATGGTGTCTTCCAGGCTCAATTTTCGTCACAGCCACCAACTTCTGCCCTCCAAACAATGCCCTCCCCAACAATGCAGGCGGTTGGTGCAACCCTCCACAGCAACATTTTGATCTTGCCCAGCCAGTCTTCCAGCGGATTGCTCAATACAGAGCTGGGATTGTGCCTGTGTCTTACCGAAGGTATGAATTTCAGGTCTCATGCCTCATTTGTTTTTGTTTTTTTTGTCATAATTTATGTTTATGTTTATGTTTATGTTTCCTTTCACACTCCACCCTAGTAACAGGTTTTTTTTTGTAATTCAGTAAAGCAAATTTATAATTTATAGTGGTCTTAGTTTCGCCACATTTAAATGGCAAGTCTTGAAATGGGGCAATGAAACGGGGATAGGCGATATAATATAAGGCAAGGGTCTTGTAGCTAAAATGATTAAGGGGCATTTCGATCTCCCCATCCCCCCAATATATATCAGCTTTCAATTATCTTTTAAATCATCAGCTTTTAATTTATCTTTTATATCATCAGCTTTTCTAGTTTTTTAAATTTCCAAAACTACCCCTCAATTGCCAAGACTGATTACTTTTATTTTTTCAATGTCTGTTTTTTCGTAGGGTCCCATGCATAAAGAAGGGAGGCATAAGATTCACAATCAACGGCCACTCATACTTCAATCTGATACTGATCACAAACGTTGGAGGTGCCGGAGATGTTCATGCAGTTTCCATCAAAGGGTCAAAAACTGGTTGGCAAACCATGTCTAGGAACTGGGGGCAGAATTGGCAGAGCAACTCTTATCTGAATGGCCAGAGCCTCTCCTTCAAGGTCACCACCAGCGACGGCCGCACCGTCGTCGCCAAAAACGTTGCTCCTGCTGGCTGGTCATTTGGCCAGACATTCAGCGGCGTACAATTCTGAAACAACACAAAACTTAACAAGCTAAAACCGACATGTTTGGTGGTGTCACACTGTCTAGAGTTAGTTTTAGAGTCGAAATGGGAAAAAAGGGCTTATTATTTTAAGATGGCCATTTTATCATTTAAAAACTAAAGGGTTATGGGGTCATTGTGCTTTGTTCTGCTTTCTTTTTGGGAAAGGCCGGCGGAGAAAGAGAGAGAGATTTGGCAGCGGTGGGCATAAACCACCCGCCACTTTTTTGTTAGGTTAAGTTTGTTTTTGTTTAATTTCATTGTAACGCAGTTTTATTTTGAATTACTTGTATGGTTTGGTGAATAAAATCTTCCTCTCTCTTCATGAGGGTGAAAATAGTTGCCCAAAATTTTCGTTCATCCATCTATGTATGAGTGTAGATGTTTTCTTTTAATTAATCACCATTCTCATTTAATCTGAAGTTGAAATTCCTGCTTCATAATTAAGACTAATATAATTTTCTGGTTTGCTACACCCACCCTTTGTGGTTGGGGGACCTTACTAACCCGAGGGTAGGGGTGTGCTTGTGCGACTTCACTCAAGGTGAGCAGCCCAAGAGTCAGGACCACTATGCCTTATTTGAGAATATTTCAATCAAACAACTAATCACTTTAATGTCATGCTTAGTTACAGGCTCACGCTAATAGGCAGACTAAGAGCATCCACAATGATGCTCACTATTTCTTAGCTAAAAATATAAGAAAGCTATTTTATGAGTTTTCTAAAAAATTTCAACTCCAACCATACTCCATAATTTGGAGAGTTATAAATGCTATAACCCTTTTTTGATTGGTCCATTTGTATTATAAAATAAAATAAAAAATAGTTAGCATTAAATAAAGGTTTGAAATACTCATTAAATAAAGTAGTAGTAAATTATAGAGAGCCATCTCTCTCCTCATATTTAGGAGCTCCTAGAGAACTCTATATTTTAGGAAGTGGTTTAGGAAGCCCGTTGTGGATGCTCTAATGTAATATGGGTGTAACCGTGTTAGTCTCAAACTAAACTTGTCATAATTGATAATCTTGGGCCAAGAATCTGTAACCCCTCTCTTTAATATCCATGAAGAATTGGGCTAAAGCCCAAAATCTGAGTAGATGTGGATTTTGACGTGGGCAAATGGGTTTGGGAGGTTAAAACAAGCCCAGAATCTATTTCTCTTAGGATGAAATTTCTGTCACTGCCGGCCCACCCTGTTGCCTAACAATAATATTGTACATTTCCAAAATAATTAGATCAAATCAAAGGGGTAAGTAAATATGCAATTTTCAGTTGCCCCAACTTGGTAAATGATGTTTACAATACTTGTTGCCTTAACCAGACAGGGATCCTATATTTGAGTCTTTTTGAGTTGGGAGGCTCATCAAGGTTTTGGGGTACCATGAAATTGGCCTCCAAAGTGAGAAAAAATGGTCTTTGATTGAATGCCAAGTATATCTTACAAAACCTTTTGCTCAGCCTGAGCACTTTCTTTGTGAATTTAACACACTCACCTCAATTGCTAAGCCTCAGAGGTAGTTTGAGCCAGCCACTTGTCATGCAACTATAGGTTTCCATAGATTCCACGTGGAAGGAGATTCTAATCATCATATCCATATCCTGTTAAAAGAAAAAATCTTCCTACGTGGCCAAAAAGTGGACCCTACAACATCATTTTAAGCCAACAACAACAAAGATATAGATTTGTGGATACAACGCTAGAGATAAAACGATAAGGCTCAAGAGTTCCCATTGGCTAATCTATAGCCTCAAATTCATCCTCACCGTTGGACCCCAAAAATCTTTGCAAACCAACGATCGAGTTCCACCAAAGAACAACCACCACAAGACTCTCATTAACAATTTGACATCAAATATACAAGAGCCATGGACTCACATCACACATTTACATTTCCATTTAGCACCATACCATCATCTAATAGTCTCCTCCTCCACCTGAAATTCCATTTTCTTGACCAAAATTCAGGTGGGAAAATATGGCAACAGTCACAACACAGGCCTCAGCGGCTGTTTTCAGGCCATGCATCAACTCAAAATCCAGGTTCCTTACTGGGTCTTCTTCTACTAAATTAAATAGGGAAGTGTCTCTCATTAGGCCCATGGCTTCTCCATCTGCTACTTCTTTTAAAGTTGAAGCCAAGAAGGGTGAGTGGTTGCCAGGCTTGGCCTCACCAGGCTACCTCACTGGCAGGTATGTTTAGAATTTCTCATTCACACTCATATAACATTGAATGTTTCATTTTGCTCTGCCTTGTGATACAAGTAGACTGAAAATTTGAGAAATATCATAGATTGGCTGAGACGTGTTTTCTTTTCTGTGGCCAGTCTTCCTGGTGACAATGGATTTGATCCTCTGGGACTTGCTGAGGACCCAGAGAACCTCAGATGGTATGTCCAAGCTGAGCTCGTGAATGGCAGATGGGCAATGTTGGGTGTTGTTGGGATGCTGTTGCCTGAAGTGTTCACAAGCATTGGGATCCTTAATGTTCCTAAATGGTATGATGCTGGCAAGGCTGAGTACTTTGCATCTTCATCTACCCTTTTCGTGATCGAGTTCATCTTGTTTCACTACGTCGAGATCAGACGGTGGCAAGACATCAAGAACCCAGGAAGTGTGAACCAAGACCCCATCTTCAAGCAATACAGCTTGCCTCCAAATGAGGTGGGTTACCCAGGTGGCATCTTCAACCCCCTCAACTTTGCACCCACTCTTGAGGCCAAGGAGAAGGAAATTGCCAATGGTATGTGTTCAAAAATTCACTTCAATTTTGCTTGAAAAGGCTTTGAAATGCGTATGTTTGAAATGAGCTCTAATGTGTTGTTTGAAATGTGTGTGCAGGGAGACTGGCAATGTTGGCATTCCTGGGTTTTGTGGTTCAACACAACGTGACAGGAAAAGGACCATTTGACAACCTCTTGCAGCACCTCTCAGACCCATGGCACAACACCATTGTCCAAACACTAAGAGGCTACTAGATCTGTTAAAAGAGAAGTGGAAAAGCATGTTTCATTTATTTTGTAACAATGATTTAATGGTATTTGAGTGAGATGGTGAGCATCAATGTAGTAGACAAAGGTTTTACCAGTGTACAGGAACCATGGTGGCATTAATATTATCTTTCTCATTACATCTACACTAATTAATTAATTGCTGATATGAAATCTAATGTTGCAGTGGGCTGATATAAATCACAAAGTAGCTCAAGATATAATTTTGATTTCATTTTCTATCAGTAATAATTTACAATGTGGAATGCTCTGAATTCAGGAACCCAACCCAACCATGTTACAACTTTGTTGAGTTGAGAGAACCAAAACAGTTAATATACAGATGAACAATGATCCTATATGTCTTGTACAGTATATATACAGGTTTAATCTAAGCCCCAGTTGGCTAAGGGACATCAATACCTCTCTTGGACAACTCTGACCGTTTCACATTGTCTGGTCGGTGTGTGATGCCTGTAAATCCTTTCATGATTTTTTCAGCTACAATCCCACGTTTGGTTGCTACAAGAGAACAAAAGCAAACATAGAGCCACAAGGCATCAATGGAATGATGAAATACAAAGACCGTTATTCACTTCATTATATTTGACACCTGCTTCTAAGCTTCGGAAAACAGAGATTAAAATCAATCAAAGAATGGTCACCTGCTGGTAAGTATTCTCCTTGTACACAGCAATGCCGCTTGGCCCAGTTGAAGAAAGCCAAGCATGATGCTCATTGTCATACATTGATCTAGGCAGTTCAAAGTCGCTACTTACTTGATAACCCACTGGATTTGTAGGTAAGTTCATTTCCATCTCAGGCTTCAATGTCTTATCATCCACATTGGAACTACAATATGATGGATAAACATATTGCTGGCCAGGTTCTGTACTTAAACAAGCATTTATGTCAAACTCATTCAAGCCACCACCTCCTTCCATATTAGGAATTTGTCCCATATTATCTAGTTGTACTGGATCACCAACCTCAGATTGTTTGCCAGTGCTAGTACTAGCGCCAGTGCCAAAGTAACTAGTATATTGTGAAACTGAGGCATTTGTAGAGCACTCCACATCTACATCTCTATAGAGAGAGCCAATAAGAAAACAAATTTTGTTCAGCTATAACAATGCTTTCAACAAATCAAATCATCTATATTGTATAAAGTAGAGGATCATAGCATAAGTAATCTATCAGAAAGAAAGTTCTCAGGCATTGGGCTCTTTGGGGGAAGCAATGGTAGATGCATAACAGCAGTAGACTAACCTATGTGGCAGATAGTTTGACTCATTGGGTAATATCATGTGTTGATTGTCATTATTGAGAAGCCAAGTTAAAGGTTGAGCTTCTGGCATACCACCCACTAATAAAGATGAAGGCATTCCATTTTGAAACTGTGATGCAAGAAAAGTCAATCTTCAGATTTTGTCCATGAGAGAGAGAGAGAGAGAGAGCATTCTTCATCAGCTAAAGCATTTATTACCTGGCTTGTGCAATTTAGTGACGTTAGTTGATGTTTTCCCAAATTTTCCTAACAAGAGAAGTATCCAGTATATTAGTATCAATTCAATAGTCAATCACTAATAAGGATCTATTAAGGCAGATAAACAAAATAGCAGCGTCCATCCTCTGGCTTAACATTTTTAGGGTGGCTTGGGTGAGTCCGTGCACCTTAAACTAAACTCACCATGACACCAAAACCAACCAAACCCATATATTTGATGATATTATCACTGTTCATATTTCATCATTAATTTTCAGTTATTTGGTAAACGAAACCATAAACTCTAGTTATTTTTTCTTCCGCAGTAACATGAAAAACAAAATGATACCTTGTGTAGACGTGTTCGGTTGATTGATTCCTTAAGCATGTCTTCCATCTGGCTTAGATGTTCAAGATTGTCAACCTTATCTGGGTTACACCAAAAGCTGAAAAAGTGACAAGAGCTTAAACTATCATATGAATGCTTTATATGCATACCTTACTGATCAATACATAGTTTCATATATAGATTGTGATTTTTCACTTGTAAATTTAAGTTGTTCTAGTGGCAACCTGAATAAGGAAACCAGGTCCAAACAAAAATGATATTACCAAGAACACACAAGACAATTCACACATAGATTTTTTTATACTTCATCTTGGTTGGTACTAAAAAACAGCCAGAATGAAAGTGTTAAATTTCTGATAGAAGCCGAGGCACAAAAAATTTCAAAACAAATGACACAACATATAACATGAAAGTCACAAATATGACCCAAATTGATTCCAAAATTCGTCAGTAAATCCCTAAACTCGCAAACAACTTGATATCAACTTAATACCTTGAAATGGCCTTGTATAGAATAGACATTTTATGAAATACACAATGGTATAATGCTAGTAAGATGACCACCAAGTCCAAAAAGAAAAAAGCAATACTTTAACAACCAAAAACTCCAAAGGTGCACCTCAGTCTCTTATGTATTTCTGTAAGTTGGGCTTGCAATACCCTTACTTGAGTAGTCAGATCCTGCCGATAGCATTTTATCACAAAACATTAGTTGTCATGAATAATAATTGAAAAAAAAAATTACAATTGGTAATGCCAGTAAAGGATACATACCTGAACTGTCTGAGTGCTGCAAGAAACAGAAGGGATAAAAAAAACATTATAAAAGGGCCGCATCAAATATTCCCACAGATTTTACTAAAAGGAAATGACAAATCTGATGAACACAATCACATACCTTGAACTCATGAATTCTTGTACATTTACATCATGGTCTAACTTCTTAAAAGTTTTCTTCAGTGCCTATATCCTCAAAAAGAACACCAAAATGCAAGAGTGACAGCGGTTACATTTTGTTCAATACAACAAAAGCAAGAGAGAGAAAAAAAATGTTCCCATTTGAAATGCTATTATCGACAGTCTTACTTCAAGGCTCTCCAATTTCCTGTTCCAATCAAATGGAAAAGCAGTTAGCTGTAATGCCCTCCAAATTCAATCAAGCTAGAAAATGAGAATGAAAAAATTTAATTGCAAGTACTTTACTACCTCTTTGCCCTCTCCTGTGGAGTTAATTGGGCAAACTTTGAAATAATCTCTTCGACATTACTGACAAAGTCAAAAAAACAAAGAAACTATATCAACATATGATATGGAGAAACTCTCAACCCCGCATTTCAGCCTGATTCTAGTTTTGTTATGTTGGGTTGTCCTCAAAGTCATGACAAAATGCCAATGTATCACTAAAACATCATCATCAAAACAAAGTATGACGGCAAACTTTCGGGTTACAATACCTGCGCTCCCCTTGGAGTAATGTAGGCCTTCCAGTCGGGGAAAACATGAGAAGGACAATATCTACATCACAAAGTATTGATAACTCCTTTGCTTTCTTCAAGATTCCATTTCTCCTTTTCGAAAACGTAACCTGCCGGTTACCGCTGCTCTCCAATTTCTTTATCTTTAACTTCACCCTTCCCATCCTGCAATCCAATAAGCAAACCGTGCCAAAGCTTTATGAAACGCCAACTGTGAAAATTTCTCAATGGCATGAAAGAGCTTACTTTAGCAAAAAAACAGAAGAAAAAAAACAGGTCTTGTTTCTTGTTTAAATGCGCCTTGACTCACTTTAGTTACACATAAAAAAAACACTTCTCCAAATGAAGCCTTCATCCCACGCACCGGAACTTGACAAGCACATATTTAAAAGTTCAAAATTAAAAAATTTACCCCGATAATGAACAAAGAAGATTGATTGAAGCTGCCTACAAATACAGACTGGGAAATGAAAATAACCATCCAGTTTTGGTTGGCACTGATAATTGTCGGCCACCTTCTTTTTAATTTTTCTGCAGAAAAACAGAGCCTATTTATCATAAAAGCAGACAATCCTACGAATATGAACGAAGCCTTAAATCCCAGAAGGGAAATAATCACCTGAACGAAGAAAAACAAAATTCTACAACGCCCACTTAGGAAAACATGAAAAAGAATTGAACAACTTTTGAAAGTTGATATAAAATGAAAGAAAAACAAAATCTTTAAAAACACCAGCAAAAGAGTAGGACTCAAATGAGAAATATCAACAAAGAAAGAAAACAAAATCCATATATTTATATGAATACGGGAAAACGGCAATTCAATAAGGCAAACAGGGGAACCAACCCAGAACGAGTAATAGCAAAGAAGGATGGAGGGAAAGAAATGGCTGTACGATTGAAGCTTACAGATTTGCACACGACGGGTCAAGCTGTGATTTCGGTCGTTAAAATGAGCAGAACCAACCAGCAGAAAATTACTGCGCAGGAAGAGAAACAGAGTGTGTCAGAGAGAGAGAGAGAGAGAGAGAGAGAGAGAGAGAGAGAGGAGTAATGAACGGTGCGCTTTGTGAGTTTGCAGTATTGGACAATGGGCATGGGGTTTTTACACCGAAGACAAAAGGAACAAAAAAAATTCTTGGGCTGGGATTGTGTGGAGCTTCTCCACCAAGAAAGCCTACATGGCTTTATTTGCGGTTAACATGGTGGGGGGGTGTCGAGTCACAGAGGCAAAGGTATTGCAAATTAACAATCAATATAGGAATTAGTCTTCCTTTCTCTTTGTAGAGGTTGGTTACTATAATCATGTTCAAATTGGACTTACATTTTATTGATTATCCAAAAAAATTATAACATTCATTGACAAAATTGGACTTACAAAAAAAATTATAACTTTCATTACAATGACAATGATTGAGAGAGAGTGCTCTCAGCATGAGAGCCAAACGCTGCTTCCTCCAATTCCTTCCTTGTCAACAGCCTAGTTGAGGGTACAAACTTTGTGTTTGAGGTAGCTTCAAAGGCATCCAACTGCTCGGATCTCACGGAAAATTGGGTTCCAAGTGCATCCACAGTTTTGTCAAGAAAAACCGATCTCGGGATGTAGTCCTTGAGGCAGCATATGAATTCCAAATGGTCCCTTGCCTGCAAAGGAAATAGATAGCACAGGCATCAAACTATATGCCTTGATAACAAGTAATCCACTAATAGACTATTGAAGCTGTGAAATTCACAGGTTGAACCACATAAAACTTAAAAGAGTACCCCAAAGTCAATAGCATACCAATCGATACTCAGGAATTCGTTTTGGAAGTCTGAGGTATGCCATGTTCCTAACCTCATAGTCCCATAGAAAGGAAGTGTGGTGGATCCACCGGGTTTTAGTAATAGATTGAGCATTCCCACCAAATTTGCGGTTACCAAATACATAATCTAAAATCAGATGGGACCAAGCATGCTGTTAGGGCATGCATCCGAGCACAACAGACACCATAGTAGAATATAATGTTACACAAGGTTCATTCAGGTACCATTTTCACGAAGTTGAAAATCACCTCGTCCTTCAAACACTCTGCTGTATAAAAGGCTACTCCAGGACATTATAGGTCGAGGATATGGTTGCAGGCCAGCAACCGCATCCGTGTTGCATATGAAAGTAACAAAGACGGTGTTGTGATCAACAGTAACAGTACCACCTCCGGTAAACCTTCTAATGACAGGAATCTGATCTCGTAACACCAAATCAAGTTCAAGAAGCTCTGCAGGTTTTCTATGCAGAACATAAACGGAACCCTTTACAATCTCCAATGCAAAAAAATAGATAAATAAATAGACAGAGCCACAACCAAGAGAATGGAAAAACCAGAATACTCTGTCAGTGCTACATACTCAACACATGCTACACAACAATTGAAAACTATCATATCATTCGGAAAATTACTCAATATTGACCAAGAAATACGTACAACCTATTAGCTTAGTCAGTCATCTTACCCTGAAATACCCATTACAATAGTAGGATCCTTTGTTCCATCATTCATAATGCACCAATTATCAGACGAGGTTCGAAGCAATTGCTCCTCTAAATGAAGCTGCTGCAGGATAGGAATTCCTTTTAATCTGATAAGGTTCATGAATGGAAGCCCAAAGTTCCTTGTTTGAGGAATAGTCATTGAAACCAGTGTTTTTAAAGGCAAGAGTTGCACGTTTAGCGCGGGGAAGGCGTAAGGAGGTGTTGCAAGGCGTGGCCAGGCGGAGCGAGCCGTGCCAGATCTGGACACTTCTGAACCTCAAGAAATTTTGCGAGTATGCAAATTGGCTGCGACTCTGCGAGGAAGACGACTCGCGTGTTTTCTTTTTAGGTTTATTGTAATGAAACGACGTCGTTTCGATTGCAGTGTTTATAAAAAAAAATTTCTAAATGAAACGATGTCGTTTCACTTGGAGTGTTTTGATTAAAACAACCGCAAGTTTCTGTTTTTTTTTCTTACCTTTATTGTAATAAACTTAAGGCAAAAGGAATTAATATCTTTATTGCCTTTTCTAAATCCAGCAGGCTGTAGCTTTATTTTACTTATCTTTTTTTTTTCTTCTAAATTAATATATTAACACATGGACTTATCTATATACTAGCCAATTGGTTTTATTTTATATTTTATTTTCATGTGCCAATTGGTTTTATTTTTTTTATTTTTTTATTTTTAGAATTAATAAAAGATAACATGGGTAGTTATGTTCCATAAAAGTATGACCTATTATCTGATTTTGTTTTTAATTTTATATCTATATATATAACAAAAGGTAGAGAATCGTGAAACATTCAAAATACCAGAAAATGCCCTTGGTTAATTCAAACATTAAGAATTGAAATTATTAATTAAATGAGGATAATATGGTAAATTCACATTTTTATATTAAAAAAAAAATGAAATCAGATAATAACTACCCATGTTCTCTATTCTTAATACTAAATAATAATAATAAAACCACGCATGTGCCAAGGAGCTAGTATATATATATATATATATTGTATAGTACAACCCTAATTTTTTCCTCATAGGCATATCTCTTTGTCCATCCACTCCCAATAAAGACCCTTGCCTCTGATCTTCTGAAGAATTTTCCATATCCAGGGTTAGATCTAAAACCCATGGACCAAAAAACACAAAATTCCAGACAAAGTGACTTACCCGATTATTCTCACAAGCCTCAAATCTTCTCATAGGATTGGAATCAGTCCAGGAAGTCCGTCTTTTAATAGCTCCCCCACAATTGCAAGGCTTCCATGTGTTACGGCTCCAACAACTCTGCAACATCTCCTTTTTCTCCTCTCCCTCTGTAATTTTATTTTTTTTCCAAATGCCTTAATATTAATAGAAATGACTGACATGACATTAGGATTCAAGTTTAGCGCCATAAATTTGAGAGGTTGCTGATATGGACATGCCTATGTTGAATCTACCACTTGAAAAGACAAATATGCCCTTAAATTAAACGGAAAATTTGACAGAGATGACGGCAAGGACTGTTTTCTGAAACATGATGCATAATTAAAGTACCACGGTAACAATTTAGCAATGTGAGGGATGAAAAGTAAAGTTGGGGCTTAGTCCAGGGACCATTGCTACAAGTTTGCCTAATAATAATAATAATAAAATAATAATGTTACACATTTGACAACATTGTTTTTCCCATGTGGGGTGTGAGGTTGTTGATGAGTTTTTTATTTTTATTTTTTCTGCCAGGTGTGTATTTAAAGGTAGTTTGAGAAGAAAGTGGGATTTTCTTAGAAATTGTGAAATTTTGAATTAGAAGTTGTGGTGAACTTAGAATAAGGGGTGAACAAAAAGAAGTATGGGGTTTAAATAGAAAAACTAAATAAATAAATAAATAAAAAATCCCCTTTCTTAACTTGGTGATTGCATAAAACAATGTTAAGTTTAATGCTTGTACTCAACTCCTTGTGCCTTGGAATATTATAAGCAAGGGCAGGGCTTTAAGTTTTTTGTTTCTGCAAGTAATATTACTCATAAAACTGAAATATGGTTTAGCAGTATAGAAGAGCAGAGAGAGATGCAGACTTATTGTGTCATGTTAAGCAAACTTATTGTGTTATGTTAACCCGATTTCTAAATACTCCGATTCCTCTTTATCCTGATTCTAGGTTAGTAAACATGCCCTTATTGTTAAGCTATCTATCTTTTGATTGTGTTATGTTTATAGGCTTATAAATATTTTCTGAAAAGCTGCAGATGATAAAATTCTCAGAACGATGGCGAAATTAGTGTAAGAAGCTTGGTACTAAGCCCTTCAATTAGAAAGTACGTAGTTGTCTCTCATATAACTGATTTATGATAACATATATCAGTTTGCTTTCTGAGCAAGTTGACCCTAATTTTATTTATTTTGTTGTAAACTTATTGACATTTGATGGCTTTATCTTTCTTGGTCAACGCTTTCGAAACTTCTTAACAGTTGCAACTTAAAGCCCTGCCCTTTTATCTTTTGGAAAGATACTTGTTTCCAATTTCACCAGTTTTCAAATGTTTGCAGGGTCATGACAGAAGTAGTCTAGTTGATTTTGAAACATTGAAAGCAGAAGGGGAAAGAAAAAAGGAAGAAAGAAAGAAAGAAAGAAAGAAAGGGTGGTAATATAATAGAAGAGATATTTCTCTGGTCTATAGTTGAGGATTTTATGCTGTGCTCAGCAGAAGCTGTTCTCCATGATTTGAACAAATTCATTGAAATCTATTCGTCCATCTCCGTCACGATCGAAGGCTTTGATCATTCTTTTGCATTCCACTTCTGAAGCTCCAACAAAACCCAACGCACAGAGAACCTTGTTTATCTCCCCTGCATCAATGAACCCGTCCTTATTCTCATCAAACACATGAAAAGCTTCGTTTACTTCCTCCAGGCTTGGTTCCTCCTCCAACAAGTCAGCAATCTCCTTTGACCCAAGTCTCCCCTCAACTACTTCTCCACCATCTGCATCAAGTAATGTTCCCAGTTTCTCCATTATCTGTCCAAGTTCTCCTGTAGACAGCTGTTTCTTGTCATCTACAACGCTTCCATTTTCATGAAGGCAATTAACTTCTTGTTTCCTGGCAATGCAACTTCTTTTTTGGATTGTCTTGCACTTGAAGCTCTCCGACCAAACAATAATTTGCAACAAATCACAAAGGAAGCATATAAACAAGGGCACATACCAGAAACTGGAGGGAAAGTGTAGGATAAGGAGCAAGTTAAGAATGATAAGGAGTAAGAGTACAACTGAAATGGCTTGGCAGCCAAATGCTTCACTCACTGTTTTCTCCATCTTTGGTGCGAAAAAAAAACACAGAAACAAAGTAGCTAGAGAGCAGAGAGAGTTCGACCAAAAAAAGAGAGAGCAGAGAGAGTGCTTAATATTGTTTAATTAGGAGGTTAAGAGTCTTGAGACTTGTGAGTGGAAACCACACTTCGGTTTATAATATATAGAAGTAGCGGCTATGAGAGTTCCTGCCAAGTCATTGTGTAAAAGATGAGGAAAATTCAATCCAATGCCATCATTGTTTCCATCAAAAGAGTTGGTGACTTACTTCGTCCGCTTTTTTAATTTATTCCGCATCACCGTCGTCATCACATGGAAATTTCCAGGTCATGTGTCTCATATGTATATAGAAAGTGACAGTCAAATTGCAGCGAAGTTTCAGTGTGAAAGCAAAACTATTCATTAATCTCCAAGTCTTCTGCCCAGGGAAGACTCAAGAAAACAAGCGAAAGGCATATTTTATAGGGATTTCGTGCCTCTCACGTGTTACTAATTTCTTCACATTTTATTACCCTTCCTTAGTATCCATGTGTATCACAATCGTCAGTGTTCCTAGTCCAACTCAGTTTCTGTAACAGGTGTTGAGAAATCAAAATCAAAATCATATCTTTCTGCACAAACTATCCAACACAACACAGATGGTCTGGAAATCACAACAACCATTCACGACTCTCACATGAAAGTAATAAAAAGTACTTCAGGACAGATCAAAGCAATAAACTTAATAACACTTGAAAGATTGAAACTTGAAACTTGGTAACACTTCAGAGTAGATGACTAATTTCTGGGTCAAAAAGATTGTTTTTGTTTCCATTGGATTTCTCTGCCACCAACCAAAAAGAGAGCTGTTAAGACTGAAAAAAGTATGGATGTTTAAGCATGAAATTGTATCCCAACCATGCCCCAGAAAACCATAGCACATTTGGAGGGATCAAGAGAGAATTATAGAGCGAAAGATTGCTACTTTAGAAAAAGACAGGCGCTTACAAGAGACATGGCGTGTGATGTTTGCACTTGCAGCAGAGGAGAAGGGGTTGCTTGCTTCTATTCTCGGGGATTGAGGGTACTATTGCCTTTTCACTATATTTTCTTATCCTTTCTACATCCAACGATCCAAAATTCGTCTCCAGAACCAGATATCCATTCTACCATTCGATTGGCCGAGCGAGAGAGAGCGTGTGATGAGCTGAAGAGAAAAGATGAGACCAAGCAAAGAACCAAAGAGGCGGAGCCGCCCTTCGTCTCCGCTCAGGGACCGAACAACAGAGCCCTCCTCCGGCTTCGACCGAAGCACCTCGCCCAAGTCTCGCGCCTCCCGGCTCACATCGCCGGTCTCTCTTCTCAATCGGGACTTGGAAGAGCTTCAAGAGCTCGCGACTTCTTCTAACACCAACCCACGAATCTTTCCGTACAATGTGAAGCAGCAATGCTGGGAAAAGGCCGAGAAGATCAGAGGTCGAGACCCAGACCGGTGGCGTCGAGACTCTCTTGGAAACACCGTGTTCCGGAAGCTCGTCGGTTGCCCAGGTTGCCTCTGTCATGATTATGATCACATCGTGCCTTACTCTAAGGTAATTCCTCGTTCTCTCACAAATTCACCATCTTTGATTTGTGCTTGGAGTTTTGTGAAGTTGGTTCATAATGGTTTTGGCTATTAAGGCTCCGTTTAGGATGCATTTGATATATACCTTTCCTTTTTTGTTTGGTGACTTTCCCATGGAATCGGATTATTTCTGTTGGTAGCATTCTGTATAAAAAGAGATGCACTTTTGGAAATGCTTGTGTTGTTGAATTCCATCCATCTAGTAATACTTAAAAGCTGAGTTCTTTTTTCCCTTTGTAGTGTGCCATTGTTTATAATGTTAGTTGCCATCATCAAGCATGGTTATGTGAAACCAGTAGTTGTTTGTGGACTTTATGGCTGATTTATTGGTTGGAAATTCAGGGATTTGCTTCAAATAGCCTAAATATGAACTTGCATACAACATAAACACATTTTTACTGGAGGTGAGAGACATTAGGATAAGATTAGGTAAAGAACTCAGCTTACCTATGGTGCAAAAGGCATAGAAGGTAAACTAGAGTCTTGTTATAGCAGTTAATTGGTCGGGACTACAATGAGGTGGCAAATGCCATATTTGATTGTGACCATAGACCTAGAGAATGGAAGCTTGGAGATGGCATGCAATAGTGTTGTGGGATTTTTTTTTAATTTAAACCAGATTCTGATAGAATATGGTTAATCATGGTGATACAGTTATAGGTAAAGGACTGTCTAGGCCTTTCAGCAACCGTGAGGTACAATACCTTTTGTCTGAGCATGTATACTTGACTGTAATACAGGTTTGATGATCCTGTGAATTGTTTACCAATTTGGCACATGTTAGGCTCAGGTAAATCCAAATGACTGGATTGATAGGGCACTGGAAACATAAGCCTGGATATAATATGCACTGGCCAAGGCATCAGTTTCCAAAGAGGAGAGCTACTTAGCATGACTTAGCATGTTTTAGGAAGAAGCTCATTCTGCTAGGCATGTTGTGGCAGATATGTGACAAAGTTTAATAACCAACTTGAACGTGTTTTGTCATGCCTATTGTGCTGATTTTGCTTGGAGAGGAACAGTAAACCAAAAAGGAGTTCAGGAAGTGGGCTTATGTGTCATCCAAATCCAATATAATGATCTTGCCTGCTGAACATTTATTTATTTATTTTGTTTCCCCCAGGCCCAGGCCCCTGTATTGTTTTTGGAGGCTTGATTGTTTTATCTTTCACATTTCAGGGAGGACAAAGTACGCTTGATAACTGTCAAGTTTTACAGGTATGAACTTCATTCCTCTTCATGACCTTGGATTATTGTATCTTATTTTTGGTTATAATCTCCAGCCAGAGAAACCAAACCACCAGTATATGTAAGCATGCAGTGCATTCGTATGCCATATATCATGGCCTTTAAAGGCTGCCAAAATGCATATGGCTCCACTTAATTCTCAGCTAAGGCTGCTCATCTTCATGTCATTTCCTTTTGATGAAGCACGTACTCTTCATTTGCATCCAAATCATTATTGAAACTGAAGTTCACCTTGCCTGTCTAGTTTCTGTATGCTGACTTAAAGAATATAGTCCCGCTGTTTGCTTATAATTGTAGAAGATACATCTTACTTTTCTTCATAAAAGAATATTTTCTCTCACATACTGTAGGCAACGGTCAATCGATCAAAAGGAAACCGGACTGAGTTTTCTAGAGCTGAGCTCATTCAGAAAAGTTCCTACTGTCGGGTTTCAGGTAATCCCAAGAAACCGCAATACATGTGGAAATCCTTGCAGGAATGAATTCAACTAATTTAGTAGCAAATTAGTGACGGCGTATTCCTTTGAAATGCAGGTCGTGACATGGATCTTATTGAACTGTCAGCCTATGGCAATGTTCGTCATGCACCAAATTCAGGGGGATGTAGAATCCAATAACAATTTAAGGTGTTGTGTAACTTGCTCTACAATTGATTCTAACATAGAGTGGAAAACTAGCATGGCTAAGTTTTGCCCTCATGGGATGTAAAACATTTGTATCAAGCTTACAGACTGTCATATGTTACCTCTGAATATATGAGAAATTTGGATGCATATTTTCTTCATTCTTCCCTTGGCTATTTTGCGTTGCATGTTGCTATTTTCCACCTACTTATCTTTTCTTCCTTGCCAAACAGGACACACACAACCCTCAATATAAGGAGAAATACTCTCATGAAACACGGATAACATTGTTTAGCTATTCTCGGCCAATAACGCAATGATACGTATGATAATTTTTTTACATGTCATTGTATTATTTATCGGGAATAACAAAATAGTTATATCCTCGTTGCAAGTAAGTTTTTCTGCAGTGTAAGGCGTCAGCCCTTGACCTCGATCTAATTAATTAAACTAGTCTAGTTTCCAAGCGCATGCGTATGTTTGTGTCACATTCCAACAAATGATGGGACAAGACAAGACTCTCATCTATGGCATGCCAACCTTTAACGTTCAACATTTTAACCTTAGTAGGAATCTCAAGTACAAGCCCGCAGCGAGCGAGCAACAACAACAATCATGCTAGCTTACTTGATGTACTGATGTGACGTATAAGCAACCATACGTATCAACTTTTTAAAATTGAGCATGCGGCTATTCATTTTTATAGCGACCAACCACTCACCTCACCTACTCTTCGATGCTTTTCCATTCCAAGTGAAAAATGGATTTCCAAGTATAAAAAATAAAAGCGTCGGTGTGCATGTGCTTGGTAAGAGATGAGTTGAAGAAATCATGAAAGTTGTTGTACTTGTATTTGTTTTTGCATGAGGTTTTAAAAGAGACGAACCATCACCATGTGTCTGTCAGCTTTAAATTTAAGCTGGTGATGTGATATTAACTATATGTTGGGTCTACAAAAACAAAAACAAAAACAAAAACAAAATTTATTACTCTAAGATTCAAAGGTTTTGTAGTTGAATACAGAGTTTCTAAGTTTGCATGTCTCATTCATTCAATACATAGAAGAAACTACATTGAATGTGCTAAGAGCATTAAAAATATATATATATATATACAAAAGTCAATACTCTACTTTCCCGTTTTACCATTCTCTATATATTCTACCCCTCACTCCTACAAACAAAACAAACGGTGCATGATGCATCTCTCTAATCCGGCATTTTGAGCATTTTGGACTTTATCCTTGAAAGCACATTCATTCACCTCTAACTATCAAAGCAAACCTTGTTCTATCAATTTCGTTTGATCGAAGTCAGCCATTCCCAATCCAACCCATTCTTCCCAGTCCCAGCCATTCTCATTATTCCCAACTCATTCCCAACTCATGGAGAGAATCACCTAAATATTAGCAATTTCCTTTGTGAAACCCGAACGTCGTGTCGAACGATTATCCCTCAAATAGAAACCTAAGGAGTTGTTATACCCCCTTGAGAGAATGTTGTTGATAGACATGTGACGCTTAAAGCCAATGCCCCATTAAGATATGAATGGGAAGCAGCCAACTGGGTGCCGTGGGACAATGTCGTTGCAGCATTTGAGGAATCACTGGGGCCTTTCAAAGCGCTGGTAGATTTGATTCTCCCGGAGTCCAATGTGTTGATGCGCAGGTAGAGTTGATTTTACCAAACCGACCCATTCCAAAATTTGTGCTAACACACAAAACTTGGATACCATGCCCCCTCTTTTTTTTCGTTTCTTTTTTGATACCTTGGCCTTCATCTGCAAGGAAATCGACATCAGTATTTGGCAAGAAATGTCAAAAATGAAAGGAAAGAATTCATGTATAGTATTGCGACGTATACACAAAAAAGGGCAAAACGTTTATGTAAACCTAGCATCTATACAAGAATTCATGTATCATTTTGGGTGGTGGGCTCTCTGTAAAGCACATTACAACTCAATTTATAGAGCATTTACCCTATCCTTCATTAACTTCTCTTGCATGTATGGATATTTAAGAAGGTTTATAGGTTTCTTTTTATATACCCGTTGAACTTTTTTATAAGGGTAATTCTATATGAACCCCATAAATTACTCTTTACACCCCATAATTTTTTACACCCCACTAAATTTTAATAAAATTTCAAATTACTCATTAAACCCCTTTTTTTTTTCCTAAATTGCCCTCACAAACCCCATTCTCTAACCACCCATCGAAAACCCCCTTCCCTTTCTGCCACACCCCATCTGAAATCAAACCCCACCCCATCTGATATCCAGCCACACCCCACCGAAAATTCTCTCCTCTTGCAGACACACCCCATCGCACACCCCATCCCATTTACACCAACCTCCATCGCAGAACCATCGAAGAAGCCCTTTGCCATTGCCTGCATCGCAGAACATCGAAGAACTCATCCCTTGCCATCGCAGATCTTTGCTCACCATTGAAGAAGCCCTTTTCCATCGCCTCCAGCAAACCTGAACCATATCTGAAACAGAACCATCACACCCATCTCCATCTCTGCAAACCCAAAAGCCATTGAAGGTCAAGTTCTCACAAATCTTTCTTCAAGGTTTGATTTCAAATTTGATTTATATATTTACGTTTCTAAGTGTTGATTAAGCCTACATTTGATTTCACTTTTGAAAAGCCAAAGTCTGATACTGATTTTGATTTCAATTTCAAGGTTCTGGGTAGTTCGAACCTGGTTTTACGAAATTGGATTCTAGTTTCGGTGGATTGCCACCGAAATGATTACATTGCTTCAGTGGTAGTCCACCGAATTGAACCTGTACTTTCGGTGGGTTACCACCGAAATTGTTACCTTGTTTCGGTGGTAGTCCACCGAATCTGTTTCTATTTTTCAGGGGACTCCCACCGAATTTCTTTTGGTTTTTCAGTGGTACTCCACCAAAATATGTATTCTTTTTTCAGTGATTGTCCACCGAATTTATTTCCGTTTTTCAATGATTATGTACCGAATACGTTACTGAGTGTGTACTTAATATTGTTTATTTTTAGATATGAAGAGGATTCGCAGGGGTACTACTAAAGCTTCATCATCACGACCTAATAGACAACGTCCCACGGCCTCAGCGAGGAGACAGAGAGCGGCTCCCCAAGATCACATTGAGGATACTACAGAGGTTGAAGATATAGTTCCTACTGATTATAGTAATGTTGACGCAGAGGTTGAAGATGTAGCTACTGCTCAGGATAGTAATGTTGAGGTACATGCCGAGCCTACTAAGCCATCTCGAGTAGGTCCCATTGATCCATCTTTACTTACGAGTTTTAAAACTCACATAGCAGCTACAATTTGGAATAACCAGGTAAGTCGTTTTACTGTGACAATAGAAGGTAGAATATAAATTTGGTTCATGGTAACTAACCTTAATTTTGTTTTTTTGTTTAACTAGGAACGTGAGCCCCTTAGGTGCATGTCGAAAACATCTACCCTTCGTGAGTGGAATTGGTGGGGTAATCCAAATAATAGTATATTCAAAGGGTACATTCAGAGGTCTGGATTAGAGCACCTTATTAGGTGTTCTTATCGGAATGCTGATAAGATGTGGTGTCTACATTTGTTGAGAGGTGGCATCCCGAAACGAACACCTTTCACATGCCTTTTGGTGAGATGACCATCACATTGGATGATGTGTCATCTATTTTAGGCATTCCTGTTTCTGGTGCAGCGGTTGCTCCTCTTGGAGATGATGACGACACAAATTTTGAGTTGTTAGTTAAGTACTTAGGAGTGACTGATGAAGAGGCTACTGAACAATTGCACAAATACAGTGATGAGTATGTGAGTTTGTCATGGTTACGGGTGCGATTCTCCAATGTTTCAGACACAATTCAGAGGAGTACATCATGTATTCGGCCAGTGATAAGAAATCTCTGTGGCCACCACAGACTCTCTCAATTTCCTCATAAATCTCTGTGTTCACCTTTTCTATTTTCTCCTTCAACTCTGGAGGTTCTGCGACAGATTATGGTTAAACTCCTACATTATTTTATCAACTTTCTCCTTCAACTCTAAATGACTATGCACACAAAGATGTATTTTTCAGGTTACATGTGAAAAAAAATTAAAAAAAATTATTAGATCTATAATCTCAATTATGTAAAAGGTGCATTTTCATCAGTCATTAGGATGACGGTATCTGTAGTAGCTACATTTTCCACTCCCGGAAGTTGTTGAAAAGCATCCACACGTGCTTGGTACCTCGAGTACAAATGTGTTACATTGCATATGTCACTTTGTTCATACCACATTCTAGAAACTGGTGGAATAGGGTGATCTGGAGACAAATGAACCTACAAAACAAGAATCCATTCATATACGCATAGCATATAAAATTAACCAATATTGCGTAAACAAATAAATTCATACCTGGACATAGTGATCATCGTCAACAAAACCAATGGCAATCTCATTTAGCTTGGTTTCGCTTGATTGAACTGAGAAAGGAAGAAATGTAAGGCATTGACGCATGCTTAGAAGGATTAAAACCACATTATAACGTGTGGCAATAATATGTCCCATATCAGGCATGGTCATCCAACAAAAGAATGGTGCAAATCCATCATCAAAATAATTTAGCGCTCGCTCAATCTCGTTGTATCATTTATGTTCCCGAATACACTTCTTAAAAACAAAAGACATATCATGTAGTTGTTGCAACAAATCCTTGCGTACCCTACGCCATTCATTATGACCAAATCTCATTGCCATAGCTATGGCTCTATATCCACAGTTACCATCCGGAAGAACTTCAGTCTGGTGAGTGATATATTTCCTAATACCCTCAGGGAATTTCTCTATACGCATATATGTATCGAATGCTGATTGGTTTTCGCGAGGCTTATAAAGCTGAAAATAAAACAAAATATTAGTTATATGGTAATAACACATTGTAAGTTGTGAATTGATCACTATAGTCCATTACACATTCTGTTCCCACATTGTTGCCTTCAATAGGGGTGTCACCTTGATTTTGTTCCTTCAATGGGAGTAAGATCAAAATAGCTTGGATTAAATTTGTGGTTGACAATAAGTTACTGAAAAAATAAATAAATTTCGGTTGGATGCCACTGAAACGCAGGTAAAAGTTCGGTAGTACACCACTGAACTACGTTCCATCTTACGGTGGATCCCCACCGAATATTAAGTTTCTCACCGGTGAAATCCAACCGAAAAAGGTGCAAAGTTTCGGTGGCATCCCACCGAAATTATCTGTCGCGTTCGGTACTGATGTGCTGAACACAACCAACGACTGTTATGAAATATTAAACTTGCAAAACGCCAAAAAATAAACTCGTACCTCATTCGAAGCGTCTCTAACTTCAATCTCACCCTTCATGAATAAATACAATATATTTTTTCACCAGTTTATAAATCTTGGGTTTAGGGTTTAGGAACATGATAGTTTGAGAAAAAAATCAAACTAGGGTTGCAGGAACATATGTGGGGTGTAGTGAGCAATTTTAATTTTAATTTTAATTTTTTTGGTCCTTAACGGTAATTGTGTACAAGGGTAAAATAGGTTATTTATATTTAAAATTAGTATGGGGTGTAAAAAGTAATTAATGGGGTGCCAATAAAATCACCCTTTTTATAATTGCAGCATTTTTCTAGTAGCACACACTTCACAAAAAAAAGGGCAAAAAAGAAAGATGAATTTACCAAAATAGCCAAGCCAGAGACGTATTTCACGCGTACTACTTACATGGCTATCTTGGTAAATTCGAATTCTTCTAAACATATAAAGGTAATTTTCATTTTAACCAGAGAGAATAACCAAACCCCAGAAAGTGGAAACCACCATCCGGGGTGGCCAAAATGCTTACCATGACCGCCGTTGGAGTGGTCTTGTGTTAATATCCTTTTATAGCAAGCTCTCTGTGATCTAGGGTATAATTACCTGAAGTTAGGAGATGGTTGGAGTTTTGAGGTGTTGTGGGTTGTGTGGAATTTGCTAAGGGGTAGGGACGTGGTTTCGGTTTTATGCTTGAAGAGAGAGAGAGAGAGAGAGAGAGAGAGAGAGACTCGTAGGTAGTGTAGGTAGGGGAGAGAGGGGGGGTGGGGTTGAATATATAGAAACTTGAGGGTAAAACGGAAACCAAAACGAAGGACGAGATTCTCATTACGTCCAACTATCAAGCTTTGCCTTGGGGTCTCTATATTCACTTCAGTTGTACAAGAAAATATAGCTCTAGCCCCTGGTTGGCTGCTTTAGTGAGTCGTGGATTGCCAACATGGACAACTTGTGTTTCTTTTGTGAGACAAGTTTGTCAACGAGCCGTGTGTTTTTTGTAACCATACCATCTTCAAGCAGCAGTTGTTGATGTTGTTTGTGGTCTTTATGAACTTATAGCTGATTTATTGGTTGGAAAATCGGGGACATGCTTAAATTAGCCTAAGTATGTACTTGCAGACAACATAAAAACATTTTCACTGGAGGTGAGAGACATTAGGATAAATATTAGATTTAGGTAAAAGAACTCAGCTTGTTTTCCTAGTTTGGAATGTATAGTGATATCTACACTTGTTCTGTAGATGATGGGGATCGAGTCCGGACATAGGTCACCAACATCACACTCCTGCATCAGGTAGATCAACCCATTCAAATAATCCTAACCATTTGTCTCTCCTCTTGTAGCCAGCAATTAAAATGTATTCTATGGCAATGTTCGTCGTGCACAAGATTCGGGAGGATGTAGAATCCAATAACAATTTGTTCTTCTGTAACTTGCTCAGAATGTACTCTAACATTAACATAGAGTCGAAAACTAGCATTGCTACATGTCTGCCTGCCCAGTTGGAGTTTCGTGCTCATTGGATGTGAAATATTTGTATCAAGCTGACAAACTGTCATCCCTTACCTCTAGAAAAAGGGCAGAACCTAAGAGGGCTCTACAGTGAAGTAGTGTAAATGGGCTTTACAAGACAATGGACGGCCCATATTCTCCCATCGTATGACCTAACTAATTCCTAAGTTGGAAGTCATAGGAGGAAGAAGAATATATAGAAGAAGAAGAAAAGTTGCAAGTGGGTCATTTTTCTTGCTTTTCTATGTGAAGTGAAGCATCACAACCGCACTTTCTTCTTTAGTGTTTTTCAATTTTCTTTTCTTTCCTTTACTAGGCATTTCAAATGTTAGAAAAAGTTAACGAAAGAAGAGGCATACACTTTTGATTTTTGTTATTCTCATTGAAAAACTTTTCCTCCCCTTTTTTCTATTTAGTTATTAATACAAGCACTAATTTAAACCACTCTTCAATCTATATGACGGGTAAGATGATTAATACATACACGATAGTTCGTTTACTTGGATACTTCATCATGAGGCCTAGGCTTACGACTCTTTTATGTACTTGAACCAAGATTCAAGATATACAACGATTCTCACTTGTGCTTTCTCTTTCTATGCACTTAGCAGAGGGGATAAGTTATAGTGGGAGGTTGACTCTGACTCCAAAACCAAAAGCTACTTTTCCACAAGCAAAAGTCAGCAGCTCAATTTTAATTAGTAGTAGCACACCTAATCCAATATATTACTTTAATCATGGACAAAGTGGAAAGTTAGAGGTCAAAATCGCTGACCAAAATCATCTTCTACATCAATCTTCAATTCAATCCATGGAGATGGAGCCAATGAAAGGCCACACAGAGTTCATTAGTTGAGCCAAATGGGACATGGTAAAACCTCATAACTTGGTGGTGCCATAATAATAATTAACATGCACAGTTTGGGTTGGTTTGTAAAGAATCCACCACCACCACAGCGGCCATGGTTTAAAAAAGAATAATTCAAGTCATAACATAGTTTGCTTAATTTGATCTTTAAGTTGAGAGATCTGTAATTTAAGTGGTTAAGAGTATTTACCATTGCACTTGATGAGGTCTTAGGTTCGATTCTTCCCTCCTTTAATATCAATATCGCTTGTATTAAATATTTAAAAAAGTCTATTAATTAGTTGATTGAATACTTGAATGAATTGCTTCCATGCTGTTAGGCTCATTATGCATGCTGAGAGAGAGAGAGAGAGAGAGAGAGAGAGAGAGAGAGATGGGAAAGCCTTGTCCTTTCTTTTTGCTCTTTCCCTGCTGGTTGTAGAAACATGCATGGAACAACTACATGTTAGTCTGTTAGAGCAGTGGGATGACATGCCTTAACCAAACCCTTTTCTTTTCTTTTCATTTCTGTACAAAGTGGCCTTTATGTCTTATTAGTTAGAAACATAGATCAATTTCCTCATAGGGCAGGCGACATAACAGGGACTTGGAGAGCCAAGACGTCTGCAAACATACCATTAGCAATATTACCAGATTAGCCATTAGGATGTTGTAATCTCAAAAAAGCTAAACATGCAAGGTTGTGTTCAAGATTTAGTTGACATTCAAATATATATCAGATGGCTAGAGATTTGTGATCCAGAAATTGAACACACTCTGTCACTATTATTATTATTATCTACTTTTGTCTCCCCCCAACTGCATTAAAATTAGGTATATGGATGAAATTAGTGGGGCAATTGCTTTCGTGTGGAAAAGGGGAAAAAGACCAAAAAAAGGAAAAAAAATTTGAAAAGTAAGAGAGAGTGCCAAAAGGTTTGATGGCATTATGTGCATATTTGGGGTCCCATATAACAACTCATCTTTACAAAATATGTGGCCTGTATTTGCTTGTTGCACCAAAATATCTGTGTGTTTTTTGTTTGGTGTTTGATTTGAGACACACAGATATATATTTTTATTTATCTGATGTTGATGCATCTAAAGATGTGCTTTACAGAGAAAATTAGGTAGATCCATTTCACTAGGTAATCCTAATAATATCCGTATTTTCTTATCAAATGAGAAACATTCCCTATGAGTTCAATCCAATCTCATCAATCATGGGACATATGCTGCAGTGATATCAGAAAAGAGGCACTGCAGAAAAGGGCAAAAACAAAAGAAACAAAAATAAAGGCATAATTTCTTAGTTTATTTCAGTTTCTACTTCTATGCACGCACGTATGTGACATGATTTTTTTGCTAGAGAGACCACAATTGATGAACGCATATTGTGACAATTGATGTGATGAACCAAAACTCTTTGGCAGAATATAAAAAAGTTGTTCAAAAATTTCTTCTTATGTATATGTTCTATTTTATTTTGTTTAGTATCCGATGTAGAACTCATATGGTGTTGGTTTATTTTTTATGGTTGAACATAATTTGCTTTTTTCAGACCCAAAAAAAAAAACCATAATTTGCTTTTTTCAACGTAAATACTAAAATAGAGAAGAAAACAAGGGAATAAAAGAGAGAAGGATGGTATCGCCAGTTTTCAACCTCACTTTTGTGCAAGTTGCTGAGGACCTTTGAGGGTGAAAAGGAAAGCACTTGGCCCTCAGGAATTTAATTGAAGTTTATCTAATAAAGGGGGGCCTAAACAAGAGCCAATTTGTTGGTTTGTCGCCATCTCCATTTTAGCCCCACATAGTTCCCTTCTTTATCAGCATCATAATAGCTAGTAACTCATTATCTAAGGTATGACTGATGCTTCCTTGGCATTATGCAAGCAGTGCACGAAGGCATTTTTAGTTTTCTCAGAAGAAAAATCTTCAAGTTTCACCTTTTGTGACCTGCAGTCTCGGATTTTAAGAATGTGTTTCTTGGTTTTAGACAGATGACCTGCAATTTAGGTTTCTTGGTTTTCGACAGATGATCTGCAATTTAGGTATAGAACAAGTACAAGAACAAGACTGCCTCTGTATCATGTCAAAGAAACTTTTGGTATTTGAACAAAGAACCAAGGAGAACGGAAGGAAAAGATATTTTCTCCAATTCTATCATAGTATTTCACAAATATAAAGATATGTACAAGAACATAAACACAGGAAACTAAGTACATTTGTGCTTAGTGTTACAAAAAGGCAACAATATTTGCCGCTAGAGCTTTATCCTACATCAGTTCCCCTACCACACAATATTTGCCGCTAGAGCTTTATCCTACATTAGTTCCCCTACCACACCGAGGAACCTAGGGAGTAAAGACTGCCCCTCCATTTCTACCTCCTGGTTTCGACCAGCTCAACCAAAATGGCCTAGCTGGATGGGGTTAGCTGTCAAAACTCATACAAGATGGGTTGAACTCAACCTAACTCTTCCAGCTTTTATAAAAAAATCGTACATCATGGCCAACTACTTCATGAGCTCTCTTGAAAATTGAGGGATCTAGACAAGGCTGCTGGGTTTGCTCGTAAGGCCGGAGAGGTTTCAGAGACAATATTCTTTTGATCACTTTTTGATTGGAAGGCCTTAAACAGCCCTCCCCCGCTGATGGAATCGTTCTTGATCCCAAGTGTTGCCCAAATTGAACTCTTTGCAGCTTCACTTGGATCATCAATTCTTAATGTTTTTGGAACCAGAACACGACCACTTTTCTGTTTTGAGGGCTCTTCTTTCTCCAAACTCTCTGGTTTTAGAATGTCCCCATCCCTTGAATGCTTCCCCAACGTTGGAGAATTTGAACCAGAGCTAGGGGACTTTTGGTTTGGAGAAGCAGGTTGTGGACCAAACCAAGGAACGTTCCAAGTGCCAGGGACACCACAGTTCCAATAAGGTGCAGGACAAAATGACAAAGGAAAACCTGGAGGGCAAAAGGCCGGTGGGGGAACTGCTGAATTCCATGGATAAGGCCAAGGAACACCCGGAAGACAAGGAATTTGTGAAGAGAAGCCATTGACATTCTGCAACTGTGGTTTTGAAACTGTTGCAGAAGATGCCCTGGAGCTATCATCACCATTTTCTCTACCTTTGCAAGGAGCTGGAATAACCCGTTCTTCGCTTTTATGAAAGCCATTTTGAGTACCATTCAAAACCTTTTTATCTGCAAGATTTAAAACAGAAGCCATGGAATCACAAATGGGGGCATCCACTCCGAAGCTGAGGACTCTGCCATTGCTTTTCAATGCAGGATGGTGAGCTCCATTTGGAGCATCAATTTGAGCTGCTTGTAGAGCCTCAGAAATGGTGATGTGGCGATAATGTGAGGCAGAGTTCTTGTTTTTGCGACGTCCCGCTCCCACAGGCACATTCCTCATGGTACCGCCTGCAGTCCAGTATCTTTGACAGGCTTTGCAGAAATGCCGTGGTTGGTTGACGTTGTAATTGTTGTAGTAACAAAATTTGGTGTCCATGCTATTGCAGCGGGGGCATGGAAGTATCTTGTCAGGCTTCTTCAGGGTTTTCTCTTGTGAGTTGGTTGCTTCAGTATTCTCAGTCTTGGAAGTGTTTGATTTTGGACTTTCTTCATCCATAGAGAGTGGCATTGGGTTCACATTAGAATCTGGTAATATGCCCATGTTTGTTGGGTCTTCAGTGTTTGGAGGACCATCATCTTGATCCATGCTCTCAGGAGATTTTCTTGAAGGTGGATCCTGAAATTTTCACAATTAGCTTTAGGAACAAGTATTGCAAAATAAACTTGAATCATTATATAAGTAATCAGTGTGATGACAGCTACAAACAAAATCAAGCAACAGGAAATATTGTAAATTTATATGTTTACAAGGAGTTTTCTTCATCTTTCAATGAAAAGCAATAATCTTTGCTCCTTTTTTGTTAAAATTATAAGTTTGGAACAATCAAACTACAGTTTCATTGACACAATCAAAGCTATTGAAACTTCTATATAATTAGAGAATACAATCACTCTGTTACATGAAGGCCCGGATATGTAGAAAATTATTGCCACAAAGACAAGAAATTTAATGAAAATAACAGATTTAGAAAATCAACAGGAAACACCCTTTCATATTGAGAGAAAAATAAATTAAACGACAAGACTATTGACTCTGAAAGATATCAAGCAGCATGAACAGTTCACAGATTTAAATCTACACACAAACTTAAAAAAAAATTAATTAGCAACTGGCATATGTAAGTTGAATTTAGGTAACCAAAAAAGAAAAGTAACATAAGTGATCAAATTTTATACTTTCCAAAAGCTGGTCTGAAATTCATTGACTGACAATCGTTTCATTGGTAACAAAATTGAAGGAAACAAGCCTAAGGCCAAAAAAATTGCTTTTCCAATTCTCAAATGACCAATAAAGGTTCAAAATTTCCACTTTCTTTTCCTAGTTAGTTTCATCTTCTAGACATAAAAGTTAACCATCCCCGTTTTAAATAGGATCAGAAAATCAAACAAAATAGAACCAAGAATCAAACAAACATCTCAAACCCCCAAATCAGACTCCCTCCAAATAAAAAGGGGAAAAAACCAAAAAAATTGTCATAGCTCATAACCACCAAATGTAAAGTGAAATAAAAAAAATAAGCTTGTCTCAGCATTTTAACAAAAGGGTCCAAATAAACAAGTTCCACAACACCTTCTCTCTCAGTGTAAAAACTGTACCTGCTCTGTCTCTGCCTCTTCTTCTTCTTCATCTTCTTCGTCCTCTTCTTCTGATTCTACATCTACTTCTTTCTCTTCAGGCTGAGTGAAGCCCAGGTCCTCGATGTCGGTGGGCAGGGGAATCTTCTTCCCGAAGAGCTTGATCGCAGGGTCCTTAGTTTCCAGCATTTTCTCGGCAGCCAAACAGTGTTGAAAAAACGCGCGAGTATTTTTGTTGAGAGGTTTTCTGGGGTGTCTTGAGTGGTGGTGTCTCGGTTGGCATTGGGCGTAGTAAAACGTCGTCTACGATTTTAATCCGTTTAAACTAAAGGTGGGTGCCACGTCAGAACGTGGGTATGATTCTCAGCCACAAGTTCTTGTGGCCTTCAGATTTTCCTTTGTCAAATTTCGTCTGGATTCTCTCTTTCCGATGCATGGAAATTCGGTGCTACCCAAACATATATCTTCTATCTTTTTTTTATTACAACTTGACTTGGTGACCCAAAAATCTCTCGAATGATTTACACGGACTCAAGCCAAATTAGTTAACACCAATGTCTTCGAGTTTGAATTCCTTATTTTATAATTTAAATTAGTTTAAAATAATTAATTGTATCAATAGTATAAAAAAATACCCAATTTAAATATATTTTTATTATAGTTATATTCATAGAGGAGAATTTAAATATCGGACTTCGAGTCTATATAATGAAATTCATATATATATATATACATATATCGAACTTTGAGTGTATAGATAATTACTCTTAATTAATTTAAACAATTTAATCAAATTTTACAATAAAAAGTGTATAATATTGGATCAAATTGAATTTTATTTGTTTTAACTCTTACATATTTCTCATAGGAATATTCTTGGGGACCAAAAGTTTATCCGCGCCTATTAACGTGTTACATAGCTATTGGACAAACTTGTGTTGCCAAAAATTTTATGATATGGAAAATGTTATTAGTTCCGACTTGTGTTCTCAGTATTTTCTTCGCATAACTCTATTTATCATGTATCACTTGCTACGTATTCTACTATAGTTATGTTCTCAATATAGTTTAATATTTATTCTTTTATACAAGCGATATTGGAAAAAAAAAAGAAATTAAACATAGCATATCGAATGCATACTATTAATCACTCGAGCTACAAAGCCTTTGCTATAATTTTCTCTCTTTAATTTGCCGTGTATGAAGACTCTACAACTGACTCAATTTGTTTTCTAATCGTGCCTATTTCGGATCGAGTCATAGAATACAATCTTAATTTCAGATTTCAGATTAGAAAAACACTTGTTGCCACATCAGCTGCAGACACTTAGCAATAGGGTCCCACCCACAACAAGCTCAAAGGTTTTTTTTTTATAGAAAAGAATCAAAGTTAAAAGCCTGCGAAGTTTGTACATAAGCTCCCGTAGGTAAGGAACACGTGTCATAGTGGAGGACACGCGTAGAGCATCCACAATTTGTATACTTCACGCGTAGACCATACTAATACACGTAGGGATAAAATAAAAAGTTGGTTGGTGGCTTTCGTTAATTGAAAGTGTGTTTCAACCAAAAAAAAAATAAATAAATAAAAAGTTGATGAGCATATCCTTTCCATCTTTCGGTGTAATGGTCAAATGGTTTTGATTAGGTTAATCAAATACCTGATATATGGATTAAAATATTGATTAAACAAGTAATTTGGAAGTTAAAGTTGCTTTGTTAACTGTGGGGCAGCCCCGTGGACGGTTGAGGATTTTGCTAATTAACATGTTTTTCAATTAGGAGCTCATGCCACAATTTGATTTGGACAGGATTAATAAACACAAATTATATTAGGAAGAGATTAGGATGGAAATTTGAGAAGAAATTTCCTAATTATACTTAAAGTAAGCTTGCTTTGAAATACCAGCAAATGATTAGGCTGCAAGTGCTTGTTAATCGTCTTTAAAATTCACGGAGGCCACTTGTCCTGACCAAAAAAAAAGAAATGGAGGCCACTTGTCAATGCCATTGAAGTTTGAAAGTTGAAAGTTGAAAGTGATTGTAGTATGGGCTTTGACCGAAGCGCAAGCAACACCAAGCCCATTGAGAGCTTTGCATTAGGCTTTCAAAAACCCAAGTTATAAAGCACATGACAAAGTTCCTGTGAGGCTGGCCCATTACTGCCCTAATTTATGTGTTAACTGAATCTTGATTCAGACCCAATAGAGAAAAAAAGACTCCTGGCCCGAGAAACTCATTTGCCTGTCACGGATTCATGTAACCTTTCTCTTTATCTCTCTCATCACGTGAGTTTTTCTACATGATTGGTAGCGGAGAATTAAACAAGTGCATATAGACGCATATATTATATATGTATTGTGGTCTCATATATGGAGGGATAGATGAGCAAGTTGCTCATATGCAATGAAAAGTTGGACTAAATTAGGTGCGTTCATACAATCAGAGCATGAATACAAGGATCCCATCTGAAAGGGTTGACTTAAAAAGTCATAATGCAGCATGCAAAGTTGCAGAAAGTAAAGTATGGACCTTGCCTTTCTTGCTTTATCTTTTTTACTTTCTCGTCCCATTTCGGATATTTAGGCTTTTAGGGTTCACAATTGAAACTAGTTAATTAATATAATCACCTTTTGGAATTGGCTGTTACATCAGCTACTTTGCTTCATTGTCAACACTTGGTTTTGACAGCCATATCACTCTGTTTGTCTGTAACCATATAAAGTGCAGTGACTCACCAAACAATGGAGGAGCAAATGCAACTTAATTGGTGGTTTATAAAGTCAAAACAGTTAAACTAAAAGCAGGACAGGTTGATACCAATATGTCTGCTGAAGTCAAAACAAAGATGACTGCTAAAACTGATTGTGTTTCCAACCTTAATTATCATCCAGCCATATCATTGTCTTCTTTCTGCCAATTAAAAATAAAAAAACAGACACAAAATATAATTATAGGCCAGGATATTTATCTTCTACAAACTTTATTCAACCAAGTCATACTTGCAGTGCAGAAAACTGCTGCCACATTTGGTGGCTGCTGTTTGTTTTTCCAACTCTATAGTTGCTATGCCACTCAAATTGAATCACAAAAAATGAATGTTAAGTGCCTAGTTGCTTTTTCAGTTTCTTCTCGGAAATTCATTGAATAAGTCCTTGAGCTCCAATGATGATGATTTCCACTGACCCTTCTAACCTACAAGTTAGTGCATGAGCTCAAGTTTTGCCACAACATCATTCTTGTGTCACCCTCCACTTGCATTATAGTGTCTCCCCTTCTTTTCTCTCACCACCATTTTCACTTAAAATATCATTTTCATGACATCCCCACCTCGACCTCACTGCATTTGGGCTAATTTCCACTTCCACTTCCACATTTACGGTTCACACTTTGTCTTGCAAAACGCTTCTGTTGTTTCACCTTTTTGACTTTAACCACCATCATATCATATCATATCATATCATTGCTTTTTCCCAAAACGCAACAAACACAAACAAGGTCTGGACAGCTTTGTTGGTGAATTGTATAAATTGGGTTGTGCTGGCTTTACCAGAATTAACATTCAGTTTTGCATATAGAACTTGCCCTTTTGAAGACTGCTACAGAAGATGGCATTGGCAGGCACTCTCCTTCATCTGCTTGTGATCTTCTTGGGGTTTTCTCAACTTATTATCTGCTTGAATGCCGTCCCAGTTACAAGTAAGATTTTAACAACTTTCTACTTCTTAATCCTTCTTCTTCTTATTATTATTGTCCTTATTCTGATTTTCTTTTTGTACCAAATATGCAGGAATTGGAAGTCTTCAGGTTCATCAAATTGCAGGAAATAACAAACTGGTATGACCTACCATAAAGCTGATTGCCAGAATTTATATACTCTCTATATTTTAATGAAACTTTGCATGAGACTTACATTGATGGGACTTAAAACAGGTAAACACAGAGAATATTTTTTATGAGCAAACTATTACTGAAAGAATGGATGTGGAGCTTCATGACTACCCGGGATCTGGAGCCAACAACCGCCACACTCCAAAGCCGCAATTTGGAAGATGTGTGGATTGCTAGTTTTCTCCTGCTACTATTGGTTTTAGCATTTACAATGTAATGTTATATATGGACTATTGTAAACAAGAATTTTGTTCTTAGATCATTCATCATTTGAGTTTATTAATAGGGCTTAAAAGAAGTAGGCCTCTAGAGTAGATGCTTGAAATATTTATATATATATATATATATGTAATATATGTATATTGGCCACAATATGCAGCTTATTAACTTGGAGATATCAATTTGGAGACCTCTTGTTTATTTGAGAGAGACATAGAGAGTTATATTATCATCATTATGGGTGACGATTATGTGTGAGTGGAAAACTTCATGGCCATTGATGCTAAATTTGTATAATAGAGACAGTGTAAAAACTTTTATGGGCAAAATCTCCAACAATCAGAAACACACTATTTGAGTTCACAATCCATAATCCTAGTGGTATATGAAAATTCTATTTAATGATCACTGAGAAGTTGCTTTAGGAAGCAATTGTAAGTAGCAGACCCTGCTGGTTTCAGTGCACAATTTATTCCTCTGGTGATGGAGCAATGGCGGGTGCAGGGGAAGGACCGTTTGTTCCATCAACGCGCGAAAAACCTAATTTCTTGATGAGCTCACGAGCAATTAACTCATTTGCACTATCTGATGGATGGTACTCATCCCAAAACACATATTTGCTTCTGTCTTTGCACAATACTGATGCAGGGATACATGTCAGAGCCGGTCGGATTCTTCCAAATGAGCAGCATGGTTTGTCCGCGTTACTGAAGCCTACCATGGTTGGTTGAATTTGAATGAAATCATCATCAAGATGCAGAAAGAAAAAAATGAGAAACACAAAAAGGTCAATAGAGAAACAAACAAGTAGATCTGAACATGTTCTGTGCCTGTAAAGGCAATGTTCTGTCTTAATTTCTATGACACGCTAATTTAAAAATTGATACTGAAGAGCACATTAACATACCATATTTGTCTGGATTGCTGATCACATCATTGACGACATCATACGCATCACCGAATCTGTAGCTTGCGTTAGGAAGCTTGCTGGACAAGTCTTCCAATAGCTTGATTCCAGCTTTGTTGAAGCTGAGAGCTAGTTTGTTTGTTCTATCTTGGCAATCTCCAGATGTACTCAAAACCCTTTGGAGTGGGATACAGCCCATTGGTCCTAGCCCAAACACCATCAGCTGCCTTGCCCCAAAGCTGTGCAAAAGCTACTCAAAAACATGATCACAATTAGTACAAATTAAGAAACTTCGATAATTATAACCATATCAATAATCAGTGGTTAATTAATTAAAGATCACAACCTTGAGTTGTCTTTCTAGGGTTTCCATTATGTAGTCGATGAAAGTTTCATCGTTGTAACTCCACGAATCGCTATAAACTGGCATCAAGTAATTGTTGATGAAGTCGTTGCTGCCTAAAGCGACCACATAACGAGCTTCATGGAAGAACTTCTCTGCTGCTTGTGCTCCAATTTTGCTTTTAATCAGTGTTTGTGTGCCTTCAAACAGCTCAATTTGCTTGTAGAGTGAGAACCTCTGAATCTGCAATTGACATTTTTGATGATCAAATTGCATGCGATCAATCTTAAAGCTAGTATTTTAACATTAAGGTTGCTGCAACTTACAAAGTAGCCACCAGTTTCATTCAAGATTCCACCACCTCCGGAGGCATAGTTTACTCCTTTTTCTAGAATTATATCCTCAGTTAAAGATGGATCCAGAAAGGCAGGTGGCCTTGAGAGGCCCATGTTATCACCTAAATAAACAAACATGTTCAGCAGACAACAAAACAAAAAAAGGCAACAAATTAAGCATATACATTAAAGAAAATTGGATTGCGAAAGAAACGAATGCAGAACAAGCTATATGCTGTTTTGGGTTTTTACATATATATGTCACCTATTATATCAGCAACTGTGCGGCCATTAGAGAACCTCCCATTAGGCAGTCCATTGCCAAAATCAATCCCATACCATGGCAGGCTTGCTTGGGCAAGGCTCTTGCTTAGGTACTTGTTGTTTCCAACGTCGGAGAGGGAGTCCCCGAATATAAACTGCACAATTTTGCAGTTGTGTCCATCAATGAGGAGGCCAAAGACGGTCACAGCCATCATGGTTAATGCCACCATGCACTTCATGGTTGATTGGTACTTGGTAAGATGAAAATGTGCTTCTTTAGGTCTTCCAAAGTAAAATGGAAGATTTGGGTTTGGATTTAAACACAATGTACAAGGACTTATAAGTAGTAGAATTAAGATTTCGTGCACAGAGACTAGAATTTGGATTTGGGATGAGAAAAACAGAGAGGGTAGCTTAGCTAGCTTGTTTGATAAACCAACCGTTGCTCATTCTTACCTAATGCAACTACCATGAGTACGTCTTTGTTTTACAAGTTATATTAATATGCAAGTTTGCAACGGTATGAGTCTCACAAAAGGTCCCATAATTTTTAATATGTTAGAATGTACTTTGGATTTGAAAATTCTCTCATGATTTTACAGAGCATCAAGGTGGGTGGTGAAAGCCAAACAGTGACGTGCAATTGAAAGGAGACTTGGAAGGAGGCTTGGGTTATGATTTTGCTGGTGTGAAAAAATGTTAGAAGGAAATTATATTGGGGGGGTTCACCTACCCATCTAAATTACTTCACCTCAATTTATCAAGACACAAATTGGCCTTTTATTTCAACATGTTGGGCAAACCATATAGGTGCATCTGCAATCTCTGAAGCAAGCTAGCCAAGTTTAATACTTTTCCAAATATTTTCCTTAAATTTGCCTTGGACTTAAGACAAAGAGTACTAACAAGCTTAACCAAATTGATCAAAATTTGTCCTTTTCGTACTACGACGGGTGTAACTTTGGTCCCGTGACCATATAGTGATGTTTGATTTATTCAAATTTGAACTCATTTGAACTCGTATGAGTTATATTTTTTTTTCTTAACAAATAAAATACAAACATGCTTAATTACAACTCATTCATTTTCGAACCAACATTATGTCCATATCTCAAAATTAACAAATTAATCAGTACATTTGCTTCTACTTCTTGATTAACATATTCAATTAAAAGTTCAATTCGCAAGTTTTGTGAGCCTACGAAACTTTCTTTTTTTTTTCTTTTTTTTTTTTTGGGAGTGTATAACATTACTACGACAAATCAGTGCCGTAGAAAAGAGGTTTAAAAGTACCGATGTGGCAAAGCATCAATGGTTGCATGTAAAGATATCTGACTTGTATCCTAGAAGGTCCACAACCAGACAAACTCATTACAAAAGTACACAACGTGGCGTAACATCGGCCTCTCCGAATTCTAAACCCAAACAAAAATCACAGCCAGACCACAGGTACACGACCCCCCCCTAAAAATCGTTAAAATCCAAAAAATCCAACTCATATTATCCACAAAAAATCCTGGCCCTTCATTCTCATAATCCAACGGCCACTTTCCCCACTCATATCCCAAACCATATCTTCCAAAAACATAAAAATTCACTCTCTCTTCCACTATCACTCTGCCCCTCCTCTGCTTCAGCTCCAACCCAAAAAAAATGGCCTCCCTTGCTCTCAAGTCCTTCATCGGACTCCGCCAAGCCTCCGCAGAAAAGCCCCATTTCACAATCCAAGCAAAACCCATTTCTCTAAACCCTTCAAACCACCGGAGGCTCCAGGTCAATGCCGCCAAAACCAGCCCAAAAGTCACTAGTCGAAACCTCCGGGTCGCCGTCGTCGGAGGCGGACCGGCCGGCGGCTCTGCCGCTGAGACCCTCGCCAAAGGCGGCATCGAGACGTTCCTAATTGAGCGAAAAATGGACAACTGTAAGCCCTGCGGCGGCGCAATCCCGCTCTGCATGGTGGGTGAATTTGACCTCCCATTGGACATCATCGACCGCCGGGTCACCAAAATGAAGATGATTTCGCCGTCCAATGTGGCCGTTGACATTGGTCAAACTCTGAAGCCGCACGAGTACATTGGGATGGTGAGGCGTGAGGTGCTGGACCAGTACTTGAGGAACAGGGCGAGTGAGAATGGGGCGACTGTGATAAATGGGTTGTTTCTGAAGATGGAGAAACCGGGAGATGAGGAGGCGCCGTACGTTCTGCATTACACAGAGTATGATGGGAAGGTCGGTGGGGCTGGTGTGAAGAAGAGTTTGGAGGTTGATGCTGTGATTGGAGCTGATGGGGCTAATTCTAGAGTGGCTAAGAGTATTGACGCTGGTGATTATGAGTATGCCATTGCCTTTCAGGTAATTATGAACTTGCTTTGTTTCAAATTATCAGTTAATGCTTGCTCTGTGAGCTTAGCATATGGGAGTTGTTCGCAGGAAATTGCAATTTGATTATAAAACTTAGAGGAAGAAAGCAACTTTTAATTCAATTTGCATTCAATTGTTGTGCTTTGTGTTAACGTACTAGTCACATTCTTTGATTTGAAGTTGTTTTCTAACATTCTGGCTGCTTGCATAAAAAAGTATTTTCTTTTCTTGGTATTTATTTGGCTGAAATGACTGTATCTATGTGAGTAACTCAAAATTGAGACATGGTTTTTGGTATGCATTTCTAATTTGTCCTGAAAAACATTGTTAGCTTAGCATACAGAACAAGAAAAACCCTTTTAGAGAAAATGTTACTGAATGATTACCTAGTTTAAAGTTTTAGTTGTATCTTCTATATCTGGTCAAAATTTTGGTAAAAGGCTAAACCCCGGGTGCATTGCTGAAATATGATTAAATGTTTACACCTAGTTCAGTGTTGATCCATTCTAATTAAATTCTTGGTTTCTGCCTTTTGCAGGAGAGAATCAAAATCCCTGATGATAAAATGGTGTACTATGAGAATCTTGCTGAGATGTATGTTGGTGATGATGTCTCACCGGACTTTTACGGGTGGGTGTTCCCCAAATGTGACCATGTAGCAGTTGGTACCGGCACTGTGACTCACAAAGGAGACATCAAGAAATTCCAACTTGCAACAAGAAACAGAGCCAAGGACAAGATCCTAGGCGGCAAAATCCTGCGAGTGGAGGCGCATCCAATTCCTGAACACCCCCGCCCTCGAAGGTTAGCAGGCAGAGTAGCACTCGTTGGTGATGCAGCCGGGTATGTGACAAAATGTTCAGGTGAAGGCATCTACTTTGCAGCAAAGAGTGGTAGGATGTGTGCAGAGGCAATAGTTGAGGGGTCGGAGAATGGAAAGAGGATGGTAAATGAGGCGCATTTAAGGAAGTACTTGGAGAAGTGGGACAAGACTTACTGGCCTACTTATAAGGTGTTGGATGTGTTGCAGAAGGTGTTTTATAGGTCGAACCCGGCGAGGGAGGCTTTTGTGGAGATGTGCGCAGATGAGTATGTGCAGAAGATGACCTTTGACAGCTATTTGTATAAGAGGGTGGTGCCTGGGAATCCTTGGGAGGATTTGAAGTTGGCTGTGAATACCATTGGGAGCTTGGTAAGGGCTAATGCACTTAGGAGGGAGATGGAAAAACTTAATGTATGAAAGGAGGAAGCCTTCTCAGCTGTGTAATTTTCTTTTGTGTTTTTTCCCCTACTTCTGTAATGAGGTAACAGTTTCCTTGGAACCAACAGACTGAGTGGGAATTCCCCAATTGATTACCAAGAGAGTTTGTAGTTATGATATAATATAGTGTTAATGGTTTTATGGTATGTGAAATTGTGAATAAGTTAGTGTTAAATAGAGATTGGTTGAATTGGATTGAATTGGTGGATAAAGAAAAAATCAAAATGCTTGTAGAATAATAAAGAAACATTCTCAGATGATAAAGAAAGTTACCTCATATTATGTCATGCCATGCTACACGTTTGTTGCCTTGTTTGGATGGAAGGATTCAAATTCTAGGGTTCAAATTCTATGAATTTAGATGATACAAATTCTACGTCCGTTTCGATGATTCATTGCACACGGTCATTTCAAATGCAATATATATTTAGTTATTTCAAATACATTCAATTTAGTGTAGTTCTTTCTTGTCTTTGTAGCAAATTTAGTCTAATTATCAAATCCAAATAATTTCTTTCAACCAAATGGAGGCAAATTTCACTTAAATTGGAACGGTTGGTAAACTATAGGGACTAAAATCGTGACCATTAAAAATATAAGGGTGAAAGTGGAATTTAATGATGAATTATAAGGACTAAAAACATAGTTTAGTTTAGTCTAAAAAAATGTCACTACTTTTTTTTATTTTTAATATTTTGGATTAATCGCGGCCGTTGAAAATAATTAGAGATTAGCGGCGGGAGGAAGCGAACAAAAATGGGAGATTCGGTGATATTTGGGTCCACTCCGCACGCATCGACTGATGAGGTAGCTGTTTTAAAAAAGGCGTGGATTCGTCCGAGGCCCATTGGCGGAGTTTTTAACGAACTTCACAAGCAAAACCCAAGACGGGTCAAAACCCCTCTCTCTCTCTCTCCTTTATATTCTCTCTTCTCAATACTTTGCCTTTCCAAATTCGCGTCTCATAGAGCTCTGTGGTTGGTGGCCTTCAGCATCTTCAAGGTTAGTCTCCTCACCCTCTTTCTCACTATCTTTGATTTCCAATTGCTTTTATTTCAATTCAAGCATTCATGGATCTTTTGGTTGTGTTATCAGATCTGGTTGCTTCTTTAGAATTTTCAATTCCCAGCTGTGTATTCATTTATTGTTTCTGAAAGTTCAATTTTCATTGGAACCTTGTACATAAAATTTCATGTTATTTGATTTTCTGGACTTTCTTTTAGTGTAAATAGCCAATAATTGAGATTTTTTTATTTGGTGAATTGGGTTGGCACTTGTATGTTGATTAAGATGTAAAAATCTTTGCTTTGTTTGTGTTTTTGAATGCAATTTAAAATTTTTGTGGCGCAGAGTTTCTGAGATGGCGGCAACATCAGCAGCGGCTACCTTTTCCTTTGGAACCACCTGTTCCCTTGGCCACAAAGCAGTCTCATTTCCACAGTCAAAGCCTTGTGCTTTGAGGTTCAACTCCCAAAACCCTCTTAAGAGTTCTTTCAATGGCCTCAAGGCAACTACATCTCTCGCTTGCGAATCTGAGACCTCTTTCTTGGGCAAAGAAACCACCGCAGCTCTTCGAGCTTCTTTTGCTCTAAAAGCCCATAAGGGAGCCCAGGTGGTTCAGACTCCGTTTCAACCCCAGGCCTCTTATAAAGTAGCTGTTCTTGGAGCTGCTGGGGGGATAGGTCAGCCCCTGGCTCTTTTGATCAAGATGTCCCCTTTGGTCTCTGATCTGCATTTATATGATATAGCAAATGTCAAGGGTGTTGCTGCTGACCTCAGTCACTGCAACACTCCCTCCCAGGTTCTTGATTTCACCGGAGCTTCTGAGTTAGCCAATTCATTGAAAGGTGTGGATGTGGTGGTCATACCTGCTGGTGTTCCAAGAAAGCCCGGTATGACCCGTGATGACCTCTTCAACATCAATGCCGGCATTGTGAAGAACTTGGTTGAGGCTGTGGCTGATAACTGTCCCGAGGCCTTCATCCACATTATCAGTAATCCGGTGAACTCCACGGTGCCAATTGCTGCAGAAGTTCTAAAGAAGAAGGGTGTTTATAACCCAAAGAAGCTCTTTGGTGTTACTACCTTGGATGTTGTGAGGGCAAACACATTTGTTGCTCAGAAGAAGAATCTAAAACTGATTGATGTTGATGTCCCAGTTGTTGGTGGACATGCTGGGATAACCATTCTACCCCTTCTATCAAAGACAAAACCCTCAGTCAGTCTCACTGATGAAGAAGTTGAAAAGCTAACTGTAAGGATTCAAAATGCTGGAACCGAGGTTGTAGAGGCAAAGGCTGGTGCTGGGTCTGCTACATTGTCAATGGCATATGCAGCAGCTAGATTTGTCGAGTCATCTCTACGTGCACTGGATGGAGATGGGGATGTCTATGAGTGCTCTTATGTAGAGTCTGATCTGACCGAGCTTCCTTTCTTTGCATCAAGAGTTAAGCTTGGAAGGAAAGGGGTTGAAGCTTTGATACCATCTGACCTCCAAGGTTTGACAGAGTATGAGCAGAAGGCTTTGGAAGCACTTAAGCCAGAATTGAAAGCCAGTATTGAGAAAGGTATTGCATTTGCCAACAAGCAAGCAATGACTGCTTAGATCGCTAGCATCTGAAGCTCGTAAAACCTCATTCTAATGAATGCCTTATAGAGGGTTATAAAGAAACCTGGTTATTTTTTTGCGCGGATTTAGCATTGCATCGGTACTTTTAAGTTTTGTAGAATGAATTTGATATCCTCTCATTTTTCTATGTTGAAGCACTGTTGGGAAGAAATATAGAGTTGCTTCTGTTGTTGTAGATTGAAGAATTTAGCCTTGCCTTTCTCTTGGGGAATATGTAGCGACGGTTTTGAAATAACTTGGCTGGTCGATTGTTAGTTCTTAGGAATATCATGTATTTCTCTCCTCTGGCGTGTATGCTAGACTTGAGCTAGTCACTGTCAAATAATTCTAAGAATGTTTTTAAATTTCAGCCTCTTTATGTTGGTGTTTTTACGTGCGTTCTTAGTGTTTATTACTTGGATCTTTGGAAATTAAAAAGAACCACAAATCATAGAAAAGTGATGTGAGCTAGATGAACAATAGATGGAATTCAAAAAAATAGCTCATTCACCAAATTTTATCAAATTTGCTACTTATTAAACCGGCCTGCTGCTTATGTGTAAGTCTTTGATCTTCACTAAAGTGCAAAAGTTCAGTCAACCACGGAGAAAGTTTGATACTATTTGTCGGCAATGGATGCTTCCATGAGAGCTTGCGGGCCAATTTCCCCACCATTGTCCAAGAAGGACTTGATCAAATTGTCGGAGAAGCCACTCACCATCGTGACCCCTGGATGATGTTCTTTGGAATGAGGAAACTTCCAGTCACAAATATTCCAAAGCAAAATGTGTGGCATTGCATCATTCCCGTAGCCTTGAGCCTCATACTTGCTCTGTTTTGCCTCATACAGAGTCGTTGAGGTGCAGCTAAAAAATCCCCTGAAGTCGGTGAACACAAACACTTTCTTGATAATCTGCTCCGCCTTCAAGTTCTCATTCACAACCACTTCCAGAATCAAATCAAACACCTTCTGAAAATCAACACCCTCGTTGGACTCCCTGAAGCATGTCCTCATCAAAAACTCACGCATGGACTTGAGATCATCACCTTGTATTAAATGCGGCAGCGGCTGATCAGGCAAATGACCAAAACTGATCACCTTTCCTTTCCATGCCGGATCTGCAATCAGTTCAGACAGCACAAGTCCGAAACACACTGCCAATTCTATGACTGGTATGGCCATGAAATCGGTGGTGATGTTACACACTGCCAAGCAGTTTTTAAATTTGCCCAACTCTCTTCCCCTTGCTTTTGCTTTAGGTACATGTCCTCCACCATTGCCTTCCACTGAAGCTCAGCCACTTCCCCAAAATCCTCATCTTCTACATATTTTATGATCTCATTTGGAAGCAGAGCATCCGGCTTTATTATGCCATTGCCTCCTCTTAATTGCTTCCTCCTTCTGCTGCTGCTTTCACCTCCTCCAAACACTTTTTAACCACAGAGACCTCTTGTGTGGGATTCCCGTACATGATTCAATGATTGTAGTAATTGGTCAAGGGAACCAAAGCCTTCCTTAGCCGTTCCCACTCTTCTGATTGATCTGATTCTGGTGGGAAAAGCCTCCTTGCAATGCTTTCACGCAGCAAAATGGCCCTGGAGAGGTGGTCGGAGATTTCGTTAATGACAAACGCTGCAGCCCCAGGTACCAAAAGATCAGCATCAAGTTCGTCGCCATCTTCATCTGGCTTCAGTTCCAGCTTGTGCTGCTGCTTCAATAAGTCAATATCAGACTTCAACCCCTCCGCCAAGAGATCCATAACCCGGTCGTGTAACAACTTATAGTCCGGGTCATGGTGGAGCCTCTCCGCAGCGTCTTGGCCTTAGAACCCGGTAGAGAGTGTTGAGAAGGTCATACAAACCCCAAAACTAACTGGTAAGGGAAGGGAGGTTGAATAATAGAGTCTTGGGGTGGTTATTGAAGATGAGCTTGAGGGTGGTTGGGGGACTGTGGGACCAGGGCACAGGCAGCTGTTGCTTCAGATAGTTAAGGGCAAAATGATTATAATCAGCCTGCTGCTGGATGGTGTTGTCTTCGAGTGGGTGACGTAGTGGTTTCACATGGAAAAACAGATCAAGGCAGGAATCACCAAAGGAATAGAGGGAGGAGGACGTAGGGGAGATGGAGATCTTCTTGGCCATGTCCTAACCGTTGGAGCCGGAAGCCATTAATCTTCTTGAGAGCAGTTAAGGAGGATAGGTAACAAGAGTTGTTGAAGCTGGAATTGTAGGAGTAGGAGGAGCCATTGCTTTCAGAACCCTCATGAAAGTGAAACACACTTGCAGTGGCACTGATTTCTTCATCTCTAATTCCTCTAATTCAAGTCCCAAATTGAACACTGTATCCTTGTTTTTGTTTCTTTAAATTATATAGATGATTAATGGCTTGCTTGCGCACCAAGGATCATCTTTTTCCTTTACCTGGAAAAAGAAATTATAACACAGATCAAAGACAAGAGATAATTATAACACTGATTACTTTAAAACAAGAAATTCCAAGTGAAACTCTAAAAAAAAAAACAAAATCCTTTTTGACGTCTAATAGCTAATTCAGCAAATTTTATCAGATTTGCTACTTATTAATCAGGCCATTCGCTGGATGCATACAAAGCTTATCTGAACCGTAGCTTTTTAGTATCCTCTTTTGTTCATCTCTTATGGTGGCTGCCTGCCCTGCACACCAAGTAACTGCACCAGTGCTCAATCAGCCAAACAGATTGCTGCTACAACTGCCTTTTCACAGCTTTCCTTCCACATTTTCTCTTTCAAACCAAAGGACGGCCACTGCCAGGGCACTAATAATTACTTCACTAGAAGTATCTACTACCATCTAAACAACCCACAGTGTTGCTTCTGCCCAGGCATTTCATTTGCAGAAAATGTTCCCAGTTGGCTCACATGATGTAGATCTTGAATATTCCTACCAATAGCCATTGCACGAGCAGCGCCCCTCCCGGAAATGATGAAACCGGGTGCGGTCTCGTATAATTACCTCTCTGTTATAAACCCCTGAGAGAGCCATTGCAAAATTATGGCAATCAACACATATCCGAAGATTCTTGGCCACTCTGATTGGCGTGCCAGGTGGAGTTGCTAGGACACCGAAAGCAATAGCTAATTTCTCGCTGTGATAGGAGAGTGCATGCCCCTTTTCTTCTGTCCCCAAGTTGTGCAATTCAGATGATACATCTGCAACATAACCAGCAATCTTCAGCTGGCCATTAATCTCATCCAGCATCTTGTAGATTTCATCCTTCCTTGGGTGCGAAACATCATCCACAACAAACTCGTGTGCTACTCCTTTCAATTCAATTGTGCTACAGCCAGGTGTAGTTTGAATTGCTTTTTCCTTCATAAATTTCCTCACTTCTGTTAGCTTCTCCCAGTTCCCAGCTGAAGAGTAAATACTCATCAACAGAACATAATCCCCTGCCTCTTGAGCCTTGAGTTCAATCAAATGACCTATAACACATTCCGCAAGGGCATCATGGCCATGAATTCTGCAACCTCCAAGTAAGGTCCTCCATATTGTCGAATCCGGTTTGATATCCATTGACAGTATGAGCTGATAGGCCTGATCAAGTCGACCAGCACGACCCAAAAGATCAACCAGGCATCCATAGTGATGGATATTAGGCACTACCCCAAAATCCTTGCTCATACGATCAAAAAACACCATTCCTTCATCAACCAAACCGCAATGACTGCAAGCACAAAGAACTCCAGTAAAAGTCTGATCATCTGGTAAAACACCCATTTTCTGCATCTCTCCGAATGCTTTAATAGCTTCTCTACCATACCCATTCACTGCCAACCCAGAAATCATTGCACTCCACGAAACCACATTTTTATCCTTCATTCCCTTAAACACCTCATAAGCCTTATCCAAACACCCACACCGTGAATACATCGCTATTAGAGAGTTACACAGATTTGAAGCACCATCATAACCATGTTCTTCAATGTACTTATGAACCCGTTCGCCGAACTCCAACGCGTTCAAGTTGGAACAAGCTTGGAGCATAAGTAAACACGTAACTTCATCGGGTTCACATCTATGAGTTTCACTCCGCATTATATCGAACAAGCTCACAGCATCCCTCGTCCGGTTATTATGTAAACAACAAGAAATCAACACGTTCCAAGCAACAACATCTCTCTTAGGCATCTCATCGAACAACTTGCATGCTTCATCACACTTGCCACAAATTGAATACAAGTCCATCAAAGTAGTGAGCAAACGACTGTCGGATTCATGGCCATCTCTCAAAATCCTAGCATGCACCTGAATCCCTCCTAGCAACGACGAAACTCTAATGCAAGATTTGATCACAAAAGACGATGCCAAGGCGTCGGCACGGAGGCCCCGCCGTAGCAAATCTCGGTACATAGAAAACCCCTCCTCTGGTGAATCACTGATTGAGTAGGCTCTTACAATGGTGTTGTACTGAAAAGCAGTCGGCTTTGCTATCTGATCGAAGAATCGGCGGGAATAGGAGATGCTCTTCAGTGGTGAAAGTGCAACGAGGGACAAGAACTGGAGGCAAATGATGGGTTCCAGAACAAGTGATGTTCGGACAATGTGGGCGTGGATTTGGAGCAAATGTGATCTTCTGGCGCATGATTTGATGAGGTCAAGAAGGGATTGTTTTGGGGTTTGAGTGTGGGAGATGTTGGCGGTAAAGCAAACAGGAACGTTGAGGTGATGAGACTGAGAAGAAGAGAGTGAGCTTAGGTGACGTGAGACTGCTGCTCTTCTCATATTTTCGCTCTTTAGTTCCCTTTGCTTATTACAAATATGTGAAATTTAATGTCAATTTTCGAACTTCACCATAGCGTCGAAAACCTTAATTATTCTTACAATTAGGAATGTACATATGGCCAGGCCCGATGGGCTACCCAAATTCAGCCCTATGTTTTAGGTTATAGGCTGGCCCGACTCGATACTATGGATATGTTTGGCCAGGCTCATTATGCAAAGGGTAGGGCCACGACTAAGATTTTTGGCCCATGGGCAGCCCGGCACGGTCTGATATTTAATTTAATTTATTAATAAATAATAGGGGTGGACATCAAGATCAGAAAACCAGAAAACCGAGCTGCACCGGACGTAGAAAAGGGAAACAAAACTATGTTGACTAAAAAGTCTACAAACCGGATTGGTTCAAACCAAGCGATGGCGTTATGAGTGGTGCTTTACTACAAATCTCTATTTTGATGGTGATGATACTTTGCCCTAATTTCATGCTATTAAACGGGAATTAAAAAACCAAAAAAATTGTAGATACGTCAATTCGGTCAACCATATTGAACAATTCAGAGTTTGCTTTGATCTAGATTGTCATTTTGCAAGTTCCATTGATAAATGGATTCAGTTTGCAATGGAAAAGAGAGTTCGAGTGTTTCTGTTGGACTTTCTACTAGACTATGGTGTTATTTATGAAGATTCCTATACTCCTCCCCGCACACTATTAGAGCATCTCCAGCGCAAGGCCCAGCCCGGGGGAAAGGCTGCCAGAGGCAGCCCGAGGCAGCTCCAGCGCAGGGCCCGTAGCCCAGTTTGGTGGTGGGTCCCACGAGCCCGAGGAAGCCCAAGGGCAAGTTTTGCCCTGGCTGAAGCCCGAGTTGGCTTACGTCAGCCACTGACAGCTCCAACGGGCGGGTGCCACGTGGCGCGACGGAGACTCTCGGATGGATTTTTTCCAGAAATCCGACGGTCCTCGTTTTTTTGGCTAAAAAAATTGCAAAAAAAATCTAAGAAAATCTGAAATTTTTTTTAAAAAATACCCAAAAATTCTGTATTTTTTCTCTATAAATACCTAACCATTTTATTTACTTTCCACACTAAAATCTTCATACAATTTCTTCTCCATCCCATATTTTTTACTCTTTACTCACATTATTCACTTTCAACCGCGATAAAATCTGCTATTTGTTCTACATCAGACGTGGCACAATTTTAGAGGGTGAAAATATTATCCAAAAATTTAATTACAAAAGATTATCAAAATTAATGGTTTAAACTATAAAAAAATAGAAAATAAAGTACAATGAATAGTAATTGCCTTAGACTTGCCCTAGACTTTGCCCTTGTGGGTGGAACCACAAATGCAAAGGCTGACACTATTCACGTGAATAGTGGCAGCCCTTGCTTGCCCTTGCCTTAGACTTAGCCCTTGTGGGTGGAGATGCTCTTAGGTCTTGAAAATAAAAAGGGATCCTCTGTGACGCCTTTTTGTTGCGACATTCCAAGGACACACTCTTGTGGATACAATGGTTTTGGGTTCCTCAGGGTTCTTCATTTGGAAAATGTTGATGAGTTGTTGAGTACTTCTTGTCTAATTGTTCAGTTCTCGAAACTGTTATCAGTGCTTGGTGCCACAAATGTGGTTGATTTAAGAGTTGTCCGTCCATCAGTTTCATTCAAGTACTTATCGATAAGATATTGTCTTAGCCTAAGAAACAGTGAGATTTGTGACTCAAACCTTGTGTAATTTATTTATGCCGGATACAAGAGAAACTTGCATCTCAGTAATGTGCCGTCACTCGGTGAGGTATCCATTTTCGAGCTTCCGGTCTATTTCCAAGAGTATTGCTGATTTCACGAGTGATGCCTTCACCCAATTTCCATGTTGTCTCTCTCAACTAGAGACTCTCATGTTGAATATTGGCATAAAGGTTAGTATGTATTTTGTAATTATCATGTGTGGGTTTACTTATGTTTTTGTTGGATTAATTTATGGAGTTTCCTTACTCTGTGTTTGGCTTTCTTTAAGTATAGATATGCATTCCCTGTTCCTACATTACCAAATCTTAAGCACTTGGAGCTTCTTGAAGGCATCTCCTTCCTTGCAGAGACTTGTACAACTTGATAGTCGTAGTTTTGTGTGTGTGTGTTTTTTTTTCCTTTTCTAATTATGCGTTTGGGGTAAATACTTTGGGAGTTTTTGGTTTCTTTATAATTGTTATACCTTTTGAATATTAATTCTACTTGGAAATGCTTGATAGGAGAAGCACATTAATTCAGCATGGTTGCGCACACATTTACCTATTTGAGCCATTGAAACTTGAAAGCCTCTTAAGCTTCTGTAGATCATAAAATAAAAAGTACAAATAATACGAGTTAAATTTTAGAAATTAACTTAAGAAAATAAGATACTAAATAAATAAAATAAAAAAAAAAAAAAAAAAAAAAAAAAAAAAAGAAGCAAACTAAGAACAGGCATATGTTGTTGGAATTTGATGAGGAAAAAGAGTCAGATAAAAGAGACTTGATTTCTTCATCGTCCTCATAACCATCATCCATAATACTTGCATATTCATGAATTTCATTGTTGCTGCAGATGAAAGAGGATTGTGATTGATCCAAATTATTCATCCCCATGATCTTTCTCTTCTTGTAATTAGCCTTAAAACAAGCTTGCCTCAATCGCTTGGTATTATCCTCCAATTGCATGTCGGGCACTTCCTCCAGCAACTTCCTCTCCCTCTCCAACAACTCTATTGCATTTCGAAGCTTCTCCTCACTCTCCTCCCCTTCCTTTCCCAAATCCTACATATACATAAATTTCATGTAAAGCCAATTTATGAGTTTATAAGTGAAAAGTCATTTCTACAACTTTGTGCATATGTAAGGTTGTTCGTTTTTATTGAACCAACCTGAATGTTTCTGATTAGGGTTTGGAGGCTGGCCAGCTTCCGGTGAGGCCACCGGCGAATCCCCAACTCTCTACACCTTTTCTTCAAAAGGGTTAAACCTACATTGAGTTCCTTGGCTGCCTGAGTTATAGGCATGTAGAAGTAGTTTGATATTGTTTCCCTCGACAACATTTTTGATGAGTTGAGCGACGTGGAGTTTGATGATCTTAGCCTTGTGCTAAGGTGAGACCTTTTACTAATCACCTTCGTCTCCTCCTCCAACTCATTCTCAGCACTGCCATTTTCTTCATTCTTGCACATCAGCAATGGAGGTTGATGCTGTATTTGTTTTTGTTGATTATTGCTAGGCTCCATTAATTCACCGAAAAAATCATTACAAACCCCATTTCCATTTCCCAAAACAAGTTCATCACCTGCTTACAAAGAATAAAATTAACTACAGAAAAAGCTGAAAATTAAAATATATACATATTGAATGGTGCTTTACAAAGAATCACACACCTTGAAACGCACTTCGGATTGGTTGAATATCAAGGGAAGAGTAAAGAGGATCAAGATTCAAACAGCTTTGATCCATGAAAGGAACAGCAGCATCAAGAAAAGAGTCTTGTACTAGTGGGAGCGTCCATTCGTATTGCCAATCAAATGGACCATACCCGTTCATTCCACTAACAAACAATGATCAATTAACATCCACAATATTGAACAATGCATGCTAAAATTATGCCAAAAAGAACGAAAATAAAAAATCATTAACACACACCTCAAATAATCCATAGGAGGAACTATTTGGTTTGTGAAGCAAAATGGATCTTCAACAACATCATAGTTGGCCAGCCAACTCATAAGTGAATGACCACCCATTTGATTTTTATTGCACTCACATACGAATCAATGTGTGTTTTGTGTTTTGTGTGTGTGTGTGTGAGAGAGAGAGAGAGAGAGAGAGAGAGAGAGAGAGAGATGAGGAAGAAGAAGAGACCAGTAGTGGGTATATATAGGGACACGGATAAAAATGGCTGTGTGCGCTTAATTATTGCTTAGCGAGAGTTACAAGATGTATTAATTAAGGATAATATCTCATTTACTGGGAGGGGCTTCATGATCATGAGCCTACATGAACGTGCGCCGCCACACCTCCTCTCTCCCTTCCCACAATTATTAATTTTATATCCTTCTCCTTCTTGATCATTAGCCTGCATGCCTTGCCAAGTTTGGATCATCTACATACATCTATATAATCTACTATGGGGCACTAAAAACTTGGACTTACTAGCAATTCACAATCATTATCGCTCCTTGTCACATTTGTTCACCTTTTGCAATTATTACACGTTGCTCGCCCTTCGGAGTTTGGATCGTCCTCAAGGCCTCAAATGTAATAATTTTGTGAAAGGGAGAATTCGAAAACATGACCTCAAATGTAATGATTTTTAAGATCATCTCTTGTTTGGTACAAGCAAAGTCTCAATCATCCTTTCGATCCTCATAATCAATGTTAAGCATGATAAAATTTGGGTAAATATTATTTTGATAATTAGTCAAAAGTAATACACGATACATGTACTCGCTGGCGGCAGTAGTTTTAAGTTTGAAAATGAGATTATTTTGTGGCACTAGATTTTCTGCCCACTTGTTTTTGGTTGTTCATTTTGAGATTGTGGATTCGGTTTTAATATGGATGCCATGTAACGTACTGATAAATAATCATTTACCAAGTAATGATCAATGATCAGTTAGAAATATTTTGATTAATTAAGCTAATTATAATCAGACCAATTATTCTTCTATATCATGTAATCTAGTTAATGTATATGAGTGGTGGCCAATTATTGCCATGGCATGCATAATATAATTTCGTCTTTTAAAGACTCAGAAGCTACGGTTTTTTTATTTTAAAAATAATAATAATAATAAAATAAAATAATTTATTCTTTTCCAAGTGGTGGAAAATGACTGAGAAGAGTTGCAGTAGTAATCATTGCAGAATCCACAAATAGGGTTTCCATGGAGAAAGCTCAGCCAAGCGAATCCTGAAAAATCATATTTCTTACTTAACGCCAAATTTTAGCTAATGATGATGAGTAAGAATTAATGGTGATATAGCATTTTACAGTACCAATACTTTTGTCAATATTTTGGTTAAAAGTTTTAGGTTGCAATTGGAAATTATGATGTTCCTTAATTATGCATTAGAATGGAACGAATTCTTCCTTGTGCACAAGTGCATAAAACGCAAAGGAAAAAACCAGAAGAAACCATTATCAATCAAATTTGGAAAATACAACTGTTTTATCTCAATAAAATAGAAGGAATATAAGGCAAGGTCCATAACTTTTCTTCTTTGAACCTATGCTAAAACTCAAACCTCCAGCAAAGGAAAACCTGGAGACTACAATTCAGTTTCTCGGCTTACCCCTTCCACGGCCACGCCAACCTCCCCTTCCACCGCCGCCACCCCGGCCACCTTTCCCTCCTAAGGCTTTATTGGCGTCAGAGTGTGCTTTCATGTTCTCTGGCAAGGGAAGTATCTGATCCACACACTTCCTGAAACTAAAATCATCAACAGCTTCATCTTCCCTAATGAGGAAGAAGCACCTGCTTTTATACAATGGATGGGTTCGAACTTGGAAAGCATGGACCCCTCCACCAATCTTCTTATCAGGCTCTGCATGACCCTTCTTAAGCAAGTCCAGCAAAACCAGATGCTCATACTGCAACATAACAAGAGATTCAGTCAAATATGTCATCAAATAACAAGAGATAAATATTGCAGGGCAGCAGCAATCTCAATACGAAAGCACTGAATGAAACGATCACAGCCAACTTACACAAGTCTTCTAGAATCAATCTCTTTTCTAGTTAAAAATTCCTAAAACCAATCTCATTGCCTTAATATAATTGAATTTGTGACCAGGGGATATTGAGCAGGGTTGCTAGATATTTTGTACAAATTAGGGATGCTGAATTTTCTGGTGAACTTGGATCTTCCTTTTCATGCAACTATCTTCAGATATTGGGAAACTTTCAAACTTTTTTTGGTATATTCTCATGCAACATACCTATACTCTCCCCTTCCAATTCCTCCAAAGGCTAATAAAAATATAAGAGAGTTGACAGACAATTAACATGGGAATGAAATTTTGCTCCTTTTAAGGTAATGAATTGAACATGAACTACCCACCATCGAGTTTCCTACCATATTCTTAGAGAATTCACACATAAATAAGATCTTTAAATATATGAATTAACAATACCATCTCTAGAAAACCCAATGTAGAAACACCAGGAATCCTTTGATCAATATATGCCAAACACCAGGATCAAACAAATAACTCCAACTTCACTGATTAAATTAAAGCAAAAAAACAATTTTCAACCAATTAATATTTACCAAAACCGCAAAAGTCTCAGACTCTGAGAAAAGAAAACTCTTTGCCTTCTGTTGTCTTTCCAACAGTTCATGATCGACCAAACAGGGGAGAAGACACAAGCCAAACCAAAATTCTCATAACCACATTCACCACAACTACGGGACACCAAATTATAACGCTAATTATACAGTTATGTATTGAGAAAAAGTTCCAATTTTTATTCTATCTGAATTCCATACAACTTTCAGCACAAGCAAACAGAGCTCAGAGGATCAAGAGCAAATAAATAGCTTTCTTTGGGTACCTTATTAACACTGAGATCAGTCGGCCAATAATGAAGCAACTTGTAGAAGTAGTCGAACATCTCCACTGACGACCCGAAACTCTTCGGGCCCAGGCTGACCCGACCCGACTCTTTTCCTTCCCCCAACTTCTCCAACCGCTCCTCTTCCGGCGACTTCTCCACCTTCGTCTTCTTCGCCACGGCGTCGTTTCCTTCACTCCCCTCCTCATCCCTGAGCCGTTTCGCGTTCGCCTCAGCCTCGCCGTTAGTGCCCTCATCGGGTTTTTCGGCCGGGGCGGGCTCTGAGGCTTCTACTTCCATGTCCTCGGCGGCGGCGGCGGTTTCCGAGTTGGTTTCGGCGAGTTCAGAGACTGTCTTCTCTGCCATGATCGTATATCTGTGTATGCTTGTGAGGCTAAACCCTAGGTTTTGGGCCTCCTTATATATATGGATATACTCAGCAAGCACTATAACGGGTTTTCTTTTCGGAACCGAATCCGGTTATTTTATTATCTTTCCCTTTTTCTCATTAAAAAAATGAATTTATTAGTGTTTTGGTAGTAGGGGGATTATTATGTTTCTGTTAAAAAAAAATTAATTAATTAATAAATAAATAATCATCATTGCTTGGGATGTATAAATATTTATTTGTTAGTATTCATATGGCGTGATAATAGAAATTAAAACAGGGATCGTGATATATATCACTTTTGCACGGAAATTTATCTTGCTTTATATTTATCTATATCTTCTATCTATCTATATATATATAAAGTAAAAGGCAGTGAATAATAAAACATTCAAAATACTAAAAAAATATCATTTGTTAATTCAAACATTAAGAATTGAAATTATTAATTAAATGATGATAATATGGTAGATTCACTTTTTTCATCTTAAAAAAATTAAAATTAAAAACAAAATCAAATAATATGTCCTACTTTTATGGAATATAACTACTCATGTTATCTTTTCTTATCTCTAAAAATAAAAAATAAAATAAAAAATAAAACCAATTGGCACATGGTAGTACATATCAAATTAATTATCGATGTTTTACAAAGTGATATTTTAAACTACTCTAATGTACGAGAATGAGAATCAAACTTGGGTGCAAATGGACGAAAATGTTTACTTAGCTAACTTGCGCAAATCTATATTTTCATCTTTTTTAAACCTAATACCTTTTAGGTTTAAGTGTTGAGTATAAAATTATCTACCGAATGCATTTAGTCTACAAGTAATTGCGGGATTTACTTTAAACCTTACCTTTGATGCGAAGTGACTTGAACAACTTTTAATGGTTGCCAAACATATAAGTTTCTTCCATGTTCCTTGATTACAATGAAATCAATGATTTACCAACTAATTAAAACCACTCTACCAAAAGCCACCCTTCCAACAAACCCCCTTCATCTTTTTGTTTTGTTTTGTTTTTGGCCTGCAAACCTTTGCATATACTAACAGTTTAACAAATAAGAAAAGATTTTTTTTTTTTTTTTTTTTTTTTTTTTTTTTTTTTTCTCATTTTCATTTTAATTTATTCCATTCGAAAATTTCCCCCGTAAATATTTTATTGGAAATTATTGTTTTGACAAAACAAATAATTTATTCACACATAGGTTGGTGCACTAGGCATTGTCCAATTACGCAATACGTCCAATGTATCGATGCATTGTTTTATCAAAAGCCAAATTTTAATGTTTTAATCTTGCTATGTAGGTACGAGATTGGAAGTGACAAGAAAAAGTAAAGGAGAGTGGTAGGCACAAGACATGGACACTTCTTTGAACATGGCCAAAGTCAAGTGAATGGTGCTTCTAGGAGAGTCAATTCACATGTTCATCAACATTTCAATGGGGCACCACTTGGATTTTAAATACTCAATTTTGCAAGCAATAATAATTTAAAAAACTAAAATAAGATTGGTTGGAGTGTTTGAGACTAGATATCACAAATTATACAAAATAATTTTTCCTTTCTGACCAAACCAATTAAAAAAATATATATATATTAAAAAATAATATATACTTGAACTAATTGTTTTCATGAGGTGGCATAAGCCTATTGGATCACCGTTAGAATCGAAACTATTATTACATTACATATGCAGTCACAAATCCAAACGAACCGACGATCCTCGGACATTCTGACGTCCGTTAAAGACCGTTACTGTTAAAACACGCGCTAAATCAAATAATTCGATCTGGACCGCCCACGTTACGGTCAGGAGGGGTCTTGATTCAACTAATACTCTCCATTTGGTACAGAAAACACAGACGATCTCTTATAAGGTATGGACGGGCGTTACCGAGCCTAGCATAACTAGGCTCGTCCAATCCGAACCTGATGCCTTCAAATTGAATCAAATAAAAATCCGTTTGGTGGAAAGGCAAAGGTTAAAAGACTTTTTCACAAGAGAACAATTTCAGAGTTCTAAAGCTCAAATTCTAGGTCTTTTCCAGGTACTTTTCTTCCTTGTTCTTTTCCTGATTTGTGTATTTTTCTCTCTCCTAAATTTGTTTTATCAATTTGCGTAATGCATTTCTGCTGTAAATGCTTCATTTTTAGGTGTAGAAAATCATAAAGTTCTTACATTTCGATCGTGGGTGTGAATTTTTGTTCTTTTAGGGTTTTGTATCACCGATTGATCGTATTGGTAAGTTTTTGTCAAATTTTGGTGTCAATTTATGGGTTTGGTTAGGGAAAGGTTGGGGATTTAGTTTGGTGTTCGGCAAGTACAGGAGTTTTGTTTGGTAGCTCAGACCGGAGGAGATTCTGTTTTCTTGGTTTTCTTATTGTTTAGGTTGTACGGGGTAAATTAGCTGGAGCCAGTGAAGCACTGATCATATGACATATCGGTTCAATTGTATACAATGTTAGGCTTAGGCTTTTGATTTTCTTTAGTTTTTCTTTGGCCTTCCTGTTCTTAGCATCCAAACACGCAGTTGAAATGGCTTGAATGCAGGGTAGTTTGGGAAATATTGAAGCTTTAATGTTTGGTTATATGCCTTTTTGTTGTAGTTTAGGAGCTCCTTTGCGACCTAAAGGTGGTTAAAGAAAAGGGAAAGCCAATTTTGAAATTCAAACCTTTTGAGTGGAACTTCAAATTGGAGCTGTTATAGAAATTCTGAAGCTTTGCTTTCTGCTTGTAAAACTGAGGAAGATAGTAGAGAAGTCCAATTAAAACCTTAAATCTGGGTCAACTCCTCGCCATTCCTTCTAGGTCCAGATATTGAAAGAATTTGGATTTAAGATCCAATTTTGTATTTTCCTCCACTTATATGCAGGACTATTTCATTGTTTTTCCTGATCACGAAACCCAGAATCACTATCTTTACATTTCACAACTTTAAATTTGACTAGTGCATTTTATTGAATTTTAAAGGAGATTGTTTTGAGTTAATGAATTTTCTTTCTATATTGTTGATGCAGGAGCTTTAATTTGAGTAAGAATGGGTGATCACCTGGTGTTGTGCGTTGACCGCTTCACAAAACCTGAAAGCTTGCAATCACCGCAAGGGAATGAGGCCCCAGGATCTTCTTCAGAGGGTTCATGCTCCCAATCGGCCGAGCTACCCACTCATGCCATTGATGTTAAGGGGGTAGGGGAGAAGGTTGTATCTGAAGAAGAAGAGCCACTGATTCAGACGGTTGAATGTCGCATTTGCCAGGAAGAAGATAGCGTTAAGAATTTGGAAGTCCCCTGTGCTTGCAGTGGCAGCTTAAAAGTATGTCTTATTTCTTGATGTTTAGTTCAGAGATTATTTTCTACCCGTGTATATAGTCTCCGCTATTATGCTCAAATCAGCTTCATGGGCTTGAAATTATATCATGACATGTGCTGCTGATTCCTTTTTATTTGTGTTTTTGTTATGTGGTTTTGTTGAGAGATCTTAGCTTTCTGTTTTCTTCTTTCTATTTTCTTTTTCACTACCCACTATCTTTGTATGAATCTTTTACTGCAAGCCAATATTATTCTTCTAGTTTCATATATGTGAAGCAATTTCAGTGTCTTGTTAGACTATATTATGAATTTAAAGGCAAAGCCAATGATTTCTTTCTCTCTTTTTACAATTCAGTTTGCTCATAGAAAATGTGTCCAGCGATGGTGCAATGAGAAGGGAGATATAACTTGTGAAATTTGTCATCAGGTAAGTTTCTAGAATCCCCGGCATCTGCAATTGCCATGTTTCATGATTGTTTTTCGGTGGAGAATCTGCTAGATTCATTTATATATTTGAGATTAATAATTATTAAAGATGTTCCTTATATTCATATAAGCAAGCAACGTCTCTTAGTTTAGAAGCCATCATAAGCATGCCTTTTCTGTTTTGGGAAGTATGAAATGCAATGTTGCATCATGAGAAGATTTTTGGTTTTAAAATCAATTAACTATAATGATGCATCCATGTGATATATTAAATCATGTGAGCATTTTCTGGTAACCTCTTGATCATTTCAATTGGATAATATGAATTTCATCCACTCACAAGTGCAAAGTCATTGTGTGAATTTTCATGCAAAGTTTCTTGGATGTACAGCCATACCAACCTGGTTATACTGCCCCACCACCTCCGCCTCAGTCTGAAGATACCACAATTGACATCAGGCAAGTTTAAATTCACATATGCTTTGCAACCTGGTTCATGTTGTTATTGAGGAAATTCTTTTTATCTTTTTATCTTTAAAATTAACATCTGGATAGATGTGAGAATGTCGATTTGTTCTAAGGACTTTTCTAATTATATTGAGCACTGAAAGCCCATCGTTCTCTTTGTATTACTATTTTGTCAGGTTATGTTGTACAGGTTGTATTTAAGACCCTCATCTGTTTTGTTGTTTTGTTGTTTTGTTGTTTTGCTTCTTGGATTTGCCTGACAGTGAGGGTTGGACAATCTCTGGTACCCCTTTGGATTTGCGTGATCCTCGACTATTAGCAATGGCAGCGGCTGAACGTCACTTTCTAGAGGCTGAATATGATGAGTATGCTGATACAAATGCTAGTGGAGCAGCTTTTTGCCGCTCTGCTGCTCTAATTGTAAGCCTTAGCAACCGCCATTTATAATGTGTTGGAATTTTTTTTTCTTTTCTTTAAGATTTAATAGTAGGGCATGTAGGAATGACATATTTCCTTCTCATTTTCTTTATGATTTTAGTTTATGGGTCTATCAGACAATAAGCAAAACCTAGCTCAATGTTTTTTCCCCCGTTTTCCAGCTTTAATGAAATCTCTTATCGTTAACTTTATCTTTTATTTACTTCTTTATTTCTTAATACCTTTTTCTCTGGTCATTCTGAATTGGTGTAACTAGTTGCAGATGCTTTTCTGGGCCCTGCAACTTGTTGCCTATGTACATTCCCAGTTTAATACCTTGGCATGGTCTGCTCTCAGTTGAATAAGAAAATTTAATGTCAATCCTTCTCTTGTTCCTTGGCAGTTAATGGCTCTCCTCCTCTTGAGGCATGCTTTGACCCTCCCCAATGGAGATGGGGATGACGATGATGCTTCAACCTTCTTTTCTGTAAGTGGCATGTGGATGTTGGATGTGTCTCATAACATTTCAGATTCTTGCTCCATCTAACTAGTGGTCTATTGTTAACAGCTGTTCTTGCTCCGGGCTGCTGGTTTTCTTCTCCCATGCTACATTATGGCTTGGGCCATCAGCATATTACAACGTCGAAGGCAAAGACAGGTTAGTTCCTGGGTTCTGCTGTTTTGGAGGAACCCAAGAATAATTTTTTTTCTTATATTTTCATAATGAGACGAGATAACACCTGTTGTTTGGCATGCTTCTTATATTGCACAGAAAGAATGTAGGAATCATGTTGCAACCAACTTTTGTTTGCCATTTACTAGAAGCTTTCTGCTCTTGGAAGATGGTTGAATGCTGAATTTTTTTAATTGTCTTTTTGAAGAACTGTTTTGCCAAGGATGTTGTCTATATGTTTACCTAGAAGATGGGGCTTCACTTTTCTTTTTCTTTATCTGTGTTGGTGCATCTGATTCGCAGTAGCACATTTATGCTTACCATCTAGAATGACTTGTTGGTTGTTGATGTCAGTTGGTAAATGCAGACCTTTTTTTTAAAAAAAAAAGGTTACATGCTAATTTGTTTGTATCTTACTGTTGAGCCAGGAGGCAGCAGCACTTGCGGCAACTGAGGTTGCATTTATGCTGCAGGCAGGGCAACGCCGGGGCTTGCAGTTCACAATAGCTCCAGGACCTGCAGTGACTCCCCATCAGGAGCCAATTCAATAATACGGTGTTCCTCAATTCTGGCATGTACTATTTTGGTGAAGAGGATACGTTGGAGCTGGAAATCTGAGTGTATTGTTTCTGTTTATGCTACTAGCAGTAGAGGAAAATCAGAAGGCTGTAGCTTTCTGATTGTCATGTATCTGTAATCGAATTATTTTAAATACTCGTACAAGTTCACTATTTTCTTTACTAATCTCTTTCTCATGTTTTGTACATAATCTTGGTTCTCACAGCAGCAGTTCTGCTGCATGATAAACCAGTGTCGTAAGTGCTATTGTTCACAGATTATATTTGCAAACTATCTTGAATGCATTTCTTCAGTTGCCTGCTATTTATTCATTGTCATTTTTTCGCTTACTCATCCTGATGATCATGCAAACTTCTGGCCAAGCATCAACTTTACATGCATCATGTATCAGCCTTCCGTTTCTTCTTATTTCCTCTAGTTTCATTTTCCGTTTTGAAGTCCCAATCTAAACAAAGACGAGTCTCCGCCACCGGCTAGTTTGCATTGCTCTTGGCAATGCTCTGATCTGTGTAACTATTTGCATTTTGCTGGTTGCCAGGTGCAGAACTCATTGGGTGACACAATGCTGTCATACAGATTGAATAAAATCATCACGGAAGCTAATGTTGAAGCCAGTCTACTTGAAATGTGAAGTTTTGTGCTTTCAGGCTTTAAATTCAAATGCATCACACCATTGATTTCTTGAAGCGTGACAGTCTCCTGTTGGTTTTCTCATTGATGACATGCCTTTGTGTGATAGTTCAAGAAACCTAGTCACTCTGTCACCCTGTGTTGGAGTTGTTAAAGTTAAATGTGATGGTGAAGGATGATTTGGAAAGCAAACGTTCCATTCAATTCTTTTACTTTAATACAGCTCTCAAAGCAGAGATCCATGATATTGGAGTATCTTAGCTTATGTCCAGCTTGGACCATGACCAGTCCACGTCCTCCTCAAGACCTCCCTTTGGCTTGTCTCAATTTAAACTCTACTGGTGATCGCCTTTTACAATAGTTTTCTTTTGGTTTTTATTTTGAGCAAAGAGCTTTTGTTCAAGGCTTGTAGTTCTTGAAAATGAACAGAACAGAAACGAAAAAGGGAAATGAGGGTAGGGTGAGAGAGAGAGAGAGAGAGAGAGAGAGAGAGAGAGAGAGAGAGAGACAAAGATGGTCTTCATGGATAAACGAGATATATATAAAGAACAAAAAAAGAAGAAGAGGGCAGATATGCAAGCCCAAAATGCGTTTCCTTTGAAGCTTTGAATGGGGGTTTAAGGACTGGGCAATCCAAAGAGAGAGCAAAGAAAAGCATAAAGGAATTCCATTTAGCACAAGAAACCAAGACTCTGATTTTTGCTGCATGGAGAGAAGAGCTTGGAATTCTAAAGCTAGTTTAGCTTAAAGCAAGTGTTTGGTGTATAAAGCTATTGGTAGCGTTGGTTGGTTGGTTGGTTATTTGGGTTTTTTTGGTTTTTATATTTTTTGGTGGGAGGGATTACCATTCCCCACCATTCCTCCAACATCTCTACTTTTGATGGCTTTTCTGCTACATTAGCTATCCAAATTTGGAACTGCCTGATCCTTGTTTAATGCTTATTGATGTTATTGCTTTGTGATGTTTTATAACTCAAAATCTCCAGAGTGGAATTCTTTTCAATGATTGCATTTCATCTCACCTCTGTGGGTTGGCTTGAGCCACATATGCAAAGCATTTAGCATATTCCTTTGGGATTTCTTCACCAAGTTCTCATAATTCTACACATCAGACTCATCAGCATGGTAAATGTACACATCAGCATGGGCAGATGATGTGGCAAGTTGGAAAAGTATTCAAGAGACCAAAACTGGTCTTTGTTTGGTAAAAAAGAGCAATGCAGATGATAGAGAGATGTAGGGAAACCGATTGAGAAAAAAGATACTTGCCTTCCCAAGGATAGTGTTCCAACTTAACTTTTCATTCAAACCTGTCAGAGTCTTCTAAAACAGCCTTATATTGCTTCTATAGTAGGCTTATGATTGAGGTGAATCTAAAACTTCCCTACATATTCTGGCCTTCTGGGGCCTCTTTGGGCTTTATGCTTTTAGCCTTCCAAATCCCATAAAAGACATACCCTTGGCTTATTCTTACAGGAAATGAACCACAGGGAGGAACAAAGTTTCAGGCACACTACTCATTCTCTTATCATTGCTTGAAACACAGATACCTCCTACACATACATATTTCTTCATTTTGCAGAGCACAAGCATTAAAAGCATGGGTTTTTTGGCTTATAGGAGTGCTGTTCTTTTTGTCTGTATTGGGTTTTTAGCTCTCCAGCCAGAAAAGGTTTCTGGCTTAAGAAGCATGGATTTGGCTCTCAGATGGGACAAAGGGCACATGTCATTTCTTAAAAGTTTGCATCTTGTTAAGGCTGTTGCTGTAGAGGATTTGCAAGCGAAGCTGAGTTTGGCTCCTGCACCTTCAATGACATTTGATCCAAATCAATTGAACAAGAGAAAAGTTCGAAAAGGATCAGACCCGATTCACAACAGATGTTGACATGCTGATGCAGCTTCCTATGGGGAGAAGAAGGCAACTAAGTTTTTTCATGCAAAAGAAGCAGCTGTGCTATAACTAATACAAAAGGGTTCAACAGGGTGGTGGGCTTCCTCTTCCTTTATAGATTCTCAAAGTTGGTTGGTTAGAATTATATATTTTCGTTTGTTTTAGTCGAAAGTTTTTGTTGTTGAGCTGAAGAAATGCAGCTGAAAAACCAATCATTGAGCTAGCATCATCTCTATTGTATAAACATAGGTCCTAACCAATAGCCGAATACTTTGAGAATGATGATGCTGGCACTCACAGATTACATGCATTTTCTGAATTCTCTACAAAAGAAAGGACTGCTATAATTCTATGTTTGTGATTTTGCATTTTATAGCCACAACTTTGAGTGTTTCACAGGTAATGTTGCTGCTGTCTTTGCATCCTCATTTATTTGTTGAGCTCTTCCATGCATGCTCAAGTAAAAGGAAAATAACTATAATAAAGCATTTATAAAAATTCAAGCCATGAGGTTGAAGGTTGTCATTTCTCTAAAACTAGGTTCCAGTTTGATTCGCAGCCACACTAGTGAGACATTTTTCACCTTCACATTCTCACATGCAATACAATCAAAGTTTCACATATAGTAACAACAAAAATGGAACTAATTCACTCTAAAATTCAAAAATAAATAATTTGATTGAAAATTATTATCTATCTACAAAGTAGATCAACATAACCAATGGGTACGGATATATATTGTCAAAGCCAAAATCCCTTACAGATATCTTCTCAACTAGTCTCTGTCTCTTATATGCCACCGTCAGCAAAAACTTTCATGTTTCCCCTGGGGTGCAAGGTCAAGAGATCTTAGTGACTCGCATTTCAAACGGTGATTGTTATTTCGTTATTATACCAGAAGTTGACCTGTCATATCTCTTCTTTCTGTGAAATTTAAATTGTATAGAGGATATTTTATGAGAAACTGCTTGCCAAATCATATCAACGGCATCACCAGGCTGGGATGGATACTGATATTCGAATTGATGTACAATTTCCTTCAACCTTTCCCACATTTTGGTCCACTTGTCTTGCTTGATTCCTTGAAGAAGATTCAGTAGGTAACCCTTCTTAACAGCATCAGACGCGTGAACAAATATGCAAAACTCTGAGTAGTCTAAGACCTCTTCAAATGGTAGCTCAATCTCATCACTAATAATCACAGGGACACAATGACTAGCAATAGCATCAAATAGGCGATTTGAGGAAGGGGTATCACCAGCAATATTGAGGCAAAATTTTGATGAGGCCATTCCTTGGCTTGCCTTGTTAATACCATTTCCTTGAACACTACCAAAAGTGAAGTGTACATCTTTCTCATCTTTGAGAATATAATACAATTCCTGGCGAATTACTCCTCCCTGGATGAATTCAAAGTAAAGATTACTTAACATATTATCTGGAAATTCTAAACTGATTATTGCTAAAACAATAGTGTTTGATGTAAAGGAAGAAGGGAAGCTCAGCAAAATATAAATAAAAAATATAAATATAAATAAATAAATAAATAAAAACCCTGCCTTTTGGAAACAAGAGCCGGCAATAATGACAAGAGCGCATCAGAATTCAGAATAAATGATATGATTATGAAATGGATCATGTCAGTCATAATTCAAACACTTTGTTGCTTCATTGGAGTTGGGATATATTAGCATATCAAATCAGCAATCAGTTTTGGAGACTGCCCTGCATCAAAGGACTAATTTATGCATTTAAATTTCATATATAATGAAATGACTTGTTTGCTCCTCTATATGAGATAGCCCTTTTCCAGGAAATCCTAATGGCCGGATAACTCATTCCACTATCAAATTCTGGGTAATATGAGCTAATCAAAACAAATTTCATCATGCATCCTATCACCAATTGAAAACAAATTGAATATTAAAGACTATACAATTCATGACAAGAGGTAAAAGAAGAAAATAACATACATCTTTTCTGTATATGGCTCCTCGGAAATATAATAGTATAGGACGTTCCTCAAATGAGGCTGATTTGCTGCTGTCAACAGTCATCACCACATGTCTGTAAGGAGCAATTACATCCTTCTCAAGATTTGCTATTTCAGCTGGGTATCTTCCAAAATCTGCAAGCACAAACATGGCAGAGCCCAATTTCCTTCTTGCATCCAACATGCTATTCGGATGGTGAGCAACTATCAAATGATCCTTCCCACCCTTTCTTTTCCATTCATCCCGACCTTTCAAAAACTGCACCAATTTGTTCTGCAACATCTTGTTGACACTGACTTTCTCCTTTCCATGGAGCTTAGAATGCCTGTTGTAACTCAAAGATGAGAAGAATGGCACAAAAATAACATCTGCTTCGCTTGAATTGTGCACCCTAACTACCGTGCAAGGTCTGACCACAGTTGGGATATTTGAGGACAGAAGATCAAGGGTGAGCCAGTATTCGATACTGTGCTGTAAATTCAGGCCACCTGGGTAAGGTGGGATGCGACTTGGGATACTGACATTTGGCCATGTTTGATTCTCCTTTCCCTTCCAACCCAAAAGCCCAAAGTGAAATTCAGGAGGCAACTCATACATGAACACCCTCAAGAGTGCCTGAGTTGAATCACAGGCCATAGTTTTCATTTTCCTTAAAGATCCCAATTTCTTGCTTGAATTGGAAACTTGACAGGCCAATTCACTTCTTTTTGAGGATCTTATAGCATCAACTCGGGAAACCTCAGAGGACAGGAAAGGAAGTTGTTTCTGCTTACTTTTTACAAGGGGCTCAAAGTACACTGATGTGCCATTAACAAGAATAAGCTTAAACACTGAACTGGGTGTAAAAGAAGTTTTGCTAAATTGAAGTAGGAAGACAGAAGAAAGGATTAAAAGGAACACAGAAACTGTTATCAAGTAGAACAGAAATTTTGAGGGAAGCCTACTCTTTTCTGACATTGATGAAATTTACCAAGTTTTTCAAGTTGAACAAGATAACAACGGCAATTGAACAAAAAGAAGGTATGCAATCTATGTTACTTCTCCTAGAGATCAAAAACCACCTTATTGCTCTGAAACATTAATCCCCATCAATTGTCTAGAAGGAAAAGGGAAAAACAAGGCAATGCCCATAAATTCAGCCTCTTAACAGAGCAGCTTGCTTCCAGAAACATGGACAGAGAGACACCCGTCTTGAATATGAAGCCTAAATTTTGTAATTCTTTCAAAACAGGTTGCCACACAATTTATCTCTAACGAAAACAACAACCATCAATTCAAGGAGAAAGCTTTCTATTTTCTCAAGGCCATGGATAATCTGTGAACTTACTGCACACAAAACCTTGAGTTTCTGAAAAATCCATGAGCCTCTCTCTTGAAATCATCGCCAGAGCAACTGAGCAAAAGCAAGTGATAAATCTGCAGAGAGTGAATAAACACTTAAGTAGAGTACTTCTTGCAGCTGATTACTAGAACGCATTATTTGGATTCTTGAGCAGCTGAGCTACATGAAAATTTGCCGAAAAAGAGAAAAGAGAAAAAAGAAAAAGAAAAACTAAAAAGGAGCATGAACAATCAAAAATAAGAAATTTCTCATCTGGGTTTTCAAAGAATTATGCTTTCATGAAATGGGTCGATTAGAAGTAGCAAAAAGAGCGTACCTGATGAACTGGGATTCTGAAACTTCGTGGCATGCAAATATATTTTCAGGCTTCAAAGGCACCAAGTTGGAGGCTTTTCTAATACACAGAGGGCCTTTGAACAAAGTCCATTAATATTTTATTATAAATTTCTTAACCTTTCTTGTGGGCAATGGCCTTTGATTATCATTTTTATAAAAATAAAAAAAAATAAAAAAAAACTTTATACTAATCCTTTTGGTTGTTCATGCGATGGAAACAGAAAGCTCATGACTTTATGAACCTTTCTCGCGTCATTTTGATTTTTGAGCCTTGCTATGATGCGCTCGTCCTCATGGCTATTAATAAGGTTTTCATGCTCATTGCTATGATCAACACACTCGTCAAATTATCCAGTATTCAGCCAGATTGCATTGCAAAAAACCTGGCTTTTTTCTGTTGGCTCAGAAAACATTGCGAAAAATATGGTTGAAACAAGCTGATTTTATTGAGGAGACCAATAAAAAAGGTAATTTATTACAATATATCCCCCTATCCTCCTAGTCATTACACTCCCAAAATTAACTTCAGTTGCTTGCCTAATAAGGTATGTTAAGTTTGATTAATGATTTGTATCCCCTTACAATTGTCAAATATAGTTACCAAATATTATCATCTTACCAAAAATAACATATACATCTAAGATATAGAAAACTTTGAACAAAAACGACGTTCTTTTGGTGCAACATTGATTTTAATAAGAAGTTAAAAAAAGCATTTTTATGATAAAAGAAAAAGAAAAATAACCACTATAGTAGTTGTTTTAATCAACCTTATGAATGGTCCAAAAAGCCTTCTTTCAATATTGAAATCAACCGTATGACAGTGTGATGTGCAATTCTTATGAAGAATTTGATAAAAATCATTTCTCACCAATCAAAATGGTTGAGGAAATTTGCATCGAAGTAGAGAAGAGACTTTTCAATTAGGAGCAAAGTCTTGGGCTTAGCTGGAGTTCAACTTTGAACAACCCACTTAACTTAAAACACTTTTCAAGAGTCAAAAACAGAGCCGAATATTTCTTACTTAGAAGGTAGTCTTCCATTAGATAATCCCAAGTAAGAAATTGAAGCTTGATGCACATTGTGTGAAGGGGCAATGCAACTATAGTATTCTTTTTTCTTCCCTTCAAAGTTTTGATGATTATCTTTTGTTGCTAGTTTCTTTTTTCAAACTTCAGGTGATGGTCTAAACTATAGGGGGAGGGAGTTTCTCATACACACACACACTAATGGTGCTATGTGAGTTCGAACCGAAGACCACTAGTTTGCAACGGAGAACATAGAATAATCTCATTTTATTAATACAATTAAAACATAAATTCTGTCAACGCTCTCATTTTGGGGTGTTATAAAACCATATATCCCAAAGGAATGGACTACCATTAAATTAATATTCTCAACAGGTCAGTGAACTTTATGACCTAGAGAAGAAGAAATGCTTTATAAAATTGTGCTTAAATATTGATTATTTTGGGTAGCTCTCTTAAGGAGAAGAAACCAAACAAAATTGGTTGCTCAAGGGCATTTGGGTCCTCCTTGCTGGGTCTTCCAGTTGTTGTAGCAAGGGCACACAGCTTTGTTGCCATAGTAACCAGGAGGAACACAGAGACACTTAGCACAGCATTTTTGGCAGAAGAACATGCATGGCTTGTGGTACTGTGTCTGGCTACATCTCCTTGTGCATTGTGATGGGCATTCTGGTAATTCAATTGTGAGCTTAATTAAAAACACATCATTTATTAAGGGCAGAAAATTAATTAATCTGCATTTTAGGCAAGAAATTGGGAGGGATGTTCTGGTGATGGTACTTACGGTAGCTCTTTAGACTCCCAGGACCATACCTTCCCTGGAGAAAGAAAAAAAAAATACAGAAAATGACAATTTTAGCCATAATGCAGACTGCGAAAATTATGAAATCATGCTCCATTAAGAATAGGAACAACTTACACTGTCCAAGTGATACTGGGTTTCTTGTTTTGCCATGACCTGCAAACATTGGAAGAAAAAAATAAAAACAAGAGAGAGAAATTGAGTAAGAAATAGTGCAGTTGAGATTAGGGTTTCAAATGGTCACCTGTGTTGCAAACATGGAAATCCCAAGGAGAGCTAGAAGAAGAAAGCAGACAAGCTTAGCCATGGCCATTGCCTCTTTGGAAGTAGAAACAAAACAAGGATGGAAGGAGTTGTGGGGCTCGATTTAGAATGCAGTGTAAGCATTGGCTTTATATAGATCTCTTTGCCATGAATTGAATTGTATGATTACCTTATTTTATACAAAAATACAAATATTAAAGTACCTAGTTTTTATCAATGTTACTCATATTCCAAAATTGTCCATGTTCAGAAAACAAAGAAAATTCCTAAGTTCATTATGTTTTTATTTGATTTTAAACAAATTTTTTATTATCTAGTATATACTTTATGATAATTTTTGGAAGGGCTTGCAGGTAATTTCCCAAAAATGCGGTAAGTAACATGGGAATGTCATCAACTACAGTGTGGGTGGTCCACAAAAACAGAGCAAGCAGGGGGATTAAGATGCAAGATTGGTGACGTGGGAAGATCTGAGGGTAGGTGGTGTGAGAAAAATCTGGTGTGGCAAAGTGCATGCCAGATTGGGGCTGGGAACCTAACCTAATAATTGAATGGGGTGGGTCCGGGCCCACAGGTCCACAGGTCTACAGGTCCACAGGTCCACAGGTCCACAGGTCCACAGGAGGAGGAGGAGTTTGAGATTGTGATTGTGATTGTGATTGAGATTGAGAGCCATGTGATCATATGTGACCTTATCTGAAGCGAGCACATGACTTTACCCAAAACGACACCGCCAGTAAGCACAATGCGCTGTAAGATTCAAAATCCATCCCCTCCTGTCTGTTTGTGTTTGTTTTTTTTTCTTTTTTTGTGTTTTTTTATGTTCTTAAGGTGGGTGGGCCTAGGAAAGTTTGATGGTGATGAGATTGGGCCTCAAAGATCAGGTCAGGGGCAATGCAGGCCCCATTGTAAGTTAGGCCCAAAGGTGGGCCCCACTAGACTTTTTGGACTATCTGCTTGCGCGCTCCTATCATTTTTTGATCTCTCCCAAAATCATATTAAGTGCTCTTTCTTTGCGTCTGGTGAGATGTCATGTTTCTTTCAATCAGTTATAATGTAAGTTGCACACTCGCCCACCTTGTCCTCTTTAAATACGGAAAAACTTATATGAAACGGGGATATTATTGTTTTGTTATTTTTGATAAATCATAGACTGCAATGTAAAAAAGTTATCATGCATGACATATCATAATTAGCCGGAAATAACAAAATAGTGCTACCCCCATTTCATATAAGTGTTTCTCATTCAAAAAAGTCATTGGGTTTTTCGTTTTCGTTTTTGTTTTCGTTGTTAATATATTATTCTAGTTAATTTAGAAGTGCAAGGGGTCATTGTATTTGTATCCAATCAATATTTCAACTCAACTAGCTTAATTACGAGCAATGTGTTAGCTATCTGTCAATGCATTCAAGAATTTGTATCGATTCCCTCTCCTTCACGATAAAAAAAAACAAAAAGTAGCTCAGCTTTGATTTCTTTGGTAGCTTGTATTGCTCCAATTTTGAATCGGCTTGAAGCAACAACATGCAATAACAGCATATAAGTTGATAGAATCGATTAAACACAAACATTTAACTTTAATTAACAGAAAAAATGTGCAATGTACTACACTTGGGCTAGGTTTCCCACATGCGATTGGTCTGAGCTGCCCTGCTGTGTTGTGCTGATATATACATATATTTTGGTTGTGAGTAAATCATTTGAATTGTTTAATAGACTGACTGATCTGTTACAGATATGTAAGAAGCTTGTGCATTATCTCTATTTCATACTCATGATCATTGATCATACTGGAACATATACGATATGTACCCTAATTACAATATAAATCTGTCCAAGGGATGATGGGGGTGGGTCACCAGAACATGTTAACAACAAACACTCCATGAATAAACAAAACCACAATCATGGATTGGATAGGCTTTGCCACCATCCAATTTGCCTGTAGGTCATGAGAAAAAAGTGCACAACATAGTAAGACACTAGGAATTTATAATGAAAAATCCATTGGAAAAGTGAGAAGGAGAAAGAAAGAAAATAAAACCAAGATAACAAAAGATGAGCAACGATGGATATTGTAACGACTAGTTGATCCTGAAATGGTTTTCATATTGGACATGACTCAACCAATCTAATCACTATATATACTATTGCGGCAATGATTCTGCTCCTGGCCTTGATATAATATATGAAATATTCATTCTTTTTTATCGATCGGATCGCAATGTGCGTGTCGAGGAACAACTTTCAAAGTTCCACTTAATCAAAGGAAACCTTATTATATCTTCATTAAGCACAATATAAAACTTGGTCATCATGATGTTACCACATGAGATAGCATAATATTTTCTTCTGCTAAGACACGTGATCATTTCATTCCATTCCTTCACTATGATGCCCTAAAGCTCTTCATATTTTCTTGATTAATCAATAATTAAGGATCTACGCACTAACATCTTCCACTAGCCTTTCAAAATTTAACCTCTCCCCTATATCCTAACCCTTCGAGCTGCAAAAGATGCCATCCGCTCATAAATTTCTTCATAAAGAGTAAAAGGGTGTGTGTGTGTGTTGGTGATCTTTTCCTTAATTTCTTGACATGGCCGGCCGCCCCTAACAGGGCATCTCACAAATCCACGTTAAACATATGGGTTAAGTGGGGTGGGTGAGGAAGGGGACAAATCTCTCCAAGGACATTGAAGCATAGCTTCCACTAGTTCAACTTATTTAATAATAATGTTGCTTTGAATTTCCTTTATTATCTGTCTTTCATTTGGCTTCCAACAAGTTCCACTCATGAGACCACCGAAAAGTAGAGAGGAGGGACACTTCGCAGTACTATAACACTATAATTTCTGTAATTTTAATCTTAGTAACAGATTTTAATAAATAAAAAATAAAAAAATTAAATGTGATATGATAACATGATTGGATGTGTGGGCCTTTCACAAGTTATAACATATTATACAGTATGTGCTGAAAGAAAAGTCATTCTTATGATCAATGTTTGTGGAGCTAAAAATAATTATAATCTGTTGATGAAGAAGGAGATTATGCTGATATACACAACACACCTATATCCTTACAAACATTAATTTCATCCTTGTTTCAATCACCCTTCCCCTCCAATTTGGTGTATATAGATACAAGAGCTTCTGCTCTTTTCAAAGTCTATATTCCATTCAAACTAATGTTATGTACACAAATAACATAGTTGAGCTTGAAGTATGACAGTTAACTTTCATTTCTTTAATTTTCAAAGAAATTCAAACAAATAGAGAGAGAAAAAATCATGGTTTTGCTTACATGAAAGGTTAAACTTAATGTCGAGTAGGGTTACCACAGTGGTTGTGGCCCTCCCCCATGCCCCATACTTGGCACCCAGAATCGAAACCCCAGGTTTCTTTCCTCCCAATGTAATAAAGCTTAATATATAACTGAAGCCATGGCCATATCTCTCAAGAACATGTACACACAATATATCAACATATATAGGAACTTGTTTTTGTTCGGACCAAAATTAACAACCGCTAGCTGTCGACGTACAGCCTGCTAGCCGCCAGGGGCATCGCAGTGTTCAAAACCCGACGAACAGTTTTCTATTGAACAATCAAATTAAAGTTTGATAATCTCTTCAGAGTCATATCTGTTGACAATGATATACAAGTAGAGAGAACAATTCACAATCAGTTAATTTCAGAAATTAAAAGGCCCTTCTTCCTATACACACGATTTCATTAATGCCCTTCAAATTTTACTATGACTACCGATAAGTGTTGGGTGGAGAATACTCACAAACAACCTCAGTTTCCACTTCTCTTCTGTGAAAATTCCTGTGGCAGCCACAAGCAGCGCATGTAAGAGCCTCAGTTGTCCCCTCCTCACCACTTGCCATGAATTCTCTGCACCCATCCACAGCATACCCTCCTAAATTTGCAGCATGGTTCTTCTGGCACTCACCATACCTCACAGTTCTCACCATGGAAGACGAAGTGCTCGAGCTCCTCCCCGAACTGTCCTGTTTCACCACCACTTGGCGCTTCTTCATGCTTCAAAAACCCTAATTCTTCTTTGTGTCAGTGGAATTGAACCTCAGATCAGCAAGTCTCTTCAAAAGCTTAATCATCCAAGTAAGGATTATTGGTGAGCTCAAAAAAGAGGGGATACGTTTGGATTGGTTGTTTGGTGCCTGCCTAACCCTAACCCTAGTAGGTATATTTATATAGGTGCGTGCGTGGAATGGCACTAGCTATATAGGCAGCAGGCACTAGTGTAGAAGAGATAAAGAGGGCATGAGCTAGCATTGAGCAGCCTTTGTTTAACCCACTAGGGAAATTTTCTATGTTTGGGTTTACTAAGAGAAGAAAGATCGATCGACAATCGAATTCATGTTGTCGGCTAATGGCTGCGTAACACGTCACTAGAAAATTGATCGCAAAGTTCAATTATACTATTGCCAAAAAAAAACAAAAAGGAGGAAGACTGAAGAAAGGTTAGGCTCTTTTGGATATATAAATAAAGTTTCAAGTCCATTCTGTAAACGTGGCTCACTCTCATATCAATTGCAGGTTCCATCAACAATTAATAGTGGAATTCAAAGTAGAAAATTCTTGTCCTTACATAAACCAGGAAAAGTTGAAAGCCTAGCTCGATTGGTCTTTGGAAATGATATCTCAACTGTCCTGCCGGACTTATAAGCCAAATAATTTCCAGCTCTTAGTTTTTTTCCCCGCTCGAAATTGACCTTTTGAGTTTAGGGTTCTTTAAAGATTGGGATTTTAAATTCAAATTTGGTCAATTTCGAGCCCTAATATAAAATGGGGAGAGTTTTTTACGGTCAAGAATTTTGGGTTGACGAAATTGCCCCTTGTGCTGTCAAAGAAATTGACAGGAATACTAACTTGTGCTTGAATTGCTACAAATACGAAACTAAAAGCTAAAAAATTGACGGAATTGAAACAACATGACCAAAAGTAGTTGAAGTGCCAAACTATTGGGACCAAAAGTAACTTTTGGCCTTATTTTTTAGCACAAGCGATTGGGGAAGGGGGGTTTACACAAATATTCATTTGGTGACTCGGGGTTTCAAACCTCTACCCACATAGGTGGACATGAAAGAACTTAACCAATTGAGTTATACATCACTAGCAATTTGTAGTTAAAGTAATGAGATAATTGAGATATTTTTCACATTTACAAAACTCATTTGAATAGAAGAAATTTTATGTGAGTTCCACATCTATAAGAGATGTGACAACAATTTGAGTAGATATTGCTGGTGATTGATTTTATGGCCGGAATTAGCGATGATTGTTTAGCACAGAATGACCAACCCAATGGAGATTCAAGTTTTATATTTCCGTGGGTCCGAATTGATACTTAAAGACAGGTTGCTGTGGCCCTGGAAACTGTGACAACCACTCGTCTAAGTGTATACCTAAGATCTAATTATTAAGAGGATAGCCCACGCTCTAGAAAATGACCACAATTCTCTTCTCTTTGTATCAAATCAAGGACAATCATAACTTTATAAAATTTCAACATCAAAGAGATGCTCTTCAAATCTAACTTACTTTCCAGCTGAAAAATAAATTAAGGGATAGCGAAAAAGATATATTGTGGAGAAGAATTTTCGTCTAAATTATGTAGAAAGGAGTTAATATAATACAATAGCTGAGATATATCTTACGACTAACTTTTTGTCAAACAAAAGAATACATTAATATCTACGAATATTGAAGATGAAGTGGTAGCATGAACTTTTTAAAAGCTAATGAAAACCACCATATATATATATATATATATGTATTTCATGCAAACAATTATTCGCTTTTGATGAATGATGGTGGAGTTGATGAATTAAAGCATGAGTAATGGAAATGCAGAAGCAAGCATGACGAGCCTCCACCATATGAAATTATCAAAGTGAGGAAACAAAGGCTGAGACAGATACACGGTGGGGCGATAACATGTGCCTATATTTTGCCACCACCTAAAATATTAAAGTGACCCGAGGGACAAAGACACATGTGGTTGTCAATCAGAAAAGTCAATATAAATTGAAATGGTCACAGTCTCACAGATAAAATATAAAGCTCATATATATATATATATATATGAGAGTTTTTATTGAGAGATGTTCAAATAAGTTTATTTGATGGACATCTTTGTAAGGCTTATAACGCATTGTATTTTACTAATTCAAACCGTATATTTTGTAGATATTCATTCAAAGATCATCTCTATAAAAAAATCACTTGAATTTGATATCATTTGACTACTCAATTAAATTATTAAATTCAAGTACTTTCGATCATTTGGTGAAAAAACACATACGCGCTTAAAACAAATTTAGAGGAAATGAAGCAGTTGGTTTGTGTACGTTGGAGTAAGTCAACTACAAACTTCTATTTTGCAATATAATCATTGTAGGCCTGTGAAGAAGTTGGTGTAATTATTTGTAGGGTAACATGGAGCTAAGTTGGTGACATTCAGCTATCGGCTGGCCTTGGCTTTCACAGCACTCTTAATATTATACAGATAGGTTTTGGCTTTAAGTAATCCGTTGGTTATTGGGTCTTATATAAACATGACCCACATCCACATTTACAAACACATATATAATGCCTTGCTTGAAACTTTGAAAGATTTGATATCACTACTTTGCAAGGGTTGTTTTGAAAAACTTTGAAAGATTTGATATCACTACTTTGCAAGGGTTGTTTTGAAATGATTTAGACATTGACCTCTTAATTAGATGATGTTTGGTGGTCTGGATAGAATAATGAAATGAGATGAATAGAATCAAGTAAAGAATGAAATCAATTTTCAAAATTTAAAGTTCGGAGTTTCAAATGTTGAGTATATATAATTATGAAGTGTTGTGTTCAAAATTGGACTTCGGATATGAAGATTTAGGATTTAACCTTTGAGGTAACAATAAAGTCTACAAATTGTACGAAAAAATTGATGATGCTATGATCGAGCAATGGAAGGACACTGTTTTTGTTTAACAAAAATGGAAACATATGTACTAAAGATTTTTGTCGTTACTAGCCTACTAATATTTTTATCCTTTTCTTCTTCTTCCTCCTTTTTGGGTGGATGTATTTTTATTTTATTTTTTTAATTTTGATGTGACTATAGTTGGAAATGATTTAGTGGGTTTTACACCGTACATATTTTTCTTACGACTTTATGAAAAGCAAAGATCTATATATATATTTGTAGTCTATATATATATTTGTAGTCTATACAATACACAGGTTGAGACACAGTTTTACCACATTTAGACAAGAAACTCGATCTTCTTCCTTTGTTTGCAATAGAAAACAAGAAATGTAGCCTTTCTCACCAAAGAATCCTAAGCTTGCCAAGAAAAGTAAAATCCCACATCAAGCTAGCTAGGTGAAAGAAAGTTGTGCTTTGTAGCTTCATCAGCTATTAGTTCTCAGTACTTACACACACACACACCACCACCACCATCACCATGTATATATGGTGAAGCATTTCCTTTTCAAACAAAAAGAATAGCTCCATGTTGCGTGTAGTTCAGAGGTCCAAAAACCAATCCATATTTAGCAAAAGATTTGTGAACAAGTATCAAATAAAGTGAAGTTCCCCCCCTCTTTTGTTTTCTGCTTTATGCTGTTTTTTTTCATCAATAATGAGATCTTAAAACAAATTAGGGTCCACATATCAGCTTAATGAGATGAACAAACTCAAATTATTTGATATGAAAAGCAGTGCATGGAGTGAAAGAAAGGTGGACAGATAGCATCTTGTCTTGAATTGATTAAATTATATTGGATGGTATGGTGGAAGGCTCAATTGCCCATCAATCAATCCAAAAGGCCCCTTTCATTGGAGATAAACTCTCTAACACTTTTTGTTATGCCTGACCAATAACACAATGACTTGTGTGATAGCTTTTTCACGTATCATTAAGTTATTTATCGGAAATAACAAAACAGTGTTATTCCCATTACAAGTAAGTTTTTTTCCTCCCATTGGGCCCCTCCTTTTTTCTCCATATGGAGAGGCCATTATTGGCAGCCGTAGGCCCATATAAATTCTCTGATTGTGGTCTTGAAGGGTAAATATTAAACTCCATGTGACTATTGTCAAAAACCAACCCAACGTCCACCCATCAGACCCAATTGGTAGCAGCTACAACTTTGGCCCATGGACTTTTATATTGAGAAACAAGCCCAAAAGGGGGAGATTTGGTTCCGAGGGCTCATCTTCTCCAATAAAAGAAAAAACCAACCCTAAAAATCAAACACTCAAGGCTCGAGCAGAGAGAGAGCAGCAACTACTGTTCAATTTGAAAGTTGACATGATGATTGAGATGCATAAACCAATGGTGCCGGGGCAAGCGTGCTTGACGAGTGCAAGGGTTGTTCCAAATCCGAACAAGGCACCAGCAGGATCAGCAGCAGGATGCCTTGTTGTCAATATCGTCGGCAATATTTTCATTTCTTCACCACCACCAAAACTAGTAGTAGCTGCAACCACACCAATTTCAATCCCAATCCCAATCCAAAGAAGAAGGAGATTAATGGCTACTTCCAACGCCAACGCTGACATGGCCAACAACGACAACAACATCTGGCCTTGTATTCCCTCCTCCTCTTACGGTGACCCCTGCCTTGATCTATTTTTCAACTCCCTCAGACCAGAATATAGAGATGCTAACCCCTGCCTTAAACATCTGGAGCAACTGCTTCACTTGGCCTAGTCTCACGATCCCCCTACCACCCTCAAGCTCATCTTCACCTTCGATTCAATCTATTTTTCTGACAGAAAGTTCCCAGGGGCAGTTGGTACAACCTTGTCCAAATTGTGTACAACGTTCTAGTTCAGAAACGAGACGACCAAATCATCACGACGTTGCTGCGCATCTGCTGCGTCTTCATCCTGAGAGGTACGACCGTGGTCCGTGACCCGGATTATAGGTTGTTACATGACCGGGTTACAGATGTTTTCGTGGAGCGGTTAAAGTCTGATATCGACAAAATGAATACGCATCTTTTGGTATCCGGGGCTGCAGAGTGTTGCACTTCCACACGAGTCTGCGACAAACACCGCGCCGACACCATTTTTCTACGTGAAAGCATTGCGAGAGAAGGGTTTCCCAGCCAGAATCAGATGAATCAGAAGAGGAGTTTTTGGTGCCCTTGATCAATCACTACAAGCGTCAACAAGAGCAATGTCGGGTTAAGAAGTATTTGGAGAAGGTGAAAGCAGCAGCAGGATGAGGCAATTTAAGCGGTGGCATTGACAATAAAGCCAGATGCTTTGCTTCCGAATGAGATCATAATATATATAGAATATGAGCATGTCCGGGAAGCGGCTCAGCTTCAGTGGAAGGCAATGGTGGACATGTACCTAAAGCAGCAGTAGAATGGGGAGGGTTTGGGCAAATGCAAAAATTGGTTGGTGGTGGGCCATTAACCAGGGGAATTTTGGGAGGTGGGTTTGAGACTTTTGGTGTCAGAACTGAGTGAAGAGCCATGGAAAGGAAAGCTCATTGGTGGAGAAGATGAGCCAGACTGGATACAAGGCGATCATGATCTTAAGTCCAAGTACGAGTTGGCCTTGAAATCCGAATGTAGTGTTTTTGGGGCGATTGATTTAATTTTGGAGGTGGGTGTGAATATGAATTTGAAGGTAGAGCAGATGATCAAGAAGGTGATTGTGTTCACCAATCTACAACCACCTGATACAACCACCACCTGGGAGTTTCAGTCCGGAGCGAGTTTGAGGCAATACAAAGCAAGTTCAAGGACAAAGGGTAAGGGGATGATGTTGTGCCACACATTTTGTATTGGCACGTTTCTAATGATGAGGATTCCCGGATTTGTACACAACATTCAGGGTTCACGCTGTTGAGTGGCGGCTCCAACAATTTGATCAAGTCCTTCTTACACAATGGCGGGGAAAGTCTTTCTTAGAACCAAAGGCTCCTTTCGCCTCAGAGTTCCAAAGGAAACCATTGTGTCTATCCTCAATCTTATTGATCGCTGCATCTTAATATTATTATCAACGCATTGTCTTCCTTATCATCAAATTTAACTTGATTCATTATGTAAATATTAATAAAGTTCAAGTTCAAAAGTAAAATATCCACATGAGCTAGTTTTAAAACGTTTCATGTGCTTTCACACACGGTAATATTTTAGTTAATCTACATATTAGGGCTCACTGAAATCGATTTCCTCCATACCCATAACTAGTCACCCATTCAAAAAGGGATGTGATTTGTTCTTTAAAAAAAAGTAGACGAAACTAGGTGATAAATTGCAACACTTTAAAAACCATGTAGTTAAGTACAAATTAAAAGTTGATTTGGTAATTGGGCACATGCCTAAAATTCGGTTGGCATTTCTGCAATGGTTCTTTTCTTTCTAATGGTCAATATCTTTGTATTTGATTTAGTTATTTTAATTTTCTACATTAGTTTGAAAACCAATGCAACCCGGACACCGTCTGAAATTCAGTCTAACCCATAGGAAAAATAAGCTCAAACTCAAAGCAAATTCCTTCGGATAAACAATCCATTCTTTGATGCTCTATAGATAATAGACGACCTTTTTCTGCCCCTCAGTTAGAGTTGTTAGGTGAATCTAATGCAATTGAGTCTGCAAAATGTTATCCTGCATGATCACAGCGTGAAGAAAATGGTGAGGAAATCTACAACCACACAGTCAAATCGAAAACAAAATTGGAAATCACTACAACAATAAGTTAAATAGACGATGAATGCCATAAATACTCTCGTCTTAATTTTTTATATAACTGATTGAGGAAATAGGATGTGATAATATTACAATAATACATGTTTATTTTCCTTAACATTTAATTTTAAAACCAATTATAATGAGTAATTAAATAATCTTATGCATTTATATTTTTAATTGGTCAAATTGGTTTAATGTCCTTTTATTAACTTTGATCAATGACTTCCTATGTAGGCTTGTGTGTTGTGAAAACCAACTCAATTTGCATGCTAAGAAGTGTGTCACCTAAAGATAATATGCTAGTGGCCAATTAAAGAACTTCAACGTATCCATGAAGTAAATGATGATGAAGGAAGAAGTGCAACTAGCACATGGAAGAAAAGAATTAAAAAGAATGCAGGAAATGCCACACCCATGCCAAAAGAAGAAAGGAAAAGAAGTATGGGATGGTGGCAAACAAGAAGAAATGGAATTCACATGTTTGTACGTAAGGTGTTATCCACTCCAAAGAAGCTCAAATTCAATGCATATTATCTAGAAAGAGGATGAAAGCCACAAGGAAAGGAAGAAAAAGAGAAAACAATTCAACAATGGAATTGATTCCAACCACACAAACACAAGCAAGATGAAGTGGGAGTTAGGTATTGCATTAAAATAGGAAAGATGGTGTTGGAATCCATCATGATGTTTCTCCTTCTTGGCCCTATAAATAGAGATATCTTCAAGCTTCAAAACACACACCAAGCTCACAATCTTCTCTTGATCTCTCTCTCCTTCCTCCAATTCTTCTAGTTTTAATTTCTTTAGTTTTATTTTATGGGAAACTAACTCCCTAGCTAAGGCTAGTGAGAAAGCTTTTAATATGAGTATGTAATTTTTATTAGTTTGATTCAAACTTAAGCTTTAATATGAATTTGTAGTTTTGTTCAAATGGAATTTGTAGTTTTTCTTTTTAATTAATTGATGAATGTTTGATATTCTATTTCATGGGTTCAATCATGTTTTTCCCATTGTGTAGTAAAAACTTTCATGCTTTTAAAAGAGAAGAGAATTACTAAAGATTAATAGAATTTCGATGAAGATTATTTTTTTGATAGTTTGTTGCCAATGGTACAAGTTATGCTTAGAATAAATACTTCTAAAGGAAATTAAAAAGAGCTTTAATTATTTTGAACAACTACAATGGAAAATATTTTGTGCATCAAATTAATAAAAGTTGCATGCTTATGTTAAAAGTGGAACCCCAATGCCTTAGTGTTTTAATCAATTGAATTTTCTTTAAATCAAATCTTGCATAAATCTACTTCTCAATCTTAATTGTTTTGTCTCAACTCTGTTATTTTCTTTACACCGCTCTCTGTGGATACGACACTCGGACTTCCGAGCTACACTGGTATATGACACCTTCCCTTGGGTTTTGCAAAGTGGTAAAATCAGGATGCTAAAATACAGTGGTGGAAAATATCAGCTAGACTTGATACAAGGACATGATCTTACGTCCAAGTTCGAATTTATGAGATCCGTGAGGACCTCCTTTGTGGAATGTTATAAGGAACGTAAGATTTTGGAGGTGTTTGATTGATTCTGGAAGTGGCTGTGAATGAGAACATGAAGGCAGACTAGATGATCAAGAAGGTAATTGTGTTCACGGACGACCTAGAACCTACTGACAGTCGCATCTGGGACGTTCAGTACGACGCACTAAGGAGCTATTTTGAAAAAATCCGGAGCAAGTTTAGGGATAAAGGGTACGGGGATGATGCGGTGCCACACATTCTGTATTTGGAACGAGCATCCCTAGATTTGTACACAACATCTAGGCTTCACGATCATGAGTGGCTTCTCCGACGATATACACATATATATATATATATATCATTATGTTCCAGCAACATCCTCTGCTATTCTATCTTATGTTACCTTTAAGTTTTTGCTTGGAATTCAGTCTTAATGCTCCAATTGCTTGCCCCGTCTTATGCCGTAGGCCTATGTCTTCCTTAGAACCAAAGGCTCATCACGCCTCATAATTCAAAGGAAACCATTCTTTTCTTAGTTTTTTTCCCTTTAGTCCCTCAACGGTCCCTTTTTCTCTCTAATTTCAATTTTACCGGGGTTGTTTAGCTGAGAATCTAACAGAGTTTTGTAACTTGTATAATTGTATTGGTGCAGCAGTTGTTAGTTCAGATTGAATTCATTATGGTTTCTTTTCTTATTACTTGCCTCCTTACCGGTAAGGATATACTCCTATTTCCTACAAATCACAATTTGACATATATGAAAAAATAATTCATAAAAAACACAAAAAGAAAAACTTATGTACACATGTCACACTTACATGGTAAGGAGGGAAGTATTTTCCTAATTATTATACTAGTTGATGTGTCATTGGTAGCCATTAATCTTAATAATTGTCACTTTTTAGTTTGCTCCTATAGATACAGTCAACATGAAAAAGAATTTCACTCTTAATTTTACCCCCTCTCAATTTTCTTGCAACCCAATCGGGGATTTTAAACCTCGTACTAGCCCTGATTTTTCTCAAAATTTGCCTCCATTAAGACCGAGACTTGATGAGGACCTGACCCGATGAGAATTTCTATAATTCCTATCTCATTGTGAATGTAGGAGGAGAAAAACCATTAGTTACAACTTCTTTGTAATTACCTTGATGTATTAGGTTGGGTTGGGTTGAGTTGGGTGTTTGAGGAACAATAGAAAATGGGGTTGGACCGTTAATGGTGAACAAGATTTAGGGTTAAGTTGGGCTAGGAATTAAGACTAAATTGAGATCGGGTTTCAAATCGATATTGGGCTACTTCCTAGTGATCCACTCCTCTTTTTCTGAGTTTATAATGGCTCAAAGGAATTGCTGCCAATACATGTTCATGAGGCCCATTAACTATTGAATCTATTTCCCCAGTTGACTCCTCTCAATAAAAAAAAAAAACTTATATTTAACTGGAATAACACTATTTTGCTATGGTCAAAAAGCATATTCTGTGGCTCAGGTGGTGACTGCTTTACAGGAAATGGGAGCAATGGAATACACTATTGTGGTAGCTGAAACGGCGGACTACCTTGCTACATTCGGCTCTCAACCAATAATACAATAACACGTGAAAAAGTTATCTTACGTGTCATTATGTTATTAACCGGGGATAACAAAAAGTGTTATCCCCGTTACATGAGAGTTTCTCTCCCTCTCAACACACCCAAATCATTGGTCACACTTCCCTCAACACCCAACCCTATATTTTTTGGGAGCTTCTACAATAAGAATCCCCTCATTATAACCCTTTACTATAACCCCTTATTATAGCCTACCACATATTTTCTTCCTTTCTCACCACGGGCCTCTTTTGAACCAAAAACATCAAAAAGATGAGCTGAGCCCAAATCATATATTTGTTTTTACCTATTTTTTCTCTCTCTCATTTCTGATATCTTACAACTTCTAGTTTCACCTAACTGGCAGGAAATTTTTTATTTATTTAAAAAATAACATTTAAAGCATGTATTTTTTTCCCCTTCTTTATTTGTTGTTGTTGTGATTACATAAGCACACACCACACACTGCAGAAATGTAAATTAATAATGCATCTAACATGATAAATAATAGTTGATATAGAGTTGATATAGATATGAAGTGGGCAAAAGTAGAGGCAAAATAATATACAAGTTTTATTTTTCTTCTTTTAGTGACGGAATTAATAGTGGCCACTTCTAGGCTAGCTGCATTTCATGAGTTGAATATGATTTATAAGTTTGTTGGCCATTTTTATGGTGATGAAACAGAACAATTTGAAAGCTCAGCAGACCCTACTTACATAAGAATACTGTGAGATAATAAGGCATGGTCCCCAGTGCCCACGGGACCAAGCCACCTTGGTTGTGGCTTGTACAGATCGATCTATACTTGTGAAACTTGTACCACATGATTTCCATAATTCAGGTTTTAGGTTGCGATGTCAAAGCCCATTTGTCTAAGATGCACATGCTTTTGTCCAATTAATTGCTCTATTTGATAGAGAAATTTTTTTAAAAATTTGTTTAATCTATACGTCCCACTTCTTTTCTTTATGATGGGATAGGGAAATTTTGTCTTTGTCATCTTTTGGACCAAATGAAGGGAGAAATTTCTGTCATCAGAAAGAATACCTAGTTTGTAATTACGCCAGATCTATTGTAATGTGGTGTTACTAATATACTCATGTTATATATATATATATATATATATATACATATATTAAACTATATTTTAGATTCGTTTTATCTGATTATATATAACATTTGAATAACACTCTTTGACATTGTGATTGTTACACTCCAAGATATTTCGATCGTAATATAGTCACATGGGAATACCATCGTAAGATGTGTCGTATAATATAAATTACCATTATCGTTCACTCATATTATATTACATGAATTGATATCATCACATGGCGGATGGTGTTAGAGTCACATTCTAAAAAAGAAAATTATAATGTGTAAGTGAGTAATCAATTAGAGAGTATTAAATTGAAAAAGGCTAGAACTTAAGCAAGCTTGGTTGTCACTCTGGCGAGGAACATGGGCTCTCATGACTTCGGCTTTAAAACCCATTACTCTACCACGGTCCACGCATATGCACCACTTTAATGTTTGGTTGGTCTCAAACGAAGCTTCCTTTGAAATGAAGCTAATTCTCTGTCAAAAATTAGGCAAAGCAGGTAAATTTTGTAGCTTTGAAATTGAAGCATGCAGAATTGAGCAGCCTGTGGCTCTGTGACGCTAGCTGTGTTTCAATAAATTTCGGCTTCATATGCGTTGCTTATAATGCCAATTTAAAAGGAGAGGATATAAAAGCAGCCAAAAGCACTGTTTCATGAGGAACTTATGCACAGTATGCATTGCAGCTTCCTGCAAAAGCTTTTACAGTTTAGGTTTCGTGAGGGACTGGTGGTCAAGCAAGTCCAACTAAAAAATAATCACGGAGAAAAAGTCAAACCCTTCACATGCTGTGCATTTAAGGCCACCATTTTCAATATTTCCTAGGCAATTCTTGGCTTTAGAGTTTCCTCTGTCGTCTCGCTCTCAAAAAACCCACTTAATTATGAGAATGATAATTGGACAATGAAAGATAAGCTTTGGATGACCCTCATTGAGAGTTAACACCAGTTGAATGGTTTCATTTCAATTTCCAACTTCAATTATATGCAAGTCAAATTAGGTTGAGTAGAAGAGGAAAACCATCTTGTGCCACGTAACTGAGAATTTTATTACTATACTGTACTCAGGAAAATCACTGGTCTACTAAATTTCTTACTTTTTCGGTCCTTAATTGTGATTAAACCTTCTATGATTGCAACATTGTCATTAAGATCAAAGGTACGAAGTAGTTTTCTTCCTATGTATCATGAGTTTATTTTAAATTGAGATCCAACTACCTCCTTAAATATGAGTCAAACTTAAAAATTTATTTTTGATGTGTCACTGTGCTACATGTATTGAATTATTTTAGTTTTAACATATATCAAACTACATATGGTTCAATCTAATTAGCAAAAAATCATTCTAAGATCATTTCTACAAAAAATCACTTGAATTTGATATCATTTGACCACTCAATTGAGTTATTGAAATTTTAGTACTGTGTTCATTAATTTTGTAGGATATAATTGGATGTCGAAACGGTTTCCGATTTATCTAATTTTTTGCAAGGATAATCTATAAATGTAGACTTAAAAAATAGATAGTTGGATTGTTGATTCTGATAGTGTATAACTTATTTTTAGGTTGTTTTATAAGGAAGCATTTTACTAACTATTATGCAACATCGTCTAGAGTCACTAGTGACAGAGCTAATAAGGTTCTAAAATTGTATAAAGTACAACTTAGGATTATAACTTGTCATCTATGACTTAGATATCACGGCTTGAAATATGAATGTAATCTATCGTTTTTCTCTAAAATAAAATATCTTATTTAAGGATTCTATAATTTGATGTTTTGGCAATATCTAGTGCAATAGATATAGTATATAAATGTTCAATAATAGATAGTACAGCTACAGAGTCTCTCTATATTTTCTTCAGAAATAGACAAACTACATTTAAACAAACTTAATGCGATTATTAATGTTGAACCTACCAATGAGACAAAGCAAGTGATTATTTGCAGCAAATTTATTTCTCTTGCCGACACTAAGCGTATTTCGTACCTGAATTCCTAAACCGCTTGCCTAATATACATGTAGATTGAGGGAAAATTTGAAACTGTGTTTAACGTAACATTAAATGATGGGTAAGCGTGAGAAAGGAGAGAAAATGGATTTACCAACCAAAAGATGCATAAATTACAAGGATTTCCTGTTCTAGGTGGATGAAAATTGCAACCATAAAAAAAAACATCTTAATTCATTATTCTTCAGAACAAAAGCAGATACGTAAATATAGATATACTTTGACTTTACACTTTTCTGTTCCTGCATTAAGGAGGGTGTTATCTTTCGGCTTAGGCTAGAAGAAAAAGCAAAAAGCTAAAAGCAAAAGAAGTACTACCAAGGCTAGGTAAAAGCACAAAGCCTAATTTCCAGAGAAAACAAAAGAAACCCTAATTGAAGCACTTGATCGTGTTTTTTTATTCTTTCAAAACAAGACGGATGTGTTCTCTAATGACATGTCAATTAGGTCTTCATGAGCATGAGGCGCAGCATCATCAAAGAGCCACTTCTCCAGCAATGTGAGAGGGACTTGTCCCTCCAAATTGGGCTTGCTCTCATCTTGGAACAGGCGGCTTGTTTCTGCTGTGAAATTTGCATTGTTCTCATCCACTGACATAGATTGAGACACATCAGATGTGGATGAGTTGAAGCTGAACAAGGAATCAAAAGCCTGTTCTGGTGTGGTGGTTGCACTTTGTGCCCCTTCACTAGAAGTACTCGCGGAACAACCTGCAGCTGTGTTCTTCTTGTTTTTTAAGGAACTGATCTGATGAAGATTGGTTTCTGAGTTTGTTTGATTATGATTTTGAGCTGATGAAGGTCCTTTTGGTGAATTTTTCATCCAGCTTTCGAGCAATTTCGCAATGTTTTCGGTGTTGGATGCATAAGTGGAAGCTTGGTGAGGCCTAGAACAAGTGTTTGTGTTAGGTTGACTATTATTGTTGTAACCAAGATTAATCGATGGCTTCAAGTCTTGCAAATGAAGATCATGAGTAGGTGGCTTGTCAAGGGACAGAGCCTCACAAAGAGCCTGCTTGGCCATGTGGATATCAGTCTGAAGCCTTCTCTCCCACTGGCCCTTGGAGATTGGCTGATCATGTGAATTACCTGAAAAACCATCTTGGCTGTTACGGTGGTCATGGCCATCAAGCCCTGTCTGGAGCTTTCTGAGCTTCTTTTTCAAGTGGGTGTTCCAGTAATTTTTTATATCATTGTCAGTTCTCTGAGGAAGGTAGGAAGCTATGGCAGCCCATCTGCACCCATTAAAAAAAATTCAATCATCAAATTGAGGTTCCTTCCTTTTTTTATTTTTTAAAATTCCCCTGATTGAAATAAAAAAGAAGATTAAAAAACTAAATTCCATTTATCCTATCCCATAATATAATATAATCTCACTATTGGGATTTGCGAGTATCTAAGCCCCACCATATCCAAATCAAAATCCATAAACAAAAGATAATTATAAAATTATAAAAGTGTAATCAATAAAATTCACGCCCAAAAAATAAATAAACAAACATCCAAATTTGGAAAAAAGATGGGGGAGCAAGTCTTTACCTATTGCCCAAAAGAGCTTGGAGGTGGATTATCATCTTCTCTTCATGATCGGTGAAGTTACCGCGTTTGATACCCGGCCTCAGATAATTTGTCCATCTAAGCCTGCAGCTCTTACTGCATCTCAGCAAACCTGGAAAAACAAAAAAAAAAACAAAAAATACTGTCAAGATATATATTTACAATTAATCTGACAACATGCATCTGCAGGGAATAGTACTTTGTTCAAGAAGGAAAAAAAAACCAGTACTGGGTAATAATTACATGACTTTAATGATCAAAACCAACCCCAAATTAAATCCAGTTACTATAAGAAGAAAGGTAAATTTTATTTTATTTTTTTTTAAAAAGGTAACACCATACAAAAGATGCATTGATGGTACCAGTGTAAAATCTAAATGAAGGGTTTATGTAAATAAAATAATTACCAGTGTTGGTAGGAACTGATCTCCAATTCCCTGGACCATGTTCTTGAATGTAAGAGACCAAGATGATGTCTTCCTCTGGAGTCCATGGCCCTTTCTTCACCCCAACTTTGTCACAGCAAGGTGGCCTTCCCATAATTTCCAAATTTCCACAACTAGCTATAAGCTCTAGCTACTTCTTCAAATTTTGATGATGAAATTCAATTCTATCTTTCTGATATAAGCCAAGATTGAGTTCAAAACAAGCTAGGAGGCAAGATTGCAAAAGGGTTCCTTTTTCTTTTGATGAAACTCCAAAATGAAATGGAACGAAACTCTCTTATTTTGCCCCTCTTCCTTTCTTTTTTTGCCTTTTCTTCTCAGAAGTGATGGAAGATTGCAAAAACAAGCGTCCAAGGCAGCTGGGTTGGGCTTGTCTTGTAGAGATGTACGTATATATATATAGAGGGAGACGAGAGAGAGAGAGAGAGAGAGAGTGGTGAGTGCTGCTGACCAAAGCAAGTAGAAGAAAGAGTCAAAACGGACAGCAAAACAGCATTTACTCACTGCCCTCCTTTGCAAAAAGTCAGCTATGCTTAGACTCTCTCTCTCTGCGCCTCAACAAAACCGTGTGGCATTCAATAGGGGTATTGTGGTGGCACCGAAAAGGAACCCTAATTTACTCTCTCTCTGTCTCTCTCTCTCTCTGTGCTTTGTGTATTATGTACGTATTTTTATTTATGAAGCCCCCCAAGTAATATTTATTACTGAACTCGTTAATTTATACATTAATTAATCTCTTTTTGCTTAGGGCCTTTTTAGGTTTTGGCATACGTATCATGAAGTTGCTTTCAATGAATTAAAACTCCTACCCTCGTGATGCGTGCATGATCTTGATGTTGGGGGTGTGCAAAGCAATAATTAATCCCAATATTCGATATATCCCATTTCCACGAGAGTTTTTCTCCTTCTCGAACTCTTTGCATGCTCAATCAATAAACCCTCCGGCCGATCCCATCATATGTGGTGCCGATCAGCTGCTGCAATGCCTATGCTTTGAATTTTCCATGGTGCATGGGGGACCGATCATCACAAACAAAGAGTCTGCTAATCCGACGGTTAAGATTTGTGGGGATAATGCTGGTCCAGTCAATATCCAGAAACAGAAACTGATTGGTTCGTCTTTTGTTTTCTGAGACAACCGAGAAGGGTACGTGTCTATTGCAATTAAGGTTTGGGACCATCATATCTTCACATGTGATCAATACTCACTCTTCAATATACAACAGTCTACATGTATGTCACACACCACGTACACATTGCCATACATTTTATTTCATTTAATTAATAAACTACGATATTTTCCGTAAGATTTCATTTTCTAACAATTATATCAGAAATTGTATATTAATAAAATATAATTTTACTCGTATTATTGAAGGGTCCATTCCATTAGTATTATACATTGATTTTTGCCCATATACGTTGTATTGTATATATACACATACGTACATGTACGAATTAAAAAATTTCCACTTACATCACATCATCAAACCACCGATAAAAGAGTAAAATTTGAAATAATTACAGGATATGACTGCTCTGGGAATCTATGCTTGAAGACATCGTGGTGGTTGGTTCTGGGAACATAAAAATGTTCCTTGTTTTAGAGGTCGTGTGATCTGTCGACGAATGGTTACTTGGACTTGCTTGGGGTGGTGACAATTGGATGGTCTACGTCATTTGTAAGCACAAAATTAATAAAATATGATCCATGTTAATGTATTGGGCCTCGGCCCAACATTGAATAAAGTACAAATTTTTGCCATCATCGAAACGCAGTTACCAAATCAGCCACAATCTCAAAAGCTAAAGGAAAGAAATGTCAAACATGAATCCGACTTGTATGAATGAAAAGTCACAGATGTGAGATGTTGGAGTCTATTAAAGTTGATCAATATATATATGGTTTGTTGTTACTTTTCTAATCATGAGTTAAGCCTCGGAGACATATTATATATATACACCAAAAAAACAGATGCAACAATGTGAGTTATTGCAATTGACTTAAGTTGTGTGTCTTGACCGTCGCATTTGACTTCAATCTCTTTCCATAAAAAAAAACATATTATATACATTGATCAATATATATATATGGTTTGTGGTTACTTTTCTAATCATGAGTTAAACCCTGGAGACATATTACATATATTTATACACCTCAAAAAACAAATGCACCAATGTGAGTTATTTCAGTTGATTTAGGTTGTGTGTCTTGACCGTCGCATTCGAGTTCAATCTCCCTCCATAAAATAAAAAAACAAATTAATATATTTGATGTTCAAATCCATTGAATGTGGGGCTAACATGTAATGTCTAATGTATAGGGGAAGTTCTTTCAATTTTGACTATATGTATGCAATGCATACACACAAAAGTGTAAAAAGTAGAGGAAAATGTTGGTGGCTAAATTGTTCAGATTCAGAAGGATTTGTTACATGAACTGACTACACGAACAAGGTACATTGCGGCTGTAATGGAGGAAGAAAAATAGTACCAAACTCCATGTGAACCCCACAACTACTCACCAATAATGGTGAACAATATAATCAAGGCAATATAGTGGTGTGTAAACTATCATCGGGTTGCAATCTGGTTTGTGGCTTGAGAGCTCTGATAGGAGCTATGTGGATGAGTTGCAAATATGAACGATATTTAACAGTTAATTAAGCTGCAAAGAGATACGCAGCAATATGGGCAACATTTGCTTTACCATATGCATTTAAGTAAGTATGTGTCACGCCCGAACCCGGTTCAAGACCGTATGTTGTTCATTTTTTAAAAATGTTTCGGGCACATTTGAACTTCGTTTCTTTGCGATAACTAAACAATTGTCACATTATGTTGTTCTTTTCTTTTATAATTATTGTTTTTACCATATAGTAGTTGGAGTGGTAATCTTATCTAGATCTTATGCAAAGCTCATATAAATCCATATATCGCTTATACAAAGGCAAACAAACAACTGAAATTATTATCGAATGAAAAAGAAAGATGCGCACCATTTACGCAATTGGTTTTACACCTACATGCAAATACAAACAAATTGGCAATTACTGGTTGTTCATGAAAGAGACTGGAAAATGGAAAGTCTTCAAGCTCAGTAGTTATCTACAAACACATGTGTTCACATTGCAGCATGATGATGCTACACATTTTGCAGCATCATCATCACTGACTAAAATGACCGATTGACCTTACATCCCATATATATTGCAGAAGCAGACGAAAATAGAGCACAATAGGAAATGGCTTAGAACTGGAAAGTCTGTTTTAAATTTAAAGTATATAAAACTTTGACCATTTCTTTACTTCAAAAGAGTTTTGATCATATATTTATTGGCCGGGAAGGTTGATGTGGACTCAAAGCCATGCGTCGTCACAGAAAAGAATGCTAACTCAATCGATATGCATAAAAATTAATGGCAAAACACCAGGAAACAAAAGAGGTTGCGTTTGTGTTGGATTTGTGTGGCACTTGTTCAAACGATTCACAATCAAATGGTAGCCAGGTACAAGGTTGCTTCTTTCCTATGCTTTGTTTTTTTGCCTCATAATTTTTTTTTAGGGCAGTTGTGCTGTGATCTCCGTGGTCATGCGATAATTTTCGGGTCCTTGCATTCAAATTTGTGACCACACAACTTTTGTCGATGTATATGAAACCAGAGACCTCTGCTTTGTTTTTTGGCTTGTTGAAATGTTCATACTACGTGAGGCTTTTACTTTGTTTTTGTGTGAAGAGGAAGGGAAGAGGAAGGCCAGATAACAAGAATATCCAGTTCTGTTATCTTATTCCCAGTCCTTGCATCTGTATGTGTTTAAGAAAAATAGTCATAAGGGAAAGAGACCAGAACCAGGACTCGAACTATTGTCGTATTGAACAAGTAATAATATACGCGAACCAAATTGAGAATTTCACACAACTTTTTTATTTTCTTTCATCATTATGTTATTACTCCGAAATGCAACCTATCTATGTCGTCATTTAAAAGTTGTGTTCTAAGGAACTAAATATTAATAATATCGGCGATATTATCGTTTTTTTAAGTCTGGATATTTTAATACATATTCACATAAATATCGTCAATATATCGACATTTTCGCCGATATTATCGCGCATAGTTGGATTCAAACCACTTCTATTCCCCTTATCTAAAACATATAGATTTTTCTTTGTCTATTCTAGTGATCTTATATGCGTGGACATTTTTTGTTAGGGGTGGTTGTGGTTCGGTAACCGCGAATTTTTGTCCAAACCGCAAACCAACCGACTATTTGCGGTATGGTGATTTTTAAAATCACAAAAAGCGGTCGGTTACCATGAATTAGCGGTTTAAAACCGCAAGTTCTTTTTGTGTCATAAAAATCCAATCTTCCATATTTTAGGCCTAATTTTGATGCTTCTTTTGAAGCCTTTTGAGTTCAAGCATACTTTAACCCAAAAATATAAATTCACAACCTAAATAAATAAATTCACAACCTCAACTTCTCAAGCATATATAAATTCACAACCTAAATAAATAAATTCACAACCTCAACTTCTCAAGCATATATAAATTCACAACCTCCTCAACTTCTTAAACATTTACAACCTAAAGAAAATTAAAGTTACAATTCCAAGCATTCTAATTAAAGTTAAACTTCTTAAGCATTCACAACCTCAACTTTTCAAGCATTCCAATTCCAAATCCTTTAAAGTTACAAACCAAAAGGAAAATGCAATGAAAAATGAATTAAAGTTACAACCCAAAGGAAAAATCAAATTCAAAGTTAATTAAAGTTACAAACTAAAAGGAAAATGCAATGCATCAATGTTACAAACTCAAGTGTTGGTGGTGGTGAGTGGATTTGAAGGACTCTGTTGTGTTGTTTGAGCACCAATGCTATTTACAAAATGCAAATTTTATTTTATTTTTAAATATAGTCGCGATTTGCCGTAATCGCAAGTTTTGAAAATCAAATACCGCAACCGCAACAGTAAATGTGGTTCGGTTCTTCATACCGCAAATGCGGTTCCATTGCAGTAAATTGTCAGTTAATTTTTGCAGTTTTTCGGTCTAAAATGCCACCCCTAGTTTTAGTCATATATAGAATTGCATTTAACACTACCAAAATTACGTCCAAACACACCCTAAAGACAATTCATTATGGGGCTACATGAATTAATATAAACTTTGAAAAGGAAAATTATATTGATATGAACATATTAAACGTGTCATGTATCTATTGGCTAATTTGGGTTGTTACGTAATCACTTCATTCACACTATTTATGACAAAAATTACATTAAGAAAAGGCATAGTCCACGTCATTTTATTTTTTATTCTAGACTTTAATTGTTCCAATTTTTATACCGACACATAGTTATCAACGATTGATATCTGAAAGGGAGTTTCACTAAAACACCCAAAATGGGGGCTGAAATTATAAAAAAACCCAACACCCAAAACACTTTATAAACACACCCAAAACCCATCATTACACACACTCAAAACCCATTTATAAACACACCCAAAAAATATACAATTGTTGATTTTGGGGTTGATTTTGGGTGTGTTTCTATGTTTAAATAGTGCTTGGGTTTTTTTATAAATACATGTTTAGGATTGGGTTTATTTATAAATTGATATCAACTGAAACATGCTATTTAAGATTTTCCACTTGTTCACAGTCAAATTCATATGGGAGATTCGCTATTATACCTAATATAGAAGTCAAAATTATAAAATAAAATAAAATAACATATATGAAATTAACTTTAGAAACACACCCAAAGCCCATTTACAATATAACAAAAAGACTTTTAACTTCGTTTAAATTATAAAACTGCCATTGATTTCTTAAAACAAATTCAACTCCAAAACCTCATAAAAAATGCAAAACACTTAATATGGCATCAAAATAATTTAATAATCAAAATTAAATTCAATAGGGCCAGCTGTTATTTTTTTTGTTTTTATTTTTAGGTTTGTTTATAGAAATTAAATAGTGTAAGATTTAAAAATTTTGTGCTAAGAACGAATATATGACTAATTTGAATCCACGCACTCGTCAAATCCAACACATCCCATCTTTTTCTCTGTTGGATTTGACTACGATATTGTAACCAAACAAACAAACAACAAACAGTCCTGTATTCTTGCTCCACAAGCACAAACCACAAACCGAAAATATTATTGTCCTCCTCCTTGTCATCAATATAATATGTCCAAGTGGTGCCCTGCGGTGTGAACTCACGAAGATCTTTTGGGGCTTCGACTTCCAGCTCACACGTAGACATAGCACGCACAAGAGACACCTGGTATCGAGTATGGGTGTTTGGGTATGGGATTGTCAAACTCATTTACAATTACAAGATAAAACCAAACCACACGTAACCTACTATCTATCTATCTATATATATATATATATATATATATATATATATCTTTATCTTACCCAAAAAAAACCAAAAAAACAGAAAATGAAAAGGATACACGTGTCCACCATGATTGGGGCTTGTTTGGTGCAAAGTGGAGCCCACAATCAAAAGTAGTATTTTAATAGTATTATGTGGGCTTGGGATCCGCTACATTCACAGGTCATAATGGCCGACACGTGTCACAATCTGATCCAACAGGAAATAAAGGTGGACTTGGGCAAAGCCCTGTTTAGATTAGGAGGAGGAGGAGGAAGGAGGAAGGATGAACTGGATGAAGAGAATGAAGGCTTGGAGATCACATCAGCAGTGTCTACCCCACGTGAAGAGTTGACACGTAGTCGCTTCTGGAATGGATTGCCCGACAGTTGATTCAATGCGGTGTGATCTTGGAGAGCTACCAGTGTTGACCTAGTGTTGCGATTTATGATATGAAAATATGATGCCCTAAAGCTCTAGGGTACCTTGCCGTCAGATTGTCGATTTCTAATTAATGGGAACATAATTATCTTCTCAAATGGATTTTATAACTCATTTTTTTAATAAGACAATTATATACCCTAGTTAAGGGTATCCATCTTGTTTTTGTAGTTTTGTCAAGGTTGTGTTTATTGTCATATTCATGATAAGAATTCGATGAATCCTATGGTAAATTAAAAAGAAAAAAAAGAGAAAATGTAATACAATCTCTTTTACAGATGTACGAACCGATACATTCTCGGACAACCAAACCTATAAATCATTAATCTGAATTTCAGAAAAAATCACATCATTACAAGTCAAAACCTAAGTGGACTTGAAGTACTTACGAAGGCTATAAGTCTCTGCTGAAAATGTTGTGTAGGCCTATGGCAGATCACCACGTCAATGGTGCTATAAAGACTACATATATCATCACTGGCTAAAGCTGCTACTCCCCTCTCGTGTTATCAATTTACACAAATGATCAGATATGATGTGATATAAGTTTGTTCCAGTTCTTATTACATTTATAACATATTTTTCCACAAAATCAACTGTACGCATAACGAATGTATCCATATTCGAAAAGCTTACAAATTTAGAGAGCCAGAATGCCAAATACAGAAAGGAAACTCTGTACTTTTAAGCTCATAGCCATTATCTAAACCAACCCACTGCAAGCCCCATCGAGTTTTCATTGAGAAAAGTGAGCCCTGGTGAGCTTATGTTATGAACCCTCTCTTGTATCATTTTTGCATGGCATGCCATTGAACAAGTTTCAGTAGATCAAAGCCATCGGTATACTAATCACACAGATGCATTTTTCCATTCCAATATGCAGACATTAACTACTTTCTTAATCAAATTAGTGTAAACAGGGTTTTAGATCGGATTGCTAACTACATTAGACATCCATCGGTCTCATTAAGCATGCCTAAGTCCCAATCAGAACAGCTTGTGGACTTAAATATGATAGAAAAAAGGGAGACTTTGGAAAAACACAAAGGAGATAGAAATGTTGTAAAAGAAGCCAAAATGAACAAAATTGCCCTTATTTATTTTTGAATTTCCTAAGGAATCATTTACATTTGCATGTCTTTGATTTGAAAGTTGGGAGGTTTTTCTGTCTTTTTTGAAAAAGCTTTGGCTTTTTCCAAAAGTGAAAATTTTTGTTTGGCTAAAACCTAAATTTACTTAGAAAAAAATGGATGCTGACCTAGAAAAAATGGATGTACTACTAGTTTCATTAGGATTAGGTGCAAGTTACGGACATTAGGTATCCAATTGCTGTGAAAAAAGACAAAAAATTAAACATAAAATCCTATTTTTGGATTTGTTTTTTGTTGGATCTTTGTTATCCACAAAACTGTGTGCCCTAATGTTGATTGATGCATATAGTACAATTTATACTAGGTATTAGGAGTAAGGGTCTTAATTGGGAGAGAGACTTTGATGCAAGGGCGGACACTCCAATGTAGTGGTTTAAATCATAGGTAAAGTAAATAATAGTCTGGTTCTCTATTTAAAATAAGCCTAGTTCTTTATGTAGAAATAAGGTGGGTAGAGTCTTTTGTCTGATGGGTATTCTTCCTATATTCATGGATTTCCTTCGGTCCATGCCATGGCTCCTCGTTGACCATCTTGGAGTTCTGACAAGGGTGAAGCACGATTACAAATTTTTACAAATCATTGGGCTGGGCTTGTGTGTACAGTATTGGGTTTTTAGCATATTATTTCCAGCGTCTAATGGGTTTTAATCAAGCTGCTGGAAATGACTTATTTAATTTGGGCATTTTATTGATGTGGGCTTGTCTAAGTGTTATAGCAGACTACTAGATGTCTTCCTAAGGCATTAGATCACTTTTTCTCCTCTCTCATGCTAACCCATGTGTTTGGGCTTGATGAACGGGCTTGAGTTTTAATGCTCCCAAGTAGCCTAAAACTTTCGCTCCTCGAACCCTCAATGGGCCTTGTGATTGCTTGTTTCCCTCCATACCACAACCTTCTCAGCAAGCCTCAGGTAATTATGTGGCTTGGGCCCACTTAAGCTTGTAGTATGGCTTGATATTGAAATATTGGTTTTTTAGATGACATCGCGTGTTTATTTAACATGCTTGTGCTTGCGTTTTGTTGTATCGCAGTAAGCTATGATCGGGCCAAGTGGCATTGGATAGGTTGGGGAGAGTGAATTTATAAAGCCGGTGCATTTTTGATTCTTTTGCGCATGTTTGCTTGGCGTGACGCATGACCCACGACTTATGTGGGTGCATCCCATAATTTCTCTTATGTCTCAATTAGGTTTCTTTCGCGATCAATTTATTTGTGTTGGGCTAAGAATAATCTTGGGCCTAGTCCTTGGATTTTTAGGCCTCAACATGCACCAAGAAGAACTGCTGGAAGCCAGACTTGAACACTTGTGGGGCTACACACAGTGCATGGACCTTACCAACTGAACCAACCCTCGTTGGCATAACCTATATAAATTTAATTAGAAGCAAACATTAGAATTTTTCTTCTAGCCACCCAAAATGCCATATTTGAACCTTCAAAGCCTAGAAGAAATAGCTCTTCCCCTCTAAAAAATTGTACCAACCTGTCTTTAGTGGGTTCTTCAATCTTAGTAAGTTTTTCTCTTTTTTATTTATTCAAATTTCAAATTTAATTGTTGTTGTTAAGTTTTTATGATTTAGAGTTTGGGTGAAAACTTTTGGGGATTGTTATATATGTTTTTTTTTGCAACTTGAATTATTAATTAGTATATATGATTTTTGGTGTCCAGCATTTTTTGTTAGGATATCATGTCACATGATAATAATTGACCGACAAAGAGAGGAAAAACTATTTATTCATTTTTCAAAAAAAGTGGTAACGAAAACAAGGATACACCTTCTGCATTTGAAGTTGATACTTCAATTCCCAAGGAACTTACTCAACTCGGATCTCAAGTAGTTGAACAATGTGTTTGATTTGATATTTATTTATATTTTGTACTTCTTTATGTTATATTTGGTCGTAATGTGGCCTTGTTTGATTTATAAAATTTTATTTACATTTTTGTTTCAAGAGAAAAAAAGGTTTATAATATATCTCCTGTACAAAATAAAATTTACCCTACCCCTATAAAAATTCCTGAGTCCGCCATTGCTTTCATGCAACGGGAATACCACTTTTTGCTATTCCTAGCCAATAGCGCAATGACATGCATGATAACTTTTCCACGTGTCATTGCATTATTGGCCGGGGATAGTGAAATAGTGCTATCCCTATTATAAGAAAGTTTTTCTGCTTAATTAGGGTTCATGTGGCACAGACAGCTCCTGAAAGAGATTTTGGGTTCGACCAAAAAGAAAGAAAGAAAGAGATTTTGGGTTCATCCTCAATGTAGCCGCTGATCACTTGGCCAATTTGGGTCATAGCTAGCCTCTTATGCCTTAGGCAGGCGATAGCCTACGGCTATTTGTTAGTTTTTGCCTTTGCCTTTATTGGGCTAAACAGTGGCCCTTTCTCTCAGCCGAACAGATTTCATGTCTGCTAAAAACAACCACATATAAAAGTGGAATCTGAATTATCTTAGAGTAGATAAAGTGAATATAAATATAGTGACCAGAGAAGTATATATAAATTTGCACAAGTTCATCATTAAAAGAATGAGAAAAATGTTTGTACAGATGCATATTGGCATCCAATCTTTCTTACGGGCATAAATTACCAGTGTTGCATAACCTGTGGGAAAACTGTGGTATAGGGAAACCATACAACTGTCAACCTAAAACGAACTTCAGTTTTTCAATTCAAAAGTTTTCTAGTAAGAACTTGTAAAGCTCCTCTGCAACCATATCAGGATACTCCTCTTGAGGAAGTAGAGCACCTGGAACCTCAACAAACTTACTTACTCCCTCAGCTTCCCTCAGAGCTTCCATCTCTGCTTTTGACCTCTTTGGAGATCCTTCAGTCGACAGGACAAGAACTGGGATCTTCTGGCTGCCCATCTCTGCAAAGAGTCCAACAAATTCCTCTCGTGTTTGTACAGGATCAAGGAGACCAGTCAAGAAAGCAGCAGGTACATAGCGAGCTCCTTTCTGCTTGGTCAGTGCGTATCGGCTTTCGATAATTCCAGGAGTCACATTGTCCGGATTTGAATAGACATGTGATTTGTACTGAGATTCAATTGACTTCTCATTGCTGACAAGCATGTTATACATCATCCAGCCCACAGCAGGGGCTCGTAAGGTGCCCCTAAGCAGTCCATACCTGAATATTTGTTAACAAAAGGAGATATCAGTCAGGTCATAGATCAAGAAAAAACTGGTGCTTACTTACATAGGAAAAGTAGCACTTTCCCTTAAAGACATCTATATTAAAATCTTTAAAATGGACCAACTACATATTATCACACAATAACATGGAGTGATATGACTTAATGGTCTTGCACCGTAGATATTTCTGCAGAATAGTTATCCACAATTTGGGTTCCCAATTACAGCTCAATTGTCAACAACTAGAATCATTTAATATCTGTTTTCAGATAGAATACCTTGTTTCCATGCTAGAATCTCGACCAAACACAATAGGAAGGGGACCAGCCCAGGTGGGTGCAATAGCAGCAATGGCTTTAGGTTTCACCGCACCACGTTTTACAGCACGAATAGTTAAAGTGGCGGCGTGCCCTCCTCCAAATACTACAAAATCATTTTCTGGTTGATAGCAAGAGATTATTAGCAAGTAAACTCTAAGAAAAGAAACGGATGACCGCATGCAAACCGCAAAAAAAGAAAAAAAAAAAAAAAAAAAAAAAAAAAAAAAAAAAAAAAAAAAAAAAGGCAATAAGCACTAACAATAAGTAAAACAATCAGTAAATTTACTTTTTTCCCTCATTCGATGGGGGTTGGGAAGCATGATGTGTTTCAAGTAACTATATGTAGTTAAGAAGGTCGAGTACCTTAACACATGCATGATGGAACAAGATGTGTACATCATGCTAAGAATGCTCTAAATAGAATGCAGATAAACAGTAGTGGTATCTTCATAATATCATTAACCAAAGAACAGTAGTTACTCATCAACCTGAGCCGCTTATAGGACCATCAGATGCATTGATGAAGTCAACCAGAAATTTCTCCATGACATCAGCAGTGTAGTCCATCTTTGGCCTATCAGAGTACCCCAGACCTGGCCAATCAACAATGGTTGCTCGCCAATTAACATTACCATCTTGCTGAACAAGATTACTTGCTACTGATCTCCATTCTTCAACAGTGCTTACATCAGAAATGGTTGGTATCATAAGGATGTTCTTAGAAGGACCCTCTTTCTCCTTTTCATGCTCCTCATAGTAGATGTTAATAGAATTTTCCTTGAATTTCCATTGCCAACTATTGCTCTGAAACAAAGTATAATCATTTGTCAGGCAAGGTGACAACACATAATACTGGACTCGACAAATAATTATTAGAAAGAAAATGCCAAACACAATAACATTAGTTGACTGGATTTTAACATCAATGTGTTTCTTTATAAACTGATCCCTATATCCTTGCAATTAACAAAATTTTAGTTTCCAAAATGTTGCTTGTTACCAGTGACATCCACTCCTAGTGATATTTGGTTCAGTGACTGATACACAAAGGTACACATGTACAGAATAAAATAGAACCGTTCCATCTAATTTTTCATGGAATTTAACATAATATTAACTTGTGTTTCACATTGATAATAAAATGAGTCTCTTCTCTCGGGTGGTAGAAATGTAAACTTCAATTCAATACTTCAGAAAGAAAACTGATTCAAATCTTCTCCGAAATCCAAATTTTCATTTAGATATGTAAGCACTTTAATCCAATTTTTCTTGGTTAGTTTTGTGAATTCCCCCAGCTCATTTTCAAATTCATCCAATTTTCTCAAGTTTCCAAATTCCAATACATTAATGATTCGTACATACGTAGAAGCATAGAAGCCACAATCCAAACCTCAACTTTGAAACCCATGGGCAAAATGACAAAGTAAGAACAACGAAAAAGTACAATTGGGTCTCTGACCTTTGATGGGGCTGAAGATTTATCACCCACAGTGAGCTTGGAGTAGTCCAGGGTGGTTGAAGCCCTAATTGTTAGGGTTTTCTGGAAGCAAGCAGTCTGAGAGAAATTGGGTTTACGAGTTCTGCACAAAGGAGCACGGGATGGTTGTGAAGATGTGTAGAATGCTGCAGAGAGCGCCATGGATATGGTGCAGAAATTGAGAAAGAAGGATTACGGGCGGGGGCTTCGGGTCTTGGGTTTTTGGGTAAATGGGGTTGCGGCGGAAGATGCTGACCATTGGCTTTTACTGAGATTTTCTGCTGTGGAAAAATATCAAGTATCTCTGCTCAGCAGTCCACAGTCAGCGTCAGATGAGAAATATGACTATATCAGTAGTGTCCACAATAGTTTTGGAAATATCACTCAGCACCAGCTGAGATATAAATTTGTTCACTTTTTCTCCATATAGTGCCGTTGGTCTCCCTCCCGCCAAACGTTACGTGTCTTCCGTTTTTCTCACCTAACAGCTTGGGATATTTCCAAAAATATCTGCTTCCTTTGTTCATTACGAACGTTTACAAACATCGCATCTGAAATGCTCCAGCTTTGAAGAAAATTCCTAGCGTGTATAATCTGTACACATTTTGGGGGGGTCAAAAGAATGAAGAAAATTGTTGACAACAACCAAATGGGTGTACTTGAATGAAAATCTGCCAGTACTTCAATTTTTCCATCTGCCTACTAAGTACTCAGTTGCTCCTTGTTGTTTTAGAAGTTCATTTTCAGTTTTCATCATTTCCCCTGCCTCCTTTGAACCAATTGTTGAAATTTTTGATCAGTAATGTGACTCAAGGACAAATTCTTGGCGTTCCTTCTTGTCTTGCGTATCCGTATCAGTATATTCTTCCATGACTTTGATCTCTCTTAACTTATAGGAGCTATACTTCTTCAAGAACTTCGTCAGTTGCCACTCACCAGTAATCTTTGCAAGAACAAGAGCCGTCCTTGAAGGAGTGAAAACGGCTTCTGTCTCTCACTACGATCTCCAATCTATAAACCTTAGAAATCAACTTCATCACCATATGACAGTCCCTACAGACTCGTAAATTCTTCACAATCCTTATATTCATTCCTACCCGCAGTCTTGCCAAGCCAAAAGCTACAGCAAGTTTCTCACTGTGCCTGAACACTGAATCTTCTTTATCCTCTTCTTCTATGTCATGCAAAACACTCCCAACCTCTGGAACATAACCTCCATCAACCCTTATCTTTAACATTATATCCCTTAGCTTCTCGTAAGCCTCTTCTGTAATCTTATTTGATTTTTCACCAGCCGTAAAACTATACACGACCTTATCAACTTCAATCACACTCCATCCTGGAGTTTTCTTAATCCTTTGGTCAGCCATTGATCTTCTTACAGCAGCAACATCCTTCCACTTCCCTGCAACAGCATATACATTTGACAAGAGAACGTGGTCACCTGAATTGTCAGGGTCGAGTTTGGAGAGCACTTCCTTCACTTGTTCTGCCAACTCAACATTACCATGAACGCTACAAGCCCCAAGAAGAGTTCGCCAAATAACAGCATTAGGAGACATTGGCAATTGACTAACAAAATCATAGGCCTTTTGCAGTTTACCAGCTCGACCATATAGATCTACCATACAACCGTAATGTTCAATAGCTGGTTCTATACCATACAAATATCTCATCTTAGAGAAATACTCACATCCTTCATTGATCAAACCAGCATGACTACAAGCATACAAAACTGAAATGAAGGTGATCCCATCAGGCCTAAATCCAGACGCTTCCATATCATGGAAAACTTGTATTGCTTCTTTGCCATAACCATGCATTGCAAGCCCCGCTATCATTGAAGTCCAAGAAATAATACTCTTTTTCTCCGGCATCCTTTTAAAGACCAACCGAGCCATGTCCACATTTCCAGATTTAGAGTACGTATCCAGGAGTGCATTATTGACTGAAATCATCCAAAGAAAACCAGCCTTCTCTACTAACCCATGTAGAATTTTGCCAAACTCAAATGCCCCAGCTTGTGCACACGCAGAGAGAACCCCAGTCAAGCTCGCCTCATTGGGTCTAATTCCTTCCCCCTGTAGTTCCCTGAAAAACCCAAAAGCCTCATCAAAACAACCACTCTGAGCATACCCAACAATCATAGTACTCCAAGAGACATCATCTTTCATCGGCATCCTAAAAAACGCCTTCTTAGCCAGCTCAAGCTCATCTGCTTTCACATACCCTGCAAGCAAAACATTCCACGAGGTCAAATTCCTCAAAGGCATACGATCAAACATTGTTTCCGCTCCCTCCACATCCCCACACCTAAAACACGCGGTAAGAATCGCATTCCAAGCCACCACATTTGGATCAGACATCTCCTCAAACACTTTGCGTGCAAAGCTGACAATCCCACATTCAGCATACATACTGATAATCGTTGTTCCAACAAAAAGATGGGTATCAAGCCCATGAGTCAAAGCTTGACAATGCAGCTGCATCCCATCTCTCAAAGACCGGCAATTGGCCGCCGCCTTGAGTATAAACGCGAAAGAAAAGCTATCAAGCGGGTCGATCAATTTCCGGTGCATTTCAACGAACACATCAAACGCATTGTGCGGGGTATCAGATTCAGCGAACCCACGAATGAGCGTGTTGTACATGAAAGCATCTGGGTTTCGAAAATGAAGGAGCAGACGGCGAGCATATTCGAGAGCACCGGAGATTGTGACCGCGCAGTGGAGGAGGAGTTTGCCAGAGACCAAAGGATGGGCATCTAGGCCGGTCTTGCACACGAAGGCGTGGACTTGCTTCACGGTTTTGAGGGTCTTGCACTTGCTCAATAGAGACACGCAGAGCTGTTCGGCGGTGTTCATTCTCAGCTCTCGCTCTCCATAGTTCAAAGACGCGGATTTTTTTCGCGGTTTCTTTTAAGTAGCCGTTGATTTCACTAATGCCACTCCGGATTGGGGCGCTCAATTAATAGAAAAAAGCATGTTCTCAAATTAAAAAAAAGGCCTATAAATCTTGACCGTTGAAAGAGAGCACGTGACAGCCGTTGGATCCTAGGGCAACTGAGGCTTCTCTTTTCTCTCTAACTCTAGGGCTTTAACTTTCTCGCTCTACCCCCAAAACAGAGTTCCTCTAACCCAGAGAGAGAGAGAGAGAGAGAGAGACGAAGATGGTGCAAAGGCTCACATACCGTACGCGCCATAGCTATGCAACCAAGTCAAACCAGCATCGGATCGTCAAGACCCCTGGTACTTTTATCAACCTCTTATACGTGGTTATTATATATTCATGTGGGGCTAAAGCTGGTGTTTTTTGGTCTTGTAATCAAAATACAAACTTTGTGTGTTTTTCGTTGGCTTAGGTTGGTTTGGTGTGAGTTTTTTATGGTCCCTTTTGCTTTATTTTGTAAAGAAACTCTATCTCCAGATTGTATTGTTTCTTCTCCAAAAGTAAATATTTGTATGGATTTTAATTTCATAATGGAGTTTAGTAGTATACAACTTTGGACAAAGTAAATTGCATATGTCTAGAATTGTGTTATTTTTATGAATTCCTGGATTGGCAATATATAGGGTAAATTGAAAAGAGGGTGTGCATTGTGCAAAGTTGTGTGCATAAGATTAGAAAATTGATGGAAATAAGAAGCTGCATTGTTTGTTGTTTTACGAGTTGAATGGTTACAATAGAGTAGGTTTAAAATCTTACATTTTATTGCAAAAAAATAGAAGATCTTACATTTTGACCGGCTAAATTCCATTGTTTGTCTCCCTCTTTTCAAATTTTATGCATTTAATGTTAGGTTTCTGAGTTGGAATTATGGTAACATGTTTTGAAATGCAGAAACTGTGTTAGTATGTGTCCTGCATTTGTATCGTATAGATCATAGTTTTCTTTTGGATTATAATCTGATCATTCCAGCATTTGCATTGTAATATATACCATAAAGTTTTCTATTCTGTTGATTTTGTGTGGATGGCTTTTTGTTTATTCCTTTGCTACATTTGATATTTAGGTGGAAAGCTTGTGTATCAGACCACTAAGAAGAGAGCAAGTGGACCCAAGTGTCCTGTTACTGGAAAGAGAATCCAAGGGGTAGGTTGATTGTTTGTGGCTATGACTTGTGTTGGTTCTAACTTTTGTTGTTCAGCCTTCTGATTATGGATTTCCAATTATTTTTATTTCTTCCAAGAAGTGTACATGTGAGATGGCATTGACTTAGTGTTACAATCAGGACTACGAGAATTCACATTAAGCATTTTGGTTTATCTCATATGGTTGGTAATTCTAGGAATCAAATGTTCTGTGTAGTCTGAGCATCTGACTTTTTAATGTTTGCGGCCATATGTATATGCTTGCGACTTTATTTCATAATGAGCTTAGTTTGTCAGGATTTATATGTTTGGGAAAATTAGGGCTACCATGTTGATATATATATATAATATATATTATAGTGCTCTATGTCTATGTGATGTGATGAACGTATGTATGTGTTTTTATATTTCTTGATTACTTTGTCTCGAGAAACTCTGTGCCTGGTTATATGCCCAGTGTTGTTAGTTCTCACTCACTGCCATATGCAGATTCCTCACCTGAGACCTGCTGAATATAAGAGGTCTAGACTATCAAGGAACAGGAGGACTGTGAATCGCGCATATGGTGGTGTGCTGTCTGGTGGAGCTGTACGAGAGAGGTTTGTATTTCTAGAAATATTACTTATCTAGAGTTCTGTGGCTTATTTGGGCACTTCTTGGTTGATTTGATTTTGTTAACTTTTTATTAATGATTCCAAGTGCCAATAATATTTCTTGCAATTTCTGGTTTTGCAGGATCATCCGAGCCTTTTTGGTGGAAGAGCAGAAGATCGTGAAGAAGGTTTTGAAGATTCAGAAGGCAAAAGAGAAGCAGGCATCAAAGAGCAGCTAATCTGCAATAGAGAATGTTTTTGTTTTTCTTGATCTCCATGCGTGAAATTTTGACTTTTATTATGAGAGGATGAAGATTGTTCGAACAATACCTGTTGTCAACTAAATTTGGATGAGTTTCATAGTTGACAACTTGACGTAATCACTTCATTGATACTTACGATATTGAAAATGAGGTTTTTAATCGTTATTTTTACTTGTACTGTTTACAAAATCCTTGGATTTCCAAGAGGCTCTAGCATTGAATTTTCTACTGACTTTTAGCGGCGGTGTTTTTATCCGTGGATAATAATGTCTAAACCCGCGGCTAGTGGCAGTTTTTTTCGCTGCTAAAGACTTCCTAGGTCAATGGGGCATAAATTTCGTCACGAAAAGTCCATAATCCGCTGTTAAAAGTTAAAAGGCGTCGCTAAAACACGTGACTGTCACATATATATGGAAACTGCGTTTTTCTTTCTGTTTCATATAGATCGTTTGCTTTACCGCCCTTAACATATTGTTGTCAATCCGGTAATTCAGGTTAAAGCTGAGACAAACTTGATTGCACCAAGGAAATACGAGAACCTAGTGGCAATTGCAAAATTTAGAACCCGCAAAGAAAAACTGATTGATTGTGTTTGGAGTAAATTCTATATTTTTGTGTTATTGATTTGACTCCTCATTTCCTATAGTTTTTGTTATGGGTTTTCAAATTTAGTTTTTGTATAATAAATTTCAGCAGATTCTTGAAGAAGGACCCTGGCACAAATATTTTTTTATTTAATAAGTTTCTTGCTATTAAGCATAAAATATTATTGTGGAAGGAACTACTGAAATGAAAATGAATTAAAAGAAGTATAGTACAATATGATATTTTAATTATAAGGACCAAGGAAATTGCTCTACCATTTGTGTTTTTAAATTAAAAATATATTGATTAAAAGGTATAGGGAGAAAGAGAGGGATGACAGGAGAAAACAGAGTGATCCTGATAGTGATTTTAAGAACAAAAGTACCAGTGTCTACAGTACACAATAATTTTAACAACTAATGTGATCTAGCATGAATGGTCCCTTTCCTCTCTGGGTCCAGCATTTTGTAACCAAAGAATCCTCATAAGTTTTGTAAGGGCCAAACTCTCTCCATTGGTGAAAGAAGCTCCTCCTTGAAGAGATTGATATTCCTCCACTCCTTCAAACACATTCAGTGTCTCAAACACTTCCTCGAGTGCTCAAGCGCTTTCTCTTGTGCATCACTGCGACTTGTCAGCACTTGGCTCATGCCCTCGAACAAAAGCATGATGTGATGCGTTAGGCAAAAAAACCATTTTTTGATCAACTAGCATTGTCTCACCTGTTGCTGGATATAAGAGGCCCATAATCAAACTTAGGCTCTTTTGTAAGGATCTTCAGGCAGGATCCGAGGAGCATTTTTCCAAGTTTCATCAATGTTCTCTAGGATGATGTATGAGTCAGCAATGGATTTTCCGTTGTGGACAAGTACCGGGACCTTCTTGTGAACCGGATTGTACTTGAGGAGCAACTGGCTCTTGTTGCTCAAGTCTTCTTCTATGTGCTCATAGGGTATGCCGTCTGAGAGCTTTTTCCACCCTCTTAGAGTAAGTACTAGCCCACATGCCATGTAGTTTTACTCTGTTCTCCTCTTCCATCTCTCCCACTACAAGTAATGACCTAGTTTTCTGGGTTCAAGTTCATGAGGCTAGCCTTTATATAGATTTTATCTTGCACCTTTTGTCATGCTTTAGCTAGCCTGACCTGAACTGCTATAGTCAGAAGTCAAACGGATGAAAGTTGAAACAATGCTTTGGCTAGCCTGCTACAGTCAATCGTATAGCCGCGCGGCTATACTTGGGGATTTTTTTAATTAAAAAATTGTATTGCTGGCGGCCGTACGTTTGACACGTGTCGAAGTGCGCACAGCCCCCAGGCGGGCCCTCTATTTTTTTAAATAAATAGTATAGCCGCGCGGCTATACTCGGTGTTTTCTATTAGAACAATAGTATAGCCGCGCGGCTATACTCGGTGTTTTCTATTAGAACAATAGTATAGCCGCGCGGCGATACTACCGTTTTATAATAAAAAAGTACAACCGTGCGGCTTTACGGGGGTCTTTTTTAATAATTAGTATAGCCGACCGGCTATAGGCTTTACTCAATATTGGATTACCAAACATCGGTGATGAGCTCATTGACCAGAGAAAAGCAGTTCTTTATCTTCTTTTTTTTCCTCAAAGAGGCCATTGACATTTTCGTCAATTTGCTACATTATAATTCTTATGGAGCATCTAGTTATCTTACAGTTAACTCTACAAAAACGTTTATCTGTAATGTTTTGGTTCTTCTTAAATTGTAGATCCTCTGTTGATCAAAAGTCAACGTGGGAAAGGACATATTTTTTTATCTCAGACCAAAAATTGAAAATATTTTAAGATATCGATGACTACAGGTTCCCTTGAGGAAGAAGGAACTGATCTATTAGCTGGTCAATGCCCTTATCACCAATGCATGTTTTAAAGGATGAATTCTTCATCAGGACTTGACAAACAAGTTAATAAGAAAAAATGGAACTCTATAAATGCTGCAGTAACATTTGACTCCAACATCCAAGCCAAAACTGAAAAAGAGTGTGAAAGAGAGATGGCAGAAGGAAACAAGGTGATCCTGCATGGATCGTGGCTTAGTCTTTACACAAAGAGAGTGGAACTGGCCTTGAAAACAAAAGGCATCCCCTTTGAGTTTGTGGATGAAGATCTGAATAACAAGAGCCCATTGCTCCTCAAGTACAATCCCGTCCACAAAAAAGTTCCTGTGCTTGTCCACAATGGAAAGCCTATTGTTGAGTCACTCATCATTCTTGAGTACATTGATGAGATATGGAAAACTGGTCCTGGACTTCTGCCTGAGGATCCTTACGAAAGGGCCCGAGTTCGCTTCTGGGCTAGCTTTGTCCACCAACAGGTTTCTAAGTTTTGTCAAACAAATTAATGAGATTTTTTCGGCTAAAATTTTCGTGGATTAATAATGGTTACAAGTTTTGAGTGCAGGTATTTGAAAGTCTGTCCTTGGCCTGCACATCTGATGGAGAAGTACAAGAGAAAGCCATCAAGGAATTGCTTGAAAAATTAAAGACATTTGAAGAGGGAATGAAGGAATTTTTCCCAGATGGCATCGCTTCGATCGAAAGAAGCAAGACTTTGGGACTTCTGGACATTGTATTGTGTTCAGTATTTGGACCTCATAAAGTTCAAGAAGAAGTTCTTGGTATCAAAATTGTAGATCCAGAGAAGACCCCACTAATATTTTCTTGGGTGACAGATCTAACTGAACTGCCTTTGGTGAAAGAGCTAACCCCTACTCATGAAAAGCTGCTAGCTCTTGTTCAATTCTTCAGAAATAATGCCCTCAAATCTGGTGCTGCTTGACCTTATGTTACATCAGTATTTTTATTTGTAATTTCAGATTTGGGTTACTAAATGATGTCACACATGACATACAAATAAAAATAAGCCCAAATATAAACAAATAAAACATCGTTATATGATTTGAAATCCAAAATTTGGAATATGCTTTGGTGTGTATGTTAAAAATGCTCTTAGTTTCTTTGAGTGTTTGTTTAATAAGCAGCAGTAACAAGTTGAACATATGAAAATCCAGAAGTCTTGTTTGAGTTTTGCCTTTCGCTTATTGTTATTAGGCCAATTCATTCAACTTTTCTTTGAATATAAACAAACAAAACACTGCTATATGATGTGATACACAAAATTTGGAATATGCTTTGGGAGTGTAGAACATAAGAAGAAGAAGGCATGGGGCTAATAGGTAAGTATCTCACTACAAGTACAAGCCAACAAACTATTGATAAGGAAAGGAATAACATAAATTTATCTGTTAAACCATGAGCTTATCCCTAGACTATGGTTATTGAAATAACTCTAGTACAATATGATATTTTAATTATAATGACCAAGAAAATTGCTCAGTCATTTGTGTTTTTAAATTACAAAAGTATTGACTGAGGGGCCTCAACTGAAAGATCAAGATGTATAAGAAAGAGAGAGATGACAGATAAAAAAGAAAAGAATAAAAGAGGGATACCTAGCCCTTTTGTTAAGAGGGTGGAAATAGCACTCAAACTCAAAGGCACACCATATATGAGTTTGTGGATGAAGCTTTGAAGAACAAAAGCTGATTGCTTTTTACGTTTATTACAATATTCAAAACTCAAACTCAAAGGCATAGCATACTATATATACCAGTGTCTACAGTACACAATAATTGATGTAACAAATGGATCATAGCCGGCCGTCACATAATATGGTCAACTAATGTGATCTAGCATGACTGGTACTTTTAATAAACTGAAGCAGTTCAACAAGCTTGTCATGAGGAGGGTCAACTTCTTTCACCACCGGATGCTCCTTCATTGCTGCAACCCATGAGAACAACAATGGATTCCTTTCTGGGTCTAACATTTTGAAACCAAGGACTTCTTCATGAGCTTTGTAAGGGCCAAATGTTACAACCATCAATATGTCTAGAAGTCCCAAACTCTCTCCATTGGTGAAAGAAGCTCCTCCTTGAAGATATTCCTTCATTCCTCCTTCAAACACTTTCAGTCTCTCAAATACTTCCTCGAGCGCTTTCTCTTGTGCCTCACCACAGCTTGTCACCACTCGGCTCAGGCCCTCGAACAACTGTATTAACAAAAGTAAGCATGATGATGATGCACTAGGCAAAAAACCATTTTGTGATCAAGAAGACAGACAAACGGGAAAAATTAGACATGAGTCTTATTGTCTCACCTGTTGCTGGATATAAGAGGCCCAGAATCGAACTTTAGCTTTTTCATAAGGATCTTCAGGCAGAATCCGAGGATCACTGTTCCAAGTTTCATCAATGTATTCTAGGATGATGTATGACTCGGCAATGGATTTTCCATTGTGGACCAGCACCGGGACCTTCTTGTGAACCGGATTGTACTTGAGGAGCAACTGGCTCTTGTTGCTCAAGTCTTCTTCAATGTACTCGTAAGGTATGCCTTTAAGCCTGAGAGCTATTTCCACTCTCAGAGAGTAAGTACTAGCCCACATGCCATGTAGTTTTACTTTGTTCTCCTCTTCCATCTCTCCCACTACAAGTAATGGCCTGGCTTTCTTGGTTCAAGTTTATGAGGCTAGCCTTTATATAGATTTTATCATGCACCATTTGCCTGAACTGCTATAGTCAATAGTCAAACGGATGACCTTAGACTGAACAATGCTTTTAGAGAAAGGAAGGCATATTCTTAGGAATTCGACCACATTTCTTGCGCAATAAGTTTAAACGTATATACTATTTTTATGTGGCTTGAAAGACATGAATTTTTGTACTTTTGTTCCTTCAATGTCAGAGTTGCTAATTATATACTGTCCTTCCAAATTGGTCTAAGCCACACTTTGTTCTAGTTAAGTTTATTATCTGTTTTCGTCTGCCATCTCTTTCTCTCCCTCTCTCACCTTTTGCTCGGATGTCATTCTGTTGGCATATTAATATAGAGTTTTATCCATTTCCTTAACTTGCTTGACAAATCTGCATAAACAAAGATGCTAACTTTTCAACTTTTCAAGAGAAAGGGCCTCAATCAATATCAATAGTCGTGTAATGCTAGATTTAAAAACAAATGGCTATACAATTTTCTTGGTCATAACAATCAGAATATTAGTAGATGCACCTTTCATGTGAAGTTTTTCAGAAGATAATGTAAAGAATTCTTTGGATTACCAAACACTGGTGATGAGCTCATTGACCAGAGAAAAGCAGTTCTTATCTTCTTCTTTTTTCCTCAACTAGGCCATTGTCATTTTCGTGTATTTGCAACATTATTCTTATGGAGCATCTCGTATATCTTACAGCTAACTGTACAAAGAACATTTTCCTGTAAGGTCTTATTGTTAGAGACCATCTGTAATGTTTGGTTCTTTTTAAATTGTAGATCCTCTGTTTATCGAAACTCAACATGGGAACGAACATATTTTTCTGTTTTCAGACCAAAAAAGAGAAAATATTTTAAGATCTGGATCACCACAGCTTCCCTTGAGGAAGAAGAAAATGATCAATTAGCTGCAGGTCAATGCCGTTATCACCAATGCATTTTTAAAGAATGAATTCTTCATCAAGACTTGACAAACAAGTCAAGAAGAAGAATGGAACTCTATAAAAACCTGCAGTAACATTTGACTCCAACATCCAAACCAACACTGGAAAAAAAGTGTGAAAGAGAGATGGAAGAAGAAAACAAGGTGACCCTGCATGGGTTGTGGATTAGCCCTTACTCTAAGAGAGTGGAACTGGCCTTGAAAACAAAAGGCATTCCCTTTGAGTTTGTGGAAGAAGATTTGATGAACAAGAGCCCATTGCTCCTCAAGTACAATCCTGTCCACAAAAAAGTTCCTGTGCTTGTCCACAGTGGAAAGCCTATTGTTGAGTCACTCATCATTCTTGAGTACATTGATGAGACATGGAAAACTGGTCCTAGACTTCTGCCCGAGGATCCTTACAAAAGGGCGCGAGTTCGCTTCTGGGCCAGTTTTGTCGACCAACAGGTTTCTAAGTTTTGTCAAACAAATTAATGAGCTTTTTTGGGATAAAGTTTTCGTGGATTAATGGTTACAAGTTTTGAGTGCAGGTATTTGAGAGTCTGAAACTGGCCTTCACATCTGATGGAGAAGTACAAGAGAAAGCCATCAAGGAGTTGCTTGAAAAATTAAAGACATTTGAAGAGGGAATGAAGGAATTTTTCCCAGACGGCATCGCTTCAATTGAAAGAACCAAGAATCTGGGACTTCTGGACATTGTATTGTATTCAGGATTTGGAGCTCATAAAGTTCCAGAAGAAGTGATTGGTACCAAAATTATAGACCCAGAGAAGACCCCACTAATATTTTCTTGGCTGACAGCTCTAAATGAATTGCCTTTGGTGAAAGAGCTAACCCCTCCTCATGAAAAGCTGGTAGCTGTTCTTCAGTTCTTCAGAAATAATGCCCTTAAATCTGGTGCTGCTTGACCCTATGTTACATCAGTAATTTTATTTGTAATTTCAGATTTTGGATACTAAATGATGTCACACATGACATACAAATAAAAAGTAAGGCCAATATAAACAAATAAAACACTGCTGTATGATTTGATAAGGCCAAATTTAAATGTAGAAATGCACTTATTTTCCTTATGCCCCTGTGTTTTTTTCTGTATTTATTTTTAAAAAGCACAGATGAAAATCCAGAAGTCTTGTTTGAGTTTTGCTCGTCAAGTTTGTTGCCTTTAGCTTATTGTTATTAGGCCAATTTACCCTACTGTTTTCAACTTTGTTTTGAATGTAGAAAAACAAAACACTGCTATATGATTTGATAAACAAAATTTGGAATATGCTTTGGAAGGTGAAGAACAGAAGAAGAAAATGGCATATGGGATCAATTGGTAATTATCTCACTACAAGCTAGCTTAACAGAGGGAGTTTTGGTTTAAACTCAATAGTAAGTTTAATATTGTGGAAGATAATTATTCACTAAATGAGGTCAATGACTAAAATATAGCATTTAATTTTATAATAATTAAATACTAATTATTCACTAAACAAATAACAATTTAATTAATTAAAGTAATTAAATAAGGCTAAGATATTTCTTAATTACAAATATCAAACGAAATAACTAAAATTTTTTTAAATAAATAAATAGGTATATTCGAATAAATAAATATAAATATTCAAATATATTAGAATCTTCTTGGCAAGGTCTAGCCGTACGGCTACACTATCTGAATAAAATATTTTAAGGGTATTGCCGCGCGGCTTTACTCTATAAATGGTCTATTTTAATAATATAGCCGAGCGGCTATACTCTATAAATAATATATTTTAAAGTATAGCCGCTCAGCTATACACTTTACGAAAGAGCAAAAATGCACTAAAAAACTAAGTCCAAAAATTCAAGTCCGCAATCAACACCATACATAAAATATTACACGAATTACTTGCATAATCGAACAGAAAAATCGCGCTTTGGGAAATCGCACAAGAAACTGAAAACAAGAAATGAAGAACATATATAAGAAATGACGCACGCTCTTGAGAAATATACCACTCTTCGTTTTGTAGCAGCAGAAAGAGAGAGAACAAGGTCCGCTAAGCACACTGTAGCACCACCCGTGGAAAGACGTTCCGACGCCGTAGTCAAGCTGAAGGAGATCGCCCATCGTTTGATTCATTTTGACGTCGTTTTGTTTAGGTGCATATCAGTGTTTCCTTTTCTTAAAGAGAAAGGTTATAAGCGTCAATTCAACTCAAATTTAAACGGACATAAAAGCAGCTGGCAGGTCCATTGTCAGAGTGTTATAAAATTTATCTTATATTTTAGAAGTATAGCCGCGCGGCTATACGTCTTAAAATGGCAGCAAATCAGCCAGCCCAATGTTTTTATTATTATTATTTATTTTTATATAACATATTCATTTAAAGTGAATCACGCTATGTCACATGTCCAACAACCTACTTCCGACCGGCTGGACACCGTCGATGCCAACCCCCACCAGCTGCACACCGTTGATGCCAACCCCTACCAGCTGACTATCAAAGTTCCAGATATATATAAAGTTTATAAACATTGAAGTATAGGATACTAAGATTGATAGAAAACAGACTCCAGGGGCAATTGGACAGCGATCTTTTTTACCTTTAGACCGGTCATGGTTGTGCCATATTCCCTGTACAGTTGCAGGCACATCCTTGGCACCTCACTTTCTTCTATCTGCAAGTGCTGCAAGTGCCTGCAACATGAACTCTACAATCGAAATTGCTCAACATCATTAGTAATTTGTTAATGGTTTATGAGTAGTGAAATACAATATTATCACCTAACTAATAGCATCTTCGTCTGATCAATAGTAGGTTTACAGCCATACCTTCAATGTTCTTGCGGCATGCCAAGTTGAGGTCGGGGGCATAGAGTGTCATCCAAATCTGTAAGACATGTTGGAAGCCGCCAAACATAACAGTGAATAGTTGGCCAAGTGAAAGTATGAAAGAAGAGATGCTTTTAATAGTTAAATCCAGAAGTCTACACAATTAAGTCAAATTTTGTCTACACAAGTGAAAATATATACTAGAGGGTATCATACCAGGTTTCAAATTTTGGATACTAAATGATGTCAGAGGCCAAAATAAACAAATAAAACAATGCTATGATTTGATACCCAAAATGGGGAATATGTTTTGATGTATGTAAAAGGGTTCTTAGTTCCTTTGCCCTTGTATTTGTATAATAAGCAGCAGTAGGACAATGGACAGCTTTTATTTCCAAGTTTTGTTACTTTTACATTATTTGATTAGGCCATGTTTACCAGTTTTAAACTTTAACATTGGAAAGTAAACTATGAATCAAGAATCATGGTCAAGCGATCACTTGTCAAGGAAAACCTCTGGGGGTAAAAATCTAGCTATCGCTTCCGAATAATATGTTCCTACGATTGGAGCATTGTAAGCAGCTAGAGAAATGGCACGTTTCTGCTGTTTGTGATCATTTGCAGGTTGTAGTAGAAGAAGAAGCCACTTGGAAAATGGAAATGCCACTGAACCCAAATGAAACTAATAATGTTTTCACCCTTGAAAAGCAAAGCTATTACTCTAATCAAAGTAGTAAAAACCAACTTTCTTCAACTTCTTATTTAAAACATGCAAAACAAAAAGGAAAACACAGGCTAAAGTTAAACAACATGGAGCTGCCAATCGATCGAATTTTACGACTGAGATGGAGGATTGATGGCAAGCTGTCACAAGGTCCCAAGAAGTGCCACAATCTTTTCATGAGAAGGGATTGTCTCTTGCACCAGAGGTAGCTCTCTTAGAGCTTCCACCCAAGAGAACAGTAGTGGAGTTATCTCTGGGTCTATAACTTTGATACCAAGAATTTCTTCTGGAGCTTTAAAAGGGCAAAGTATTGAACTTGCTACCACCTCTAGGAGGCTCAAATTCTCAGCCTCAAAAGTTGGAATTCCATCCGGATAAAAGCTCTTAATTCCCTCCTCAAGCACCTTCAATAGCTCATACACCTCATTGAGGGCTTTCTCTTGTGTTTCCCCCTCAGTTTTAACTGCTGTCATCATGATGCCAGAAAACTGCACTTAATTACAATCATTAGCCCTTGTATTAATTAATAATCACATTGATAAACTCACTTGTTTTATATATAAGAACAAAACACAAGGTGACACAAGGCCGGCCATCTCCAATAGTACAACAAGCATCAAGTTAAAAATGTCCTTATTCAACATTTATTACTAAAATAATGCTAGTGACATCAAATTTTATTTATCAAATTGTTTGTATGTATGCATGCATTACGTCGTATAATTTTAGTGAACAAATTTGGCGAGTATAGCAGGAAATAGTAGCATAGAGATAAGAGGGTGTCACCTTTTGATGGACAAAATCAACCCAAAAGCGAACTTGTGCCCTTTTGTAGGGATCTTCCGGGAGAAGGTGAGGACCATTTTTCCAAGTATCTTCAATATATTCAAGGATGACAAGAGACTCAGCAATGGGCTTTCCATTGTGAACAAGCACAGGAACTTTCTTGGAGACAGGGTTGTACTTGAGCAGTTCTGGGGTCTTGTTCTTCAAATCTTCTTCCACATATTCATAGGGTATGCCCTTCAGTTTAAGGGCTAGTTCCACCCTCTTTGAGTAAGGGCTTGCCCAAAACCCATGTACTATCACACTCTCGCTCTTTTCCCCTGCCATCTCTTCTTTTTAACTCAATTCTTTCTTGTGTAGTGAGTTCATTCTTGCTGCTTTATATAGAGTTCTAAACTATGTCCACTAACATTAGTATTTTACTATAAGGCTAAAATGGTTGGCAGGCAGGCAGCTTTTTAGGAATATAATAATTCATTAAAGAATGGAGTATGATTTGTTGGAACTTTGTGAAAGACTGCTTGCATTTGTTTGTCGTTGTTGTTTTTTGGTTGTGGCTAAACACTGAAGAGTAAATTAGTCAATAAAAAGAAAAGAGGATGCAGAAGCTTACCTTGGGAAAAAAATTGAAATAATATGAAAAACTAATGTCAAGAATGGGATTCGAACCCATGCCCTTTCGGACCAGTACCTGAAACTGGCGCCTTAGACCAACTCGGCCATCTTGACTGATTGTTAGCTGAAGCAATGAGATGGTAATTATTCATACTAGCCAAGCAAGACTATTATTACATTTCTTCTCTCTTTTTGGGTTTAATTACGTTCCCGCGTTTCTTCAAAATGATCTGTGACTAGTTGACTATACTTTCCCTCTCCTCTTCACGAACCCAAATGAATTCTCTCCTCAATCAAAAACTCCACACCAGAATCTCGCCCTTCACTCTCAAATTCGTATCCTCGCTTGCCGTTGTGGAAAATCCATCTTCTTTTCCCAGTGAAAAAGACCAAAGTCCCAGTCATTTTGACCCCTTGCAGTTCTTCAATGACTATACAAAATCAAGACAGTGTACTACTAGAAACACTAAAATCTTGCACACCCATTTGCTTAGAACTGATTTACTGCAATCCAATATCTTCATTGCGAATTCTTTGCTTGATTCGTACTGTAAGTCTTCTGCCATGGTAGATGCACTGAAGTTGTTTGATTTTATTGCTGACCGAACTGTTATTTCATGGAATATGATGATATCGGGTTATAACCAGAACTCCTTATTTGAGAAGTCGTGGGAAATTTTTTGTAGGATGCACTCTTTGGGTTTTGAGCCCAATGAGTTTACCTATGGGAGTACTCTTTCAGCTTGCACTGCCTTGCAAGCTCCCACTTTTGGTAAGCAGGTTTATTCACTTGCAATGAAAAATGGGTTCTTTCCAAATGGTTATGTTCAGGCTGGAATGATAGACTTGTTTGCAAAAAATTTCAGCTTTGACGATGCTTTGAGGGTTTTTCATGATGTTTCATGTCAGAACGTTGTGAGTTGGAATGCGATTATCTCTGGAGCAGTGAGAAATGGAGAGAACATGGCTGCTTTGTATCTTTTTCGGCAAATGTGTCGTGGAGTTTTTTTGCCAAATAGTTTTACATTTTCTAGTGTTTTAACCGCTTGCGCTGCACTTGAAGAAGTTGGAGTTGGGAAGGAAGTTCAAGGGTGGGTGATTAAACGCGGTGCAGAAGATGTCTTTGTTGGGACTACTATTGTCGATTTATATGCCAAATGTGGAAAAATGAATGAAGCTGTCAAGAAATTCTCACGTATGCCAACCCGTAATGTGGTTTCTTGGACTGCCATCATTTCAGGTTTTGTGCATAAGGACGATTCTGTTTCTGCACTAAAAGTTTTCAGAGAAATGAGAAAAATGGGAGAGCAAATGAATAAGTACACTGTTACTAGTATACTTACTGCATGTGCTAAAACATCCATGGCTGAAGAGGCAACCCAAATTCATTCTTTGATATTAAAAGCTGGATTCTATTCAGCTGCAGTTGTGGGGTCAGCTTTAATTAACACGTACTCAAAAATAGGAGCAGTTGATCTATCGGAGATGGTGTTCAGAGAGATGGAAAATATAAAGGATCTGGGTACATGGGCTGCGATGATATCTTCTCTTGCTCAGAATCAAAATTCTGGAAGGGCAATTGAATTGTTCCAGAGAATGTTACAAGAAAGTGTGAGACCAGATAAGTTTTGTACTTCCAGTGTCTTGAGTATTGTAGACTCTTTAAATCTAGGGAGACAGATACACAGCTACACTCTTAAAATTGGGCTGGTCTCTGTTGTTTCTGTTGGTAGTTCTCTTTTCACAATGTACTCGAAGTGTGATAGTCTAGAGGAATCTTACAAAGTTTTTCAGCAAATTCCCGACAAAGACAATGTTTCATGGGCCTCAATGATTTCTGGTTTTGTACAACATGGCTGTGCAGATCAAGCCCTTCAACTATATAGAGAGATGCTATCAGAAGAAGTTATACCTGATCAAATGACTTTAACTGCAATTCTAATGGCGTGTTCTGCTTCTTTTTCCCTACAGACGGGTAAGGAAATTCATGGTCATGCTCTTCGCAAAGGAGTCCAACAAGATGTACTTGGTGGTGCAATTGTGACCATGTACTCAAAATGCAGTGCTCTAAAATTGGCAAGGACGGTGTTTGATATGCTTCCTCAAAAGGATGAGGTTGCATGCTCTTCCTTGGTTTCAGGGTATGCCCAAAATGGGTACATCGAAAAGGCATTGTTGCTATTCCATGATATGCTGATGGCGGATTTGACTATTGACTCCTTCACAATTTCATCTATTATTGGGGCCATTGCACTTTTAAATAGACTTAGTATTGGGACTCAACTGCATGCCCACATAATGAAAGTTGGCTTCAATTCAGATGTTTCTGTTGGCAGTTCACTACTGACAATGTACTCAAAATGTGGAAGCATTGAAGATTGCTGCAAAGCATTTGATCAAATTGAGAAACCAGATTTAATTTGTTGGACAGCTATGATTGTTAGCTATGCTCAACACGGGAAAGGCGCACAGGCTTTAAGAGTGTATGAGCTTTTGAGGAAACAAGGAATCAGACCTGATTCAGTGACTTTTGTTGGACTTTTATCTGCTTGTAGCCATAACGGATTGGTTGAAGAAGCTTATTTCTATTTTAATTCAATGGTTAACGACTATGGACTAGAGCCTGGTTATCGCCACTATGCCTGCATGGTTGATCTCCTTGGTCGATCAGGGCGACTGAAAGAGGCTGCATGGTTCATTGAGAATATGCCTATTGAACCGGATGCTTTACTATGGGGAACACTGCTTGCGGCTTGTAAAGTTCACGGAGATATGGAGCTTGGAAAGCTCGCAGCTGAAAAGGTTACGGAGTTGAAGCCATGTGATGCCGGGACATATGTCTCCCTTTCAAACATTTGCGCAGATGTAGGCCAGTGGGAGGAAGTCCTGAAGATTAGAAGCCAGATGAAAGGAACTGATGTGAGGAAGGAACCTGGTTGGAGCTTAGTGTAAACTATAATTATACTTTGATTGGTTAGTCCTACTGGTGAGTGATTATGATCTTTATCGCAAATTAAAGAAAAATCAACTAACAGTAGAAGGGTGAGCAGGTCGACACAAAGGACTGCAAGCAAATAAGAATGCTTCACTGTATACTAGATACTAGCGTGTCTCGGTAAATTTACATATGGCCCTTCTCATTCCTTCTTTAGTTTTGGTGATTTCTCTGAGATAGATGGAGTTTGGCCCCTTTTCATATTGTCTCAAACTTTGTTTCTCATTCAATGTTTTCTTTGGCTCCGTATAGTGAAATACAATCCCACTTTGGACTGAAACACAGGGAACTTATTCTTACTGAGCATATTGAAGAGACATACCAATGCCTGCTGCTTAAGTTTGGTATTAAGCAGATCAGAGGGCAAGCTAGTCAGAAAAGCCAAACTAGTGGGAACATACCAAGAATTCCAAAACAGAGGGATGAAAAACCAGGTGCGTGCGGTTTAAAATGAATAAAAGGAAGAATCACAAAACCATCTTGATGAAACTTAGCATGCCTTGTAAGCATGTAAGTCCTACTCATTTTCGTTCCTCGACTTTTATCTTCTACTAGACAAACATATATCGGTTTATTGGATATTTTTCTGTAGTTCGGGGGGTTATACTGTTCAAAGTAAAAGCTTGCAAAAATGGATCTGAAAGCGTTGCACTACATTTTTGTTTATTTGTGGTCTAGATCTTATTAAATGGTTGCCATTTAACACGATGCTGCTTCATGTGGTTTAATCCGTCAATGTTCTTGCTATCCAATTCTCTAGTCTAATTTGCCCTTCCTCTATTTTCAGTCTAAATGGGGATTTTCATGTTCGATGCTTGAATCAAATGAATCAAAGGTTATAAGCCATCCATGGGATATTGACCTGGTTTAGTACACACTGCGTTGGATGCAGTTCTTGTTGCTGGTGAATCAATGAAGAATCGGACTGCAGGACAAGAGAACTGAGGCATTACAATGCAGAGATTGGTGCATGGGTTCCAATTCTCTTTGTGCTCAATTTAAGGGAGACATTATTGGAGCTTCAACCCCAGTATGAGTGCTCAGTTTTTGTTGTCCTCTTTTGATGCTCTATTTAAGGAGAATAACATCTCAAACTCTGATCATCCTTCTTCAATGATCATAATAACTTCTATAAAATTGTCTTCCGATCTTTCCAAACTGTGATGAATGCACCAAACTACACATTCTTGGAGCTTAGCTATCATAGCTTTTGTTAAATAAAATTGTATGCCGTCTGTGAACTCAGTAATACACACATTCATACCCAATCTATGGCTTCTCCAATATACTCGTACATCTAAGAAAATAAAATAATAGAGCATGTGGATCCAATGAAGTGTACACTTACTAAAAAGGTCCTGTATAATCCGCTTGTTCAAAGGACCAAACAAAATGGTTTTGGAACCAAAACCAAACGCCACTTAGGTTCACATCTTCTTCTTTGCATCGCGCTGCTAATTTTTTTATGCATGATAACTAACATGTGCTGAATAAAAACCTGAAATAACATGTGGAAAATCATGATTATATCATAAGTCTGTCCATATGAACAACATCAGGGAGGCAAACTTTAATAATGAGAAAAACACTAATATCTTATCTTGGTTAATATCACCATTACTGAAAGTAGCTTCCATGACCAAAGTCGCTCAATATAATATCTTAGTTTGGTTGTTGATTATAAATATGAAGATGAGGAGCAGACAATTAAGAAACAGAATAATAAGAAAAAACCAGAAATCACAACCTGCATGCTTCATGCGGTTTTACAGAGGCGTAAAAAGTAACTCAAATCATTTTCGTTATAATCAGGTAACAGTTTCCAGAATTGGCACTCTTGGGGTAGTTCCTGTAAGAAATAGCTAAATCAGTCCATTTTCAGTTTCATTAAAGTAAATAAATTAATAAATATATAGGGATTAGGTATAATAAGTACCAAATGTTCAATGTCTTCACAAGAGATAGTCATTTAGCCGGGCACTTCGTTAATACCAACTTTGTTGTTGAAGGACTCAGAACTTTTTAGTGTACTTGTTGGTTTCTGAAAGGCCCGAAACATGATACTCAGGTCTCCATTTTCAATATCTCCGCCAAGTTCTGTGACAAATATGGCTGCAAATGGAAAATAACAATACTTCAATTAGCGACTTAATAGTGGCTTGTGATCTAAGAACACAGAGCAAGCTATTCAGAAAAAAAAATGATAGTAAGAATAAAAAGATGAACAAGTACCAATACTTCAGCAGTTACTTACCCACAGAAGCTACCAGAGCACTGGTCAAAAAGCTTGTTACTTCAAGTTTTTGGCATCATCACGAATAATGCCATATCAAGAAGTATATCTGCACCCTAAATGAAGAAATGAAGTTTTCAACAATCAAGGGCTTCACTGTGAAGTCATGCGAATACCTGGTTTGAATCTTTTTTGTGTTTGCTTCACTAACTTTTTATCTCTAATTCCATCATATAGAAGTTCATAGGCATAATACGTTATATGACCCTTCTTCAACAAGTCTTCTACAACAATCTTAGGTGCTGCTATTTCCTTCTTATCAGCCTCAAAGATTGAATTCACAACCTCAGGAACAATGCCTTTCCGCACCATAAGGTAGATGATGCCAACAGCTTCATGAACTCTATGATTCACACAAAGACAATTCAGCACCCTTCCAAATGTCACCAATGAGGGAATGAACCCCTTCTCGATTTTTTCCAGGAGGACATTGTACCCAGAATCAGTATTTCCTGCTTTGCAGAAACCATCAATCATGACACGGTAAGTAAAACAGTCTGGGGCACTGCCTTTGTCACCCATCTCCCAAAATAGCTTTTGTGCCATGCTAACGTTTAGCTTTTCACACAAAGCATTGATCATGATATTGTACGTTGCTGTTGTATGAGATATATTATATTCATGTTTCATTCTTGTAAATAGGTGGTATGCTCCATCCAAATCCCCATTGCCACACAAACCAGTCAACAACGTGCCAAAACATACAATATCTGGAGTCAAGCCCTTGATTTTTATTTCCTGTAGCATTTCCAAGGCCGCATTTACTTTCCTGGCTTTGCAAAGGCTTTCTACAAGTATGTTATACGAGATGATGTTAGGAACACACCCCTTCTCCATCATTGCTTGGAAGGTGTGGATCACATCCTCATATTTTGCAGCCTTGCAAAGGCCATTTAACACAGTATTATATGTGATCACGTCAGGAGTAACACCATGACTCCACATGCTATTTATTACCTCGACAGCACTATTCAGATTCAACTGCTTACAGTAACCATCTATTAATGTATTGAAGGTAAATATGTCAGGAAGGTATCCTCTGGCAATAGCATCACTCACGAGTTTACTGGCATCAGATACATAACCCATCTTGCACAAACCGTTTATAACTAAGTTGTAAGTCCAGATATTGGGACTGCAACCATTTTTTGACATCTCATTCATCAGTTGCAAGGCTTGCAAGATAAGCCCATTCTGTGACAACCCTTTTACCAATGTGTTATAGAGAACAATATTAGGCTTTAATCCCTTTCCCAACGCCTCATCAAATACAGCTATGGCTCGGTCTATGTCGCCATCCTGGCATAACCCCTTAATTAACGAGCAATATGTGAACTCATCAGGTTCGAACCCCTTGAAAATGGCATCACTGAGAATCTTATCTGCTTTTTGTATCGTACCCAGTTTGCAATACCCATCAATAATACTGTTGTAAGTAAAGGCATCAGGCCAAAATCCATTGTTTACCATTTTACGCATATAGCACTCTGCTTCCTCAACCTTGAAGTTTTTACACAAGCCAAAGATCAATGTATTATATGTGACAACATCGGGAGTTAGACCTTCCATCATAAAACCATCCAACATTTTGACAGCCCCACTGAGTGAACCATTTTTGCAAAGCCCTTGAATGAAAATATTGAATGTAAACACATTTGGAGACACACCCCTCTTCAGAACCTTGTTGAGAAGCTTTTCGCTTTCTTGGACATCCCCCTTCTTGGACAAGGTATGTATAAGCTTGTTAAATGTGGTAACATTGGGACATACACCTTGCCCAAGCATGTCTCCAAACAATTCATATGCCTCAATTCGATAATTCTCTTCATAAAATCCACTTATGACTGTACAATATGCGACGGCATTGAATTCGCACCCCTGAGAAGGCATGTTATTAAGAAGCCTCAATGCAACATGAGGCCTCCTAGTCTTACAGAAAGACTTTATCCGTATCGTATAAGTATACACATCCGGAGCAATCCCGTTATCTCTCATGCCCATATACACTTTATGGGCTTGATCAAAATATCCGTACTCAACCAGTACATTCATGATTGCATTATAAGATTGAACCGAGGGTTCACAATTATAAAATTCCATCCTTTGAAACACATTAACAGCTTCTTCAACTTTTCCTTTCCTTCCATAATTCCTCATGGCTCCGATGTACACCCCTTCTAGTAAGCTATTATCGATATTCATCCTCATCTCAGAAAGCACACGCTCCATGGCTTCAAACTCACCATGAACCCCAAGCTTTTCAATCACGCATTTGTAAGTTAGTAATGTGTGCTTAAACCCATCTTCCTTGTTCACTGAATTGAACATTTCAAGCGCTTTAAGGGGATCCTTTTGGCATTTGATAACTGCAGAAACATGCTTAGGAAGCAAAGCGCGACTCATTCGAAAGTTCTATAACTAATAGCTAATAGATGATAACAACATAACCCACAACCCAGAAGAATTTGAAGCTTCTGTAAACCAGTTTTCACTTGCTGAAGCTTTAGCTATCCTGAAACCACAAAAAGGAGAAAGCAACCAAAAAGTATCATCCTTTCTAAATTTACACAAAAATTCATCACTGCAATTTACTCTTAAAGCTCAGTTTGGTTTCTGGGAAACTGTAAAAGAAACGAAAATGAATTGCTACCAGCTGGAAACAAGTGAAAAATTTACCTTCTTTGCTTCTCTGCTCTACCTCAGAACCAAAAAGACCAAAACTTCATGTGCTTAACAGCAGGATTTAACAGATAGATAAGGTGAATAATCTCCAAATAAAAGGACAACCTAAATATAAAAGCAGCGAATGCATTGTAATGGAAATTTCCCAAAATGGATTTTCAGAGAACAGAGATAAGCGTCAAATTGGGGCAATTAGGTTTCAAATTGCAGTGGCAGAGTTACAGAGGGGAAGAAGAAGCAACTACGGAGGTTTAGGTTCTCTGCGGCGAGTGTTTAGTTCGGTTTGGTCCAGTCACAGCTTCTATCGCGCCATGTCATCTTGCAAGCGGGACCCAAGATAAACTTTTCCTTTTAGACGTGGCAAGATCACAGATAAACTACATGAGGCCTCGTGGTCGAGCGCAGTATGCTATCACCGAAAAGTCCCTTCGTTGCCAAGACCCAAACCAGTCTCGTCTCTGAGAAGGAGAGAGAAAAAAAAAGTTTGAAACTTTGAGGAGAGAGAATGGGAGCGTCGGGAGAATGGCTGGAGAAGGCGTTGGTGGATCTATACCAGAAGATGGAAACGGGTCTGGGTCTGGATAAGGATATGATATCGGGTTTAGTCTCCTACTGTGAGCTCGCTGATCCTCAAGACGCCAAGGAATACCTTGACGTAAACCCACTCTCTCCTATTTAAACTTCTATCTTTTCATTATTCATTTCCTTTTCTGCAAAAAAAAAATTTGTTTGTGGATTCCAATTTGCGTACTTTTGTAGAATCAATTTGTCTGAAAATACAGTGATAATGGTTATATTGCTGTTGGATTTTTTTTTGGTTTTAAATTTGGTTTGGATAGGCATCAATGGGGTTCTAATGAGCCAGTGTTCAATGTTTGTTTGAGCAATTTAAATAGAAATGCCTGGTGGTTACATTTAAAGAGTGGCACACAATTTGCTCCACACCAATTGGGTTTTCCTTTTGTATTATTGGGTTCTTGTTTTGGACTGGATTCTTGACAAATGCTCATGTATTGAAGATTGAGATAATTGTTTGTGTAGTTCCTTTTCTTGTAGAGTCATTTGATGTGTAGGTAGCTTATCCTGTGCCTACCCTTTTATGTGGCCTTTGCTAGAAGTATGGTACCAGAAGCTTATTGTGTGTTGGCATCTGAAATTACATGTCTTTCCATGCAGAACATAATTGGGCAAGAGGTGGGTAAGTCTGTAATTGAGGAATATTTACAGAAAAGAGGTCGCGCAGATCTTTGCAGCACCCCAGCTTTCCCAACCTCAAATTTACATGCCTATGTTAAACCACCCTCAAATGAAGGTTCTGCAAGTGGAACCAAGAAACCATTGAAAACGCCAAAAGTGGCTAGAGGCGCCAGTGATCAGGCAGCTTCCAGCAATCAGGTCAAGCAGGATTCAACTAAGACCAGTGAGTCAAGAACCACAAGTAATGCAAACCAAGGTAATTCTAAGAAGAAGAAAGCTGGGAAAGTTGTTTCACTTGCAGAGGCTGCCAAAGGATCCATTGTATTCAACCAGGGGAAGCCATGCTCATGCCAAGCCCGTCGCCACGGACTGGTGAGCAATTGTTTATCTTGTGGGAAGATAGTCTGTGAACAAGAGGGGGAGGGGCCTTGCAATTTTTGTGGAGCTCTTGTGCTGAAGGAAGGCAGCACGTATGCTGGTCTGGAGGAAAGTTTCGCTCCCACATCAGATGCTGAAGCTGCAGCTGAAGCTTATGCAAAGAGACTCGTTGAGTATGATCGAGACTCTGCAGCACGTACAACAGTTATTGATGACCAAAGTGACTACTATGAAATTGAAGGGAACAGCTGGTTGTCAAAGGAGGTTTGTAATTTCTACCTCTGCTGCTGCAAGAACAAATGTTATCAGTGCTTGTACTTTTATTCATCCACATCTCCTTTCTTGTCCCCCTTTCTATTACTTGCAGGAAAAGGAACTTCTGATAAAGAAGCAGGAGGAGATTGAAGAAGCTGAGCGGGCGAAACGAAGTAAAGTAGTTGTGAGTTTTGATTTGGTTGGCCGCAAGGTAATAAAACTCTTCACTATTGGACTTGCGTGATTGTATGAGTGGAATTTGTTGCGGCAAAACTTTTATTATGGGTATTGCAGCTGTAAACTTTCTGCAAGTAGGTTTCTGCAAAAATGAAAGGAAAAAAAAGGGCTTATTAAGACTGCCTTTTATTTTTACCCCACTAGCTCCAGCAGTTAGATTTTTCATGATAATTTCTTTTTCTTCCATGTTGCTTTTGCAGCTTTTGTTGGCATCTTCTAAAGGTGCATTTTGCCCATCTTAACATTTTGTGTTATGCAGGTCCTTGTAAATGAAGATGAAGCTTCTGAATTAGAATTAGAAAGCAGAATTTTGAGGCCGCGAGATGAAAGGGAAGTGAACCGGATTAAACCAAATCCTACTCTTAAAGTACAACCACTCTTTGTGGATCCAGGCCGTAGTAAGAAGTCTATTCAAGGTAGACAGGCAAACAATGGCCCCACCAACGGCTTGTGCTTGGAGATAACCGGGAGGGTGCAGCATGTCAACAATGAATTAAAACAATTTATGATGGATGATCAATTGGAAATAGCCTCAAATGGGAAGTTTTCGGAAGGAACAACTGTAAGTGGGGGTATGCTTGATGATCGTGGAGAATGTTTTTTAGATTACCATTAAGGGAGATATTGGGGTTTCATTTTAAACTTTGCCCCAACTTCTGGTGCTCTGAGGGAGATTCAGAATGCCATATAGCAATTCACCTTTTCATTGCTTGTAATTTAGGAACATACCTTAGAACAGAAACAAAGAAGATTCCATTGCACCATTTTCCAAAATTTGATGGTATGAAGAAAGGTTGAAATGCTGCATAGACTGTTGTGATTGGCTGTTCTATATACGAGTACCTTTGAGAAGCTTATCAGTTATACTGACGCAATACGAGTATTGATCCTTTTGGTTTTAAATATATTTTGTTATTCGTTTTTAAGATTCCTTATTTTTAGTATATTAGTGTGAGCCATAAAGTAAAACAAGAACACTCATTGGCGGGAGGCATGTTGTAGTCTTGGAGACCAAGTATAAATTTCAAATTGCTTAATAGTTTCTTCAAGATGTTTGACCCTGCCACATTTTATGCTTTATGGAGCAAAACACCACAGGAATCTGCACAATCTTCGAACCTGAGAAATACCTTGAAACGAAAAAACTTATGTTTCATTATTATACTAAAAATATGTATTTGTTCTGGTAACAAATTTGGAACAATTTCTTATACCTGGGCCATCATTTCACATTTTCTGTGTTGAATCACTTGAGCTTAAATAGGTGAGGTAGTATTCCTGTAGAGCAAACATCTAATAACTTTCGCCATATCAGTTTAGCTATGTGGATGTCTACAACCTCCTAGAGCTCAAAGAAAACACTGAAACTAGTTGGGGCTTAAATGTCCGCCCTGCTCCAGGCCGTAGCAGCTCATAATCTCTTTACTATTCACTCTGTTAAATCTGAAACTGAGCTTTTAGCTGAAACTTTTGGAGCTTTCCTGATTGCCATCAAGCTCCTCTGATGCAGAACATCATCCCACCTTCCTGCATCAGCAAGAATGTTGGAAGAAGTAACATGATCTTCGGCACCATGCAATGTCTTTGGGTCTGTGAACCCACTAACCAAACATAACCCCCTATCAAAATCACCATGAACCCTACACGCATTAATCAACATCCTCCAAACAACTGCATTTGGTTCTATAGGCATACTCCTCACAAACTTGTGCGCCTCCTCTAGCCTTCCTGCTCGTGCAAGCATATCGATGATGCATCCGCAGTGCTCAATCGTGGGCTTGATATGGTAAAACTTGCACATGGCATCATACAAGTTCAGACCTTCATCAACCAAACCAGCATGATCGCATGCTGATAGAACACCTATGAATGTAACAGAGTTTGGTTCAACTTTCTCAGTACACATTTTCCTGAAAGCAAGAAGGGATTCCTTTCCTTCACCATTGATGGCATGCCCTACTATAATTGAAGTCCATGAAACAACATCTTTCTTTGGCATCTTATCAAACAAAACTTTAGCTCTGGTCATGCTCCCACATTTTGCATACATATCTATAATCGCATTTTGCAGTACAATACTCCCTTGCAGATGATTACTACTCTCTACATAATAATGAAGGTCAATTCCATGAGACAAATCCCCCAAGTTTCGGCAAGCTAAGATTAACCCTACCATTGTTGCTTCATCTGGCCTTAGCTTTCTAGATCGAATCTGATTGAAGAGCCCCAGTGCCTCTTGATTATGCCCGCATTTGACGTACCCATGGATCATAGAGTTCCACAATGCAATATTGTCATCTGGTACCTCATCCATAACTTTTTTAGCACACGCTATTTGTCCGCATTTGCAGTACAAGTTAGTAAGTGCTGTGCTAATAGCTACAGTTATTTCTGTTCCCCAAGTTGTCATATAACCATGAACCACCTTCCCCATCTCAAGATCTCTACTATTACAAGCAGCCAAAATCAAACTAATAAATGACACTCTATCAAATCCAACACCTCTTTCTCTCATTTTTCTAAACAAAGAGAAAGCTCTTCTGCAATCACTTACACCAGCATATCCTGCAATCATGGTATTCCATGAAATCAAATCCCTCTCGGGCATCTCATTAAACATGCTTGCGGCTGCGTCCATACACCCGAACTTTGAATACAAATCAATAAGTGCATTGCATACCTTATTTACCAAATCCAAACCTGTCTTACAACAGTATGAATGAAGTGCCTTTCCCACACTGAACTCATCAAATTCCACACACCCTGAAATCAAAATAACCGAAGTGACATAATTTGGCTTCAACTCCAAACCAAAACCACAACGCAAAACTTCATTGAACAAACCCAATCCCACATCGAACAGGTTGTTCTTCACAAACCCAGAAAGCATACAATTAACAGTTACAACCGTTTTGTGAGGAATTCTATCAAACACAGCACAAGCATATCCCACCAAACTCTTTGAACACGAATAAAAACTAACTACACTGTTCAACAAATTCACATTATAATCCAAACCAAGCCTAACAACATGACAATGTACAGACTTTCCTTCTCGCAAAGCCGATAACTTGTTACAAGCTTTTATCAAAGAAGCAAACACAAACGAATCACAAACTGGGTCATTACGTTTTAGCCTTTGCATGGCTTTGAACAGAGAAAAAACCCGAAAAGGTTCGCTGTCTAAGTTGAGCCTGCGGACCATGATGGGCCATGCGGCCACATTGGGTGTTTGTGTGTGGATGAACAAGGCAGTGGCTTGATGAACAGTCGCGGAGCTTGAGAGAGAGAGGCTTAGGAGTGAGAGAAGGCACGAGGACTCCGAGAAGAGGAGGCCTGTGGTTGTAAGCTGGGCTTGGATTTGAAGGAGGTTTTGGGGAGAGAAGAGGCAAGGGTTTAGGTGGAGAAGATGAACCAGTCTTTGTCTCTGGAGGTGAAACGAGGTGCTCATCAATCAAAGCAGAGTAGGGGTTTGTCTGTTTGATTTGATAATTCAAAGCTTTCATCTTGGAGAGAGGAGGCAAAGCTTAATCTTGGTCAAAAACATGGTGTGCTATTTAAGTCCCAACGGCGTCGTTTTTCACAAGGTCCTGTACATTTCTTGTGTCCGGGGGACCCAACTGATTGGGAACTAAAATGGCGGGATCTGATTGGGTGAAACAATCATCATCCTATTCTGCCTTAAAAACATGCGATCTTAAAGTCTTTTAATTAACTAACTAGAATTGAAACACTGTGTGTGCGCAGAACACAGAAACAAGCGACTCCGTATTCCTCGGACTTATCGTACTTGTGTTCTGTTTGCAGTGTTAGCCTTGTCGCCTGAGAAAATAAACGAACAGAGAAAAGCCGGCCACAACCCACAATTTCTGAAATCTCATTCCTTTCACCGTTTTAGCAACTACCCACGATTTCTGGCACATTTTGGTGCATAAATAAAGTTGTCTTCTTCCTCTCGATGTCTTTGGCTCTGTCCTTTGTTATGGATTGTAGAAGGTGAAGATGCTTTTGATTTGATTGGACCCCACAAAGATTGTCACTTTCGCTCCCTGAGATCCGGTAAGAGTTTTCAATTCTTTTGATTTAGATAGAATTTTCATTTATTGGATTCTTTACTATCCACCCTGCATTTTTTGACTCTTTTATTTATGGGATTTTGTTGAAAAGTTTTACTTCTTTATTTGAATCAAGTTTTGTGGTATGGTTTTGTTGTTGATTTTGTTCAATTGTCTGTGATTGTTGGTTGATTTCGAATAAATAGAAAAAGAAAAAGAAAACGGGAACAAAGAAAGCAAAAGAATTGCAGTTGGATATGATTGGATGATTTCTGTTTCAATCAATGTGGAATTCACATTGATTGAGCTTAGGGGTTGAGTTAGTCTTAGCTGAGAGGTGGGTTTGGAGGTTCCAAGTAATAAAATATTTGAAACTCTCATATTCTGATTTACATTTTCTGCATATGTTCTTAAGATTTTGTTTATGCCTTCTAAACTAGTGGCTATGTTTCATTCTTGACCCGCTTGCTTATATATGTGTCCTTGTCATTGTCTCGGTATCTTTTATTAATTCAAACCTAAGAATCACATTTATTTTTACAAGTGATAGAAATTGTATGAAAAAGGAACGCTAAGGGGGCAAAATCTGACAAGTCTGAGGGTTCTTCAATGTCCACTTATAGAGTCTCCTATTATTCTCGAAATCCTTTTAGAATGCTCAGCCACTTCAAATCTACCCTATATTTCCTTCCCTTTATTTAGCAAACGTCATAATTGTTATTGGGAATCTGAAAATACATTCAGGTACATCATGGCGACAAAGGGGAACTCAGGAGACAACAGAAGTCGAAGCTCCATGTCAGTTTTCATTGTTGCTGGTCTGTGTTGTTTCTTTTACATATTGGGTGCGTGGCAGCGAAGTGGTTTTGGAAAAGGAGATAGCATAGCTTTAGAGATTACCAAACAGACAGACTGTAGTATTCTTTCCAATCTGAATTATGAGACCCATCATGTTGGGATTGATGATTCTGAAGGAGTTGTCAATGAGTTCAAACCATGCAGCGATCACTATATTGATTACACTCCCTGTCAAGATCAAATGCGAGCAATGACTTTCCCCCGAGAAAATATGAATTACAGGGAACGACACTGTCCGCCTGATGAAGAGAAGCTGCATTGCCTTATTCCAGCACCCAAAGGATATGTGACCCCGTTTCGATGGCCCCAAAGCCGCGACTACGTACCATATGCCAATGCTCCTTATAAGAGCCTGACAGTTGAGAAGGCTGTTCAGAACTGGATTCAATATGAGGGCAATGTGTTTAGGTTCCCAGGTGGTGGAACACAGTTTCCTCATGGAGCAGATGCGTATATCAATGAACTTGCAGCTGTGATCCCAATGGACAGTGGGATGGTTAGAACTGCATTGGATACTGGATGTGGGGTAACTTAAATATCTTTTTCTTTTCCTTTTTCCCTTTTTCTGCTCCTTTAATCTGCTTGGCTGTTTATACTTCTATTTTCAAATACAACTGTATTCTTGCCCCTCTTTGGAACTTACATCCCAATTCTCAAGTACCTAGCAAAGTTGCAGATTGTCTGTGTTTTGAAATGCCACCTAGTACCATATTTATGTTCACCTGTTTCTATGATGGGTGCACTCTTACTTTGCTTTTGTTGTAGTATTTTTATCTAGCCTATGAAACTTATTTTTTGTGGTCTATATTTATATTTTTTTCTTCTATTTGATTTATTATCGATGTTGGTTCATACTTCATAGGTTGCCAGCTGGGGTGCCTACCTGTTTAAAAAGAATGTAATAGCAATGTCATTCGCACCAAGAGACTCTCACGAAGCACAAGTTCAATTTGCTCTGGAAAGAGGTGTTCCAGCAGTTATTGGCGTTCTTGGAACTATAAAGCTGCCTTATCCATCTAGGGCCTTTGACATGGCTCACTGTTCTCGTTGCCTGATTCAATGGGGTGCAAATGGTGATGCTCATAAATTAGCCATTGATATTGATGCCTAATTACATGTATTCATGCATAAATGCAAACATACACACATAGATATATCTGTGTACCCACCTAAGTTCATATGTTAACGACCTTAATTGAGCATAGTCTAGATGTCGGCTCTGCTGAGGCTGCCTTGAATAATCAGGGCTTGTCATTTTTCCATCCAGCTTCCAAGCCACTTATCCCTGCTCATGCTGCCATATATTTATGGCATTGGACAAATGACTTGCTTTACTTTTTATTAAGTGCAGGACATTCATAAATGATTTTGATTCCTTTTAAGTAACGACATGATATCATTTATGACATGAAATTATCCTTGGACTTCTTCTGCAGATGGAATGTACATGATGGAAGTTGATCGAGTTCTTAGACCTGGTGGTTACTGGGTGCTTTCTGGTCCTCCTATTAACTGGAGGAATAATTATGTAGCATGGCAGCGTCCTAAAGAAGAACTTGAGGAAGAACAGAGGAAGATTGAAGAGATGGCGAAACTTCTTAACTGGGAAAAGAAGCATGAGAAGGGTGAAATTGCCATCTGGAGGAAACAAACAAGTTTTGACTATGGTCGTGGCCGAGATCCTCAACTTACTCTGTGTGAATCCACAAATGCAGATGATGTTTGGTATGTTGCTTCATTTGATCTACTGACTCTTTTACAATTTGATTGAACATTTGTTGGCCAATTATTTTACGACTGGGAAAGTTCTATGTGCACACAATCCTGCAAAGAAGAAAGAATTTTATTGAACTCATACATACTGCTGTGCACTACTTCAGTATTGACAGGGCATGAAAGTTATTGTGGAATACAGTCTCTTTTTGCTGCTTTTCTTGTCATATTTACGATTTCTTTTTTCTCTTTTGTATTATACAGTAAAGTTTCTTCCGTAAATTTCATGAATATAGATGGAAGCAAGAGGAGAATTATAGAAAGGAATTCATAATGTCTGTAAAAATTTTGGGTAATGAAGAGATTTGCATTAACTGTAGTTGAATGGTGATATAAACTTCATGTGGTGGATCCAAATTAGTTTCAGAGAAAGATTCATGTAGCTAACCTGAAGCAGTTGGAATAAGTCTGAGATAATTTGAGAAAGAAATATACAATTTTGTAAAAAATAATTTTAGATTGCTTTGTGTTAATGTAGGATTTCTTTGTCTCTTTGTTTTTCAGTTATCAGTTTAGTTGGATGCATTTTTTTGCCACGTTCCAGAGCAGAATTTAACCTTTTTCTGTTTCTTAGGTACAAGAAGATGGAGTTGTGCATAACTCCTTATCCCGAGACTTCTGATCCCAATGAGGATGCTGGTGGGGCATGGAAGCCATTTCCAGAGAGGCTCAATGCTTTACCTTTCAGAATATCTAGTGGATCCATCCCTGGAGTATCTCCTGAGACATACCAGGAGGACAATAGGTCATGGAAGAAACATGTGAATGCTTATAAGAGGACCAACAAATTACTGGATACAGGAAGGTATCGCAACATTATGGATATGAATGCCGGTCTGGGAAGTTTTGCTGCTGCTCTTGACTCTCCCACATTGTGGGTTATGAATGTTATGCCTACTATAGCTGAGAAAGACACTTTGGGAGTTATATTCGAACGTGGACTGATAGGCATTTATCATGATTGGTAATTTTCAAACATTCATTTTCTGTTTTGTTCCTGCTCTGTGGCAATAATTTTTCTCAGAGTGGCCTCTAATTTTGCAGAGGATGAGGATTTAAATAAACACAACCTGCATGTCAATTTTGGTGATCCTTTTGTAATTATTTTTAGTATTATCTTATTTATAAACTCAAAAAAAGCTTCCGAACTATTTTGGGCCAGCTACAAGAATTTTATTTTTCCTTTCTGATCTCTCAGGGCTCTTTTGCAAGAGCATGCTGACACATTTTCTCTTACTACTTGAACCAATCACTCGTCCAGAATGTTTCCTTTCTTTTTTCATATTTTGTTCTCTTATAAAAATTAATTTAACCGCCAAAGTAGAAAGTGGTTAGATATGGTAGAGGTAGCTTGCAGTTGTCTTTTGAAGTTCGCAGTGGATGCCCTTGGCTTTCTTAAATGCTGTTTTTTTTACATGGTATTATTGTGCGTTTGATAATATTTTTGTCTTCCACCAGGTGTGAAGCCTTCTCCACATATCCCAGGACATACGACCTTATTCATGCAAATGGTGTTTTCAGCTTGTACAAGGATAAGTAAGTTGTGTTCGACCCTGCTCCTTTCCATCGATTGCAAATGGTGTTTTTCCAATCAGTCGAAGGTACTTGATCTTTTTGTACTAATAAAAAGCCAATGCAGGTGTGATGCTGAAGACATTCTTTTGGAGATGGATCGGATTCTACGGCCTGAAGGAGCAGTGATTTTCCGTGATCACATGGATGTGCTAGTCAGGGTGAGCAAAATTGTGAGAGGAATGAGATGGAATACAAAAATGGTGGATCATGAAGATGGCCCTCTTGTTCCCGAAAAGGTACTGTTTGCTGTTAAACGGTACTGGGTTGCAGGTGAAGACAATTCTACATCCTCAGAGTGATTAAGAAACAAAAGGGACAATTCCACATATTCTGGCCCTCCAGCTCCAAGCAAGGTGTGAGCCAAAGAACGTGTCTTCTACAGCATTTTTGTTGATTGCCTTGTTCTTCCCCCCTCTTTGTTTAATTAATTGTTTTTTTAATTATTTTCTAGGCCCTTAAAATCACAGTTCTACAGCATTTTCTTCTAAGTCAATGTTAGTTTTTGTTCTCTTTTTTAATATTTACTTGTAGATTGACCCGTGCAACACTCGTGGATTAAAATTAATGATTTAATTTGAAGTTATTATTCGATATCGAATCAATTAATAGTTTTTAATATAAAGTGTTGATTAAGGAAATTGATAATGCTCTCAAACTTCAACTATGTGGCCAATACCAAATTAGCATAACAATCACATACTACCATATCAGTGAGCAAGCAAGCATGTTATGCTTATTTCTAACTTTGGCATAATCTGTACCAAAAAGAAATGCTGCATAATCTAATAGTACTTCACATATTATAAGCAAAACAACAGTAAAGACTTTGTTTATAGCGTTCAAACTTACTAGATGAGATGACAAAGGGGATTTTTTCTTTCACTTGATTCTTATTAGATCAGTGACAAAATGAAGAGTACACGACACTTAATGTGATGAGGGAAAGAGGTGGCCTAATTGCAATTTAGCCCAAGGATGTAGGCCCCTCCCACAAGCCTACTTATAGGAACTGGTTCTCAAGAAGCATGGTCATCTCCAATCCTCCGAAAGCTCCCTGTCATTGAAATTAGCTTTTCCCTTTGTCCAATTTTGTGCTTTCTCCCTCTGCTCAATTCTAACCGTACTCTTAAGTATCAAACTTTAAAGAAACCATGGAAGGAAAGGCTAACAACAGTGCTCATACCCGGGATGCTTCATTTTCTTCTAACATCCGTGGAGCAGAAGGGAACTTTGTCCTCAAACTTGCAGGGTCAGTTCAGACTCCCCCTCCTGCCATGACCTTGAGCCGAAAGACTGAGGAGGGAGAAATCAGCGTCTTTGGTGCTGAAAGGTATTTCAACATGATGCTGGAAGATGAGGGTCCAAGAATTGTGGACTATAACACAAGCAAACATGGGCATAATAAGAAAGAAAACAGAACTGGTCAGCACTACAAGCAACCAAAGAGCAGGCCAGGAACTCCTAGTACTTGTTCTGAAGCAAGTTGGAATAGCCAAAGCGCCTTGTTACCGTCTCTGAGAAACTCATCTCACAATAAGAAGAAAAAGGTAAATGGAAAGATCAAAAGCTTTTCTATTTTCAGCTGCAATGGATGTTCAGATAAGAAAGCCATTTATATTCATGAGATAAATGCTGAGCATGGAGGGCATCATGGTAAAGACGCCAGGAAGCAAAGCGTTCAAATTGATCAAAATCCTGTCAAGCAGTCTCAACCAAGATTCAAGGAAAGAGATGAGCTTCACTACTCTAGCTTTCAAACATCACACAAGGAAGAGCATTTTGCATTCACAAATTTGAATTCTAGTGCACAGAAATCTGCAGCTAAATCACAGTTGGGAGAGAAGAAAACAAAAGAAGAAGAAGAGCCACGAAAGTCACTGGAGGTGTTTGGATCCCACATGATGAAGGGAGACATAGTAGCAATAAATCTGGAGAGAAGGCTCTCCATGCTAAGGTGGGATACCATTCCAAAAGCTCAAAGCCTCTCAAATGCTTTGGTGACAGGTCCGGTGATCAATGAAGATGTGGAGAGTGATGCTAGTTCAGATTTGTTTGAGATAGAGAACCTACCCGGCAGTGGACAAACACCGTTAACAAGTCACGCATCTGATGGAATGTCTGTGGCCTCCGCTGCCCAGTATGAGTCAAGTGAGACCGGCATGGAGTGGAGTGTTGTCACAGCCAGTGATGAAAAGAAACTGGCAGCAAACTGCGGAACACCTGATCTAACAACCACTGGCACAGCAGGAGTTGCTCAAAGGTTAGAATCTTCAATGGAAAAGGGGAAAGTTACAGTCTGAGACTGTGGCAAGAAAATTACTACGTGCAACATGCCTTTGCCTTAAGAGGGTTATGATCAAACTATGCAACTGCATTACTGTCTTTGTACATGCCAGAGTGAATGCACAATGGAATGATGAAATATTTGAGAAAGTTTTTCAGACTTCCATCTTTATATTAATCTACAGCTAATCATTTGATTGTTCTAAGTTTGAGATAAGCTTCACTTTCTGATTTATCTTGTATATGTCTTTCATGTCTACTTGTTGATTAAATAAAGATGACAGAAAACTTTTGGTGGGTAATATTAAAACCATACATTCAAAGAAGAACCAACCTTATCAAGTTCAAATTGACAGTCTCACTACTGCCAAAACTATCTCATCAGAGAACATATCTTAAATATCCTTGTGTCACTCAAAGGCAAAACAGCCTAGAAACACTGAAAAGAGAGATTCCAGATTTTTGGGCCATTTACACCAAAAGATTAATGATAGACCACAACCGACCTTGTCCAACATATTTTCTGACTTTTCAGTTCTAATTTTATCTTTGTTTTCTTGATTTACAAGTGGGTGGCCATTCATGTTTTGGATCTTTTTAACGACTTTAACAGAAGCTGCTTTTGGCAAGCCACCTTTGCCTCACTTATGACTTCTATCTTTATAATTCCACAAATCTGTATCTCAAATCTAAGAAACTGAAGGCCCTACAAATGCAGCTCATGCTTGAGAAAGTGCTAACACTCAATTAGTCAGGTTGCCATAAGCTTTCTTTGCAGCCCGACATGGGCACATTATTGAGAGAAAAAGAAAATATATTACAACTTACCAGAGTCAGAGAAAAGCTTCTGTCATGTCAATGGACCCTGCATTAAACATGAAACCACACAGAGACAAAGCAATGAAATTTCATCAACTTTTTAAGGGGCTTGTAGCTCAATTGGTTAAGAGCATTTATCCATGCATCTGAGGTTCTAGATATCGCCATTATCACTTGTATCAAAAGAAGATATCGCCATTATCTTTTTTTTATGATTTGACTTGATATAGTGATTTGAAACTCTCAATGGCGATATAATTAATTAGAAAGATGGACCATTGAGGAATGTCATCATAATGACCCGTCCAACACATGATCTGATATGAGCAAGTTGGGTGGCAACATTTAATTCTGTAGCCATCTTACAACCAAAGGTGGATCCCATAGTCACTTCTCTCCTTTTCACACAACAGAAACTAGGTTGGGCATCTACATAGACAAGATGTTCTTTAGCCAATACTATCTTAAAGGAAAGAACAACAGCAAAAGTCTCTGTACAAGCCCATGCCTAAAAGCTATAAAATGGCACTATGGATTGACAGGGATACATGGACAGCAAATGCAAGAATTTTCTGCTCATCTTCAATGGTGGCAGCTGCAATTTCTGATAATTTAGTTCATATGCTTTGCCTTCCTAAAAGTTCTTGCAATTTCTTACAAAAAATAGTTGAGCTACCAACTTAGTTATTTAGTGATATTTGGATAACAAAACAAAATGTTCACATATATTATCTATCTACCAAAGTTGGTACATTTCATTTGTTCATTTGTCTCTGTAATAATATCATCTACCTAAATGTTTGACGTTTGGTGCTTAATTTCTATGAAATGAAACCGAATATTGGGGTAATTTGATAATTACATCCCTACACAACAGTAGACTATGGGGTCACTTACCAATATGACTCATGCAAATTATATGTAAGTGACTAGAAAAAACACTTTGATTGGCTTTATCGTATAACTTTTGATATGTAGTGTTGCTGCCTACGATCATCTAAGGGCGCAGGGAGTTACCATCCTATCTGGTCAATATTCTAATTGAACATCAGATCAAAAGCTAGAAAGTAGAGAGAGAGATGGCAGAGGAAAACAAAGTGACCCTATATGGAATGTGGGCAAGCCCTTATGTTAAGAGGGTGGAATTGGCTCTCAGACTCAAGGGCATACCCTATGAATATGTGGAGGAAGATTTGAGGAACAAAAGCCTATTGCTCTTCAAATTGAATCCTGTTCATCAGAAAGTTCCAGTTCTTGTCCACAATGGAAAAGGAATTGTTCAGTCTCTTGTCATCCTTGAATACATCGATGAAACCTGGGAAACTGGCTCTTGACTTGTACCCGAAGATCCCAAGTTCGCTTCTGGGCAAGCTTTATGCAAAAGGTGAGACTTGAGAACAAACAAAAAAAGTACATTTTTTAGCAATGCTTAATCACTCATTCAAGCTAACTAAATTATTCATTAACTTAGAAAAAATATTTGTTGTTTTGTGCAGGTGTATGAGAGCATGGTCTCAGTTGTCAAAACCAATGGAGACGCACAAGATAAAACCATGAAACAAGTGACTGAGACAATGAAGTTACTTGAAGAGGGATTGAAGGGTTTCTTCCCAGATGGCTTGAAGAGGGATTGAAGGGTTCCTAATTCATTTGACATAAAAAAAATGTGGGACTGCTAGAGGTGGTCATTTTTTTCACATTTTGGCTCATATGAAGCTCAGGAAGAAGCCCTTGGACTGAAGTATACCATAACAGCTCTGACTGCAGAGTGAGAAGGTGGTGGCTTTCATCAAGTTCATTAGAGGAAATGCCCTCAAATCTTCTGCAGAGTGACCATTTAGTGGTATTGTTGAGTTGTGTTTGCTTCTTGTTGTCAATCACTCTGTTTTCTTTCGTGTTTGTGGCCCGTTTTAGAGTCTCAAATAATGGGAGCAAGAATCCGGCTGCTACTTGGGTTCTGCTGACCAATTTTGACTAATCTGTTGTAGAAGAATAAAACGTACCACGACGTAGCTTTATGTGATTAATAAATAAGAAGATTCACAATTATACTAAATATAAGAGCTTAAATTATTTTAAAAAATCTTATATAAAATGAAGTTTATAAAAACACTCAAAATTCATTTACAACGTAACAAAAAAAATTTAACTTTTTTTAAATTACAAAACTGCCATTAATTTCTTAAAAGCACCTGCTGATTTGAAAAAAAAACAAAAAATCAGCCGAGGCCCTTACTGTTCGTTCTGATCGACGGTGTTCGACTTCTCAGTCCTCACTCTTCTCTTCTGAAATGGGTAACCCCCACCAGTTCATCATCTTGTTTCACCGGTAAGCCTTCCAATTCTCCATTTTTTTACTTCATTAGATGGACCTTATGCCACGGAAGTAGCGATAACTTGGATTCTATCTGTCATATTAACGGTGTTCGAAAAATCGGCCTAGGCTGGGGGACAACGCCTAGGCGTTAGATTTCATCCTAATCGTTAGGGGTAGGCACCAGGGAGTTAGGCGGCGCCTGGGCGGGTCGGGTGGCTGCTTCTCTACTCTTCTCGATTTTTTTTACTTCAATTAGATGGACCTTATGCCATGGAAGTAGCGATAATTTGTTTTAAAAGAAAATTTGGATTCTTTCTGTCTTATTAGGATGGTTGGAATGGAAGACATCAAGCAATTAAAATGAGAGAATGAAACCATTGAATTTTAAAGATAGGTTTAACTACACTTTTTGGAATTTGAAGCAGATGAAACCCCAATTTTTAATTTTTTTTAAACTCTTGAGTATTAAAGAAACTAAATCTCCCAGTGTTAGAAATCAAAGGAAAAGATTGTGTTCCTTTATCAAAAGATCTTGTTGGGAAAGGAGAGAAATCGACGTTTTTGGTATTTAGTGAATGTGTAACTGCCAAAATGAATAATAAAAAATTTGTCTGGTTCTAAGTTTGTAATGCTTTATTTGAATATCAGAATTGTAAAGTATTTGTGGACTTGTGGGAAGTTACTAATTGATTTTTTAATCAGTCAGAATTTGTGTGGGGACGGGAGCTATTGGGTGAAGCTCCTCACACAAATCAGGTATGATCATAGAGTAAAGATGTTATAGAAGTAATATTCATGGCTAGTAGGTGAAGCTCAAATTTTGGTATGTAATCATATGGATGGCATTTAACTTTAATGAAATTCTATGTAAGAAAGTAAATTTTCAAGTGTTGGCCTCTTATTTTCTTGCTAAAGTCTTCCATATCTTACCTATGATGCCTTGGATCCAAATGTGTGGTGTTCTCTCCTCCTCCTTCCCTCTTCTCTATTTTTTTCATTATGCTTGGAAGTAGGCAATGAATAGTATTTCACACTATTGACCTCTTTAGAACGACTGATCTGTGTCATCCACATAGTTGTTTTGATTTGATTGTACTTGGTGTTTAGGATTGATTATGTTTATGGGATTTTAGATGGACATCTCATTCATCCTCCTTGTAGCTCTTCTTTAATTAATAAAATTTATGTTTTTTAGAAGGATAAAAAAAGGATTGCTTAGTTTGAGATTGTATGTCTTACCCTTTTCTTTTGGCCTTTACATCATTTGCGTTGTAACACTAAGGAAAATAGGACTGCACCTTGTAATAGCCAAATTTTATTCAAATAGGATTGCGACTTCTTAACGTGCATTCCCCCACCCCACTAGTTTATTGTTTTATTTTGTCCCCGAAAAGAAAATTCTGACATGCCATATTTTGATAATTGGTGAATCAGAGGCAGTTAGCCTTTTGGCCTCTAATTTATTTAGTTGTCATTATTCTGTTCCTCTTTCCTTATAAGCTTTAGTTCTTATTTCTAGGATAATGGTTTGGTTTCAAAATTATAATTTCCTGTGCATTTTGCAGACTATGCTCTATGAAGGCTTGAAAGATTTGAGTATGGGAAGCAAATTACAAAATCCAAATTTTCATATTGATATTTCTATTGAGGGAGTCATGCTTAGAGTGGCTGATGGTATGTACCTTGCTTGTACTTTGACCTTCTTTGTTCTATTGATAGTTCTATTATTGAATTCATTATTCTCTTTTGGGTGATTAATACTTGCATTTTGTTGTCAGGTATTAGTGCATATCTTGTTGTTGCGTAATTTTTCTTTCATTAGGCAGATGGTGGTCAGCACTCATATGAATTATGATCAGATTGTTGTTGGGTGATTATGGAGTAGCTTTTGCTGGTCTAACAGCGTATAGAATACTGATTGTTTGTATGTCTCACCCTTTTATTTTTGCCTTTACATCATTTGCTTCGTACCACTGGGAAAATGGGATTGCAACTCCTAATAACCAAAATTTACTCAATTAGGATTGCAACTTCTTAACATGCATTCACCACACTATTTTCTTGTTTTACTTTGTCCCAGCAAGGAAAATTCAGACATACCATCTTTTGATCTTTAGTGTACTTACGGTTACCTGAACAAGGCGTTGACAAGTCAGGTGTACTGCATGTGAACACTGATCACATAGGTGCACAGGCACAAGCACCATTTATCTTTTGTATCATTCAGGGGTTTCTACAATCCTATTGCTGTTTTATCAATGCACCCTTGACTACCATTCTGGTTAAATGTCATCGAATAACAACTCTCGGGGACAAAATTGAGGGGCTATTGTCAGAAAATTAACTTAAGTAAATTTTGCACTAATTGTTATTTCAAACTGACCTTTCAACATTTTCGGCAAAAAGGGGAAGGGAAATTCTATATAGCAATTTTCCTTTCAATCTGGTATATTTGATATGGGCCTAACATTCATGAGTAAACTTTGTATACAGTATATGGTTGTATTACTCATTGGCTGACAGTCAGATGTGATAGCAAAAGGATTTTCTGATTTCAATCTAATGTTTGTAATGAACTTTAGGTACAATGAATGGTTGAATGCAATTAGTTGCGTATGGATGGCTGAAGATGCACAAGGGATGTTCAGAGGTAGCAGTCCAGCTTCAGATCCTACTTTTATGGTTGTGGAATTTGTTAGAGACCATTTCAAAGAAGGATTAAGAACACGCATAAAGTTGCTAGCATGTTAGTAGAGAAGAAGAATCGCCTCCAGAATGGATGCCGTGATAATTTTTTTTTTTTTTTTTTTTTTTTTTTTTTTTTTTTTTCCCCTATTTTTTCATTTCTTATCTTTTTGTTGCGTTGGTTGTGTGTTTACATGTATCCAAGTAATAATTTGGACGACAATTTTAGTACTGTTTTCATGTAATATATAGATATACATATAACTATAATGAAAAGGAGGTTTAATGTTCTTTTTCTTTTTCGCTACCAAATATCATCCAGCTCGTGGGAGGAGAAAATTAAAATTCTTTTCGCAGATTTAGCGACGGTTTTTCCATTCGCTGCGAATACAAGGTTTAGCAACAGTTTGCGACAATTTTTATCGCCGCTATATATGTTTTACAGGTTAGGGACATTAAATCGTTACTAAAAGTTCAAAAACCGTCAAGAACCGTAGCTATAAAGAAACAAACGTCGTAAAAAAGCGTTGTTGTCATATATTGGTTTATATGGTGTTTTTCTTTCTGTTTTCATATAGAATTCTTTCTTACTTCCCCTAAAATGTTACTGGCAATTTGATAGGTAATGTAGAAGCTGCAAAAAACTTGATTCCACAAATACCACATTTCAATAATTGAGAATTAAGTGACAACTGCATTGTTAAGAAGCCGCAAAGAAAAGCCAATTATTTGGAGTAAATTCCACATTTTGATGCTTCTTAGTTTGACTTTGGGTTTGAAATATAATTCTTGTAAAATAGATATTAGCATTTTCATCAAAAACCACCTTGGGAAAAGAACTTTTTATTCCTAAGTTTCATACAATTGGATTTCATATTTAAATTAATTTTTTAGTTTCGGATTAATAATTTTTCATTAATTCAGATTAGTTTAAATAACTATTTTTAACAGTTGTAATCCTTCTAATAAGGTTTTAGATGTTTATTTAAGTCTGAAAAACCCTAATTCATTATGTACAATAAAAGAATTATACAAGCATATGCATATTGTCTAACAGGAAAACAAACCAACTTTGCAAGATTCTAAGTCCTAGTGTTATAGGGCTTAGAATATAGATAGTTAAATCATGGGAGGCAGTCACCTGTAGAACTTCAAGCACCAAAAATGGGTGAAATTACTGTCTTTAGGAAATTACATCAAATCTGCAAGCCTCTATCTCAAATCCAAGTCAGTTTCATTTATTTGTTGTTTACTGTATTTCAATTTGCAATTCATTTTAAATTTCAATTTTGTTGGCAAATATATTGTTGATATATAATTATTTTTATCAGTCACTCACTGATTGTTGGTTTTCCAACATTTCTTTGCATCCAAGAAGATGAGGAGTATTATCTTGCTCAATTTCATCACAATTGTCTATGGTATGTATCTTTTCCATGAGCAATTTGTCTTGTTACAAACTTCCAAGATATGAAGCTGACATTAATATTATCACTGATGTTGTTGAGAATGCCGAGACCAACCATGTAATTAGTGCTGTGCAGAAGCGAGCTCTTCTTCAAGAAATGGCGCTGAGGCTGACTTAGAAGCTTCCTCTTGCTGCTTGCTGCTTAGATTAGTAATCAAAGTTTTGATGGCAGACTAGAATAGAATACTATGCTTAATTATGCTATACATAGTTGATCAAACTGCAGGCAAGTTGGGGAGGGGAGAGGACTTGAAATCGGTCATTACTTGGCTTGTCTTGAGAAATCCTTGCTTCACTTTCCTCCATGCCCTTTGTCACCATAGAAGAATTCTCTTGGGTGTCTTGACACTCTGTTTGAAAATGCGACTCAAGCTTTGTGTGTAGAAAGGTGAATTGAAGCATGAATGGCTTTGTTAAGTTGGTGAGTCACAACTCGGAGCTCATGTATAGCCGCGCGGCTATACCGTTTAAATATATTCGAATATTTAAATCGTATAACCAGGCGGCTATACTCTTTAAATATATTTTAATATTTAAATAGTAAAGCCACTCGGATATACTGGTGACATATATTTTAATATAGGCTATACCTGTGAAATATATTCGAATATTTAATAGTATAGCCGCGCGGCTATTTTAAACCCAACTTTTGTAGCTGCAGAGCCAGTGGTTTCAGGCCAGGCAACAGAAATGTATTTTTACCGGCACTGATTAAACCCGCTGATAATATATACTTGACCAAAGATCCAAGAATGCAAATTATTATCTCACACTACAAGCATGCTTAAGGAAGAGGTATTGTTGTCAACGAATTCGATTATATACAACTATATAAATTATGAGGATAAGAGTCATATATAATGAAACCTTGCTCTAATATTTAACAGCTAGACTTAAATCATTGATGTCCAATGCATGAGATTAGTTTATGCAAATTCTCTGTGAGTATAAAAATACTTTGATTGGCTGTCATACAGCTTTTCATCTGAAATGTAGCGTCACTGCCTACGATCTAATTCTAAAGGAGTAGGTAATTTCCCACCCCACGTCCCATTTGGAATTAATTTCTTGTGCTTCAACAATTTAAGTTCTTGTGTAACCTAATTGGATTAGCTATAGTTTCATCTTCAACAGCCGGCACGAAAGTAGGTTGGTGATGCTGCAACCTGCAATGGCTATTGCTATATGGAAAAATTAGGTTGGTGATGCTGCAATGGCCGTGGCAATATGGAAAAATGGACCTGCCAAGTGATCAAAGCAAACTTGAATGCTCTCAGAAACAAATCACTGCTTTATCTGGTCAATACTTGACCAGGTATGTTGTTGGTATTTGAAAATTTGGAAGATAGAAAACATTTCATTATAATACGATAATATCATATTCTAATTGTTGGGAACGAGAAACATATTCTATTGGCTGAGGAGCCTTGTTTGATAGGTACAGATAATTTTTTATGGAAGGCATTTCAGGCAAGTGTTTTACTATCAACTTGTCAGGCAAGCTAAGCAAATGGTTTAAACTCTATATGAGCTGCTTCCAATAGCATTAACTGAACATCAGATAAAAAAAACTAGAGAGAGAGAGAGAGATGGCAGAGGAAAACAAAGTGACCCTTTATGGAATGTGGGTAAGCCCTTATGTTAAGAGGGTGGAATTCGCTCTCAGACTCAAAGGCATACCCTATGAATATGTGGAGGAAGATTTGAGGAACAAAAGCCCATTGCTCCTCAAATTGAATCCTGTTCGTCAGGAAGTTCCAGTTCTTGTCCACAATGGAAAAGCAATTGTTGAGTCTCTTGTCATCCTTGAATACATTGATGAAACCTGGAAAACTGGCCCTCAACTTCTACCAGAAGATCCCTATAAACGATCCCAAGTTCGCTTCTGGGCAAGCTATCTGCAACGGGTGAGACTTGAGAACAAAAAAGAAATTGTACATTTTTTTAGGCATGTTTAGTGCTTAATGAGTTACTCAAGCTAATTAAATTATTAAGGTAACTTGTATATGTTTGCTCTTTGGTGCAGGTGTTTGAGAGCATGGTCTCAGTGCTCAAAACCAGTGGAGAAGCACAAGAGAAAGCCATTAAAGAAGTGACTGAGAAACTTAAGTTGCTTGAAGAGGGATTGAAGGGTTTCTTCCCAAATGGCTTTCCTAATTCATTTTACAAAGAAAATGTGGGACTACTAGAGGTGGTCATTTGTTCACATTTTGGTTCATATGAAGCTCAGGAGGAAGCCCTTGGAGTAAAATTTATAACCCCTGAGAAGACTCCACTAATTTATTCCTCCGTAACAGCTCTGACTGAGATCCCTGCGGTGAAAGCGGAGCCCAATTCTCATGAGAAGATGGTGGTTTTCCTCAAGTTCGTTAGAGGAAATGCCCTCAAATCTTCTGCTGAGTGCACATTTAGTAGTATTACTATTAATTGTTGGGTTGTGTTTGCTTCTCTGTTTTGTTTTGTGTCTGTGGCACTTCATGGAGTCTCAAATAATGGGAGCAACAATCCTGCTGCTACTTGGGTTCTGCTGACCAATGTTATCTAATCTGTTTTTAAAGAATAAAAAGATTATCACCATGACATATCTTCTATAGAATAAATTTTTTTTTTCTTCTTCTTCTTCTTTTTTGACATCTCGAAAAGAAGACTTACAGATAAACATAATTAGAAAAAAACTACAAAATCAAAAGCAAATGTTGTCCTTGCTTTGCTTGCGATGCGACCATATAATTATCATCCCACGGAACATACGTGGTAAATGAGGAGGAGCCCATGCTACACATGGTTGAAAGCAGAAATAATTGCATAAATACCTTTCTTTATCCTTTTTCTTGGTTAACCACTTAAAAAATCCAACATAAAGAAGGCTGTCATTTCACTAAATCAAAAGCAAGTAGGCATCACATGTGGTGTTTTTAATTTCTATGAATGCTACTTGCCAAAGTGAAAGAAATATATGATTCACATGTGACACCCAATCACAATCATGCTACAGTAACAAGACCCAAGGCACCTCAGTAATTATGTATTCAACCTCCCACCCACCCACCCCTACTTCCTCACTGCCTCCAGATCAAAACTCTCTCTCTTTCTCTCTCTCTTAGCAAGCACAAAACTGAAACCAAGTCTCCTCCTCCCTACCCCTTAGCAAATTCCAGACAGCACCTCAAAACTCTCAACCATCATGCCTAACGATCAACTTGAGGTATATAATTTATACATTTCAATACATGAATTCTTTTTCTTTCATTTTTGACATTTCTTGCTTACTAAAAGGAATATTGATGTTGTATTTTGCAGATGAAGGCCATGAAAAAGAAAAAGAAAAGAAGAGGCATGGTATCGTGGGTTAGTAGAAAGTTGGAAAGGGAGGAATAGGTAAAAAGAGGTATACATTTTTTACATGTGTTGTTTGTTGCTTTGTGATATTACACTTTTGGAATGTGTTTTTATCCATTTTAGCCTAAATTATGTTTGAAACCCAGATGTATATATATTCCCAGCTCTTGGAAAAACCATTGTAGATGGAAGTGATGCATCACCTGAAGAAAATGCAAAGGCTAAAAATTTTCTTCGCCGTCACATTCATGAAGCGTTGAAAAGCGAATACGTGGCGGTCGATGACCCATTGGTTTTGTGGAAAGCCTTATGCGAAAGATACAATCACCAGAAAATGGTGATCCTCCCAAGAGCCAGATATGAATGGACACACTTGAGATTCCAAGATTTCAAGTCAGTGTCTAAGTACAACTCGGCAATGCACAGAATCACCTCCCTGATGAACTTATGTGGTGAAAATATCTCTAAGGAGGATATGCTTGAAAAAACTCTGAGTACCTTTCATGCCTCAAATGTGCTCCTGCATCAGCAATATAAACATAATGGTTTTACAAAGTACTCAGAACTGGCATCTTGCCTTTTGTTGGCTTAGCAGAACAATAAGCTTTTATTGAAAAATCACCAATCTCGTCCAATAGGCTTAGCACCACTTCCTGAAGTAAATGATGCATCTCAGGAAGTGAATGCCACCTCATCTTGTGCCAGTTCCCATAGACGTGGGCGAGAAGGCAAGTGTGGCCGCTGGCAAGGGAATAGAAAAGATCGTGTGGTGCCCATTCATATGACTTAGGTCCAAGGAGTAATTCATCCACTAGCGGCAAAAATGCATCCCGGAATAAAGGGAAAGCGCAGACAAGCCATGTGCCTAGGTCATATGTTCAAACCTCACTTTCGTCAATATTATTTGTATAAAAAAATCATACAAATACTCATAAAATACATACTAAAAAAATCTTGTCGTATGTTGACAATTGACCTTAACTTGGTGTGTTGTTGGTCAATAAACTTATCAATGCTTCTATCTGGTCAATAAACTCGACTGCTTTCATTATTGAATGCTCTAAGAAACATATCATTGCTTTTATCTGTGAGAATTTAAAGATAAAGAGTTCCACATTGGAAAGTTGAGAAACCTAGCAATGGCTTATAAGGAGTTGGGCTACTCCCCTCATTGCCAATTGGTTTTGGGGTAGAACCTCAACTTCCTTCATTATTTGGTCAATAAACTTGACCCGGTATGTAGTTGGTAGAGATTTGGAAGATAGAATTGATTTCATTGTAAAATGATAATATGATAATATGATATTCTAATTGTTAGGAACAAGAAAATTGTTTAGCCATTGGAGTTTGTAAACTACAATCCTATTGGCTGAGGCGCCTTGGTTGTATCAGAAGCTAGAAAGGAGAGAGAGAGAGAGAGATGGCAGAGGAAAACAAAGTGACCCTACATGGAATGTGGTCAAGCCCATATGTTAAGAGGGTGGAATTGGCTCTCAGACTCAAAGGCATACCCTATGAATATGTGGAAGAAGATTTGGGGAACAAAGCCCATTGCTCCTCAAATTGAATCCCACTCATCAGAAAGTTCCGGTACTTGTCCACAATGGAAAACCAATTGTTGAGTCTCTTGTCATCCTTGAATACATTGATGAAACCTGGAAAACTGGCCCTCAACTTCTACCAGAAGATCCCTATAAACGATCCCAAGTTCGCTTCTGGGCAAGCTATCTGCAACAGGTGAGACTTGAGAACAAAAAAATGTACATTTTTTTAGCCATGTTTAGTGCTTAATGAGTTAATTAAGCTAATTAAATTATTAAAGTAACTTGTATATGTTTGTTCTTTGGTGCAGGTGTTTGAGAGCATGGTCTCAGTGCTCAAAACCAGTGGACAAGCACAAGAGAACGCCATTAAAGAAGTGACTGAGAAACTCAAGTTACTTGAAGAGGGATTGAAGGGTTTCTTCCCAAATGGCTTTCCAAATTCATTTGACATAGAAAATGTGGGACTACTAGAGGTGGTCATTTGTTCACATTTTGGTGCAAATGAAGCTCTGGAAGAAGCCCTTCGAGCCTGAGAAGACTCCACTAATTTATTCCTCCATAATAGCTCTGACTGAGATCCCTGCGGTGAAAGCGGCGAGCATTCCTCATGGGAAGGTGGTGACTTTCCTCAAGTTCTTTAGAGAAAAGGCCCTCAAATTTTCTGCTGAATGACCATTTAGTAGTATTAATTGTTGAGTTGTGTTTGCTTCTTGTTGTCAATTACTCTGTTTTGTTTTGTGTCAGTGGCACTTTACGGAGTCTCAAATAATGGGAGCAACAATCCTACTACTTGGGTTCTGCTCGCCAACGTCATCTAATTTGTTGTAAAAGAATAAAGTGATTGGTACCACGACATATATCTTATAAAAAGGTGAGATTGGCGTTGTGCGGGGTCTCACTTTTATAAGAAATGTGATTAATAAATGTGATACATGCAATATATCGTTATAAAAAGGCCTACGACCACGTCTCGATGTTATACTTCAATTTCTTTGATTTTGTTGATGAAACTTAAATCACGAAGCTTGCATGAATACTGCAAACCAAATCAGCCAAATACCAAAAGTGATGCTCTTTCGTCAAAAAAATATGTTATATTCAATTATAATTTCATGCTTTCAACTCTAAAGATTGTAAGCATGGTAAACGCTAGACCCTCTAAAATGACAGAGCATTTCCAAACAACTGAGGTCGTGACATTGCAGATTTCTGACTGCAAAAAAGAAAATCACTAAGACGATGTCGTGTCTTCCCTATCGGAATACAAAGAACAGTAGGGGTAGTCTTGACTTTGTCTTTGTGTACGTTGTATTTTTGTTTAGTTCCACATTTTTTTTATTTCCTCTTTCCCCATCCAACGATCCAAAACTAATCCCCAAAACCAGAGGCCCATTTGACCCAAGAGAAAAGAAAAACCAGCCGGAGGCCATACTGTTCGTTCTGATCGACGTTGAACTTAGGAGTGCGCTTTCTCACTCCTCTCAAATGGGAGCTCACAATTCGTTATCTTTTGTCACTGGTAAGCCCTCGAATTCTGGATTTTTCCACTTCAATTAGATGGATATTATGGCATAGAAATAGCGATATTTTTTTTAATTGAAATTTTGATTCTGACATAATAAGGTGGTTGGAAGATATCAAGCAATTACAATGAAAGAATGAAACTTTAATCTTCTTGCAAATTGCAACCATTGACTTTTATAAGTTTGACTCTCCATGTTTGGAATTTGAAGCAGAAGAAAACCTTAATTTTTATGTTTTTTTTAAAATAAAATTCTTAAGTGATAAATATTCTGTTTCTTTGTGAACAACTATTGTTGGGAAAAAAAAGAAAGATATTTAGTGAATGTGTAATTGCAATTACACATATGCCAATTTGTATATTAAAAAAAAATTATGGTTCTGTGTTTGTAATGTTTTGCATGGAAGAATTGTAAATATTTATGGACTTGTGGGAAGTTACTAATTGATTTTTTAATCAGTCAATGTACTTTGGAGGGAATTTGTGTGGGGAGCTATTGTTGTGGCATATCGGGAAGGAATGATGCATCCTGTTGAGACCATAAATACGCGTATTTGGAGCCATGCTAAAGATGTTGTAGATGTAATCTTCATGGCTAATGGGTGAAGCTCAAACGTTTGGTATGTAATGATATGGATGGCATTTAAATTTATTTAAATTCTATGTAAGAAACTAAATTTCCAAGTATTGGCCTTCTATTTTCTTGCTAAAGTCTTTGCATATCTTACCTATGAAGCCTTGTATCCAAATGTATGGTGTTCTCTTCTCCTCCTTCCCTCTTCTCTATGTTCTTCATTAGGATTGGAATTAGGCAATGAATAGTATTTAATTTAAGACTATTGGCCTCTTTAGAACAACTGGTGTGTATCATCCACATAGTTGTTTTCACTTGATTGTACTTGATGTTTAGGATTGAGGATGTTCACAGGATTTTAGATGGACATCTCATTCGTCCTCCTTGTAACTCTTCTTTGATTAATAAGATTTGTGTTTCTTATAAGGAAAAGAAAATGAAGAAAAAAAAGAATTTCTTAGTTTGAGGTCGTACCACGAACAATCCAGTTTTACCATAAATAGCAATAGTTTGTATGTCTTACCCTTTTCTTTTGGCCTTTACGTCATTTGGTTTGAAACACAAGGAACATAGGATTGCAACTTCTGAACATGCATCCTCCCTGGCCTCACTAGTTTATTGTTTTATTTTGTCCCAAAACAGAAAATTCAGAGGTACCATATTTTGATCATTGGTGAATCATAGGCAGTTAGCCTTTTGGCCTCTAATTTATTTAGTTGTCATTATTCTGTTGCTCTTTCCTATTAAGCTCTGGGTTCTTATTTCTAGGATGATAGTTTGGCTTCAAAATTATGAATTTCCTGTGCATTATGCAGGTTTTGTTCTATGAAGGCTTGAAAGATTAGACAGAGTATGGGAAGAAAATTACAAAATCCAAATTTCCATATTTGATAGTTCTATTGAGGGAGTCATGCTTGGTGGATTGGCTGGTGGTATGTACCTTGCTTATACTTTGTCCTACTTTGTTCTATTCATAGTTCTATAATTCATTTCAGTATTTCCTGTAGGGTGATTTATACTTGCATTATCTTGTCCAGGTATGCATATCTTGCCACTCCGTTAGATGTGATCATGTGATCAAAATAAGATTTCAACTGCAGGGTAAGACCTTGAGGTATCAATTCTGTTTTTTGGATACTTTTATCGTTATTTTCGGATGAATTTCAGTTGTCAGTGTAGGACTAAATTTGCTGCAAGCATCACATGCTGTATTGTGATGTTAGTGTACTTAATTTCACCTGAACAAGGCTTGGCACTTGTATGCAGTCAGCTGTTGGGCGTGTCAATACTGATCACATAGGTGCACAGAGACAAACACTAGTTATCCTTATAATTGATTGAGGGGTTTTTAACAATTCTATAGCTGTTTTATCAATGTGCCATTTTCCAAGTTATTTCATTTTTTCTGATATGGAACTCATTGTTGTTGCATCCTGGATTTCATCTTCATGGTCTGCCCTCATTGGTGCGTTATGCAATAGTAGTGGTAGACTGAGAGTAAATAGCTTCTTTTCGTTGAGTATCTTATGGTTGTAGCTATTATCTCCTGCGGTATGATGCAGCTATTCTTCATACTTCTTTTGCAAGGCTTCTGGGTCACCCCAAAGCATCTTCTACTGTAGTACATCTAAAGACTCTTTGAGTACAATCTTCATACTTCTTTTGCAAGGCTTCTGGGTCACCCCAAAGCATCTTCTACTGTAGTACATCTAAAGACTCTTTGAGTACAATTAGTAGCCGATTCATTGCTGTGTCACACGAATTATTTTAATATTGCAGTTGCAACCTATTAGGTGATCTGCAGGAAATGTTAATTCTTGATCTTTCTTATACTCTTCAAAGAATCTAGGCTTGTTTTCCAATTTCTTTTCAATTTTCATATATAGTATATGTATGACTACTTTTCATATTTGATGGAATTTGACAATCCTTGATAAGGTCCATAACATTCATCAATTAGAGTTGAAGGAATGTGTCAGCTGTTGTGCACGTCCACACTGATCACATAGGTGCACAGATATTAACACTGTTTATCCTTTATATAATCATCGAGGGGTTTTCTGCAATTCTATTCCTGTTTTATCAATGTGCCATCTCCCACCATTTTGGTTAAATTTCATCACCAGATAACATACTGTTTTAAATCTTGGCAACAAAGTGGTCGGGCTATAGTCAGAAAATATACTTTGGAAATTTTGCATTGACTTTTATTTTAAACTAATCCTATAACTTGTTTACCAAGATGGGGAAGGGAATTTTAGAGAGCATTTTTCCCCTGGTATATTCGGCATGGGCCTCGCTTGCATGTCTTGAATTTTTCTATGGATCTATTACTCATTGGATGAAAGTCAGAGGTGATAGCAAAGTTGTTTTTCAGTTTCTATCTAATGTTGTTGTGAAATTTAGGTAGGAATGGCTGGTTGCATGCAATTTGTTGCATATAGATGGCTGATGATGCATAGGGGATGTTCAGAGGTAGCATTCCCAGGATTGGAGAGTTTAGTCTAGCTTCGGCTCTTCCCTTTACGGCTATTGAATTTTCTCAGAGATCATTTCAATGAAGGATTGAGCAATTACAACACGCAAGAAGTTGCTAGCATGTCAGTGGAGGAAATACTGGGGAATTTTCATGAATCCAAAAAATAATTTGGACAAGACTTTTAATAATGTTTTCTTGTAATATGTAATATGTTAGACATATAATGATATTGAGGAGGAGGTTTTTGGTATTGCATTTTTCTTCTGCGCTTCCCGGAACCACTAGTTTTGGACGTGGGTGGCGGATTAAAATGTTGTCAGACTTTTAGCCGCGGTTTTTGTATTCGCTACTATAAGGTGCTATAGCAACAGCTAGCGACGGTTTTTACCGCTGCTAAATCCACTTTACTGGGAAAGAGCCAAAAAATCGTCACTAAAAGCCCCAAAACCGGGACTAAAGACCAAAAACAGTCACAATATAACGATACTGTTACATATGCGCTGAAAATGGTGGCTTTGTTTCTGTTTTATGTAGGCGTTCGTTTTACATCCTCCAAAATACAAAGGGATATTTGGTAAGTCACATAGAATCTGATTAAACTTCATCGCTTCAATGCAATCCAACATTTGCAATGATTAAGAACCATATATAATTGCAAAGTTAAGGTCGTAAAAACTCCAACTGTGTTGTATTTTCAAGGACTTATGTAATCCTTAAACATATCATTTTTCTCAGCTTCGGAAACTTAAAAGCACCAAACTTTATGTATTTTTATGTAAAAACTCCGATGCGTTTTATCAGTGTTCATTTGCCAATATGTATTTTCGGATTAATGTTGGAAAATTAGATGGGCTTGCTTGCAAAATGGCTCTGCTTCTGTGGTTCAAACGTGGATGCTCTGCATTATTAGGTAACACAGCTCAGAAACACTTTTTGTGGTAAGCTTTCCAATTTGTTATTCTCCCAATTAGATTGTTTGGATTCGAATGGCCTACGAACAGCGACAAATTGAAAAAGAAAAGGAAATTTTTGCTTGACATTTGAGGATATTTGGAAGACATCAAAGTCAAAGCTCCAGCCAGATGCAACCATTGCAACTTGTTGCAGCTGAAATCAGCAATTTTTAATTTTCACTAAAGAAAGAAACTAATTCACTCGGTGACACAAAAGCAAAGCTATGAACACATTTGCTTTCCTTTTAAGCAAATATTGTGGGAAACACAATGGAAAATCAAGGTTTTCAATATTTATGGGATGTATAGGATGCCTTTATTTACTCTGTCTGCATGTGCCCCAACCAGACAACCTCAACCATATGAGAAACCCTTGTGTGCTCAGACATACAAACTTTCTGGTTGGGTTGTTAAGTTTCGAATGTGCTGTGCTAGCTATATATAAAACTTGATATGTATTTGAGTGCTCTTTTCTGTATCTGGACATGGATCTTTTGTTCTTGTTGTTATGATGTAGATGGATGTCCTTTTAGGCTTTCAGTGTTGGTCTTAGCAACTTGAATTGTTGTCTGACCCTTCAGCCATCATGGGAACTCCAAAATGCAGGTGTTCATTCCTTTTACTTTATGTATTTGAGCATATACACTCGGTTTTCCTTAAAGTAGATTTCTCACGTGAACGAGTAATTATTTGGTGTGACCGTAACACAATTATCAATCCACTCATGCTATAATAAAAATATGTTTACTAATATATATAATCTAAAGCATAAATTCCTGGCCCATTAATTTTTTAACGCAATGGTAACAAACAAAACGCTTTGAAGATTTTTCTTTTCGATAGATATTTAATTCCAAAATCAACATAATTTTGTATATTAAAAAAGTGCTAAAAAGATGGGACATTTTGGAAAAAGCAAAAGGAGAGAGAAAAATTTTAAAAGAAGCAAAAATGGACAAAAATGCCCTTATTTATTTTTAGATTTCCTAAGGAATCCAATACATTTGCATGTCTTTGATTTGAAAGTTGAGCGGTTTTTTTGTCTTTTTTGAAAAAGCTTTGGCTTTTTCCAAAAGTGAAAATTTTTTTATGTCTAAAACCTAAAAAACCTTAAAAGGGGATTTAGAATGGGCCGCGGATAAAGAAAAGCTGGTAGAGTTTTAAAACATTCGGCCTGGCCCAAATTGCTTCTACAGGCTTGTCAACGATCTACCTTTCTTTAAAAAAAATTATTACATGTCAAGAGATGACTGGTTTAATGTAGGTACTATACTTTCGACCGCCGTAGCAGATTATACACTCCCCAAAACCCTACCCCTTTTGTTCTCTCTCTATGCATTCGCACCTTCATTTCGGAAAGCCTAATAAGAGCGAGACAGAGGGAGCGGTAGGGTTTTAGAGAAGCATCAGAAGGGAAGTTGAAGATGGTGGCTGATAAGGGCAAGAAGCTGAAGCTTTCAGAGAAAGCCGAAGATGATAACTCGGACCACATCGACGAGAAGCTCGTCCTTTCCATCGAAAAGTTGCAGGAGGTCCAAGACGAGCTCGAAAAGGTTGTAACTCTATACCTATCTGCGCATTAGATTATTGTACCCTTGTTCCCTGTACAATTGAGGCAAAATAAGGGTTTTTTTCTGAAGTTTTCTTTGGGAATTATCTGCCCATTCAGAGCTTTTCGTGTTCTTATTGCTCTTGAATTATTAACTTGCTCAGCTAGGCGCATTGAATTCAATTTTTTCAGCCCATGCATGAGTTGCAGTGCAATTTAATTTTATTATGAGGATGTAGGAAATTAACCGATAGGAGGGAATGATTTATGGCTTTGATAAAAGCCTAAACCCATAAAGGATCTGAGGGTGTGCTTGGTTTCGGTAGAAAATCAGTGCCTTAGCTTATTAGAGCAACAACATTGCCAACAATTTCCTCTTTTTTTTTTAAACCATTGAGGGGCGCTCCATTATATAGGCATCCGTAGGCAGCAGCCCCGTGCTTCATTTTGTTGTTTGTTGTAACACACTGGATACTCAGTATAATTGTTGCAACTGTCAACTCTGATGTGTTTCATTTTGTGAAGTTTGAATTGCTGCTTTTGGTAATTAAATTTTCTCCTTTGTTTGACCTTCCATAGGTCTGGTTTATTTCAACTAGAGGGAAAAAAAAAATTGAGAAAGGAAGAGAACGTGAAGTTTACTGTTTTCGTGTGTTTGATTTGGCAGAACCATACTTAGGCTAGTGTGGGCTGCAGCCCCGTACAAGTTTTTGGAAAACTGAAAACTTGGTGCTAATTTTTAGGAAATTCACCCACTTAGTGGAAGTTGGCCCACCCAGCTCAGAAAAAATTGGCTCATTCCATCCGAGCAACTCACAAGGAAAAAAAAGTTTTTAGCACACCCGTGTGGAAATTCTTGGTTCCACCTTTGCATGAAAAAATTGATGGGAAAGGAAAGAGAAGAATATACAATTTTGGTAGCTTTGGTTGTACAAGACCTATTGAAATCTTGCCTACTTTGAAAAGAAGTTAAAGAGGCAAAATCGAATAAAACCTTGACATCATTGAAAAACTTTATAACAGATCACTATTCGACCTTCTTGCACCAGACATGAATGGGGCTAAGTAACATTGTCCTAGTTGCGGGACGGGATCTGGCAGCCAGTTGCTGGCTCTTGATAACTAGCCCAGAAATAACTCCAATTTCCATAACATGACGAGCCAAGGTTGCACGTGAGCTGAGTGACGTAGGTGCACAAGCTATCATCTCCATAAGCAAAATAGAGTTATTTTTCTTCATTTTCTGTTCCTTGTCATTTTCTTGTTAATTAATAACCAAACAACCGAAAGCTAGGAAGTTTAGTTGTTTTCTTTTCTTGTCGTTTCTCAACTGGTTAACTGAACGGAGCCTGATAGTATGGAAACCACGCTACATTTCCACTTTGTGGCCTTGTTTGTAGGCTGGGCATTTTATAAATATGAATGTGATGGAAGTCAATTTTTAAGTTCTAAAACTAGTTAGTTAAACTTCTATGGTTCACTTGTATTAAGAATTTTTTGTACACGAACTTGTACTGATATTCAATTTATGCATTATTGCAAATTTGCAACGGACCAACTGTTTTCATTGGATTTTTTTGTTTTCTTTTGAATGTTTTATAGATCAATGAGGAAGCCAGTGATAAAGTCCTGGAAGTGGAGCAGAAGTATAACGAGATACGCAAGCCGGTCTATGATAAACGAAATGATATCATCAAGTCCATTCCCGATTTTTGGTTAACTGCTGTTAGTTATCTATCCTTATTTATATCTGAATGGAAGAATTTATGATGTTGACTTTTTTTCCCAATTAATTGACTTGCTCGTTAATCTACAGTTCCTGAGTCATCCTGCGCTTGGTGAACTTTTGACCGAAGATGATCAAAAGGTTTTGTATTTTTTCCCATATGCGCCAGAAATTAATTAGTGCATCTTTCTCTTTATAACTATTTTTTAATTACTCTGCAAATAATAAATATCTGTTGATGATCATTGAATTGCATAATCAGTTACTTACATTCCCTACCTTATCTTCCATAATCAATGAAATCATTGATATTGTTTCCATGTAATATTTCAAATTGGCTTCTTGTTTCGTCAATCTTTTCTATTATGTCTGGGTTCATTTTTCCTTTTCCTTTCATAGATTTTCAAGCATCTAACTTCTCTGGAAGTGGAGGATTTTAAGGATGTGAAGTCTGGTTACGCCATTACTTTTGTGAGTTTCTCCTTTCCTTTGCCGTTTTATCTTTGAATTGCATTTGGGTGTGTTACATGTTATGTTTCAATTATTGAATATTTGAGATTAACTCAATTTTGTTATTTAATGTACAGCATTTCAGCCCCAATCCTTATTTTGAAGATGCAAAGCTTACGAAGACCTTTACTTTCCTTGATGAAGTAACAAAAGTTTCTGCTACATCAATAAAGTGGAAAGAGGGAATGGTATAAGATTTTTGTCTTGTATTCAATTTATGTCTGCCTGTCAATTCGGGGTATTTTAACTTGCTGTGTACCTAATATGTGAAGGGCATACCTAATGGAGTTAATCATGATAAGAAAGGGAACAAGCGACCTCAGGCTGAGGAAAGGTTGGTTATCCAGATCTGTTAGAATGGACCTCTAGAATTACGTTATCCTTCTGTATGCTTATTTCAAATTGACCAGAATTCCAATCCTCGCGCTATTTTATTGTTTTCATGTAGCTTCTTTAGCTGGTTTAGTGATAGTCAACAGAAAGATATTTTGGATGATGAGATTCATGATGAGGTTAGTTTCTTTTTGCATTTGAAGATGGTAACAAGTGCTTCGTATCAATCTCAATATTGACCCAGACAATCTTTCCTTAGTTCTTCTTACTCTTATATGGAAGCTTTTGTGACTTTCCCTTCATACTGCAGATTGCGGAGGTTATTAAGGAGGATCTGTGGCCCAATCCTCTTACTTATTTCAACCATGTAACTCCTCTTTTACCTTATTTCCCTATTACATAAGCATAAGTTTAATTATTTCTTAGAAGCATTTACTGTTTGCCTAATTTTCTAATGAGTTCATGACCTCTTTGACATAGGAGGCTGATGATGAGGATTTCGATGATGAAGAGGCTGATGAAGAGGTAAATATAGATCCTTTTGGTTTATCTGTCAAGCAGAGTAAAAATATTCTAAACATGGATAACCTTTCTACTAAATCCAAACCTTAAATCTGTACTTTCTAACGCCTTAAAATTTGTGGTATACAAGAAGATGCTGAGGCCGGATATTAAGTACTGCTGTGTGATTTAAAAAAGAAAATTGTTATTGTTATTTTCACAATTGCATGACTTGGATCATTATTATCCGTCGCCACGACTTACTTTAATATAATAAGATATGTTCAAATTGAATTGAACCTCATGTACAGGATTCCATCAGGTTCAGGCCTTTTGCTTCTTAAAGTAGTCAGTGATCTAGGATAGGCTTGTGGCATCTATACTTGTTGTGTTTGGCATCCTTGTACAAAGTGAATTGACTACTTTCAGTGAGCCGCTATGACCGATATTGTATTTTACAATTCCTGCATTGCTACATTCATGTGTGTATGTTTCCTTTTGAGTCCTAGTTCATGCATGTAGTGTTGTATTACCTGGAGGCATATGTAAATTGATGGTTTTTGTGCAATTCTTGTGGTTAGATGAACTTAAATGCAAGGAGCTCGTTATTGACTTGAGAATGGAGATAACTTGCACCCTTGCAAATAATTTTATTAGTTGAATATATGTGGTTATTTACTTGCTTTCATCTGAACCTCGCTCATATGCTGCCCTTATCTATCTGTTACAAATCTCATAGAAATTTAGCAGGAAATTCCCTTGTCTTAATTCTTGAGGTTTGCCTATTGACAGGGAAAGAATGAGGATGATGACTCTGAAGAAGATGACGATGACCAAGAAGATGATGAAGACGGTGATGAGGATGATGGAAAGTGAGAACATCCATCTGGGTCTTCAAATCTTTTGGCATTTGCTGCGTTGTTAACAGCTTGTGTAAAGTGGTCTACAGTAGTCGATAAGTTAAGTCTAAGGTGACAGGGGGATGACCATCATAACTCTTTCTTGACAGTGTCCTGCCATCTAGGCACTTGACTGCTCTCATAAGCCAGTCACTGGTTCTTGTTTCATGGCGTTTCTCTGTTACAATGGGGTTATTTTTGTGGCATCTCCCTGATATGCAGGTCTCTAGAATGACAATATTATAAGGGTCTTGGCTTTCTTTTGTTTCTAAATGACATGAATGAGGATATATGGTATTATGGAGTTGAAAGCTCATTGGCATCATTTTATGGTTGACTCTACTAGTAGGGATTTTCATTATCGGGTATCAATTTGTAGAGAAATTCTTACTCTGCCGGAAAAAGAACAGGAAAAGGTTTCTGCTGGTCTTGGAAACCATGAATGCTTGGCAGAGTTTTAATTCAGAGTAGATAAACAGTGACGCCTGATGTTTTTAACAGGCTCTGTGCTCGTACTAGACATAAATATAGTGAAAAGTAGGTTTTCCATTAATTTGTTTTACTTTTCGCTTCTCAAGAGTTACCAAGTCGAGAGTAGAGGTGAAGCTTTAAACTTTCATCACGTTTTTAGCGGCGGTTTTCTATCCCACGGCAATAGCATGTTATAGCAACGCCTAGCGACGGTTTTATCCGCTGCTAAATCCACTTTTCAAAAAAGGAGCGCAAAAGTCGTCATTAAAACCACGAAAATCGTGGTAAAAGACCAAAAACTGTCGACACAACGCGAGTCTGTTACATAAAAGCTGAAAATGTGGTTGTTGTTTCTGTTTTTTTGTAGTCCTTTTTAGTTCTTCTAAAATACTAAGGGTCATTGGTAAGTCAGGAAGAATCTGATTAAACTTCATTGCACCAGTGCAATCCAACATTGCAATAATTGAGAACCATAGACAATTGCATAGTTAGAAAGTCGTAAAAACACCAACTGTAGCTCTATTTCAATGGTATTTTATTCGAATTTTCATGTCCTTTTGGTTTTTGTTATGTAGGTTTTGTAATTTAGTTACTGTATAATAAATATCAGCATCAGCGTATTCATGGGAAGAACAATATGCCACGACAGCTTATAAATTACCAATTTCATAATATTAAGCAAATAGAAACTTCGGAGCACCAGAAACTTCAGAGCATATATCATCCTTAAACATATCATTTTTCTTAGCATCAGAAGCTTCAGAGCACCAAACTTTCCGTAACTTTAGGTAAAACCTCCTCCAACTATGTTGAGTTGTACGTTTTAGCAGTGTTCATTTGCCAACATTTATTTTTGGATTTATGTTGGAAAATTAGATGGTCTTGTTTGCATAATGGCTCTGTGTCTGTGGTTCAAACGTTGAGGCTCTGCATTATGTAACGCAGCTCAGAAAAAAAACTTTTTCTGGTCAGCTTTCCAATTTGCTATTGTCCACATTGGATTGTTTGGATTTGAATCACCAACCTCAACCGTGCGAAACCCTTGTCAGCAACATACAATTTTTTGGTAGGGTTGAGTTTTCGAATGTGCTAGCTATATATAAACTTGATATACTGTTCTATATCTGGACTGGGCATGGATGTTTGTTCTTGTTGTTATGCTGTAGATGGAAGTCCTTTTAGGCTTTCGGTAACTTGAATTGATGTTTGACCCTTCAGTCATCAAGTACTTCGAGGAACTCCAAAATGCACGTGTTAATTCCTTTTCTTTATGTATTTGAGCAGATAGACTTGGATATTATTTGCAATATACGTCGTGAGAAAAAGTAATTATTTGGTGTGACCGTGTCAAGTTTACTAAATCCAACCTCCAATGAAATCTGTACTTTAGATAAATTCTCATCAAATTTTATCTGCAAGAAAAAGAACATAAAAAAAGGTTCGTACAACTAATCTCGGAAGCTGTTTCTGAAAGTATCATAAATTCATAGGCATGATATTCTTAAGTTTAACATGCTTTCTGCTCTTTATTTTTTACTGGGTTCAGATTGTTGGAAGTAGAATCAAGAGTTACTGTGTCTAGGAATTTAGAGCTGAACACATGGTTGATATCAATCTTGGGACTGCTTGTACAAGTGTGGTGGCAATCTCAAATTTGGGACCCCTTGTAGAGGGGTCTGCATATAGCTCACCAATCCTGGGCCCTCTGACGTGTCAATATCCTTGGGCTGGATCCCTTCAGGCAATGTCCAACAAAAGCTATGCAAAAGTTGCCCCAGCACGTAGGTGACCAAATTGGTGCCTAGTTGTGCTGCTGGGCACACACGCCTTCCTGCACCAAATGGTAGAAGCTGAAAATTATGACCCTTTGCATCAATGTCTTCTTCAATGAACCTTTCGGGTCGAAAATCAACCGGGTTGGGCCATGCTTTCGGATCACGCCCTATGGCCCAAACATTTACATGAACAGTGGTTCCCTTGGGGATATCATACCCACCAATCTTGACTCTGGCATTGGCCTTGTGAGGTAGCATTAGTGGGGTTGGAGGGTGCAGCCTCAGTGCCTCCTTGGCTACACATTTTAGGTAAGGAAGGCTTGAAATATCGGATTCTGTCATCGTGCGGTCCAGCCCAATTACGCGATCAAGCTCCTCTTGGGACTTTCGTTGCACCCTCGGGTTCTTGATCAACTGCGCCAAGGCCCATTCAACCGAGATAGCAATTGTGTCCGTGCCTGCAGTGATCATGTCCCATAGTAATCCTTCAACACTATCCTCAGTGAGTTCATATTTTTCTTGATCACCAAGCAATGCACCCAAAAAATGCTGCTTGACACCACCAGCGCCGTTAGACTTACTCTCAAGCATATGCTCCTCCTTGATTGCTTGTGTGAATTTCTCTTTCCTTGCCAAATGTCTGGAAATTGCAGTACTTTGAAACCACAAAACCCATCTGAGCCACCAATTCTCTTCAAAAATAGGTAGATATGCACCAAGCTTTCTTTCCTTAGCCAGAATTGCCACAATTTCCAACCCTTGCTGGTTTAGCTCACCCACTTCATTCTCAAACCGCTTTCCAAACAATAGCATTGTGATAATGTTGAATGCCACTGATCTCAAGTATTTTCTGACCACTAAACATTTTCTATAATCTTGAGACTTGCTACAATCTTTGAAAATGGACTCTATCATGGCTCTAACTTCATCTTCTCTAACGTGTCTAAAAGTCTCAAGACTCTTAGGAGATAAAAGCTCAAGCATACAAATCTTCCTAAGCTTTATGTAGTGAGGACCATAATCTGCCCATATAAGGTCCTTACCATTTTTTGTGATCCTAGAACTAGACCAAGTCCTGTGCCTATGTGCTAACTGCTCATCATTGTCTTTGAGCACTTGCTTTGCCAATTCAGGGTTTGAAACTACTATGTGCAAACTTGAACCCAACCACACCGATACGATTGGACCATAAACTTGTGACAACTCAAAAAAACACCGAGATCTAACGGCTCCCAGGTTGTGGAGGTTCCCAATGATAGGCCATGGGTAGGGTCCTGGAGGAAGCTTAAATCTTAGACGGTTGTGGAGTTTGCAAGCTAGGAAGATGAGAATTGTTGAGATGGGCAATAGAACAAGATCCGTTGTAGAAAAGGGTAATTGAGATTGCATTTTTGAGCTTTGTAATTGTAGAGGAGTAGATGTGTCTCTCACTATATCAAGCATTCTTTTTGTAACAAAACCTCATGTCATGCGATTATCATCTTCCAATTAATGTGGCGAATGCTTAATGTTTTGTTGAGCCGTTAAGTTAAATGCTTCTCTTGCAGCAGCTAAACAAAAGGAAGTGCATATAATACATGATGTACGGTTAATCATTAAAATACAATGTAGAGTAAGTCTTACAAGAAGTCCCTCAAATAAGATTCGGATCCCTCACTATGATGCAGTGATATTTGTGGACAATGAAACCCTTTTTCCTTTTCTTTTTTTTTCTTCTTTTCAAAAATATCTTTTCCTTTTCATTACATCCAGAAAGGAAAGGCAAAAGTAATGTATATATATATAACTCAAATGGTTTAAGCAAATAATAATTTGAAGGCGTCACTCTATGGCATTTACTTGTTAGGCTGGATATATATATATATATATGGATATATAATTTCCTGGAAGCTAGGTCTATATGATTCTTGTAGTCTTCATCTATTAAAAGGGGCTTGGAATAAAGGGGTGAAAAAGGTTCAATGGATCTTTTTTTTATTTTTTATTTTTACTGAAAAGAACAAAGATATGAGGTGTAAAAGTAAGATTGTTTTCAAATCAAATCTTAGGTCGAGCACTATAAAAGTACGTGCAAATTAGGATAAGAGATTTTGTTATTCTTTAAGGCAATACTTTTTCTATTTTAATCTTGTTTTACTCACACACTTAATGTATAACTTAAGACAAATTAGATTAGATAAGCGGTCTAACTCAATGAAAAATAAGATTAATTTGCATATCAGTAGTTTCTAGTTCGAACCCCTTATAATACTTTGAAAGTATCTGTTAAAACACCTCATCCTCAATATCGTTTGCATAAAAAGAAAAAGACGAATTGCAATTTACATTAGAGAAGAGTCGTAGAAAAACGTGAAATTAATTATACTTTTTTTTATATAAAAAAGGACAAATGGAAGCTTCTTAAGCTTATCTAAGCCAGTGCATGCATGTGTGGACCTCATACTCCAATGAATCCGTAGGTTATTATTCCAACTTAATTAATTACAACCTGCGAACAAATGTAAATTTGGGAAAGCAGATCGACGCTCAGTCACTGTCTACAGTGATCCTTGTGATGGTAGTTAGCTAAATTTGGAATTTTCTTTAATTCAGAGACTTGGTGGAAAAAAAAACCACAAAGAAAAACAAAGGAATTTGATTTATTGAAAGCCAGAATTACAGCATGTGTTGAGCTGAGCCTCTCTCACATGTCCATTGTCCAATGCAGACACATTTATTTAGTGTCATTGGTTCATTGTCTTTTCATGCTTAGCTGCTGTGTTCTGATTGGACTTCTCTAAGTTTTTGGGGATAAGATTTTCAGTGTCCTCGTGGATTTTATCAACTTGCACGACAGCAAAAAGTCATCTAAACTGACTTTTTTCATTGGTCCAGCAAAAGTAACATCCATCTCAAAATCCCAGTATGGTGTACTTCTCATCTTTTGTTCGATCATATTTTCTTGTTGAGGCAAGCACTGTCGTGTGGGAGAATATATACCTAGTTATCTTCACATTTGAATATAGAGTTCTTGAATTAATTAGGTGCAATCGTATCCTTACTTGCTTCTTATAATGAGTGGCTTAACTAAAGTTTTTCAAGTTTAGAAAAGTGATACATCTTTTAGTGGAGTAGTACTCTTTTAAATCATGTTTTTCTTATTATATAGTATATCATTAAATAAGGGATTTTTCCTCATCCGTGAATTTGCATGTACACGCAGTTGTAGTCGTTAAATTGATAGTTCATCTTTGACTACTAAGAAATAGATTAATATCAAGTTACTAAATCACGCTGTATTCAATGGGAATTCGTACTGTAGATGAACCCTTATAACTCATTAATCTTCTTCTCAAGTCTTATCTATGCTAATATAGGAATAAACACCAGGTTTGCATTGCTGAGAGCTTGAGAATATTTCATTTTTCACTCTCTCCATTAATGAATTAGAATCTGCAAAATCATAATTACAAATTACAGAAACATATATAAATATGTGACAAATTGTGTTGTGAATTGAACACAAAGATCTTGTAATAAAAAGCAGATTTTAAACATGGGCATAAAGGATATGCTCATGATTCTTCACATTTCTCAAAGGAAAGTGAATAGTGATGATGAGCAATCTATAGCTAAGCAACATAGAAAACAAGGCAGGCTAGTGGGAAATGCATGCATTGCAATTTGCAGTGTAGATGAAGAAAAGGGAAGGTGTGGATCACAGAAGGGATCCCAAAGGGCTTTTTTTTTTCTTTCTTTTATAGAGAGAGGCTGAAGTCACTGAGCCCAGAATAGAGGCAGACAAAAAGTTGAGAAAGTGATGTGACTCAACTCCCTCTGTTTTCAAAATATTCCAATGCAACTTCCAGCCCTACATGAAGGCAAAGATTCCAACTGTCTATTCCTCTAAACCAAACCAAACCCAACTTTTATATTTTTCGTGGTTCCAAATTGAGAAGTTTTAGGTTTTCTTTTTTCTTTGCCCACCAAACAAGTCGGAGAATCTTAGGTTAATGTTTTGGTTTAGCAGAACAAGTTTTGGCTAAGCTGGTTCCCAATGAACCAACCATTTGATTGATCAAGAGCATTATCAGCAGCAATGAACTCAAATAATGATAATCGTATGGATCCTACCAAATGTAAGCCCTCGACATTGATTGAACTTGAAAAAGAACATGAAAACCCAACAGAAGCCCAAACAAAACCAACTTTCGTAACAGGTTTTTTGGGAAAATGGCTTAGTGGGTTCAGTTTTAGCAGAGGCCTAGTATTGTTTGCAAAGCTGCTGCTATGCACATGATTATGTGCTAATCACACAACAGCTAAACCAGTATTAGAAATTTAGAACATAAAGACTCTGCTAAACACACCCAATTATAACCTTAATCATGTATTAGGGTTAGCTGTATAGATAAATATAGTGAGTGGAATTTTCCATTTGGTTTTGAACGTGAGGAAGGGTATCAAAACTTTAACATCCAGAAATTGCCTATCAAAAATTGTAGCTGGAAAATATATTAACAAGAGCAGAGATGAATAGATAGATGGTAAGCTGTCTCCTTCAATGGCATTACATAAGTGGCAAGACATGTGGTCTCAAAAAAAGGCAGCACTTGCTAATTCCTGGTTCACATTTCTCGACAGTAACCCCACAATTCCGTCATGTACAGAAGAGCCCTGCCACCCCCAATGAGATGATGCCACACGCTTCAATGGACTTGTTCAACTGGAGCCCCCATTAGATTTGGTTCAAGTCATTAAAATAAGTTATTGTACTAGTGGGATTGAAATAGCTAAGCTAGCTAGGTGCTAATATGGTTAAGACATTCTGTACGATTTGAACATATAATTATATAAACAAAGAGCTAGATTGGCATGTATATATATGGTGATAGGTTATGCGAATATCAAACTGATCGGCGAGGGGCTTGTAACTTAAATGGTTAAGAATATTTTGTTCATGTATTTGAAGTTCTGTATTTGAATTTCCTCTCTTTTAATATCACTTACAAAAAAAAACCTACAACGAACTGGCCCTACAAAGTTAATAAAGATTATTATTACTGAGGCATCACAAATCATTCGTCTGAAAGAAAAAGAAGAAGAAAAAGGCATAGAAAATCAACAGTGGTTGTGACAATCAGGTCAAGCAAAGCAATTGTCTAAATGCTAGTCCTTATCTCTGTTCTAAATTGCTACTGGACAAAAGATCATGACTAATTCTGACCAACTATATAAAGATCATTAGGACTTGCTTCTTTGATCTTCTTTTATGGCAATATGGCTCATCAACATCTCCCTCCCTTGATCTAGTTTTCTTTGCTCAAACCATCAAATCAGGTTCTGCCACATGTTCAGTTTAAGATTGCAAAAGACAAAAATACCATCAACCAGCCAAAGTAAGTATATCACATCAGTGCCACATGAGCAATGTTGGATGTGGAGCAGACCACATTAGCTGTGGTACTCAACAAAGCATCCAATCAATTTCAAGTTGGCACTTCAATTTCAGATATTAGTCAAGTCCAGCCAAGAGCTCAGTGAAGCACAGGATATTCTTTCTTCAAGTGTTTTAAGTGTAATTAATGATGTAAATGAACAAAAGAAAACCAATAGGGTTGTTTGTTAAACTAATTAATTAAGTAGATTGCTCAAATGAGTGGGATGTATGGACCAGCAAAGATGTAAACAAACCTTAACAGATTCCTTAGAGAAACCAAAATGATTTTAGATGGGCCTGCAGCCTGCACATAAACCAGTAGCCCTGTATGATCATGATTGCACATTCAACATTTTGTACATTTTAAATTTGGAAGGCGTGTACTGAATCCAGGGCCATCGGCTACCAAGGGGGTCCTAAAGGGTAACACCCACATTGATTAGCATCTATTAAGGAACACCGTAACCCAAAACTTTTTAACACCATCATCTCCCCTAATAATTCACCAAAATATATATACGATTGCGAGACTAAAACTCTTGTCGTGGGGGAACGCTCTTTTAATCACTTGAGCTATAAAACAAACGCTCTTTTAACCACTTGAGTTATAAAACAAACCAAAACAGGAGAATGTAATGGTAGATGTCTGGAAACCCAGAAGATAGAGAGGCAATGAATATTGAAGGCCCAATAGGGAAGAGGAGGGGAGTAGTAGTTTTTCACTTACTAGTTGAGTTGATGAAGGGGATCTCAAAGTTCCCTCATTGCTCCCATGCCAGTAAGGGCAAGCAACAAATAGCAAAGGTGCAGAGCGAAAGGCAAAGGGGTCCAAAGGCAAAATGAAATGATTACTTGAATGGGAAGGGACCCACTTTATAATCTTTCCTTTTTTCCAAGTCTCTAAAATTTTTTTGACTTGGGATTGGGTCCCACCTCGGCCACCATTGTCTTTATGGATTGAATGATAAAAAGAGCACCTCACGTGGAGTCTGAACCAAAGGGGCTGTCCAACCACAATAAAAAGGGGAACCCCTTCCCTCCCTCTCCCTCCTCATCTCTCCTTCTCCTGAAAATTAAAATTCAGATATTGTTTTTTTATTTATTTTTTATTTGGCTTTGGGTGTATTTGATAATTGATATTCTGATATTTTTCCCTCCTAAAGAATGACAGAACATATAATTATATAAAATTAAATAAAATAAAAAGAAAGCGAGAAAAAGCTCAGCACAACAACAAAGCAATTTCTTTTCCTAAAAAAAATTGCTTTTTAAAGCTCACCCATATAATTCCCACTCATTATCTTTGTTGCTTAAAGCTCCTCCTCCCTCCCTTATCTTCTCTCTCTCTCTCTCTCTCTCTCTCTCTCTCTCTCTCTCTCCATACTAGTACATAGCTCTCTCTCTGTCTCTCTCTCTCTCCATACTAGTCCATAGCTCTCTCTCTCTCTACACATCATCAAAATCAAATTTCTCCATTTTCTCATATACAAATTTCCAGCCCAACAACAACAACAAAGAGAGACTTCCAAAAAAATATATATACAGACTAGTCCTGTAAATATAGTACCACTGTGAGTGACTGAAGAGAGCTGAGCTGAGCTGAGAGCCCCACCAAAACCAATTATACTACTAAATTAAGACCTCTCTCTCTCTCTCTCCTCCTCTCATAATAAAACCCTTCACACAAGCTGATCATAATTCTCTTTCCCATGCGATCATGGAAGGAGGTGATCAAGATCATCAACTCCACCACCACCACCACCATCACTACCAACAACAGCAACATCACCACCGTCCAAACTTCCCCTTCCAGCTGCTCGAAAAGAAGGAGTTAGATCAAGAAGCTGCCTCCTGCTCTAACTCGACCTCCCCCTACCCTTCTCTAGCCATCACCACTGTGGACCCTGCGACCGCCATCACCACCACCACAACAACCTCCACTCTCCAAGCTTCCGCCGAGCCCTCCAAAAAGCCTCCTCCCAAGCGGACCTCCACCAAGGACCGACACACGAAAGTCGACGGACGCGGCCGTCGCATTCGAATGCCGGCCCTCTGCGCTGCAAGAGTCTTCCAGCTCACCCGCGAGCTCGGCCACAAGTCTGACGGAGAAACCATCGAGTGGCTTCTCCAGCAGGCCGAGCCAGCGGTGATCGCCGCAACGGGCACCGGCACAATCCCCGCCAATTTCACATCGCTCAACATCTCGCTCCGCAGCTCCGGCTCGAGCATGTCGGTGCCGTCGCAGTTAAGATCTTCTTATTACAGCCCCAATTTCTCGGTTCACCAGAACCAGCGCCGGAGCCTCTTTCAGGGAATCGGCCTCTCGTCCTCGGACAGCTCGTCGACTCTGCTAAACTTTCAAACCAACAGCATGCACGCCTCCATGTTGCAGGCCAAGCAGGAGCTGCGCGACACGGTGTCGTTGGATCTCTCGGAGACGGCGTCGGGGGAGGGGAGCATGGGAGGGAGGAAGCGGAGGCCGCCGGAGCAGGACTTGAATCAAATGGGCGGGGGCGGCGGTGGAGGTGGTGGAGGATACTTGTTGCAGTCTAGCACCGGCTCAGTCCCGGCCAGCCACCACCACAGCCAGATTCCGGCAAATTTTTGGATGGTGGCGAATTCTAATAACCAGGTTATGAGTGGAGACCCTATTTGGACTTTCCCAGCTTCGGTCAACAACAGCGGGTTGTATAGAGGGACCATGCCAGGTGGGTTACATTTCATGAATTTTCCTGCTCCTATGACCCTATTGCCTAGTCAGCAACAATTGGGAGGCTCTGGCGGAGGCGGTGGAGGTAACGACGGCGATAACATGAGTGACGGGCAGTTAAATATGCTCGCTGGGCTTAACCCATACCGGCACATGTCCAGTACGGGTGTTTCAGAGTCCCAGCAAGCAAGTGGGTCCCATTCGCACCACGGGGGAGACGATCGGCATGATAGTACTAGTCACCATTCATAGATGAAGATGGATGGTCAGCAGTTGTTCGTCGTCGTTGTCGTCGTCGGTGGTGGTCGTCATTTCTTCCCACATGTGTAGTAGTTTGCTGTGTAACAACACACGTGAGGTTTGATTGATTGCTCTTAAAATTCCTGAGGTTTATTTTTATTTATTCCAATTTTTTTGTGTGATTAATATGATATGGCCGGGATGAGAGAGTTTTTTAGGGTTTGGAGAAGAAAAGAAGACACTTATTTTTAACATGGGTTATTTTGGCTGCTCTCTATTAATAGTCTCATTTTGGGAGTTTTTTTTTACCACACAGTATACGATCATCATTGTTTGTGCAATTAATCCTTTCTTCTTCTTCTTTTTCCCCTTCATTTTCTTTTCAATGAAAAGCAAGTTTTACTTTCTGCTTTTTATTGTGTTGGTGAAAGTGATCTTATTTGCATGCTATGGGTAAGTCTCCTACCTAACATACAAAACAATTGGGCTCTCTCTCTCTCTCCTCCCTTTCTCTCTCTAGGCCACCACCAAGTTTGTGTTCATGTGTATAGTGAGGGCTAAATGGGGGAGTGAAAAGGGATGAAACAGTGAGTTACTTATACTGCAATGTAGGTATTAAAAAAATTTCACAGCCTTTTGATATCCTTCTGATTCTATATACATGGCTCTCTCCTGCCATGAATCTCAAAGGGTTTACTGCATCAATGATTAAGATTTTCAGAGAGGGGGTGGGGGTAATAGGACGGTAGGGTCCACACCTTATCAGTTCCAGGTGTTGGCTCAGGTGGTGGGGTCAGGGTGCTGGTCATTGCCCAAACCAATATACAACGTCACTGACAAACAGGTGGATCATTCCTCTATCTTTTTTCTTTTCTTTCTTTTTTTCCTTATGGTGCAGTTGCTGACACCATTGAGGGGGATCGGTGGTGAGTTTTAAATTTATTTAATAACTCTACTGGATCATGGCCCACCATCTCTTAAATCAATCTGGACCCTTCATTTTGATGGAATTACCTTTTGATTGGGTACCATTGAATGATTGGGTCTCAAACTACTAACGAAGAAAAGAACTTGAATCTCACGGATATAATACTGTTTTGTTATTCTTAATTAATCATATTCCGAAAGAATTATTATGTACTTGCGACAGAACGTGATTGATTAGAAGTATAAAAACAGTGTTATTTCCGTGATATTATTTCTTTTTTTCCTTCAACTAGAGGATCGGAAAAATGGTGGAAATCTGGTGTTTCATATGCCCCCCCATGGCTCAACTTGTTACTGTCTCCCCCCTTAACCAATCAGCATTATGCTGCATATATTTTCCTTTCTTTTTATAAGGGTGGATAAATTATTTTATGCTTTAAAACTTATAGAACAAAATCCCCAAATAGAAAAATGAACAAAATATTACAAGGACCATACTCTTGCACCAATTGATGGTTTGATATATACCTAAAGCTAAAGATTATATTCGTAATAACTCAAGGGGACGATTGTCAATGGCCTTGAAAAAGAGCAGATGGCATATAAAACTAGTAATGTCCTATCGTGCATATGTCTTAAATACTTGTGCCCTGGCTGGTAGGGTTTGTTTAATTTGTATTAACTCGTTCAAAGAAAGAAAGATATGAAAAATTCTGGGATTTATGAAAATTGAAAACTAGCTGCCCGTTTGAAAGTTTTCATGTTTTTTTTTCTTTTACTGGGTCCGTACTCTATATATATATAGGTAGAAAAAATTAGTTGCAACGGAGATATCACTGTTTTGTTATTTTCGACTAATAATACTATATCACGTGAAAGCATTATCACATCTATCATAACGTTATTGATTAAAAATAAGAAAATAGTGCTATTCATATTTCATGAAAGTCTCTCTTACCCATAATTTTGGAGTCTTGAGTAATTGGGATCAATGCAAATCTTGGTAGTGCTCTAATTCATTGTGGGCCATCGATGTTGCTAATATATTTATATTCTTAGTGATCCTAATTTTTTGTATAAAGTATAAAAAAACCGAGTGTAAAGTGATTACTTGTTGCTATCGTGTATTAAATATGCAGGTATATGCCAAATATAAAAGTCTAATCTGATTAAGTGTTGTACGCACACAGAGATTAGACATACGTGCGTTTGAAATCTTTTTTTAAATATAATAATCTATATACTATCGAATAAATGTCTGCTGTTCATAATGTTATTTATCCAAAATTATAACTATGCAACACAAAAGGATATCACAAGATATTACTTTAACCTTCGATTAGTATTAACCGGTTCTTGTCAAAAAGGTAAATGGATTTGCCATATATATTATTATTAGTACCTGTACATTTCTGAAAATGGCAATATATGAATATATAATGCTACTTTTACCACATTTATATACCACATCTTTATACCATTTTATGTGGTAGCTGAAGTGAACATCCACATCAATTAAAATTATTTAATATTTTCTTTTCTTTTATGATTTATTTCAGTATTTATTTTTCTAATTGCTTTAATTAAAATACACTTCATTGATTTAATTGATATGACATATAAAATGGACACGCCGCAGCACGTGATATAGAAATGTGGGATAAAAATGTGGTAAGTGTAGCATTACTCATAAAATATAGGTTTTCTGGTCAGAAAATTATTAGTTTGCTGCTAGGATATATAATATAGGTTTGGTGTACATGCCTGGTAACAATGGGGTGGTTGGATGGTTCGAGCAGTTAGGGTTAATGTGCAAAAATGTATTAATTTGCTGCTCCAATTTATGGTAGGTTAGGTCTGCTCATAAGCCAGTACATGTAAATGAATTTAGCAGTATTGAGAATGGTTATCACCACACTTATGTTAAGAGTTCGATTCTCATTCTCGTCTCTCCAGACTTAAACATCCTATAACGCGAGTCGAGTGAAAAAATAGACACGTACATAGTACAAGAGAGAGCGCTACAATTTCAGAATAATAATGATTTTAAGAGAATACGTAGCATGTACATAGAATTAACGGCAAACACACATGGCTATGAGGGCATATGGTAGCAGATATACATATATATTATTAGGCAGTGATGATCATGACAAGTGTGTTTTGGCATTTACTAGCTTTGATGCCGTTGTGTGGGAAATCTGTGTCATATCATCATCGCAAAATATAGCTTGGTCTGGTTCGTACACAATCTATGCACATGGTCATGGACATGAAATCCCTATGGACAGCCAATGGCCCCCAGCAGCCAAAAATAGCATGATTAGACCATCCTAAACTTGTAAGCCATGCATGTAATCTTCCAGATTGAACCAACAAGCCTGCCTCCACTTGGGGTTTATTACTCCATAAGTACATAAACAATCAGCTTATTCCCCTAATTTGGCCCATAAAATCTCTTTTTTCTTTCATAATTTCATTTCATTTGTTTGGTTTGGGGCTTTGATCGGGCCCATAAAATCTTATAACCCTCCCTTCCACCTAGACTCTTTTTTTTTTTTTTTTTTTTTTTTTTTTTTTTTTTTTTTAAAAAAAAATATGATGGAAATAGATACAGTGACATTGTCACATGTGCCTGCCTAGCTACTGGCTTTTAGCCTATGGATTGTTTGTTGGAAAGCAGGTAAATTGGATGAAAAGACCCACCACCACATCCACATCCACCCTTAAATGTCATGCTTGTGATGATACTAGATTTCTCCAGTTGGATGCCTCATGTTGGGAGAGGTTGGCTCATTGAAATTGACTGGTGGTGTAGCCTTCTAGGCACATTCAAAAACTGATGCATTATTATGAAAAAGTTACAAGCAAACAAACAGACCCCTAGCTCAACCTCTGAAATTGAGTTATCTACTAAACTAGTCTACTGCTTTGGGTGCCCAATACCAGCGCAGTTGAAATTGGGCCCAAATGTTTTTAAGGTAACCCACCAACACACTTTGAAATGGGTTACATATTTGGGGCTCAGCATTGGGCACAAGTACAAGTAATTGGTAACTACACTAGGTCTAGGTCTCTGTATGCTAACCAAGAGGAGTTTTCTGTATATTTAACCAAAAGGAGTTTTCTACATACGTGGTCTATTATTCTGGACTGAAATGCTATTTACAAAGAGATTCTGTGTCAAAAATAGCTTGTCTCAAAAGGCAAAATTAGACATACCCAAATGCCAGATTGTCTCAAAAGGCAATTCTGTGTCAAACTCAAAACCTGAATATGTTTTAAATTATATGATATATGAAACATTCTTTAAAATTGTTGCATAAAACATTCAAGTGTTTGATGAAGAGTAGGACCACAATTACAGTATAATAGAACAAGCAAGGGGCAAAAGGAATATCAAAACCCAAATGTAATTCAGAACTTACTTTTAGAGTCAAGTTCAACAGATAGAGCAGCAACAGTCTTAACAGAGTGAAATGAGTAAAAGGAAGTGCTTCCTCCTTCAGCAAGATTATTTTCTTCTGGGCAAGAGTTCTGTTTCCGGTAAAGGTGCTTGGAGCCAAAAAGGCATTCCTGTTATTGGTGGTTTCCAACTCTGCTTTGCAATTGGTTTGCATCTCTTCTTGACTGTTCCCTGCGAAAAACACCGATTGTATACTTTGAGAAACTAAGATTGAGAGAGGCTAATAATAAAAACACTTATACACATTTATACAACTAGGCATCAAGAAACGCTTGTTCCTACCTCACACTTGGTTTCTTCTGCTTGTTTTGGCTGCTTCATGCTGGCCACACTCTCACACTTGGTTTCTTCTGCTTGCTTTGGCTGCTTCATGCTGGCCACACTCTCACACTTGGTTTCTTCTGCTTGGTTTGGCTGCTTCATGCTAGCCACACTCTCACACTTGGTTTCTTCTGATTGCTTTGGCTGCTTCATCCTAGCAACACTCTCACTCTTGGTTTGTTCTGCTTGCTTTGGCTGCTTCATGCTAATCACACTCTTCCCGCATTCACTGAGTCATATTATCAAAAACCTTATAAACGTTACATTACATATTTACAAAACCCTCCACGTCTGATTT